CCGGTTTTGATGTTCCTTCTCTGGGCACAAAGGCTGTGCAGGGCACTAGCCACTGCAGAATCACTAGCCACATGTCCTCAGACAGTACCGGTACATACAACTTCTCCTAGTCCTCATCTCCAGTCCCAGATGGGATGTCCATAAACTGGCTTACCATCTGACAGGTTCTTAGGGTTTAGAAAATATATTTTTGTTTTTAAAATCTATGCTTAGATTGTTGTTCTAAGTTTTTGCACTTTACCTAGATATAGTCCGCCGTACTAGTGACCGTCGCTAATTTATTAGACTTGATAACTAGGCGAACACCACCACCTCCCAAAAGAGACGCTTAACGTAGCGTACTCTAGCGTAGTGAAGGAGTTAATAGAAGGCTTTAACAGAACTGAAACAAGAGTACAGGGTTGCTCACAACAACAAGGTCGCAAGATTTTCTAACTAGCTCGAGGACCTCTCGACTCGGGTCAACAACTGCCAAAGTATGTGAGAGCATCCTCAATTGCCCCGTGAAGCAGGTGCACATGTCCTGGCATTGGCATTTCGAGATGGTCTGCATCGACAGACAGACAATATGCCTCTCCAACATACCGCTCCCATCCATTGGGTCCCAGGTCTGCAGGCGTCTTGTGTGGTAGACCCCAAGCAATTGCGCCCATTCTTGCATCCTCCATGAATCCATCAAAAGCCTCCGTAGGAATATTCGATTTTCTTAGCAGCGCCATCAGCTCCGAATCACCAGAGCACCGATCAATCAAGCCTTTTCGGGCCCAGATAATGGCCGTACGCTTAGGCCTCAGTTGAATCGGTAGTGGTGACGGATGATACGCAGCGACACTGGCAAAGACTGCGCGCAGATGTTGCTGGGTACTCTCCGAAGCACTCCAGAGGCCACCCTGCGCAGCTATACTCTCGTAGACCCTCCAACCGACTTCGGCTTTGTCCTCTGCTCCGGGTGGGCGAGGGCAGCACATGTCTATAAGCAAGAGGCTGTCCACGGTGCGTCCCTCCATACCCAACTGTCGACATACCTCATATGCCAGCATGGAACCACCGGAGAATCCGCCGATAGAGAAGGGACCCTGCGGCTGGAACTTTACTAGAGCCTCCACGATGTGCTTTGCGGCGCCCGGTATGCCCACCTTGGAAGTGAGTTGGCTCGGACAGCGAAGGTATGGTGAGTCGATACCATAGACAGGTATCTTTGATTTTAACGCAGGCAGATGTATGTATGTGGCAATACTGCCGGTGCCATCAGCTATGAGGTAGAACGGTTGCTTTCCACTCGACGGACGACCCTGCAAAAGTGTAACCCTAGTACTTGGAGTTATAGACTTCTCGTCGTCTGGAGCGGAAACGATTACGAGATCTTCTGCAACTTCCATATCAGGTGTGGTTATCTTCGTCATGCTATCAGGGTCTGCTGCCGAGCTTTCATGTCTTGAGCCGTTCGAGGATTCGGGCGTACCGCTCATAACCGAAAAGTCAGATATGTCTGCGCTGGCTTCAGCGGCTGCCGCGTGTTCTTTTGGATGGGCAAATGCTTTGCGCAGCTGACCGATTGTGGAATACTCGATCACAAAGGAGGGCAGAATGTCCAGGCCGGTAATGCTGTTCACTCTGGCCGCAATTTCAATCCCCATGATGGAGTCAACTCCTACCCGTAAAGTCAGTATATGAAGTGCCACTGGTATCACATACCAGTCAAGGATTTCAGTCTTCGTTGATGACTTACCCAACTCGATCAACTGAGTTTCGTCTGTAAGCTCGGAAATATTGCTGCCTGTTCCCTTTGAGATACTCTCGAGCATCACTTGGAACGCTTCAGGCGTAGCATTGTTAGCCTTCGCACGCTCAACGGTCTCAACTTGGCTTCGTTGCGTTGGCTTCGTCATTAGAGGTTGCGAGCTGGCACGGGAAGCTTCACCATTGTCTCGCGGTATCGTCGTCAGTTGTTTTAAGGCAGTTGATGATGACATCTTGGAAGAATCTCGGTTGTCGGGTTGCGTTTTGGTATTACCCAACAGTCGATCCAAGATATCATTATTTACCTCGTGGAACCGAAGAGCAGAACATTGCATGATCAGCTTCTCAGTGTCAAAGACATACACATCGCAGTAGATTGTGCTCTTTTCTCGCTTGGACACGCGGACGTAGGTGAAGTATGACCTCCCCGGCTGGAAGTCAACTGTTTGCTCAAAGGCCCCGAAGCTATCCATCATGAGAGTGGTCTTGTCGGCGAGACGATGAGGGTTTCCATTGACCAGGAAACCAGCAAGATGCACCAGACTCTCACCCCAGTAAGGTGATGCAACAAAATGGGTGTCTTGCGGGTTCGGACGGAGGATAACCTCAGCGGCGGCTTCTTCAAAATTGCTGGATATAAACGCCTCCTTCACACATTTGAAGGCCGGGGCGTAACCAACGGTACTTGAGAACAAGGCGTACATGATGTCTGGGAGCAACCTATGCCCCTGCCCCTCTTTGACTTTATTGATCAGCTCATGCATCCTGCCTCTAACAAAGTAGGAGATCGGATCCCACTTGGCTTGAAGCTCTTGTGGATCAGTAATAGACACGATACCGCTGCCAAGCTCGTGGAGGGAACACTGTGAGGAAGCCTCCCATGAGACTTTGATATCTTCAGAAGAATCGTTGACGTGGACCGCAGTAAGAAGTTCCCCGTCGGATCCAACGAGCTGTCGCGTTAATGGTCGCTTCAGGGTCACAGATCTGAGCGCCAGTCGTATATCGGCGAGCCTCCGGCCTTTGCGGGACTGCAGGGCGTATTTCGCAGCGGCCAAGCCGGCTTCGCAGAAGACGCTTCCTGGAACAATGGGAACTCCTCGAATTCGGTGGCCACTGATCAGTGCATCGAAGCCTGGGCTAGCAATTGGGGCTCGGAGTTTCACCATCAGATCTGGTGGCGTTGATGATTCCTGTGCGACATATTGTGCACAGGTCGATATGGGTGCCCCAGAGGTGTTGACCGGGCCGACCGTTTTGAGTTTCGCTTCTCCTTCGGTATACGTGATCCAGAAGTCCTTCAATTCCCATGCGTACGATGGCAGTGTCAACAAATTCAAACCCGCGGTATACGGGCCGTGCAGCGCAATCCAGTCAACAGCAACACCATTTTTATACATGCCAGCAAGACACTTAGATATGGAAGTCCAAGCCTCAGACTTTCCGTCCAGGGTTGACAGGATCTTATCAGTGGGCGGAGAAATAGTTGCGCGTATGAAAGAGGTACAGACTGGACTAGGACCAATCTCAAGCCAGATTGGGTCGTCAAGCACATCCGTGACAGCTTTAACTGAGCCGACGAAGTCAACAGGTTGTCGGGTCTGTTGACCTAAGTACGGTGCATTGAAAGTGCCAGGTTTGTCCACGATAGATGCAAGCAGGGTCGACGAAACGGGAATCTTAGGTGCTGAATAAGTAACACCTCTTGCCAAAGAAATATAGTCGTCTAGCATCGGATCCATCTGGAACGAGTGAAATCCGTAGGGAACTGCTAATGTTTTCGAAGGGCATGTCAAAATGGTGCGTAACTCGGCGATATCATCGACGGTGCCGCTAACAACAGTGGCGTAAGGGCTATTTGCGCAAGAAATCGTACATGAAGAATGAGGCTGCGTCTCTAGAAGTTGCCTCACAGCATCTGGTGACATTCCGACGGCAAGCATCGCACAAGCACCAGATTCGCAACGCTCAGAGAGCAAACGTGCTCGATGTCCAACGAGATAGAGCATGTCGGCCAAGGAAAGAACGCCAGCAACATGGAGGGCAGCATATTCTCCTAGAGAATGACCCATAACGAGGGCTGGTGTAATGCCGCATGATTTCCAGAAGGCAGCGAGGCTAACCTCTAACGTGACAATAGCCAGCTGAATAGCCGTGGTGTCGTCCTCAGTAATTTCACTATTCTTATCGGTAATTATTGCCTCGAAAAATGGAAACCCATGCTCCTTGCAGATGGAGGCGCACAAGTCCACTGTCTTGCGAAACGGAGGACATGTTGTATATAAATCGCCACCCATGCCAGGATAATGCGATGCTTGGCCGGTGAAAACGAAGACCATAGAGGAGGGTCGCGATGGGGTTGCGCTTGACGTATCTGACTCGAGAGTCTTAATCAGCTCTTGTACCGTCGATGCAGCACAAGCAAATCGGATGGAGTGATGCATCCTCCTGGCTGTGGTTGTATAGGCGATATCTTCGATTCTGGCATCCTCGTGTGTGCGTAGCCATCCCAGGAGATTAACTTTGTTCGCGTGATATGATTTCGGCGTTCTTGCAGAGATTGCGACTACATGGGTTGGGCGAGGATCTACGGCTTCTTTCACTGGGGATAAGTAGTCCTCGAGAATGAGGGATGCGTTACCTCCCTAGTATTCTAGTATTAGCACAGACGTACGGTAATGGCAAGCCGGTAAAACTTACTGCTGCATCAAAATTATTCAGAAGAATTCTCCTTGGTTTCTGGCCGACAGATGTGAAGGGCTTCGGCTCTGAGGGAATGTCTATGCCGACTTCTGAAAGATCCGGATATCTGGGGTTTAGAGTGTGTGGCATTCCAGCTTGTGGTGGCAATATATCTTTCTGTCTCAACTGTAAGTTTGGTTCTCTCCTCCTTCAATATGCCATACCTGGAACATCATGATGCATTTTAGCAACGAGGCCATGCCTGCAGCCTATAACGGGGGGAATTAGTCTAGGAAATATTGATATCGCGTCCCTGGGCAGTGCTCACCGCCTCACTGTGGCCAACGTTGGCTTTGACGCCTCCAAGAGTCAGAGGAGTATGGGCTTGTCGTTGCTTGAAAACGTTTACGACTGCACCCATCTCTGCGGGGTCTCCGATCTGGGTCCCTGTTCCGTGCATTTCAACATATGAAATATCATCCGGCGAAACCCTAGCGGTGTGCATAATCCTGCGAAACAGGCTCTCCTGCGCGCCTGCGTCGGAAGTTGTAATTGAGGTGGAGTTGCCCGAGTGATTTCTACCAGAGCTGGCAACAACTGCTAGGATGTTATCGTTCTGAGCGACAGCATCCTCCAGGCGCTTGAGAACGACAGATCCAACGAAATCGGCTCGGCAATAACCATCTGCGTCATCACGGAAGGTTTTGCAGTTGCCCGTGTCAGATAGAACGCCGGATTTGCTGAGACTGGTCCATGAATGAGGATAACCCACAATATTGGCGGCGCCTACAACGGCCATGTCGATATCCTTGGTGAGGAGGCTCATGCATGCAAGGTGAATGGCAGAGGTAGAAGAAGCGCATGCCGAATCAAGAGAGTAGGTGGGCCCTTCCCACTTAAAGTTGAAGGCAATCCGACCAGCTCCTACAAATGCATTAGACGTTGAGGCACGTTTTGAAACAGGGTAAAATGAGGGCATCTTGAAGATGTACGGAGTGTGACAATACGTACCAAACGCGCGCTGGGCTCCCTGCAAAGTATATGCATCACATCCGAGGGTGTGATGGCTCACCATATGCCAATCGTCGTTAGATTGCCCGTAGAAGGTTGCAATGCGTTTTGGGCTGATGGCTTTCGTTTTGCCGTCAGAATATCCAGCTACTTCGAGTGCTTCATAAGCGCTCATCAGGAACTGCCGATGACCTGGATCCATCAACAGCGCCTCTCTGGGTGAGACGTGGAAGAACCGTGAATCAAAATGCCCAGGCTTGTTCATGAAGCAGCCGAACCGTGTTGTTGTTGTACAAGTGTCCTTGTGCTCGTCACAATAGAACTCCTTTAAATCAAAGCGGTCGCCGGGAATTTCTTCGCTGAGGTCCTGTTTTGACATGATGACATTCCAGAAATCCTCGACATTGTCGCTGCCTGGGCCTCTTCCGGCCATCCCTACAATGGCAACACGACCGGCACTGGGAGGATGTTCGTTTTCTAAGAGTTTGTCGGTGTGAAAGGTGACCGAACGTCCAGTGCTCTTCAGGACACTGGCGAGGTAGGCGGTATGGCTACTTGGGCCAATCACTTTGACGGATACGTGCAGCGAGGTGAGGCACGAATTAAGCTGGCCCATGACTTTTGTAATGTCCAGCGGCAAGGACAAGACCTGGAAAACCACGGCCCGCAACAGGTCACCCCAGCTAGAGTAAGTCGCTTCCGGGTCATCCATACCCCAGATCTTGAAGTTGGGAATGACTGGTGTCTTTAGCTTGTCTGAATTTCCCACAATGTAGTCTAAGTCCGCCTGGGAAACAGTCACAATGTGTTGTAGGGCATGTATGCTCAGATCATTCTTTGGGAGATCTCGGAGGGATGGACACTGGCTGAAAACAAGCTCGATAACGGAGGGTGGGCCAATAACAGTGCTCCAACGATCTCCAGTAACCCCAACCTTGGCTCTCTTGATGGGCGGAATTCCCTGTCCGGCTAGTCAGTTCTCAGTCTAGACGATGCACACCTCTTCTACTTGCCATGCTTTCCTGGAACTGCTCGAGCACTTTGCGAAGTTCATCAGGTTTAATCCCTAGGACTGCGCAGCCCCAAACTCCAGGACGGTCCTCCATGGCCCTCGATTGCACAGAGGTGAACCTGCAGAGCCTAACGAACACTCTGGCCACCTCTAACACAGCACCATACAGGGACGCTAAGTCTGTGGAGATAGCCAGTGCGGCGAGGTTTGTGAGTCCACCAGAGACTCCCAGCCGTTCGGGCTTGACACCAGTTTCGCTAACAAGCTGCGGTTCCCTCTTCACCCATCTACTGATGTTAGCAGCTATTGATCTGACTCTAGGTGTGCAACTGCCTACTGTAGCAGCATTGCCGCTCTCACGACATGCAGAAGAACCGCTCGCGCCATGCCGACCTCATCCGGGGAGTACCGATAACGATCTGCCAGGTCAAAGAGACTGGAGTAATCACCAAGGCTGTCTGTCAAGACGTCATCCATTCCCTGCGATTCTTCCTTGACTACTCGGAGCACGTCGTCGAAGAAGTCCTTGAGCCATGGTGTCGTCGCAGCCTGACGGTGAAGCTGATCGATTCCCTCAACCCACCCATCGGTCTGATCTCCAAAATAAAGAACTGTATGCATAATGTCGATTAAACCCAAGGCCGAGCTGATGGAATCGCGAAAGAATTTGACGACAGAGAGGTCAGCCTTCCTTAGGTACTGCTGAAAAAAATGTGCATATTCAGTGGAAATCTCGACATCATACACATATTCTAGCAAACCGAGAATGTATAAGCTTGTTATTCCACATCACTTGCTGCTGGAGTGAGTGTATCAACATCTGCTGCAATTGCTAAACAGGGTAGTCCTCACTCGGCAAACTCCTCCTACAGGGCTCACACTCCACAATCCTTGTCTGCCCTAGTGCTTATGCATCGGTCTGAGGGAACTCTCAGTGCTTACACTCTGGCGGATAACCTGCCAGGATGTTTACGGTAAATGTCAGTTAGGAATAGTGCTTATAGATTTACGCGAGTTGCTTTGCACGGAGCACCTCAAAAACAGGTGTAGACTTAGCACGGTTCTTTTTCCGATCAAGTTGTGGTGACTCGACAAATCAACTGTGTCTCAGTGCACTTCTATTCTATCAAGATGTCGGATTCGGAAATCAGTACCGCCCTTGCACACGTAGCAGACGTTCTCGGTTCGGCCAGCTATGTTGACAAGGAGGTGTTCATTGTAATACCCCACATTGCTCTTGCAGACACAGCATCTACAAATATAGTATGTCGATCTTGGGACTCATACCGTGGTGCATGAGAAGTATCTAATAAGAGCGTCAAACGAACAGTACATTCAGAAATTCAGAGATATATCATCGTTCAGTCTCGAGAATGAACCGGGCACACGGAAGTTTTGTGCATTGCAGCCGCGCGGACAGGGCGAGTCGCACCAGGTTTGGGCAATGGAACAGTAGGTGCAATGGAATGAACTTTCTCCCTGCGTACGCCAGGTTTATTAACGACAGGTTCTCACAGTTTCGATACTGAGTCCGCTCTTGCAAAACACCGCGCATCTCCTTTGGTTGAAAGCATGCTGTCCTGGTTGCAAGAAGCTAAGCCAAATGGTCCTAATCCGCTACCGATCCCGGTACCCCTTCAGATTCTAAAAGGCTCATTTGTACGCCCCTCAATCAAGGACGTCCAAGATCCATACATTGTCATCACGCAAATGGGAGTGCACCACGAGGAACTCCCTGTTGTCGAGGATGGATTGTTGGAGTTCAGTGCGAAGCTTGATTCGCTAGAGAATGTGCTGATGTTCACGCCTGCAAAGGCGGACAAGGCCGTCTGGGTTATCGCGGCTTATAAAACCAAGCGGGACTACGTAGAAAGTGGATTCCGCAAGGAAAGTCTTGATGGAAGACTAAAGCAGGGTATGATTAGCATGTGGGAGGAGAACATATTGAAACTCATCGTTGGGTATCTAGTTCGTAGCTGAAACTGAAACTGAAATATGCAAGGTAGATTGGACTGAAAGTTTGCTTGTAGCGCTCAGGACGGAGACTCGGCTCTCGAGATGCCGGATGTGCAGGGTGGTGAATCGCGAACACTCCAACATATTACCGGGGTTGCAGTTCTGCGGCTTATGAGCGCCCAGGCGCCACTGTAAGCACTACGTACTCAGGGCAAACTCCCACTGAAGATTCAGAAGGGTTCGCTCAAGCACCATCGCATCATCTAAGTAGCCAGTAGTGATAAAAGCCGTGTGCCCCCTCGGCACTGCTGGAAGTAAAAGCACCGTGTTCTTGCCAGGTTGAAAATATGATTCGGTATCAAGTGCTGTGTATTCTCCTCGCCTGCTTCGGTGCTACGTTTTATGGCTATGACACTAGTGGGTCGTCAGACAATGTCGAAAGGAATAGAGGAACGCTGACAGGAAAGGCATTACTGCTTCGGTTCTTGCGTATAACAGCTTCATTCAATACTTTGAGCTGAACAATGATACCATTGGCGCTATGAATTCCGCATACCAAGCTGCTGCCGCCCTTGGTGCTTTGTCTAATTTCTACCTCCCCAACAGGCTTGGCCGTAAGTACTCGTCGATAATTTCTCGTTCTGATCATGATCTCATTCGAACCAAGGGCTACGTACAATTATACTTGGATGCACCATATCCGTCATTGGAGTCACACTGCAGACTTCTGCGCAGAACTACCCCATGTTCGTTGTTGGGCGTACAATAGGCGGAATTGCTTGCGGTATCGTATTTTCCGTTTGCCCAGTATACGCCAACGAAATATCCCCGGCCTACTTTCGTGGACGGGTGGGCGCCCTTTACGCGTGAGTGTGCAATTGCCCGCAATACGATCTTCTGGCCAACTGACCCGCTAGACTGAATATTACCGCTTCCTTCCTGATTACTCAATGCGTCGGTCTCGGTCTCTACTTCATCAAGGGCAATACTTCATGGCGCTTGCTATTCGCTCTACAGTTAATCCCCGCCTTATCGTTAGCAATATTCTCGATTCGGATGCCGGAGTCACCGCGCTTTCTTGCTCTAGTAGGAAGGGATAAAGAGGCTCTGGAGATCCTCCGACAGTTGCATGGAGGAGGCAAGGAAACCGCTGAATACAACGAAAGTGACTCATACTATCAGGAGTTCCTAGAGATTCGCGCTCAAATTGAAGAGGATAGGAGTTACACAAGAAGTTGGCGCACGATCATCTCCAAAAGTTCATACCTAAGACGCTTTGCGTTGATTATTGGTTTCTTCTTTTTCCAACAGTGAGTTCTGACTTGTAGGCTCCAATCTTAACGTTCTAACCGGGCCCACCCCAGGTTCACTGGTATAATCCCTCTCGCCGCATACCAAGTGATTATCTATCAGATGCTCGGAGTTCGAGCGGTAACATCGTTGATTCTCACTGTTGTTTATGGAATCGCCACTACGTTAGGTGTCATAACTTGCGGATTTTGGCTCGATAAGGTCGGGCGAAGGCCAGCCCTAGTACGTGACCACTAGTACTCACATCTTTAACAATTCACTGCTTGAGCACTCGTGCTGACACATGAAATAGTTAGCATGCTATGCGGGTATGATACCGTCAATGGGTTTAATCGTGGGTTTCTGGATTGGGTTCGAGAAGTCCGGGAACCAAAACCTCGGTCTTGTAAAAGGGGTCCTTGTGGGCATTTACCTCGTCGCCTTCATCTTTTCAGGAGTCATGAACGCATTTGGTCCAACAGTACGCCACCAATCTACTTGAATTGGTTTATCGCTCACAACTCGCGCAGTACGCTTCCGAGATCATGCCAACCGAGATTCGTGCGGCCGGTCTGGCCGCTGGATATTTCGTCTTCAATGCCCTGGCTGTCTTGATCTCTCAAATCACACCCACAGCGATAGCGAGCATCTCTTGGCGGTATTTCCTGATCTTCTTGATCATGGATTGCATCTTCATTGTGATTGCATATCTTTTTTATCCGGAGACCAGGAATCTGGCGCTGGAACACATTGGTAAGGCTTTCGGAGATAAGGTCGCTACAGCTCAGCAGCTTAGCGGTGAGAGCATTGTGGTCTCCACATCTCTACAGCCATCCAAGCTGATTGACTGACCCACAGGCGGCGGGGGGAGGATTAGGTGCCTCGCAAAAGCTGAACAAACGCGGATGGTGTTGCTTACGGTGCTGGTTGAGGGCTGCATGACTGCAGGGCTATATGCAGATACGTTCCCATATGCATGCATGGATCGGAAGCGGCGTGGGTCCAATTTGCCGTCCCATTCGGAGCATGATTTGAGAATACATAGATAGGTATATTTGCTTCCTAAGCGTTCAGAATTTGATTCGGGGGATTTGGTTTAGTTAAGAAACGACATCAGTTGAATGCGCAGTCTTGTTAACTTACATGGCTGATGTCATGTTAGCTTGAGGGTCTTGGGAGATCTACCCTAGGGTAGATAGATGACCGGAGGATTAAGATGCGACGCTTAGGCTCCCGGTGCACGGATTGGTCTAGAGAGGACCAGATCGTTGGCTGTTCAAGGAATCGCTAGGCCGTTTTCGCCGCAATGCTCGCATTTTGAAAACATCCAGTCGCCCGATCGCCAGGTCTACCCTCGGGTACCGCCTGTTTCCAATTCCGCCGGAATGCGCGAATAAGCCTTATTTCCTGCTCAAATTTCGTCTTCAGATTCTACCTAATTACACGCTTTGGAGGCGCTTGAGTTACAAAACTTACACGCCTACGTAATCTACCCGCGTGAAAAGTAGGTAATTTGGCACCGCTTTAGCTAGTAAAACCCCCGCTCTACACCCATGCAACCCTTGCGACCCCCCTTTTTGGATCTTACGTGAAGAAAGGCGGTAGCCTACACGCAAATAGCCGGCTCGCACGGGACGCGGCTTGCTAGCCGATCGCCGACTCTACTGCTCTGCCATGAAGATGCTTAGTGTTGAATGATACCTAAAGGAAGTATAAATCCATGTTTTTGCACACTCTCCCTCCACCCACCTGTCTGGTTCTTCCACGTTCGGCGCAAATTGGAGCGAAAATCTTGACGTTGCTGGTTACCATAAGTGTTACAGAGAGTGCTTTGCAAATGCAATCTGCGTCCCAATATCCCTTCCCGCAATACGCAAACCCTGACGAAGACTGGACCAAGATATCGGATTTCGAGGAGCGCCGTCGGATACAAAGCAGGATTGCTCAACGCAAATATCGTAAGCGTCCCCTATTCAATTGGGTTTTCGAGCAGAACACTACATAGGTTTCTGAGCTCACTTTATTCTCTGACATATTCCAGGCATGAAAAAGAAGGAGGCGTCGAGTCAATCACAGGCTACAATGGACCAGAGCATTGAGACAACTGAGCTTGCAACCAATTGTCCGACCAGCCCTGTGGACATTCCCAGGCTGCCTAACATTGACACTGGAAATCAAGCCCACGGACCTCAGCAATTGTACCCATCCATAGGAGAGGTTCCCCAACAGTACAACCCCAACGTTTCTTCGCTGAATCTGGGTTTTGAGACGGCTGGGCTGGCAGGGGAGGAATTGGGCGACTTTCACCCAGACCTCACCGGAACCTGCACAGACAACAATCCCCACGGAATGCATTCCCAACTGCTTCCTACTCCTCCTACCGATGCGGCTGATATCTTGGCACGACCTCCACCTGGACCGCCACCGTCAGGGTCGTATTACTCTCACACTAGCGGCCCGAGCCCGCAGTCACCAACACACACCCCGCATTCGCACGACTATCACGGTCCCGAAAGCCACCATCAACACTTCTCACCGCGGGCGGTGAGCAAGAGCACCATGATATCGCCACGACACCCCCCATTTCCGACCATCCCTCAACAACCACCCTGTGCTTATTCACCTCCGCCAACTACCGTCTTTGGTTCCTCATACTTTTGCGCGGGGAGTCCGCGGATGCCGACGCACAGTCCCTATCAAAACCGCTCTCGTAAGCCGCACTTGCAGCACTGTCAGCCATCAAACCATGAATGGACGCCTTGGCCGGATCGATGCCGGCGGTCTAGTAATCATGAATGCGTCAGTTTTTCGTATCAGTGTATGGGCAATTACTCCAATCAACGTCCTCCATGCTCGTGCCTGCCTGGCTCGGGACCAGCATCATACCAATTACCCCAGCCTAATGGCCGTTGCCATCCACATAACCCGTATGCAGACAGGGCGCCCACATATCATCCTTGGACAGGCTTAGGCGAATCTACCCCTGCTGGGTATGGACCATGGCAGGCTGCTCGCGGAGCAGGTGCAATTGATCCTGACATGGACGCCGCACTTCCACTCTCGACCAAACGAGATTGCTGCTGTGGGAGATGTTAGGAAATGCGCTATGAAACATGATGTGGACATAGAGTGTACGGGTGGAACGGCGTTTCACGAAGATGCATGAAGCGTGTTTAGAAACATGATTAGTACATGCTGAGCTATCAAGCTATGTCGTGTACGGCCGTAGCTAGGCATTGCGAATATACAGTAGAATTTTACATACAGACAAGCTCGTACCTACCACGTTCTGCAGCACTCTCCGCCGATATGTGGGACACGACCATGTCGCCATGTTGAGCGCTGCAAGAGACCTTAGATAACGAAGGCGCCTGTGATTAGGTGATGAGCATTGGGTGTCTATTAGACTACCCTGTGGTACCACTTCCTGCTCCATCGCCTACCTGCAACGCCTAGGCCCTCACAGTCAGCGTCCTAACCCGGCCCTTCGTTAAGCCTCGCAGGGCTGCTGTTTGGGTTCCGTACTCTATGCCTGAAACATTGTAACCTTGCGGTAGGCCTAGCCTGCTGTCAAAGATGGCGTGATTACTCCGGCCTCGTCTGGTAGATAATGCTTATGAAGCCGATCTGTTTCTAGGAGTAGAAGAATGAAATTAGGGCTGACTAGACAATAATGCGAACCATTCAGCTGGAACCCGAGTACTGAGATACTTCGGGACGTATGTGGAGCCCGCATAAGCTCAGGATATTCCCCCACGCCGGCTGGCTAGACTGGCAGGGTATACACCTTGTCTGTATGCAGGAGTGGGCCCAGTGTCCCATGTGGAGCCATGTGGAGCCTTCGGGCGATAACCTAAATTCGCGCCCATACGCATGCACATAGATTCCATTCGGGTGGGTTGGATAACTGCTGAAACACTCAATTGATGCCATCAACGATGCAACTGGGTCCTCCCATGGCCCCATTCCAAAACTGACGCAAGGAGGATCACCTCGCAATGATTGATCTATACAACGCACGCAAGCAAGCCCAGTGCCACAGTGCCTATGATCAAATCTACTTTCACCTGGGGGCCAAACGAACGTACAGTGGAGTCTTCTCCCAGCCGAAATACTCGACCAGATTGTCTACCCAGTTTGCACAGCTCTCATCCAACGTCAGCTCAAAGTTCCAGAGGATCCTCGCCAGTATCAGACGCAGCTCGACATACGCCAGGTTCATGCCGATACAATTTCGCGGACCAACGGCGAAAGGCTGCGAGGCTTGTTTTTGATCGGCCTGGAACCTGGGATCATCGAGCCATCGCTCAGGGTGGAATTCATCAGCATGTAAAAAGAAGTCTGGACATCTGGTCATACTCCAGTGCCAGATGCCAACAGTTGTCTGCAGTAGCCGGAAGAACATGCTGTCAGCTTATGTGCTACATCCAAATACCAGATGAAAATGGTCTAGTCCACATACATTCTCAGGGATAAACTCGCCGGCAATCGTAGCACCGCCTGCAGGTACCTGGCGTGGCGAAACTCCAGCAAACGGGGGAAACATGCGCAACGATTCCGTAATCACAGCATTGAGATACTTGAGTTGCCCAGTTCTTGTCAAGGTTATTTCTTCTTCGGTTGTAAATGCGGAACGCACTTCTTCGACTGCCTTCGCTAAGGTGTGGGGATTTGTCGCGAGGTAATAGGTCGTGGCACTGAGAGCACTGGAGATTGTTTCTGCGCCTCCGAGTATTAAGGCAGTACAGTTGGACGTAATTTCTGCATCCGAGAGGAACTCGCCTTTCTCGTCGTCGCCAAGCATAGCAGTCATGTAGTCAGGCCGGGTAGCACCCAGAGCACGCCGTTTCGCAATTTTGGCATCGGTAAGTTGTTGATTCTCTCGTAGTCTTTTTGCAAGTCCTTTGGGAGCTACCACCAGAAAAGATTAGCTCACACAAGGCGCAGAAGGTGAATAACTTACTGATGAAGAAGAGAATAGGAAGGAACAGTCTGTTGATTCTCTTCAAACAATTCGCAAGAATGACAAACCTCGTCGTATCAAAGATGAGAGAAGCCCATGGATGATGGCCGCCACTGTCCAGAGAACCAAAAGATTCCCCAAAAGTCAGATCACCTAGTCTCCATCACATCATCAGTAACAATTCCTTCACCCATTGACTACTTTAGGACGGGTGCAACTCACCAATAATATCAAATGCTGTAAAGCTGAACCACGCCTCAATGTTGATGAGCGCTCGGCCGTCATCGCACCGTTTCCTCAATTCGGAGATAAGCTTGTCCACGTAACGCTGCAGAAATGGCTCCTGTTTCTGCATTGTCGATGCTGAGAAGCCGCGCGACAAGATTCTACGCATGCGTGAATGGTCTTCGCGCTTCGTCACACCAAGTAGATTGTCTTTGAACGCTTCATTGAAAACGGGTTCCTTTGTCATTTCCGGTTGCCCCAGTTTGCGGTGACCACCGATATCCGTCCACGCCGAGATTGACTGGAAAGCGAGCTCATCAGGGGCAATTCGCACGATAGGACCGTATTTTTTGTGCAAGTCGAGAATGATATCGTGCGACTTGCCGCTGATGATCGCGCGAGAAACGCCCCAGCGAGTCACGGCCCAGAGCTTTGGTCCAGGAAATCTGCTGAGGGGATGGAAGTAAAGCAGATAAATTGGCCTGAGCATAAGAACCCATACAAGTACCTGAAGATGGCTATGTTAATGATGCCTAAGCTCCAAATTGCAGTTGAGGACCTCTTACTGCAGCAAGAGCCAGCTGCGCTGTCGAACGGTTAGCGAGCCGCCCCACGTCGCTTTGAGATAGTAAATTTGCCATAGCAACGATGTGCCTCGAGTTTACAGTTTACGCTTGCACCAGCTGGAATTCCCAAAGGTTGGTATCTATGAGAAGTATGGGCTTGCTGTTATGTTACGAGCGGATATGATTCGTGGACAGGGGAACCCTGCAAATGTCCCGAGGCAGCGGTCTTCCCGTTACGCTTAATTTAGCGCTTACCTTAAATGCACCTCCAATACACCAAGGGTTGACTTGGCATCCGACGGGGCCCGCGGACTCCGTCCGCCCCCTACAATTTTCAAACAGGAGGACTCCGTAAGCCTGCATAACCCTCGTTAGTGCTGATCTAGTGCCGACACAGCCCTTGTCCTTCATCTATGACAAATCGCCCTACGGTCTCCCACGGGTCCCGCGGGCTCCGGACCGCTGTGGCTACGGCCTTGGGACATTCACTGGATGCCACAGAGTGGTGGTCGGACGAAATGTGGTTTCTGCTTTCGGACAAATTTCGAGGGAGAAGATTATTGGGTAACGCTCAAAATGAATTCCTCGTAGTCATTTTCTAAGCAGTGAAACTGTTCATCTGGTTGTTCCTCATTCACTCTCTCCCATCAACACACCGCGTAACACGACTCTCTCCGGCATCAACATGGAGTCTGCCTCTGCGCCTGGCGCGTCTCCGTCAACAAAGGACGAGGCTATTGCTCCGCACTCCGAACCAACCTCCAGCACCTCCGATGAAAAGATCGAGTCGTCTGTTCCAAAGGGCGAGACAGGCGAATACTTGAGCGGCTACAAAGTTGTGGTGATATTGGTATCGCTCTGCATGTGCAACTTTCTCGTAGCATTGGATACCACCATTCTTGCAACAGCCATTCCCGTCATTTCAGAACGATTCCAAGCCCTCGAGGACGTCGGGTGGTATGTCTCTGCGTACTTCCTCACCAACTGCGCTTTCCAACTGTTATACGGAAGACTCTACACACTGTATTCAGTTAAGCCCATCTACCTCGGAGCTGTCGGGATATTCGAGATCGGGTCTTTGATATGTGCGGTCGCGCCCAACAGCACTGCGTTTATCGTCGGTCGCGCTATAGCCGGTCTCGGGTCTGCAGGAGCGTTCTCGGGAGGTAAGTCCTCAACACAAAATACCGTCTCCTATACTGCTCTTTTGCTGACCGTCTACATAGCTCTCATTGCAATCGTTCACGCCTTTCAGCCGGAGAAACGCGCTGCATATTCGGGTATGATCGTGGGCATGTATGGCATCGCGTCCATTGCAGGACCGCTCATTGGGGGTGCTTTTACCTCTCACGTTAGCTGGCGGTGGTGCTTCTACATCAATCTTCCCATTGGCGGAGTTGTCATGGTCGCGGTGTTCTTCTTCCTACGAACTCCGAAACAAGTCAAGGCCTTCGACGACGACGCCTCGACAGGTCTCTGGGCCAAGATCGCAAAGTTCGACCCATTCGGCTCCATCGCTTTCCTCGCTTCCATCATTTGTCTCCTCCTGGCGCTTCAGCTAGGGGGAACAATCTACGCCTTCTCGAACGGCCGCATCGTCGCTCTCTTCGTCCTGTTCGGGGTCCTCCTCCTTGCATTCGTCGCGCTCCAATTCTGGGGAGGGAAAAATGCCACCATTCCGCTCAGCGTCTTGAAGCAACGCTCCATCCTGTTCGGCATGTTCTACATGTTCTGCGTGGGCGCTCACTTCTTTATCCTCGTCTATTTCCTTCCCATTTGGTTCCAAGGTGTTCGTGGACGATCGGCTCTACAGTCAGGCATCGACACACTGCCCATTCTTCTCTCACAAACCCTCTTCGTTGTTTTGGGCGGCATCATCGTCTCTGTCACAGGCTACTACATGCCCTTGGCGTGGATATCGGTAGCAGTGGCGTCGGTTGGAGCGGGCCTGCTGACCACCCTCGACGTCGACTCCGGCACAGGCAAGTGGATCGGCTACCAGATCATCTACGGTATCGGCGGCGGCCTTGGATATCAACAAGGTGTTAATGCTGCGCAAACGGTCCTCGGCCCGACCGAGATTGCCATCGGCACGGCGCTGATGGTTTTTGTGCAGAACCTTGGAGGCACCATCTTCTTCTCAGCAGCCAATAACGTATTCGTCACTCGACTCATCAAAAACCTCGCTCGTGTTGCCCCCGAGCTTGATCCAGGAATCATAACGAGCGCGGGAGCGACCGGCATCAAGGAGGCCGTAAAACCGGAAGAATACCCAGCTGTTCTCGTGGCCTATAATGGTGCCGTTAGGGAAACCTTCAAGATGGCGCTGATCTTCGCTTGCTTGGGTGCTATCGGTGCGGCAGGGATGGAATGGAGGAGGGGTCAGACTAAAAAGAAGCAGGATGCAGACGCTGAAATTCAGGCCGGCCCGGTTTATGAAGTCGAGACAAAGCAGGATCAGAGCGTCGCCAATTGATGTCTTTGTACACAAACTCAGGTTGCTGGAAACGCCATCCATAGGGCATTATTGGGAGGGTGGTTTCTGGGGTTTCTTATTTTCATGGGTCCCTCAGATGTATTTTAATGCGATGGATACCTTGGAGGCATGCAGCCTCTCGATTTCTTTCACGGTTAATAGAAGACCGTAGGCAGCTTCTTTGCAAACAAAATAAAGCCGCTGCAAAATAATTCTGCCCTCTTGACTACGTCAGGTACCATGTTACCGGTCAGGGAGTCAGCTATTGTTTATGGCCTGCCGTTCAATGCAAACTTGGGAAATATTAGGATAAACGTATCATATTTCCTATACAGCTTATATTCTTTGTAGGTCTACGGTCTACTGTAGTCTAAATAAAAAGAATTCTAGTTGACTGTGCCTCCGCCCCTTATTGAAATATGGTTGGGCGATGCGGCGCCGTGTCCCCCCTTCTCCGTCTGTAGGACACGCCACGCGTCGACAAGCTTGCACAAGAAAGGATACACTAATTACCCTGCTCTGTTCGTTTTTGGAGTAAGAGTACCTAAGATCACGGAGCTATTATTACTGTCTTCGACCATAGCCTGACTGAGGGCCTAAATGATTGCACTATCACGAGGGTGGCATATCACTCCAGATGTGAAAAGATGTTGTTCAACGAGCCATAGTTGCAAAAAATCCCAAATGGCCAACGTAGATACATGGCATACACAGTCTCGGGTCGATCGTCTTAAGAGTCCTCCCTGGAAGAGACTGCGCGACCTAATTCGAGCAACGCTTGGAAAAGCGTTGGAAACTTTGTGCTCACGGAGGCAGGTAGCACGACTGAAGACCTTTACTATCTTGCCGCGTCGAGGCTCTAGCAAATAATATCCCGATGTATTAGCAGCGAATTTGGTGTCAGTGCAAGTGGGCGCGTTGGGAGAATCTGTCTGCATGAACTGCTCGGTAAGAATTATTGTTCGAGATGACGGTTTGCTATGAGTCTATTACCTACCCTAAGGCGGCTCTTCTCCATTGCTGGGATTATTCAACATTTCAATCGGCTAAGAACGTTTGAAGAGTCAGTAAAGGAATGCTTCCGTCTAGCCCCCACAACATCTAGAAAAACGATTTGCTTCCTGTAACTGTTTCAACCGACCATCATTATATGGCAACATATCTGGAACCATTAGGAGTATAGCTACGGTCATCACAATGAGAGGGAGACTTTGTATTGATTCTAACACTACAGCTACTTAAGAGTCCGATTCTGTTAAAACATGTTCACGATTCGTCAGGGCCGGCTCCCAAGTTTAATCCGTCTCCCAAATCCAAATCCAATAACAAACCATAGTAGACTGGCAGCGAGATGTACATGTAGCACGGGCCAACAGGCCATCACATCCCCCTGCTTACGCTCGCTTCGCTTCCAAGCCCGTTAAACCAAAGCTTCACATCTTACCATCTCACCACCACCACCTCCACCCCCAACGGACTCCAAAATGCCTTGCACCATCTGCAACCAATTCCAAGGCCAATGGCCCATCAACAGCCGACTCGACTCCCAACCACACGACACCCAACCAGTCCGAAACTACCTCGTCCCAAAATTCACCTGGGAAGAGCTGGAATTATCCGCCAGCGCGTGCTACTGCTGCGAGATCCTTGCAAAGGGATGTCGAGAATGCTTCTCCATGCACGGCATACAGGTCTCCGATATACGGCACTGTAGCCTCCGCTTCTACTATCCACTGCATGTTGAGGATGTGGAAGAGGAGGAGTGCGGGAAATATGTAACCGTCCATTTGGCTAGCGGGAAGAGGTTCGAGGTAGAGGTATTTGCCACGGAGGATGATGAGTGCCCTGTTCCTGATGCGTGGGATTATTTTGCCACGTCCAAGAGGACGTCGCCTGGGACGGACTCGGAAGAAGCGTTGGGGAAGATGAAGGAGTGGATCGAGGAGTGTGTAGCTGAGCATTCCGACTATCTCTGCCAGGCCCCTGAACACCCAATATTACCTAAACGGGTAGTCGATGTCGGCCGCAGCAATGAGGACGTGAAATTGGTCGAGACAAATGGCGAAAAGGGACAGTACATCTGCTTGAGCCACTGCTGGGGCCCGACGCAAATCATCACGACGAAACTAGCGACACTGGAAGACCGGAAGAAAGGAATACCATGGTCGGAGCTGTCAAAAACATTCCAAGAAGCCATAACATTAACCAGGACCCTGGGGTTCCAGTACATCTGGATCGACTCCCTCTGCATCATCCAAGACAGTGCGCAAGACTGGGAGATTGAGTCGGCGAAAATGGCCTCCATATATAGCGAAGGTCACTTGACGATTGCGGCCACCCGCTCTCCTGATGGCGCTGGCGGCTTGTTCTGCGCTACACCTGACGTCGAAGTCTTCGGGACTACGCCAGATGGCGAAGCCTATTCTCTTTTCTTTCGCCAACGCATCGACCACCAGCTTGATGCGGGATTCGAAACTGCCGGATTCACTGCTACCGAAGCGGAATATCCGCTTCTGACTAGAGCATGGGTGTATCAGGAGCGCATGCTCTCGACAAGAGTCCTCCACTTCGGCCGATACGAATTGTTCTTCGAATGCAAATCGGCGATTCGATGCGAATGCGGCGCCATAGCATTCAACGGCGCAGGTACCGAGGCACCAGTGCCCCTGATCAAGATCGAGTACGCGGATATCCTGGCGCAGTATCACGAAGGCTACGAAGGCCAAGCTCTCGAGGATATACGGTATCAGGGCGCACGCATGTGGCGCACCATGGTCTGCGGTTACACTGCGCTCCGTCTGACCATGTCAAAGGACCGGTTACCTGCCATCCGCGGCTTGGCGAAGCAATTGGCTTCGGGAAGGAGGTCCAGGTATCTAGCAGGCCTGTGGGAGGAATCTCTCCAAGATGATCTCCTCTGGATGGTCTACGCAACTTCGACCCTCCTAAAGCCTCGGCCGTACCCCCCTAACGCACCGACGTGGTCGTGGGCAAGCGTGGAAACGCTCGTCAGCTACTGGGATTGCATCAGTCTCACAGACATTGAAGGAAATGTCGCCGAAGAGAGAGAGCCGTATGAACAGTTCAGCGTCATTGAACTCTGTGAGGTTCAGCCGTCGGGTATGGATGACTTCGGAACTATCAAAAGTGGCGAGCTTAGAATATCCGGTCATGTCGCAGAAGGTATCCTCGAACGCGAAGTCGACGTGTATGAAGGTAAAGAGATCGTCGTCCACTACGTGACATTCGCCAACTCTCGCCTGCGGATGAAAGCGGATTACCTTCTTGACCACGAAGGCCCTCATCAGACGCTGCCAGGAACTACAGTCCTTTGCTTACGTTTGAGTCTTCTGCAGGAGGGCGAGAAGCAGGCGTTGATATCACTGGTTTTGAAGAAGTCGCCGCATTTGGCGGATCGCTATGAGCGCATCGGCACGCTGAAAGTTTCCGGAAGACTTGGCTCGGTGGAGCCAACTGGAGCGATATTCGAGGGATGTGAGACGCGAAAGCTGGTGATTGTTTGATAGAAATATACGAAAACACTTAATGACAGCTCAGCGTAGGTGGCAGCGACGACGGTGCTTCGTGCTGTTCGCATTTGACAACATTTGCAGTCATCTGCATAGTTACAGCTCCATGTCCGCAGAACTCTCTTCCCACCGTCCTTTCGTGAGACTGCACTACTGGAGTACCCATCACCGAAAAACTCCATATCTGGCAAATGGTACCCGAGGGTCAAGCAGCAGCAGTGAAGGCCAGGGGATCTGAGAAAACAGCTGCAATGATCCATCTTGGGTGATTGAACTTGCCGGGTACGGAGAGCAGTTCACGATGTAATGGTCTTAGACGTGGTCTCGACAGCAACGCGCCCCAAAGCCCCGGTTTGAACGAGGGTAGTTACGTTGCTTTCCCGAGACCGGCCATGTCTGTACCCATGAGCTTGAGGCGTACGTGATTAATGAGTTCGGCGCGAGACATGAAGACGTCTTGGCCGTGAAAATCTGAGCGGCCGGTTTGCGAAGCACCCTTGGCAACCGTGAGAAGTATTAACCCTTGTCTCTGATTCGTTCTCTTCTCCGTCGTATGAACCTCCATATCGGCAGGCTTGCCGAAAATGACATGAATCTACAAAGCCCATTCTTCTCGATCATCACTTGCCGACACAAAAGGCTCGTCAATAAGACGAACAGCCATTTCACTACAGAGCACACTAGAAATAACGGTCAGTGGGGCAATGTCACGGTCTAAAGAGAGATACATACCAAGCCGACCCGACAAGAGCATCCAACTCCCTTATCGCTTTCTCCCTCTTGGGTCCCAGACTGGCGCCCTTGCTCACTTCCGTCTGCAATTCGGCAATGCGCTTCCCCTTCGCAATCCCCGCCAGCTCAACCACCTTCTTCGCCAAGCAATCGCTGTGAAATGCGTGCTGACAGGGGAATACGAAGAATTGGCGTGCCAGAAGAGGAAGTCCACATACATAACATCGCTCGCCCGGCTCCACGATTGCGTACCGTTGCTCCAGCGCCTTGATGTCCGCCTTGATATGGGTAGCCGTCTCTTCGCTCTCATCCATCTCCTTCTTCAGCTCGTCAATCTTCCGCGAGTACTCCTCCAGCGCGGCGCATATCTCCTCTTTGAAATCATCTATAACGACAAAGTCCGGGAAGAAGGGTATAAGGTCTTCGATTCGTAAGAGATCGACCCGTCGGAGGAATTCTATTGCCGTCTTGATGCCGGAAGATTGCGAAATCACCTTCTTCGCTATGGCTAGCCAGAGTTTCTTCCGCAATGCAGGGTCCGTCTCTGAGCGATCGGCGACCTTGCTTGCCAGATCGACTTCGTCGTATTTCAAGGCGAGATCGACGGCTTGCACATATTGGCCCATCGAGCTGTAGATATGAACGCATGATTGCACACGCTTATGCTGTATACAGAGGCGGAGTGCAAAATCGGCATCGTAGTTCTGTTCATGGGCATACGACTGGGCCTCGAGGTAACTGAGAAGAGCCGATTCGTCGGTAGTGTCATTCGATGCGTACAGGGATATAAGGGTGTTGTGGACTGCAGCATCGGTTGACTGATGCTGATTGATTTCGAAGAGTAGGTAGCGAATTGCTTGGTTCTGGCTCAGTTTTGCCTTCGTCATGTTGTTGTAGTTGAGGAAAGCAGGTATCAGCTTTTGGCAATCTAGATTTGTTTGCCGCATCAATATTTCGACAAACTCGACTGGTGCATGTGCCATCAGGACGCTGCTATACTTGTAGAATATTTCAGGGTCAGTCTGCTTCTTCAGGACGTCAAGCGACTCTTGCCATCTCTCTCTTTGAACCCAGTATGACAGCACATAGTTGTAGTCATTGATGACGGTAGCAAAGTAAAGTAACTCCTCTTCCCGTCCATGACTGCTGATGATCTCGTACACCGTCTTGCGGTCAAGGTCAGTCTTGTACTTTGAAACGAAGTCCTGATATTCTTTCCGAATCACGGAGAGCTGGTCCTGAGTCTCAGCTGTATTCATGCTCTCGGATAGTTCGGCCTTCGTTGTAATGGTGTCATCCAGAATGTTGAGCTTCGCCATATATATCTCGATAAGCCAAGTCGCCACCATTACACGCTGCATGATCGAAGATTTTTTCAGTGTGGAAATTTTTGTCACAAGGTACTTCCGCAACGCGTCTTGTTCTCCATTATCAATGAATGTGAGTGCCACTTGTTCAAATGGCTTAGTGCTCCGGCCGTACACTGCCGCTGCTTCCAGGAATTGTCCCTTAGCAACCAGGTAGTCCCCCGAAGCAGTCGCCACTGCATCTTTCTGGGCCGATGTCTTTGCGAATTGCGACGCCGCTTCAAACTGTTGATTTTTCAAGAGGATCTTCCAAATATCGCGGCTTTCGTCTGTTATGACGATTTCAAAGATCTCTCGCGTAGTGAAAAGCCAGAATGTGTTCTTTTTGATGTCGGCCACGAGTCCTAGAGCGGTTTGGCCCGGCTCAAGGACCGTCTGATCCAACACAACAGTATCGTCGAGACGGTTGATTGCAACAACTCTTCCTTCTACAAGTTGGATGATATGCCACTGACTCAAAATCATGGAGCTGACCGCATCTTGAGACTTTCTGGTCCGTCCACTGGCCGTCTGAGAAGGGGGAATTGCGGATCTGGATAGCATCTTCGACTCTGCTAAAATCTTTCCTCCCAACTCGGTAGTATCCTGGGAAACGTACAGCTTCCCATGAAGCACGCCTTGCGATGTAAGCCATCCAAATACGCGTTCAGAGTTGGAGTGTTCCAGAGTTGGTGTATCCTGTGACTCCGGGGAGACCGCAAGAAGCGAACGCGCCGACGGAGCCACATTCCCAACCTCATGTACGGTTGCGCTTTCCGTGTCGAACAGTTTGGAGAATATCGAACCGCTGCCCTCGTGCCCATGCCGCCCTACTTTCCCCGCAAAGTGCAGGAATGTGGATGGCGTGGCTACAATCACCCGTCTGAGGTCTGCTCTCCCCGGTATTACATCCGTCCACAAGCCAGTCACAGGCCCATCATTCGTCTTGTACACGCCTCTGAGATACTTCTCCTCCCGCCGGTAGAACTCGGATGACGGCTCTATGTATACCTCGTAGACATTCCCGTCCGACGCTCCCACGAGAATCTCCCTGGTCGACGCCGTAGGTTGTGCAGGATTCCATGCTATACTCTCAATCGCGACCCCTTTCAATCTCGAAAGCGCCTTGGGCGTGCGTGACTGTGTATGGAGATAGTAATTCTCTGCGAGAGTCGTGGTGATGATCAGATGCGATGCGGAAGGGTCTAAGAACAGGCGTTTGATTATTCCAATTTCGCTCGGCTTCTTGGGCAGGTCAATGTCTGGGCGAATCAGTACATGACAAGTGTCACAGACGCGTTCAGCTACGGACCGTCGATGTCGGCTGGCTGGTCCAGGTCTATTCGGAGAATCCGCCCAGTCGACAGAGCTAGTATCAAGACATTATTTGCTACTTCAGCAGCGACAAAATCGGAGGATACGGCGAACTGTAGCGAGACGCGCTCGATGTTGAACATGGGAAGCGACGGGTCGAGCTCCTCGCCCGGCGCATAGCCGGAGGTGGTATCAAACGCCATGGGGTCAGCCACCTCTAGAAAGGTCGTGCATGGTTTGCAGAGAGGACGGTCCTCTTGCACAATATATGCGTGCTGGGCGCCCGTCAAATCCCAGCGTGTTGTTGCAATGACGCCTGATGGATAGCTCCAGTCGGGAACCCGAAGATTATCCGACCATGGAAGCCCGAGCTTTCATGTTGTCTTGGCACACGTGACATGGTTATTCACTCTCTACTCCTGGGTCGTCAAGTGGAAAGGCGTTGTATATTCCCGGTTACACGTATTTCGTGCTAGACCTTAACTTCTGTTTATTCTACTGTGCGTCCTCTGGTTATCATTCATCTTCCACTCCCCCTCTAGGCGCTCCTTGCCAATGATACTGAATCCAACCATGCTACGTCTGACAAAGCTCTTGGAATCTTGAAAAAGGAACAAACACGCTCCATGCCACAAATTCTCTATACCACAATTTCCATGCCCCAGCATCTTACCACCCGGCTTTTCGTGAGGCCAGTAGGCTATCAAGCACCCGCATAACCAGCTAATACCTCAAGCCTTCCCATCCGAGAACTGCACAACCGCCCACTTACCACTCCAGGCCCACTTCCTCGCTCCGCTATCACCCCCACCTCCCTCCGTAGCCTTGATCCTCTCGTCCTCGCCCTCAGGAAGTCCGACCACAACATCGGCTTTGCAAGTCCGCAACGCAAGGACGCGGATACCTGAACCCGGTCCCAGCGGCCCAATTGCTTCTGCGAAGGGGGTCGTTGCTGGCCAGGCCGCCTAGTGCACGCGTATTAGCCATCGGATGAAGAAATATCAGAGAGGACAGTCACTTACATCGGCAGTCAATTTTCTGTAATTCAGATCGCCCTTAAAGATAACGAGTTCGCTCTCCTTCAGATCCTCCAGCAAGCTGGGCTCGGTCTTGGGTAGCCTCCAAAAGCTTCCTCCGGCGGTCCAGAAGGTGTTGGGGCGAAGTACAAGCTGTCCCTCTGCGTGGAACCGACTCCAATGCTCAAAGAGGAATTTGAGATTGGAAACCTCGGGCTCGGACAAAGGAGACGGAGCGGAGCCGGAGTGCTTGTCATCATCCGAGAGGGTACTGTAAAACTTCTGGGGATCCGCCAGTGCGGATATAAGAGCAGCGAAATCCTGAGGCAGGACATCGGAGACAAACCAGGGAATGGATTTCGGGTGAAGGACGATTGTGGTGGCCAGGCCAGCAGCGAGCAGGTACCCAGCTAAGATGAGGTCGACGAAAAGCTCGAAACCAGCATTGTCGAGGACGATGTCCACTCTTCGCTCCTTCTTGCCCGATCTCTGAGCAGCGGTAAGAACATCGAACGCCTTGCCCAAGTGGTTGACGATGATGTTCTTTTCCGACGCTTTGCGAGCCTCTGAACCTTGGAGCTTCTGTATGTCTTCGTACGAGAGATTTGTCAGGAGAGACAGATCGGTCGCGTTGCCCCATAGGCAGATCTCGCACATTTCCGTGAACAGGATCTTCTCCGCTTCCTCCAACTCCTCCTGATTATGGACCCCTTTCAGCGTGTGCTTTGATTCCAGCTCCGTCACGATGTCTTTATACCGGGCCGCTAGCTCAAGGACAGCAGGTCGAGAGGATTTGAAGGTGGACATCTTCTGGCGAGCAAAGAGATCGTACGACTTCCATTTTTGCGTGTGTTTGAAAATGCTCGATATGCGTCTAGCTGGGGGTGTTAGTGCATTCAGTGACCTCATGCGATAGCAGGTGCAAGTACCTGTAAAGGTAGCATTCTGAGTACAGCCATGGTACAAAATGCCACTTCGGGTTCCCTAGAGCCTCTAATTCCTTGTTGTACGCTGCAATATCCCCTTCACCATCATCTGGTATGGGCGAAAGTTTGCGGTCATGTTGTAGTTCGTATTTCAGCCTCGCGAGCTCGGAGACGATCCATTTCCCCTCTCTGATCAGTTCCTCGTCTTCTGAGGCCCAGATGGATCGGTGAACGTCATCAATTCCTTGCGTGATGATGACCGGCCAGCGTTCGCGAGCGGATACATAGGCGAAGGATGTCGCATCCCCGGTGCTATACTGGGCTTTGACGGTGTTAGCACGAGATATCAATTCAGAATTGGAGCATACTTACGCGTTTTTGGTTCAAACTCCATCTTTTTTTTTGCTTGTGACGTTTTCCCTTGAGCTTCCCAGGTACGACACGTCCCACGGATTGATATAGCGCGGGGTGGTGGGGGTGAACTATTTTTGCAGGGATGTACCTCCGGTCGGTATACTCAACGGGGGCTAGCTTAGGACGAGGACAGTCGTGCAATTGGGACTTTGCCGTAGACCTGACGTCCTCAATACCCTATTCTGAAAACCTTAACGGCAGCATAACCGTGTATCGACAGAAGGCTTCAAATACGCTTTGCAGAATGTAGTAACACCTACCTATATGGAGGCGGGAGTGTCGCCTGCTCTGTCTAGCTGAATCCAGTGGCCTATCGACATAAAGGAACAGCGGAAACCAACACATTTGTAAAAGTTAGGCAGAGATTCTTATTCGTGGAAACTGAGTAGAAGTCGAATGCAGAAGCTTGCGAAAATGTCTTAATGCTGTCTAATGACATATCTTCCTTTATATTCCACCGTTGTAGCGTAGCAGACATTGATATGATAGTGCATTACTTTGACGACTGCGAACGTGCAACTTTCTAGCTGCTATGTCCCGAACACTGGCTGTAATATAGGATAGGCTTGACGGTACTATTCTGGGCTCAAGATCAAATACTCAGCTTCCTGCGGACAATACGCGGTTGAAACCATCACCTTCCCTCACATATCGCTTCCTCTTCAGATGTGTTCAATTGAATTATACCTGCCTCCCCTATTCAAACAAACTCCCAATCTCCTATCCCCCTATCCCAACTCTCTCTAAATCTCAAGAATAATTAGCCACATGCCCACCAGGCAGCACATCCAACCACCCATCAATATCCTCCACGACCGCCTCGGGCACACTCCCACTACACTTATTCATCTCCTCAATACTCTGCAACTTCGCCCCCTCGCAATTGACATAACACTTTGTATCCAGAATCTTCTGCAAGCTATCGCCCTTCCAGCCAAACACGTAGTCTCCGTGATTCCCGTACCCCGTGCCGTCGCCGAAGCTCCACACGAAGGGTTGGCTGCCGTCCGCGGGCCACTCAGCCGGGTCGTTGAACTTGGACGTATCCCAGATTACCTCGTACATCACTTGGGAGACGCGGACGGGGTGGGTCGAGGGGCAGGGCCCGCCGGATTCGAAGGTGCCGGACTCGGGGTAGGCCATGTGTGACCTGGACGTGTCAGTGTATCTACAATACCAATGGCATATTGGCAATGGCCTTACATATGGTCGGGACTATCAAGGTCCACGCCATTCCAGCAGGTTGGAAAGCGAAGCGAAGTCATGATGCCGTACTTGCATGGCCGGGCAGGGAAGGCGACAGTCTCCTTGTCCCGCGTGCCAGCATTGTCCATGCAGGTGTAGGTGAGTTGGCGGAAGCGGGCCGCTTGCGCCTTGTTTCGCGCATTGATGTCGCCAACGAACATGCGGAAGCCCTGAGCAAGTAGATGTGTTAGCAAAGCTTTGTCCCTTTTCATCACGAGCCACACAAGTGGGATGGGATTTGCCCAGGTGCCAAACTGTATCAGCTAAGAAGACAGAAGCACTTACCGGCTGGAACGCCTTCACCGAGCTAAGCTGCTTAGTGTCATACAGCGGATCCTGCATGTAATAGACCGTCATGCCGCCGCCCTTCGCGCCTTCAAACCCAGCATTGGCCAACTGCGGCACCCGCTTGTACGTGCCGTTCCTCGCCTTGAAGTACAGGATGGCGGTCCAGTAGTTGGAGAAGTCCTCTGCGAATTGGCACGTCGTGCATGTAGATTCGCCTGGTATGTCCTTGGTTTTGGGGTCCATGGTTGCGTTGAAGGAGTTCTTTATGTGGGATTAGCCTCTGATGCTGTTGGAAATCGGGTAGCAGGGGATGATGGCGATGCTGTGGAAGAGATGGGGAACTTACACCGCCAACGATCTGATGAACATGAGGAGAGGGAATGAGACCCGGGTTTACGAGGGGATCGAGCCGTTCTCGCACAAGCTGCGAGCATTGGAAGCGGATAAGTGCACTGGTGGGAGCGGCAGCAAATGCCAGGATCAGAGTAGACCAATGCATTTTGGCTTCAGTAACAGTCTAAGCCACTCAAACCGATCAGGGGTACTCGTGACCAGCAGAGGGAGGGACAGAGAGGGCGAGGTGTGTGTACCGAGGGTGTATCTGAGCGTATAAAAGACGACGTCCAAGCCGGTAGTCCCCAAGCCCAAGATCTACAAGTATGATAAGTTGCTTAGAGAGAATAGTGGAGTCCGGAAGACTGATGGTACTCTTCCGGAGCAAATGCCGACCAAAGTACAAACACTGGATCCCAGTGCATTTGTTGGGGATGCCATAGGCCCCATCCTTGGATAGAACCATCTACGATATTACCCTCCCGTACTCCACTCCAGGATGAAGCGGCTATCGCACGTGTATAATTCGTCCTAGATTGAGTGCGTGGTCCAGCACCAGGGCTCTACGAAGCAGCCAAGAATCGAGAAGGTTGATGATACAGGGAGGCAAAACCACTGGGCAGGCGATTTGAATACATTTGATGCAAGTCCTGCATCCATGGTATACTTCTTTCCAAAACGACAAGTGCGAAGAAGTATGGTTGAGGCAGCGTAGAGATGACCCCGGCTTCGTATGAAAGCATCCACTAATCAACGTTAGCGACTAATATACAACAAATATGCAACTCTATGCGGCAGTTATGGTTGTACGACCTCCACATCCTCAGCAATTGTTATGTGTACCCGAAGTGTTTCCATTAAGCCGAAAGTGGGGAGCTGAAGGCAAAGTAGAGAATGTTGACGAAGTCGCGGCTGGGTCCTGGCTACGATGAACTTTCGACCTGGATCTGCATATATGAATCGTGAGAGTGTAACAATAGATATTGGGAAAGGGATTGCTCGCCAACATTGCCATCCACCGCTTCTTCTACTGCTGTTTTACGCATCAGCAGCAATGCAGTTCCTGAAACCTACTTTTCTCGCTCTTCTCTTCAGCCTGAGCGTAGCAGCTGTCCCTGCAGCACAGCCCGAGGAGTACGCATGTCCTACGGATGATTACGCCTGCCACGATGTGATCAACTCAAGCTTGTGCCTGTCTCAGAATGCGGCAAGCGGTACAAAGGAGGCCATGGCCGCTTGTGTCGATTATCCTGGAGGCATGAGCGACTTGCCGGGTGCAGCAAAAGTGAGTTGCCTCCGGGTAACGGCTATTCAGTGAGTTGACTGACGTGGTTTGTAGCTGTGCAGATGTCCAGGCTGTCACTCCGCATCTATAAATGCAGCCATCGCAAGGAATTTTCCTCCGCCGTGCGCATAGACAGAAGCATGCGTTCGTCAATAGCTGAAGTGTGTTTATGCGACGAAGTCCACGGTGTTAGTGGCACGGCCGCACTCCCCAAGAGCGCAAGACCCGCGAACCGCACAGCTGGAACTCAAGAAAGGGCAACATCAATGCCAATGAAGAATGATGAGGATAGTAATGGGTTTATTGGAAGGGGGTATCATGTATTATGCAGTGCGGAAAGGAAAGAGGAAATAAATATGTGCCGCTCTTCATCTCAACGCTTGCTGTGAACATGAGAGAGAACGCCTGCTGCCAAGTGCTGAAACCGATACATGGAACTGTAGTACGAATGTGGCCCGAGATACTTGACCGAAAAACAAACGCTCACGCGGAGGGGCGTGGGAGCGGGCAGCACCCCGGTGAGCGCCAAAGTATGTTAAAACGTCGGCCTAATGCGAGCGGTGTTGAACCTCCATCATAATGTCGTAACCGTCAACATGGATGCATTGCATGAAATGGCAGGAAAGATGCGCTGCGTTACAATATTGATGTCATCAGCTAAAGAATCCCATGCGCGGGCTCCAGGTATCAGCTGTGGGCTTGGGATTGACGACGATCTGATACGGGAACGGATTCTGATCGGTCGTGGTAATCGGGGGTATATGGTCCTTGTGTTGGTTGACAATGTTGACAATCTTGAACGCGGCTTTCTGCAATGATTTGGTCATGGCTCGACGGACCTTGAGTACCTCTGATACATGCGACGTTAGCACTTCTGCTCTCAGGAAAAAGAAATGCGCGTGCTCACCAGTCTCTGTCCGAGGGGTTGCAAGAGTAACATCAAGCGTCCACTGCTCCCAGCACACCTCCTCATCCGCTTTTCCAAAGAAGTAGCTCTTGCGTCGCTTCTTTTCGAAAAACTGAACTGCTAGCTGTCCGCGGCCCCTCTGCTGATGCGTGCTCTCAATCGCCCTGACCAGCGCCGCCGTGCGCTGGTCAATGAGCGTTTCCAAGTCGACGTCGTCTATAGCGGGCAAAGTAAGGTCGAGGAGGTCGCGGGTGAGGGGCGATATGGACGTGAAGTAGCGGTGGAAGAAGATGGTATGGAGAATGGCTGGATAGTGGGGGTCAGCAAGGAAGCGGAAGAACAGGAGGATTGGGAAGCAGCGCAAGAAGGGAGAAGGGCAGAATGCTTGGGCGCACCTTTTACGACATCCTTAACGCACGCAGTGTCTGCAAAAACCTCGAGAATGTATTCCGGAGGCCGCCTTTGTTCCATGATTGCATTTGCGCAGGTCCACTGAGGACCCCGCTATGTAGGTGTCGTCGGATTCTGCGCTCCCCAGTTGTCGAACCGCGCGTGCGCACTCTTTGTAGAGTGAGGAAGAGATCGTCAATGTAGAGTTTGCCAGGGGCCGGGTGACGGTCAAGACAATGCTGTTTGTTGTGGTGGATATTTAGTTGCAATGTGTCGTCAGGAATGGAAGTCCGAAGGGGCTTTCCGAAGCTGAAAATCGGGGCGGCGGGGCGGGTTCGCGGGATACGCAGCACCCGTCAAACCACGCAGGTGGCAGGATCATCTACACAGTACTTCTATGTCTTCCGGATAGATGAAAAACCTGCTCTGCGCTCCCTCGACGAGGAGTTGATGGATAAAGGACATGAACGCCACAGCATATGACACTAGAAGGGCAGATGATGTCTGACATCATGCTACCAGCCCGCCTAGCTGGCATGAACAGCTGAGAGCTGAGAGAGCTCCGGCCGCGCGGTCAAGTGCCGCTTACCGACGGGATACACGGGGCATCACGCTGGCCGCTAGGCTGTGTTCACAGCCATGAATCTGTGCTGAGACATTCATCTTGTCGGCGGCCAAGCAGGGGCGCTGGCAATGTCAACGGACAACCTTCGGAGTAACCTCATGGTGAACAGATGAGTGAATGCCAAGACCGGAGAATTCATTCGCCGACTTCAGATGGAACGCGTCGACGCGACTTTCGAGTCTCAACGTCCCAGCTTTTGCGTCAGGGTCGCCAACCGGCCAGAATATGCTGAGTGGGAAGCGGAAACGACCTGCCCAAGAGCCAGAGGAAAGCACACCGAGAAGGCTGCGCTCCGGAATTCCGCAGAAGCAGTTAGACGAAGAGCAATCCGGACACGTCCACACCCCTTCTAAAAGCACAAGAGCGTTGAACCAGGTCGAGGATGGCACCCCTCGGTCGATTCTGAAGAAGCCCGGGACTGTGGAGCATCGTAATGGACTTACCCCCAAGTCGAATCGCAAGCTGTTGTTCGAAACCCCCACAAAAGGAGGTGAAGATGACACTCCGAGTGCGACTCCCACGCGCGTTCGGAATGCCGATCGAAGTGCAAGGCGAAAGAGCACTAGACGCCTACTGTCAAGAACGATAAATGGAGCCGAGACCGACGAAGATGCATTGGAGGAGGAGGAAATCCTGGCACAACAGATCCTCAGTGACAATGAAGAAGACGAGGAGCAAGGGGTCTTGGACACAGGTGTAGGAGATGAGGATATACCAGAGACGCCATCCAAGCGCGGCAAGGGAAGGCCAAAGGCCTCGGGCAAAGGTCCTGGCCGGCCTCGAAAACCGCGCTCGCCTACTCCACCGCAAGACCTCCCTCCGCACGAAGAATACTTTTGGCAGAATCGACCGGGCGGCACCAAGACGTCCAACAACACGCTGCCTTCCCAGAGCCTTCTGAATCATGACGAGTATTTCCAGGCCATGCAGACGTACGAGGATCGACACCAAGCTGAGACGGACTTTCTGCTCGGCCTCCATTGCCGAGCGTTGGACCAGTGGACCTTCGAGCTTGAGGAGGGCTTCAACCTTTGTTTATACGGGTACGGGTCAAAACGCCCTCTTACAGAGCGATTGGCGGCCCATCTGTACGATCATCTCAGTCAGCACGGCGCGTATCGCCGGTCCAATAAAACGCCGAAAATCGTGGTCATCAACGGATATTCCCCTACAACGACGCTCAAGGAGATCCTGACTACTATAGCCTCAGTACTTGTTCCGTCCCACTCGAAACTTCCGAACCAGCCGTCATCTTTGCTGTCTTACATCTTCGAACAACTTCAAGAAAACGCTCCCCCGCATCCGGTACCCCTGATCATCAACTCCATGGACTCCCTTTATCTACGAAGAGCTCCCATCCCTGCAATGCTCGCAAGCCTGGCCGCACAACCTTGCATTAACCTCGTCTGCACGGTTGACACCCCCAACTTTCCGTTGCTGTGGGATGTGGGCTTGAAGGCGCAATTCAAATTCCTATTTCACGATGCGACAACATTTGCGCCATACGACGCAGAGATAGATGTCGTCGAAAGCGTCAATGAACTGCTTGGCCGCAGTGGAAGAAGGATTGGCGGAAGGGATGTCGTGGGCTTTGTACTGCGATCTCTGCCCGAAAATGCGCGTTCTCTGTTCCGCATACTGGTCACTGAGCAGCTGGCCCTGCTTCTTATGGACGGTAATTTGGCCGGAGAAAAAGAGGACGGCGTAATCGCAAATACGCCACGCAGCAAGAGCAAGAAACCTGCCAGCTCCGATACAGTGCAAGGCGTCGAGTATCGCGTTTTGTATCACAAGGCTGTGGAAGAGTTTGTCTGCTCCAGCGAGGTTGGCTTTAGAACTTTGTTGAAGGAGTTCCACGATCATCAAATGATTGAAAGCAGGAAAGACGCTATGGGAACAGAGTGGTTGGTGGTTCCGTTTAGGCAAGAGGAGCTGGAAGCTCTCGTCGAAGACCTCTCAACAGATCCCCTTTGACCGCAATCTGAGCCATGATTCCATCGTATGGCTTCGATATCACGGATCTAGATCTCTTCAGCATTCCTGCACTGCGTCCTCGTTTTCGCGTCACATATCGATACCCCCTTCTCTTTTCGCATGGCTGGTCACGAACGCGATGGAATGTAACTAGCATATATACTCCCTTGGCATCATTTCAATTGTCGTCACTCACTTCTCAACGAGTCATCCTCACTATGCGCCGCCTGTCAATTCTTCCCCTGCTCCTGAGTGCTTCGCGTATAACATTCGCTCGTGATGGCGAGGATGGCGCTTCCATAACTGAGGCTGCATTGCTCTCCTGCGCGACTGGGGCGGCGCAATCGTAAGACTAATACTGTTTTAAAGAGCGCTGATCTAACTGGGGAGGAGGAGCTACGACTCGTGCTATTCGTCCTTCGTTTCCCGTATCGATCAGTGCGAGAAAGACGACTTCGGATGCGCGTGCAGCCTTGTGCGATCGAGCATCGGGTACGTAACTCGTCTCCCTCACCGCTTGCTATCCCCTCACATCGTCCCCAATGTAAACCATCATACCTTCCTCAACCGCCTCCTAACATGTCCCAGGTGCATCACCTCCCACTGCCCCACCCACACGACCGCCCTCCGCGCCGCCTCCTACCTCCTTAACGGCCTCTGCAGCGCCTTCGACACCCCGCGAACTGATTTCACAAGCTTCGCCTGGCCCACGTCTCTGGTGTCGGACCTCGAATCCCTGATGCCCATCGACTCCATCGTCTCGAGCCAGATGCCGCATTTCATCCCCAGTGAAGTGCCGTTCCTCAACGCAGGCAGCGAGAATGAGTCTGGCAGTCCAGCTGCTTCTGGTGAGAATGCGGGAGCGCAGGGTACGTCTACGACGGAGGCGGCGCAAGGGGGGAATGCGTTTAGGACGGCGGAAGAGGGGAGTGTGCGGAGTCAGAGTGGGGGTGCGGCGTATGCAGGGAGAGGGAGAGGGAGAGGAAGAGCGGTGGGTGGAGGTGGGGACTTGTTGAGTGGGTTTCTGGGTGCTGGGATCTTGGTGGCTGTGACGGTTGGGGGGTTGGCGGCGTTGCCGTAGGTGAGGTTATGAGAAGCGGGTTGGGGTGAGGGGAAAGTTGGATGGGATGAGAGAAGAAGAGGTTTGGTGGCGGGCTTGGGTGTGTTGGTGTGGTGGTCTGTTCTTAGGGACTTGGTTTTGGTAATACTGTGTATTTATGTACGGTTTGGTATGTAGTCTCATTCAAATTTGACTTCTAGTCACGGCCTTTGTCGACATCATATTGTAGAGCATGGGCAGAGAGCACCTTCCTTATGCTCAAACCTTAGGACATAGACTACGTATGTTTATTCGGTAGGAGTCTCCCAGGCTTTTGAAATATGCAGCACGAGGGAAGACTTGATGAGTGTTGTGTAGGGAGCGAACTTGCGAGTCGCTCCAGCTACGTTCTGTCATACCTTCCCTTAATCGCCGCACGGCAATCTTGCCGTCAACCTTAACTTGTCACGTATCAAGATTCAACCATTCCAACGATGAAGCAGTGACAGTCCATCCCAAATAATCTTCAAGCGACTCCGACCTTGTTGATGGGCAAGTATCGCGGTTGGTGGATCCAAGTGAAGGTGAGCGATCGACTCCAGAGATGACATCAATGTAACCTGTAACCCCAATCATAGAATTATCCTCCATCTTCTCCTCTACCGGATTGTGCAGAGAACGCTCCTCGAGCCTCGGAATGTTATCATCTGGTGTTTGACCTGAGCTAGATCATTTCGGCTTGAAACAGGCCCAAGACTCCTTGTCTCTGCTCCCACATCTCATATCATCCCATTCTAACATCCTGTTCCTAGGAGGACTGCGAGTGCTAGGCTCAACGCGGATACCAGACCAACAGCAAGGCCAAAAGCTCAACTAATACCATCTTCAGCCTATATATATCGAGAAACGCCACGACGACCTACTAGAGGTACCGCGAAACGAGTTGCAACAGACGCTTTGAACTCGGTCCGGATGACCACGACCAGCCACACGGACCACAATTCGGGACTCTCCAACCAACTTCGCAAATCCGACGGTCGCACCAATTCAACCCCACTTCGCTTCGCGCCCGCCCGACCAGCCGCGAACACACATGTCGGTTACAGCCGCCCACTCATACCACTAACTATATAAAAAATAAAATGGTCCTAATTACCATCAAAGCGAAGACCGGCTGGCGCAATGGTAGCGCGTGGCCCTCCTAAGGCCAAGGTTGCAGGTTCGAGTCCTGCGTCGGTCGCTTCTTTTTTCTCGTTCCGGTTGCTCTGTTCGTTCTTTCTTGGCAAGGAGTTGCGAGATTTGAGTTGCACATTCGAGTTTGATTTATTATTATTTATTTTTCTTCTTCTTTTATTTTTTCTTTCGGGGTTTTATTCTAGAAATTGACCATTGCACATATGATTCAGTATCCGTAGCGCGGCAAAGGCCCAGCGCCGGCTCCTCGCCGCACTGATGAGATGTGAGTGGGGTTGGCCTGCAAGCAGACACTCAAGTAACTTCAGCATACGTTCCCAGTCATTAGCATCCGCATCCGCAACACAATCTGATCACATAATTCATTTGCTCAAAGCATCCCTCTACAAGAGACCTCAGAGTTACACCTCAACTCCATAGTATGCTATATATAACCCCACGACAACACCAAAACACATTGCAGGATCCAACCGCTGGACCACCCCGGATTCCAATGCTGTCGGAACTACCCAAGACGCAAAACTCCAAGTGATGCTTGGAAGCTCCCTTCCCGACTCACGACTCTCGTCTAGTTCTATACTCCACCTCTGCCTCAACGAGATCGGCATCCTCCTTCTCCTCATTGACTCTGAGCGTCAACCAGGCAGCGACGATGGCGCAGCAGCCGCCGAAGCGCAGGACCCAAGCTACGCTATTGTCGCCTGGAGACCCTCGTGGCTTCTGGAGCATCTTGAAGATGAAGGAGCTCACGAGTGTAGCGATGACCTGCGGCGCAGCGATGGCCACGTTGTGAATGCCGAGCACGACGCCGGCCTTGTCTGAGTTCTCCGCGCTCGCCTCATCCTCGCCCGAGGCGATGAGTGCGGCCTCTCTGCTCGAAGGACGCAGCAGGCCGCGGCGGATGGCATCGCGCTTCGAGATCTCCGAGGAGATGAGAGCAAAGGGAGCCCAGTTGGTCAGAGTCCACGGGATGCCGATGAGCGCAACGAGGATGCTTGCGGTCAGCGTGCTGTTGACGAGGAAGGTGAGAGCCATCAAAACGGCAAACATGACGTGGGAGATCAACCAGGCGCGGCGCAAAGTGAGACTCTGAACCTGCAGCATGGCCATGTATTCCGCGATGCGAGCAGAGACACCGCCTCCTTGGTGCTTTTCCGGCTGTCTTAGAGAAAAGTACCCTGAGCCTGACATAGACACAGGGGTGCTCGGGGCCATGGGCGTCATTGGTGTCCTGGGAGACGTATTGCCTGGTTTTGGTGGCTCATAGGTGGGAGGGATGATGAACGGAAGGATAACCGATGCGATGAAGGTTGTAATAGCGAAAATGAGCAGCGCGCGCGTTCCGATTCTAGTCGCTTCTTCCCATATGTGGTCTATTTCTTCGTCCGTCATGTTGGGGTTGGCCTCGAAGTAAGGTTCTACGTATATCTCACCAACATAAGTCGTTATGTAGAAGAGGAAAGGAAACCAGCCGATCCAGGCAAAGAATTGAACCTCGCAGACTCTTTTGATCTGATCGGGGAGGGTTCGCACAGACTTGTAAAGGGATTTGAAAAAGGCCAAAACGCCATCCTGTGTCTCGGGAACATGTCCATCGAAGCGCGGGTCCCGTTCCTGAATCGTGAGGCAGCTGATGGCGACTGTGACGGCCATGATGAAGGAGGCGATGGCGCAAAGGACTTTGAACTGACTGCCTCCAAGCCAAGGGAAGTATTTCGGCAACTTCACATTGCCCGCTAGATAGCCTAGTATGTTGCCAATACCGGACATACGGATCATCCAAGCGTTTGCGGATTCTTGCTGGTGCGTAGGGGTGCAGTCGACGATGAAAGCGCGGATGCCAGCTTGGACTGACTTTCGTGAGCACAACGCACGATGCCTGGGTTCCATCATAGCACTTACTGACGTTGATTGCAAAGTCAAGCACGTAAACCATAACAACTGCGAAAAATAATACGGTATCTTTAACCCATTGTGAGTCTTGGCTAGCACCAAAGATGCCCAAGAAGCCGCCTATGATCTCCCGGACCCATGCCAGAAACATGAGGGAAATGATCGTGGCTATTGCCCCACCCACGATGAATGGTCGCCGCCTCCCCCATCGTATCATGCAATTGTCACTTTTTAGGCCCACATAAGGCTGTACGAGCACGCCGGAGAGGGGTCCGGCGATCCAGACGAGGGCGAGGAGCGACTTGCTGACTCCGAGGGAAAGCAGATAGGGCTTGCATCTTGTAAGCGACTCCCTCCACTTATTAAATTCATGTTACTCACCGATCCATTCGACGTCTCTACCGACCAGCCAATCTGTAAACCGAGGCCGCCGAGGGTCAACAGAAAAAGATACCAACTGCTCTTGGTCTCGCCATCAGCCTCTGGGTTCCACTCGTCACTCCCCAGAGGGGAAACAACTTTGCCCAGACCCTCCACTTCTCCTGATCTTGTGGGTATAAGCAATGGGGACTGTTCGTTTAAAGAAGGTCGCGGACCCGGCGAGGAACGTCGGAAGGATACGCCCTTGGGCCGTTTGGGGATTTGTATTCGCGGTGGAGTGTCGGCCATATTGGATGTCAAGATGAGGTTGGAGACGGCGAGCAGGCCACTGGTATACCGTTATACGGATCGATAATACTACTCAGTACTAGGTCGCGGGCTGGTGCGCGTGAGTGCTTGTGGGGCAGTTCCAGTCGGCTGCAGCCGGTATGAGCAGGTGACGCACGCGGGGAGCTGAGAGGGACGGTCGGCGCGGTCCGCGACTGACGTCCAGCACAGGTGACGGTCTGCTATCGTCCGTGGTGGTGGAATAAGAATCAATGGTGAAGGGACGTTCACCCATAACAGGCTGAGGCGTGACGCTGCAGAAGCCATCGGATGAGGGTTGGCAGTTCGAGGGATTGAGGAGACCAGACAACGGAGTGACGTCGGCAATGCAGAATGCGCTAGTCCATAAATGTACGGCGGAGTCTTGGCATGGAGCATGTGGAAGGCTGGAAGGCAGCCGCTGGGAGCCATAACAGAGCGCGAGTTCGAGGAGGACTCTATTCCGCGTCTCTTTTTACCTAGGTATTCCCCCGTCCCGTCGTATACGATCCAGTCGCGTCGAAAAACCGTCTTCAAGCACCTGCGCAATTACAAACGTCCGGTTTCAATAGCCTGGAAGCCTCCGGCTAGTGACGTCGGAAGTTACAAAGGTGACTTGCAGTGTCAGCCCACACCTGTTGGAGCACCAGCAAGCGGACACCTTCGCGCTTCGCCGCCCTTTTCCAGAAACTCGTCTACCTACCAACCTACCCATGATAGACCGGCTCTGAGGACACGAAATGGCTTCCCAAGCGGCCTGGGCCCTGGCGGAGATTCTCAGTGAGACCCTCAATAGGCCTCCACTTTCGGAACTTGAACTAACCACTCTGTTTCTGGCAGAACGCGAAGCGGACAATGAAGACGATGATGGTCGGTATTCCACGCTGCGAGTTTACGCCCGAACGAACTGACTTCTGCAGACCAGACGGACGCGTCCCAGAAGGAGAAGTTCACATCCTGGGCGCTTTCCATACTCATTGTTCTGCTCATCATAGCACTCTTCACGAGCTATATATTGCAGACACGGAAGATACAAGCGGTGCATGAGACGGTACTGTCCATATTTGCTGGTACGCCGGTCATTCTTTACCTGCGCACTATTAGATGCTGAGTTTGCCAGGAATGGGCGTGGGCCTGATTCTTAGACTATGGGCTCCCGAGTATGTACAAGGCGCTGTGAGCTTTGATTATCAATTCTTCTTCAATCTCCTCCTTCCTCCCATCATTCTCTCTTCCGGCTACGAGTTGCATCAGGTAGGTCCAACCATCCGTGTTACTGTAGAATGCTGACCAAGGTCAGGGCAACTTTTTCCGGCATATTGGCACAATTCTTACTTTCGCCTTTGCTGGCACATTCATCTCCGCGCTCGTGCTTGGTGTGCTTCTCTTTCTATGGACGCAAATGCACATCGACGGGCTCAAGATCAACTTTGTCGAAGCCATGTCTGTCGGCGCGACACTGTCAGCTACGGATCCGGTCACGATTCTGGCCATTTTCAACACCTACAAGGTCGAGCCTAAGCTCTACACGGTCATCTTTGGGGAGTCCATTCTCAACGATGCCATCGCCATTGTGCTTTTTGAAACAGCACAGAAATACAGCAAGGATGCAATGTCGTTAAGCATTCTGAGTCTCTTTGAGGCCTTTGGAGTCTTTCTCGGCGTGTTCTTCGGCAGCTTGGTTATCGGCGTCATGGTCGGAGTGGCTGCATCACTCATGCTCAAGTTTACGTATGTCAGGAGATTCCCGAAGACGGAGAGCTGCCTTATTGTCCTGATCGCCTATGTTACTTACTTTTTCTCAAATGGGATCAGCATGTCAGGTGCGTATTCGGCATTGATTATTTAGCTAGATACTGACATAGCATAGGAATTGTCTCCCTCCTCTTCTGCGGGATTTGTATGAAGCACTACGCCTACCTGAACATGTCGCGCCGAACACAACTAACAACCAAGTTCGTGTTCCAAGTCACCGCTCAATTATCGGAGAACTTCATCTTCATTTATCTTGGGCTTTCCCTCTTCACGGACGACAAGCTGGTCTTCAAACCTCTCTTCATCCTGGTGGCAGTGGCGGGAATATGCGCGGCTCGCTGGTGTGCCGTTTTCCCCCTCGCTAAGGCAATCAACTCCTATACAAGATATCGGCAAAGGAAAGCAGGCCAAGAGGTACGGGATGAGTTGCCCTACTCCTACCAGGCGATGATTTTCTGGGCTGGGCTCCGCGGTGCCGTTGGCGTTGCCCTTGCGGCCGGATTGACGGGCACCAACGGAGACACCCTTCGTGCCACCGTACTTGTCGTTGTTGTGCTGACTGTCATCATCTTCGGTGGCACGACTGCGCGCATGCTGGAAATCTTGGGAATCAAGACAGGAGTCATCGAGGAGATTGATTCCGACGACGAGTTCGACATCGAGGTCATCCATGGTGGCACTTATTCGCGTCACAAGGGACAGGGCTTTGGACATAACCCGCGTATGCATCAGAATGGGTTTGCGCTCACAGAAGTCAACGATGGATCGTACTCAAGCGGGTCACTCAACAGGCACAGTCCGCCCTCTCGGCCAAACCTAGTGGCTTCTAGACGCTCCTCTAGTCGCGCAAAGCGTGCAGACGGCGCTGAACAAGGTTTGCTGAGTCCTGGCGACAGTGGTAGCAACGATGAGGATGACATGGACCTTGGTTTGCCACCGAGTGCGCGACGATCGCCAAACAGAGCCCCGTCGCCTTTGCGGACTCCAGAGCGGTCACCCTACCCGACCTCAGGATCAGCATCGAGAAGTGCTGTCAGTGGCGAACCTTCGCGAGTGGCAAGTGCTACTGGGGCGGTCAAACAGCTCTTTTCCGACATTTCTCAGGATCCCGCGGCGGCTTTCAAGCAGATCGATGAAGGTTTCCTGAAGCCTCATCTTCTATTAGACCCCAAAGGCTCGGGACCTAGCAATGTGTAGGTCCATAGGGTACGGTTTTACTTGGGTGGCGTTGCAATCATTTCATGTCTGTGGGTTTATGTTTTTTGTACATGGTTTGGGTCGCTCTCTCAGAGCACTGGCGTTTTCGGGAGGGGAGCAATATTCCCCATTGTAGTCGGAATGCTGTTTCGCTAGAGATGTCTTTCGAAGACAAAACCCAGGATTCGCGCGGTTTAGTCCACAACGCGATCTGAAGCGTTTCTGGACTCTTTGCGTCTTTCGCTGTTGGGGTCAGGGGCTCTTGAAGATATAAAAGAAATGTTGGATTCGCAGCGTCTGGAGGTTGTAATGGGCACAGGTTGGCCTGTTTAGACAGATTCAACATATTTGCAATGCCAGTTCGTCGACTTCGAAGTCACGTCTAAAGAACTCAGCCTCGATCATGCCTGAAGACATCATCCGAGTTAGAGCCAGCATGAGCTTTTCACAATAACTCACGAACCGAAAAGATCTTGCACCTTTGCATTCACGGAAAAAGTTATCGGTACATACATCCACAAGCTCCAAACAGACGTCGGTCACGTACGTACCTACCCAGGTAGGTCCAGGGTATTACAACGGCCGCCTTTCCGCTTTCGGCTCGCGACAGGGATGTTTCGGGGATAAATGTATTATTAATCACTTTATATTGACCTCTAGACATCAAACAGCTCCAACAACCACTCAGCGTCCGACGCCTCACATGGGAGATCACTTGTTCCATCAATCGACATTAACCCTCCTCAGAATTGTGGCGTTACGCCGCCGCAATCAACCCATTCTCTGGATAAGTCCCCAGAGGCAACTTCAATGTCCAACACTGCCAGTGAGCGTTAATGGTGGCAGCTAACCTGTGGGGAATCTGGTCTAGATGCAGCTGCCGCGAGGGAGATCAAATACCGAATTATGAATCTATTCGGCAATGGCAAGTTCAGTTGCCTGACGTGGTCCTGGTCGCTTTCTCCAGGCCTCACGACATCCCCAGAGTTGGGGTTTGTGGGGACTGGGGTCACCAACACTGGGGAGAAAGACGGGGAAGTCGGAGCATCTTTACCGGAAGGTACATGCACAGTGGCCATCATTCAGAAAATATGCGAGGGTCGCTTGGGGCATCACGGCCAGCATTTCTGCCTTGTTCCGATCGCCATGGCATCACACAAAAGAAGTATCTCGGAGACCTTCGCGCTTCCAGAAACCTTCCATTTCCGATATGGTGGCGCCGAACCGCCCAACCCAGATAAACGCACGAGACAGGCAGGACTAAATGCCTTGGCCACTAGGTGTCGTTGCCATTACCGTGGGATTAAGGTGGGGCATGGTTAGGATAAATGCGCGTTAACAGAGCCTCCAAGTTTCCGGCTTAATTAACTCACAGTATCATGTGTTCGATTTCCTTCCAGAAGGGCTCGTCCTCTCCGGGTAACTCAACGGCGGTACCTGTGTTGCACGGTTTCTCACAAAGCTTGTCATCCTCTCATTAACAAATACTTGAGCGATATTATTCGGCACCGCGACCCCATTCCCTCCGTTTTGTACTATGCCCCGCTGCTCGAAGCGACAGCAATCATCTGAATATTTGTGTTGGATCCAAGTTGCGGACCCAAGCTTTCCGAGTGGTTCGAAACACAGTCCAGTGGGTGTGAGTTCCTAGCGCAAACATCGTAATAATGGCGCTCGAGGGCGATCAGTCGGGCGAACACTGTTGTAACCTGGACAGGACAGTAGCGGAGCCAGCCATCCATCAACTCTGCTTCATTGCCTTAACACTATACACTAGCCAATCATCGCGGATTGGATATCCCAGATCTAATCGACGTGGGTGTTTGTCGTACAATGAAGATCGCGGGGTAGCCAACCTGGGGTAGGGCGGCTCCGGGGCTGCTAACCGTCTCATGTTTACTGTCATTTATTTTGCCGCCAGATGTCATTTGTTCAGCCAAACACAACACCGGGTTTGATATTGTCTGCCAGCAGTATTATCCAGGGTAAGTCACACGGTCCTATCGAAACCCATTGCCAAAGTCTCCAACTTTTGGTAGCAATTATTCTCACTTGCCAAACAGGGCCCTTCATCTGCCAATCTTTGGAGTCAAAGGACTTTCGATATGTGGTACGCGGAGCACTGTTCGAGAATTGCCCGAGAAATCGGTCTTCTTGATCTGGTCTCCGGCCTATACTCCACCTCAGGTCATTCGACTGTGGACCCTGCTATAGTGCATCTTCATACAACCGTTAACGACTATCATCTAAGCCTCACGATGCACACGTCGGTATGCACAGACCCTTGAGCACATTTCTTGTTCCGCAGTTTACGGGCCTGTTTCCTGATGAGCCGCCCGACCACATCGAGCAAAGCGTCAAGGACGCCCCTGTAATCCCTACATGGACAGTCGACGATATATAAGTTGCTCCAACGGCCTCACGAGTTCGACATCGACTCATCCACCACACTCCTCCCCACCTCAGTCGACATCATGAAGGGTTTCATCGCTGCCGCCGCGGCCACCGCCATCACCGGCGCTCTCGCCGCTCCCAGCCCCGTGGAGAAGGGCCCCATCACCGCTCGCGCTCCTGCTGCCGCGTGTGCCACTCCTGTGACCCTCTCTGGAAACCCCTTCGCCTCCCGATCGGTCTTTGCCAACCCCTTCTATGCCTCCGAAGTCAAGGAGGCTGCTGCGCAGATCACCGACTCAGCTCTCGCCGCCAAGGCTCTGAAAGTCGCTGATATCGGTACCTTCCAGTGGATGTGAGTGTGTTCCTCTGCAAACAAGTGCAATCACTGATCATCCTCAGCGACACCCGTGCCAAGATCAGCATCATTGAGGACACTCTCAAGGAGGTTCCTTGCGACAAGCTTGCTGCTTTCGTCATCTACGACCTGCCCGGCCGTGACTGCGCCGCCAAGGCCTCCAACGGTGAGCTGGCTGTTGGCGATATTAACATCTACAAGTCCGAGTACATTGACCGTAAGTGCTCCGTATGAGATATTGGTTTCTCAATGCTAACGGTCCTAAGCCATCGTCGCACTCTTCAAGAAGTACCCCAACACCGCCATTGCTCTGGTCATCGAGCCCGATTCGCTCCCCAACCTGGTCACCAACAGCGACAAGACGGCCTGCAAGAACTCCGCTTCTGGTTACCGTGAGGGTGTCGCATACGCCCTCAAGCAGCTCAACCTGCCCAACATCGCCATGTACATTGATGCTGGCCACGGTGGCTGGCTCGGCTGGAACGACAACCTCAAGCCCGGTGCCAAGGAGCTCGCCACCGTCTACAAGAACGCTGGCTCTCCCAAGCAGGTCCGCGGTTTCGCGACCAACGTTGCCGGCTGGAACGCCTGGGACCTCACCCCGGGAGAGTTCTCCAAGGCCACCGACGCCCAGTGGAACAAGTGCCAGAACGAGAAGCTCTACGTCGAGGCCTTCTCTCCCGAGCTCAAGAGCGCCGGCATGCCCGCCCAGGCCATCGTGGACACGGGCCGCAACGGTGTCCAGGGTCTCCGCAAGGAGTGGGGCCACTGGTGCAACGTCAACGGCGCCGGTTTCGGTCGCCGTCCCAGCTCCAGCACTGGCTCTTCCCTCACCGATGCCTTCGTCTGGGTCAAGCCCGGCGGTGAGTCCGACGGTACTTCCGACTCCAGCGCTACCCGCTACGACAGCTTCTGCGGTATGGAGGATGCCTTCAAGCCTTCTCCTGAGGCTGGTGCCTGGCACCAGGCCTACTTCGAGATGCTCGTCAAGAACGCTAACCCCCCTCTATAAGCGTCTCGTTTGGGAGTGGGAATTCCGTGAGAATGGGGATGAATTTGTAAATAGATGGGTGGGGTGTGGATGGATCTCGTTCGAGCCATTTGGAAAAGCTCTCGCTTATACTATTTCGCTTCGATGTCAATATAGCATAGCTCTTACACACAATATGAGACGCTCTTTCCCCTAGATTGCTTGTCCAATCCGCCAGCGATGATGGTGGGTACCTCCACATGTCTAAAGTGAGCAAATATGGCAAGTGAGTATATTGTCTTCGAAAGCGTGGACTTGCACCTTTTTCAGATACGCTACCGAACAACACTTCTATGTTCAATAACTTGCTCATAGGCAGCCCTCTTCTGCTCTAGAGCTGCCGCTCGGTGTAACAGATTCGTAGAAAGCGCCTTCGTCGTGAGGGAACTGATGGGAACCATCCAGCAGACAATCTCTTTGCCCCGCAACTCAATTTTGAAGTCCTGTACAATACGTACTTCTACTCGAAGAATCTGTCCTTTTCTACTTGAAAGGTGTGGAAAAGAAGGATTATGTATTTTCCAGACATACTCATGAACGATCACACTTACGAGCTCAGGAGGGGAAAAGAACATATGGAACTATCCGGGAGAAGGTGGGTATGATATCGGGCAGTGGAATAGGGCCACAAGAAGCGGGCGCAGCGTGGCACGATGTGGGTATCAACAGACGGTACATCAAGATCCCAGACTCAGCGCGATATTTGGGTACCTTAATTGTGCTTATCTCAAGAAGAAGAGTTACTTTATGCAGCTACAATCTCTTCGCTTTTGCGAAACGTTGAAAAGGCACAAACTACTTGGCTGTTGAAAGGTTCCATCTCCTCCTGCATATGCATTTTCCCCTCTACTGCCTAACCACAGTGCACACCCCTACATTCATTGCTCACGCTACGCCCTCCCCTCCTCTTTCTCCTGCTCCTCATTCCACCTCACACACTCCTCAAACGTGACCCCCTTCCCCCCAAAAATATCCAACGCACTTCCAATCGTCAAATCCACCTTCCCACCACTGAGCTTTTTCACGAGCTCCAGGTCTTTTATACTGCGGCCGCCACCCGCATAGGTGACGGGTATGCTGCACCATTTCGACAGCGCCACGACGAGATCCTCGTCGATGCCGCGTTGGAGGCCTTCGACGTCGGCGGCGTGGATGAGGAACTCGGAGCAGTAGGGTTCGAGGAGGGATATTGATTCTGAGGGTAGTTGTAAGCATATGGTTGTATCCACAAGGATCCGAATTTCAAGAGGAGATATAGTGTATTCCCCCTTGCGTAGCTATAATGAGGGAATAGGCGTACGTACCTTGATTCAACTCAAAATCTGTAATCGTCTGCCATTTGTTGGTTGCTACGAACCACCTCCCGTCTTTGCGCCTACAGCTGAGGTCGATAACGAGTTTATCCTTGTCGTCATCGAGGGCGCGGAGTACGGATTGTAAACGTTCGAGGGAGAAGGCGGAATTCGGGAAGAGGTAGGATGTTATTATCACCTACTGCGCGATGAAGCCGTCAGTGTTGAGCCGTAGATTCAATGTTGTGACACAATATCAATATAATTGGCACACAGAAACGCGATTCGAGGATACTATCATAGACACGAATGCTTAAGACAAACAGCAAAAAACCCACCTTCTCCGCCCCCCTCTCAATCCACTCCCTCGCATTCCCCTCGTGGATCCCCCCTCCAACCTGCAACCCTCCCCTCCACGCCTCCAACGCCTCCTTCGCCGCCTCCTCGTTCCCTGGCCCCAGCATGATTACATGCGCGCCCGTAAGGTTATGCTTCTTATACAGCGACGCATAGTAGCCCGCGGGGTGCTCCGAGGTGAAGTTCGTCTTGAGCGAAGATTCCGAGGTCGTAGACAGGGTACCGCCGACGATTTGCTTGACGCTTCCGGCGTGCAGGTCTATGCAAGGGCGGAAGCGCGCCATTTCTCGCAAATCGGTGAGGGAGGTCCTAGAGAAGAATCGTAGAATGATGCAAAGGGTGCTTCGTTGAATGGTGGGGGCGTGCGAGACACGTACGAGAGATATCTTGGCGAAATCTTGGCATTGACATTGACGGACATTTTCCTCCACAAGCTGCGGACTTCCGCGTTCACGGACTAGGACTACAACGGCTATTGAACAGACATACTACGACTATGCCAGCCCTAGCAACGATGACCACCAGAACGCTGAAGCGGAAGCGTGTAACACGCGAAGAGCCCGAGCAACCCTCCCGCTCACCGACGCCGTCGTCTTCAGAAGCAGAAAGCGATTCAGATGACGGGAAGCTACAGGACATATTCCGCAAGGCGTTTGAGGCGAAGTTCAAACCCTTGGATGTGGAGCCTAAGAAGCAAAAAATTGAGACCGTAGTCGAGGACGTGGAAGAAGAAGACGAAGAATCAGATTGGTCTGGCATAAGCTCCGACGGAGACGAACCCAATGTCGAAGTCGTGGAATACACGTCCCGCACACAGCTCGCCAACGAGCGAGCTTCGAAAGCGGAACTGCGTGCATTCATGGTACGTTCCCTCCCTCGCCAAATCATGCATATGGACGTCGAATTCTAACAATCGTCCCAGTCCTCAAAACCACCCACATCATCCACCCCATCTCTTACCCAGAAGAAACACAAATCCAAATCCTCCTCCGATGACGACGACCCAACAGAATCCTCCCATCTGAAAAACGACCTCGCCCTCCAGAAACTCCTCCGCGACTCCCATCTCCTCTCCTCCGCCGCTGCGTCCGCCGCCGCTTCCGCCGCTGCCAACACCTCCCTCACCGCAACCGGCGCCGCGCGCCACAAATCCACCGATCTGCAGCTCCTCGCCCTCGGCGCCAAAACGTCGATCCACGCGCAGAAATCCATGCCGATGGCGCATCGGAAGGGGATAATTGCGAAGGCGAGGGAGAGGGAGGAGAAGAGGAGGAAGGAGGCGAGGGAGGCGGGGATTGTGCTGGAGAGGGAGGTGAAAGTGAAGAAGAAGGAAGGCGGTAAGGAGAGGGAGAGGGGGGTGGGAGGGCCGAGTGTGGGGAGGTTCAAGGGTGGGATGTTGAGGTTGAGTAAGAGGGATGTTGCGGATATTACGGGGCATAGGGGGGATAGGAGTGCGGGGAGGGGTGGGAGGGGGAACGGGAAGAGTAGGAGGAGATAGATCAGTAGGAATGCTTTGTCGGTGTTGGAGGTGGGGATGGATAATAGCATGAGATACCCTCCAGTTAAGCCAAAACATGAGACGGTGTGAACAAAACATAGTACATTTCCGGGCATTTGTGTACTAAGCACCTCTTCTCCATCTGCGGCAGTAGTGGAGACTGAAATGGACTAGACTGAAATCTCACTCACCACATCACACACCTCACACACCCCTCGAGCAAGCATATCATAACATTCACACGCACAACTCAATACAGAATCCATCCGTCAGAAAGTTGATAGACTAAGACACCATGTTCCCCCCTCTCCCATTCCCGTCCCTGACACGCCCCCGGCAAAGCCCTCAAAGCCACAAGTCATACCAAGGACAATTCAGAAAAAAGCAGAAGGCAAATTCCACTAATATCATGGTTATCCGCAAGCCATGCCACGCCAGAAAACGCAAGTCTACTACGAGAAACCCAATCCACCCCATTGACGCAATCCTATGGACCTAGCAGTCCTTCAGGTTGACAACCCTTCAACCCTTGCTTTTCCATCTCGCAAAATCATATCTTCTTCAATATCGTATCGTGGCAAAAAAGTGCAACGTGCAGCCAGACTTTGTCGGGGTCACAAACTGTTATCACAGAGTTGGTATCCATTACGTGCTCATCTTTTCGCTACGTCAGCACAAAAAACTCCAAACACCCAAAAACTAAATTACTCACTCATACACCCCCCAACGCAGGCGTCCCCGCACCCGACACGCCTCCCGCCGCAACCCCATTCGTACTCCCCTCCTCATCATCCCACCCCTGCATACTCGGATGGTCCTTGGTCTCCTTCCTCAACTCCTCCACGCAAGTCTTCTCAATAAGATTGGCATCCTGGTAAAGGATGCTCGTATCCTCATTGTACGTCCTGCAATTATTGCACAGGGTCGCGATATCCCGTCTGAACTCCTTGAGACTCTGGTACTCCTTCCGGTTGATCTTGCGCTTGATCTGGTTCATGCAGATGGGGTTCTTGATGATGTGGTAGTAGTCGGGCCAGTCGTATTTATCCGGCAGCTCGATGAAGGGATCGATGATGCCGCGAGGTCGGATGTCGGGGTCGTTGGACTCCTCTTCCAGATCGTTTAACGTCTCGTAGACTGAATTGACTATCTTCTGAAGGAGTGCTCGATCCTCGGGGGACAAGGTCTCAGGAACCTTGGCCGGCGTAGGGCGACCACGTTTGCGAGGCGCGGGCTCACCGTCCAGGGACGCCTCGTCCGCTTTTCGCTTTTCGGCCTTGGGCTTGCGGCCCCGTTTCTTCGGCATGGGCTCTTCGGAGCTGTCGCGCGAAGGCGCAGGAGACTCATCGAGACCTAACCGAGCAGCCTTATTCTTGTTGCGTCTCGCAATCTTGGCTTCTTTCCTGGCAATGGCGGCTTCAATCGTATCATCATCGTTGTCTACAGCTTCGAGCCATTGCTCTTCTGTAAGCCCGTCGTCGTACTTCACGCGAGTTCTTTCTCTGGCGCCACGGCCGAAGTTTGCCTCTTCGATCTCTTCCACGACAGGGTTGTCGTCGTTCATGTAGATCTCCGGCAGTTCGCTTTCGCCAAGGAGACGGGGGAACTTCTTGCCAGGGCCATAAGGGTCATTCGCCAGGCGATCCTGATCTATCTTCTGGAAGACGGCGAGTTCCTCCTCAGAGCGCATCATGATCATGTTGAGATCGTCGTCGTCCATCTCCTCCTGCTCCAGGTTGTCGGCAGCTTCGGCAGACTCCAACATAATACGCAACATGGCGTCTCGTTCCTCGTTTGTCGACTTGTTGTCGAATTTACCTGCCTGAATAACTTTGCCGTCCATGTCGAGCTTGAAGTTAGCACGCTCGAGAATCTTCTCTTCGACGGAATTGGACGTGATAAGACGGAGAATGCGAACTTCATTCTTCTGACCAATACGATGCGCACGATCCTGGGCTTGCAGATCCTGGAAGGGATTCCAATCGGAGTCGTAGATGATGACAGTGTCGGCAGTCTGCAGGTTGAGCCCAAGACCACCGGCACGGGTGGAAAGGAGGAAACAGAAGTAAGGCGAGTCGGGAGCGTTGAACAGTTTGAGAAGGTCGGAGCGATCATCAGCCTTTGTGGAACCGTCAAGGCGCAGGTATGCCAAGCCTTTCAGTCTCAAGAAATCCTCGAAGATGTTCATGATTTGGGTCATCTGGAAGAAGATCAGGACACGATGGCCGGTGGCCTTGAACTTGGGTAATATCCTGTCCAGCAGTTCGAATTTGCCAGCCGTGCGCCAAAGCAGATCGTTCGTGCCTCGTCCTGGGTTGATCTGGTCTTCTACCTCCTCGAAGACGAAAGGATGGTTGCAGATCTTCCGCAATTGCATAAGCATATTGCTCAGTCCACGCATGCCGGTCTTGCCGCCCTTGCCGTCGCTGACCATCAACTTGTTGTGAGTAACAAGCTGCTTGTACAGCTTCGCCTGGAGCGAGGAAAAGGTACATTTGATGACTCGTTCTGTCTTGTCCGGCAAGTCCTTCTCTACATCTTTCTTCAGGCGTCTCAGCAAGAAGGGTCTAAGAACCTTGTGCAGGCGACGAATGACCAGCAACTGTTCTTCTTCAGTGAGCTCCATCTTGTCCTGGCCACCAGTATTTGCGAACGGTGTGTTGAACCACTCGTCGAATGACTTAGCGGACTTGAAGATAGTGGGCAGGACGAAGTTGAGCATCGCCCAAAGCTCCGTCAGGTTGTTTTGCAGAGGGGTACCCGTGAGAATAAGACGGTACCGCGTGGTGTAATACTGCGTGATTGTGCTGCTGAGTTTGGAATTCGCGTTCTTCATACGATGGCCTTCGTCCACTATCATGTGCACCCACTTGATCTTGCTCAGGATTGGGCGATCTTTGATGATAAACTCGTAGGTGGTCAGGAGCACTTGGAACTGTTGATATCGGATCTGCTGCTGGTATTGCTTCCTCTGGTTCGGAGGACCCTTGTACACGATCTTCTGGACGCTAGGAGCCCACTTCTCGAACTCGTTGTTCCAATTCGTCAACGTACTCAGCGGAACGATGACGAGGTAGGGTCCTGGCTGTTGCTTCTTCTCGATAAGATATGTGATCAGACTGATTGTTTGAATGGTTTTGCCGAGACCCATTTCATCGGCCAAGATACCATTCAAGTTGTTGTTGTATAACGAGATCATCCACTGGAGACCTTTAAGCTGATACTCCTTGAGTGTGCCACCAACCAGATTGGAGGACTGAGCGGTAATCTCCTCCTTGATACGGTGAGCAATCTCGTAGTAGTCGGTTCGCTTCTTGCCGGGCGCGCTTTCGTCTCCGGATTCGTCGTCGCTGGATTCCTCGCTCGACTCCTCTTCCGGCATATTTCCAAGACGATAGCGATCGGCGTGGTTGCGCTGTTGCTGCTTGACCGAAGCCGACAGCTGTTTCAAGAAACCATCGGTCTGTTTGAGCAGATGAGAGATACGAGTATCCTTGGCTTGGCCCAAAAGCTTCAGGTACGTCTCCTCGTCGTTGGCCTTCAGAGCCTGGAGACGCTGCTTTGCGGTTCGCTCGACTCGCTTCTGCTCTTCCTTCTCGATGTTCTGGTGGGTGGTGATCATGAGGCGTCCCAACTTCTGCAGCCTCTGTCTCTGGGCAGCGCCTGCTTCGTGTAGCTCTCCGCGGTGCTTGCGAATGGCTTCGATGAAATCGTGATGCTTCTTCTTTTCCTTCGTTTCGCGAGCATCTCGCTGCTGCTTCTCGAGCTTCTCAGTTATGCGTGCTTCGCGGAGTGATTGCTTCTTCAATCTTCGGTACAATGAGCGGTTTGCTGTCATGGCGAGGTTATCCGAATGTATCATCTCCCTGCTTATGAGTTTCCGCAGTTTACGCTGCTTCTCCACGAGGTTGAGCGCCTTTTGCTCAATGAGCAAGGCCAGCTTAGCCTTTCCATTGTCTTCTGGCGTGTCCGACTTGCTGGTGTCCCAGGAGCCGATGTTGGCGCTTATTTGCTCCAATTCCGCCTTACGCGCTGACATCCTGTTGAATTTGATGGTCTCCCGCACCTCATTTGCTTCACGGATATTGACGCCAAGAGGCATGACTGAGGCCAGGTAAGGACGGTTCACACGGTATGTGTGATCAATGTAGGTCAGATTGGGCTTCAGGTTGAAGTTGCCCCACGGATCTTCAAACGTCTCGGGTTGTCGTGGGATGATTCCAGCACTTTTCACGGGACCACCAGCGACGGCTCCAGGAGTGCTAGAGGCGCGGGCAGCATTATTGATGATTTGATTCGCGGCCGATATAGCTTCAGCGGTGGTCTGCGGCTTCTTTGCTTGGGCGCCGCCAAGTCCCAGTCCCTGTAGTATACCTTGCGATAGAGGAACGCCTTTGGAGAGATGCTTAAACGCTTGAATCTGTCGGCGCAAGAGGGCCACCTGTTCCGGAGTGAAAGGCGCCGGGCCGGCATTAGAGGCTGATGTAGGGGTTTGTCCTTCCCCTGCAGGAGTTTGGGCGTTTGCTGTAGCAGTCTGAAGCCCTGGTGCTGGACCATTCGCAACAGGTGCGCTCGCTGTAGTTGTGCCATCCCGCGGCGCTCCGCTCACTCCAGCGGACGACATCCCATTGGGCGCGCCGTTTTTCTGCAAAGACTGCTGATCCAATAGGCCCTGTTGACGTTGTTGTTGTTGTTGCAGCAGCTGTTGCTGTTGCTGTTGCATCCTCTGCTTTTGAACGGCGTTACGCTTCTGGACCGCTTCAAGGATGTTACGAGCTTTGATATACTCGGGGTCGGTCTCGGGAACACCGTTCTGGCGCATTTGGTTGAACCGCTAACAGTGTGTTAGTATTTACCCTCCAAGCATATGGGAATGCGCCGAGGCTACTCCCTTGCGGGTAGAATGAGGGGACTTACAGCAAAGGTCTGTTGCACATATTCCCTGGTCAGGTTGGCGGAGAGCTGACCGGGCATACCGGCAACCGGGGATGGCTGTACGGACGCCATGGTCAATGGAGGGTAATGTCCTGTTATGGCTTGCAAATAATGCGGGTTGGAAGGATAAGGCGTCTATCCACTGTCCACGCAGAGGATCGAATGTTGCCACCGGGGGGGTATTGGGACAGGAAAATAAGGGGTCGCGGGCAGTCAGATGGCGTTCCGCAGTCAGGGTAGTCCGCTATGGCATGGTAGACAGATCGGGGGCGCAAGAGAACGGCCGAGTGAAAGCGGTTGATGGAGCTCGGCTGGGGCTTGCGCGGGTGGTGGTCGCGATGGCGCGCAGGCAGGCGATTTACGGCTGGGGGGAACCGAACCCGGGGCGGAAGGCCGGTGAATGCGCAAAAGCGCGGCGCAAAGTGAAGTGGTGGGCTCGACGCGTTGTGCTTGGGCGCGTTGGGCGCGGAAAAAAGATGCAGCGGGGGACTTGTTGCGAGCTCCGGCGATGGGGGGGTGTGGATGGAGTGCGCGACGCAAGAGTTGTCTCCTCAAGCGTTGAACTCCGCCAAGCCGCCTGTCCCGATGCGGCATGGGCAGCCGCTAGTGAGTCAGCACATCTGGCCAATGGCATGCGGTCAACCTCAACCTAAAACACTTCCCTCACCTCCACCACCACTCTCGGCATCGGCAGAAAACTGTGGGGGATTTTCATCGAGACTACTACGTGTACTATAAGAGATATCGATAGGAGACCCAGAATCCAGGAGCGTGAACAATCTCCATATTCCTCACCCGGATTCTATGAGATATCTGGATCTGGCGTACGATTGCAATTGCAACTCCAGTTCTGAGAGGATTACGCTTCACTTTTCCATTATCAAAAGAGACCTGTCTACTTATCATTCGACACAAGACTGTTGAATGGAGGTGTCGGCAACTCGTCATATGATCTAGAGCACACAAAATAAGGAACTACGCCATTCGATGGGACATATCGCTGGGTATAATCGTCACTAGAGGAAGGGGAGCGGATCATCTCGAATATAATCGTACCATATGCGGCCAAACGTCACACAATATTCGCATACGTCTATACGATGTTTAGGAAAGTATATGACATATGATCATTTTGCATCGTTTCCCCCCACCCCTCCAATTGAGCAATTGAGATAGATACAGAGAAGCTAAAAGTCCCCGCGTACACCTTCCACCCCTCCAAACCCGTCCCTCTTCGTCTACGAGAGCGTCGGGGCGGTCCAGTCAATGTACTTGTTAACATCGGCAGTAGGGCCCTTCTCGATGTCGGCCGTATTGGCGCTTTGGTTGAGCAGGAACTTATTGATGAAGGCAGTGAGGTCGGCCTGCTGGTTGCTGGGGAACGAACAGTGATTGTGGTTGCCCTTGCCAGTGAAGCCCATGTTGTCTGGGACGCCGAGGGCCTTGTAGATCAGACGGCCTGCCTTCATGCAAGCAGTCGTGGAGACGGGGCCGAGCCAGTCGATCTCGTTCTCGATGACGAGCAGGCCGCGAGGAGCAACGAGGCCGGCAAGCTGATGGTGGTCAGTGGCCAAGGTAGTGGCCTTGTTGGCGAAGCTGTTGAAGTTCTTCGAGAACCACACGTTCTCGCCGATGATCTGGCCCGGCGTCTGGATGTTCTTGCCGGCAGCCTTCTCGGAGTCGGAAATACGCCAGCAGGCAGCGCCACCAGAGCCGGATTCCTGAGGGAGGCCCAGAGCAATACGCTTGACGAGGGCTGCCGCAACGAAGGCACCCTTTCCGTTCCTGGAGCAGCCAGTGACACCAACACGCTTGGGGTCGATGCCAGTGTCGACCTTCTCGAGGGCGTCGATGATGCGGTCAACAGCCCATGCCCAAGCAGTGGTGGCACCGGCGCTGTGTCCGGATCCGTAGAGATCGAAGAACCTGCCCTGGCCACGGCTCTGCTGACCAGATTGAGCCGCGATCTGGTCGTTGTTGAAGGTGATGGTAGCAACACCGTTGGGAACAGGGATGCTCGCAGCGCCGTAAGCAATGATGGCGGGGAATGGGCCCGAGCCGCTGGGCTTCTTGATGGAGACGGAGAATTGAATCGATTTGCCGTTGTCCGAGGCAGTGATGGAGAGGGTGCTGGTACCGCTAGCAGTGACAGTGGCAGTCGTGGGGAAGGTACCCAATTCCTGGGCCTCGAAAGCAGCTTGCACTTCCTTCTGGCGGCACTCCCAGTCGGCCTTGGTCGTTACGGACTGTCCATTGAAGAACTTGAAGGGGTTGGGAAGCTTCGAGTTGGCTGTGCTTGGGAAGCTGCTGGGAACGGAGCAAGTTGCCTGGCGCTCGTCCAGAAGGGGAGCCGGCGCCGCAAGGACGGTAGTGGCGAGGAAGGGGAGGATGATGGAGTACTTCATTATGAATGAATGGAAGCTGCTCGAGAGTGAATACTTCAGGTCCGCACAGCCTCTGAGGAGAAGATGGCCTTTGACCCTTATATGGATCGAAAACTGTCCTAGAAAGCAACCTTGTTGTTCCCGCGATCCGACGGTAAAATCTCTATATTAGATGAAGCCTGGATGTAGAAAAGCATCGCGGTGGGATCATATAGCAATTAAGAAAACACACCTTGGCAAGAGTATCAGGCATTCATTCTTGCCACTGGCTGGAGATTCCAGGACCCTACCCTGGCGTATTCGACGAGCGTCAATCCGTGTAATTGCTCTTGTGCCGCCGTCCAGTACCTGTGTGAGACTAGGGCTTTGAGCATGTGCTTGTCTGATGAGGCGAGCAGCTTTGGAGTGACCTGCGAGTTGGAGCTGTGGTGGTTGACGACCCAGCAGCAGTCTGTAGTCATGACCCCTGACGCCATACCACGAGGCAGCGCTATGCGATGCATACTCTTTATAAAGATGGCATCCACAATTGGTGGAAAATTTGGCATGATCAGGAATAGCTGTACTTTCACCGAACTACAACATAGGCCAGTCTTTTCCTTTGGGCCGTTCGCTGAAAGCAAATATAATCTGTCGCACTCGGCAGGACACGAGGGCCGCGCACTGCCAGATTAATACCGTAGATCTTACGGTCAGGATTCCAGGATCTTGAACAAGGGTATCCGCCTGCAGTGTGGGGAGCGCTTCGTCGAACATTCTGCGGGACCACCAGCTGCAGTGATGAAAACGGCGCGCAATGTGCAACAGCCATTGGCCTTTTCTCAGTGGCAGAGAGCATATGTCCCACACCGGGCCCACGACGTTCAATCAAGACTTCTTGACGCTTCCCCATGTTTGCGGGGTGCAGTGGGGCCTTGTCGTCTGGTAATGTTCATAGCATACCTACCGGATTTAGCCTGTTCGAATAATGGTCGGTTCCAGCATGGTCGAAACAATAACGGGATGGTATCAACAATGCTCAATCCTTCTACAAGGCCTGATTTTCTTGCAAGCTTGTCGTCTGTTTCGAGACTTGTTGGTGGTGAAATGGCCATTCACGCCGCTTGGCTGGTACCTACGCCTGTACATCAGAGCACTTAGTCTGTTTTCTTCGGTTGACTTACATCCCTTTCCTGACAAACCAAACCCAAGTGTTGACGTCTTGAATCGGTTTACGATTGGAAGGGAAGAGTGTTGACGTCGGATCTCTCTCGGACTTTTTGGATGGTGATCACTGCAGCGGGTCCTCCCCATACTCTGTCCCTTGCCCAGGCTCCTCCAAATAGATTGGGACCACTCGAAGCGAGCCGTCTGAGGCCCTGCCTTCGCACGTGGAGCCTTCGTATTCCGGCGCCGGAGGATGAATGGATGGGCGCGCAGAGTGGTGAATACAGTGAAGGGGTTCGCCGGGACGAGGGTTCCAGGCTTGTGTGTACATGCCCATAATGAGGCAGCATTTGGTCTATATCCCCGGTCAGAAAACTGGAATGTCGGAACGAGATGTACCGAGTCAGAACGAGCAGTGCGCCTATTACCAGGCTTGGAGCCCCGGCAAGCCGGAGGAGAAAATGCCATCTGCAGGTGATCCAGGTAGACTTCATAGTAGCAACACGGTGACATCAAGATTTTTTTGCGAGAGTTGGAAGGTTTTTGTCTTTTCTGACCATTGACCGGAATCGCCGTGCAAGATTTTAGTCTTGAAGCTGTAGACAGTATGCCACACTCCATCGTCGACAGGGCTAACGGCACCACTAGTACTTACTGGAATAGAATCCAAGGATGCGGGGCGTGGACAAATGAGGGCCAGTCCATATAGCCCTTGCCTGTGTGTGCCCTTCTACGAAGACCAAGGACGAAACCAAAAATGGTGTTTCCCGATGTTGCTTCTCAGTCATGAGCGCCATGCTGGAGAGCTGAACTTTGGCATCACATCCGAGTCCAGGCGAATAGATGAGAGTTTACTCCGTCAAGATGGATATATGCATCCAGGAAGGTATACAACATCGGCATTGCGGTTTAGTCTAGTAATGGCTGATGTTTGATCGAACTGCAGACCTGGCAGTTGATTCTGGACGGGTGTGTGGCGGTGCAGTGGCTGAGGAACCAATTCCCCCTGCCAGACCTGCCACTCGATTTCACGCTTCCCACCTACAACCTTCCCACAGCGTCTGCCTAAGCGCCAAAATGGACGGCATAGCCTCCCTGCTCGATACGGCTCGGTGTACTCTGATCACCGCCAGATTCAACTGTGGATTTGGGTGACAGACCGCCACTCCCGTCAGTGCGAAACACAGCATTTGTATCACCTCCAACCACCTCTCCCCGCATACCAACAACCAGAACATTGTTTTCGAGTCTCGCTCGAGGACATGGCATTTTCCGGACTGACCCCCGAAGCCCTACTCGAACGATCCGACTCGAAGAACCCTGCTACGACCTGCAAGGGAATCACCAAACTCGGCCGGCCATGCCGCAATCCCCTCAGAATTGATCCTGCGAAAGCGGCGAGACACAATGGGGTTCTTGCTGTGGCCTCGGTTGCGAGTGATAGCGACGATGAAGAGATTGGGGTAGCCGCTTTCTTCTGTCATAAACATAAGGACCAAGCGGAACTATTAACAACCGGAAACGCGCCCTCCCCAACACCGAACAAGCAAGATACACATATATACCCGCTGCAAAATAGGAGTAGCATTGATACGCTCGTGGCACGCTTGGGGATCTTAGATGTTCAAGATAATGCACACTCCACTCCTGGGAACAGAAAGCAGAGAAAGAATGAGGATGGTACAAAGGCTCGGCGCCGGAGGGTGAACAGACCACCGACCTGGGACCGCGTTCAAGGACCACTAATGGAAGTTCCGCGCGATGTCATGAAACGAAGGCAACCCCAGCATCGGCGCCAGAGGAAGAAGCCTGGATTCTGGGCTAGTCTCTGTTGCGGCACCGCAGACAATGAGTATGGTGAGGCAGCAAGACACAAAAGAAGGGTTGGTGGGAGGCCAACAATGAGCCAATACACGGAGAAACCGTCGGCCCAGCCCATATACTCCAATGGCACCGCTCCATCTCATAGGGTCTCTGGAAACCCAGACTCAAGAGCGCGTCCGGTCAGCCGTGTCCCTGGCCGAACGCCTGTTGGGGCAAAAGGACCCAGTGCCGGTGAAAGGCACTCCCACTCCCAAAGGACGGTATCGGAGACCTCGACTCTTCTATCTTACATACCAAAGACTTTGCCGCCTCAGACAGCCTCTTTGCTTCTTGCCGAACTTGCAAAGCCAATCTTTACGGACGATGACGACGGGTATATCTACATATTTTGGCTTACCCCTGAGTCTGCAGGCCCGCCTCCGTCTTCCACAGCGTCAAGCCTCTTAGCTCCACCATCTCGCTCTGAACACGGTCGACGGACTTCTGACGTATTGCGACAATACTCTGTAAAGAGACCACAATCCGCTGGCAAAACCCAGGGGCGAAGGAGATCAGCAGCGCCTGAAGGCATGGAGGATGGGAACGCGACGATCCTGCTCAAGATAGGCAGAGCAAACAATGTGCACAGGCGAATGCACGAGTGGACGCGTCAGTGCGGCTACAGTCTCTCTCTGGTCCGATTCTACCCATACGTCCCTTCTACTCCGTCGCCTTCATCCCTTCATACCCCACAAGGTTCGCCTGCCCACTCCCGCCGGCAGTCGACGCAAAACGTAGCTCCCGGTCAAACTCAACGGCCCTCCGATGGGATGCGTCGTGCGTCTTCTGGTGTGCGCAAAGTGCCCCATGTCCGCCGTGTGGAGCGGCTCATTCATCTCGAGCTAGCGGCGCAAAGGGTCCTTAAGCAGTGTGAGACTTGCGGGACAGAGCATCGAGAATGGTTCGAGGTGGATGCAACAAGGGAAGGCGTGAAGGCAGTTGACGAGGTTGTCAAGCGATGGGTGGGATGGGCTGAGAGGGCGTGCATCGCAAAGGCGGTTTAAGACGTCAAGATGACTTAGGCAGGCGTACATGCATTCGGTCGGATGTGCATACCAACTCTATATCAAGCTACATCCGTTCATATCCGATCTCGGATCCATGACGCTTCGCATCCAAATGAATGACTGAAGCATGTTCCACATTCAACGCTCTTGCCGTCAAGGAACTCACTTGATCTCTTACTGAAGGAAAGAACCAGATAGCTATTATCTCATATTCAGCAATGTCATTCCCCATCCGCACACTTCCTATGATCATTTGTTGGACAGCGCCCAACGTCTATTCGTTCCAACTCACCACGTACCATTGTCACGCTATGCTTCCATATTTTATCCCCAGCTTACTTCTGCTCCTGAGCCTCATCTCAGCGGCGCCTGTCAGTGACACTGATACCGGGGCCGCACCAGGCTGCAAGCTACGTGGGATTAGGTACATTGACTTTTACGAGGCTTCGGAGCCCCAGAATGTGTTGTCGATCGGGACGACATGGTATCGATTGGAAGCGTATCCATTCATATTGTGATCTCACGTTCCGACAGGTATCACTACGCTCGAGATTTGCAGCATCTCATCTCAGCGGCCGGTTTCCAACTCATCGCAAATGGGGTCTCGAATACCTCTAAAGATTGTGGATGGCACCGCCTTGGTGAAGTGAGCAAATATGGCATTCATCGTGGATACATCAGTTTCAAGCCTTATCATGACAGCGCAAACCAGCGGGCAGTGGATCATGTCCCTGCTCAGGAGATTCTCGGTCTACCTTCCCAGCAGACGATCCAACGAGTGAAAGCTATCCTCACTGAGCACCCTCCTACACGCGACCTAATCGAGATCTTTCTAATCGTACTCGGACCCATTGCTGGATTGGCTATTATCTTGACACTATTGTAGGTTCTGGTACGTTGGTTATTTCCCGAAGACAAGGATTACGACGACATGGAAGACCTCGGGAGGAAAATCGAGATGCCAACCTTGCATGAAATGGGTTCGTCAAGCACGCGCTTGAGTGAACCCCCTCCTTATTCCGTTGCATTCCGCGAGAGAGTCAATGGAGGCGTGGTGCAGAGTTTGCGACCTTTTGGGAAGGCTGCAGAGAGCGGAACGATACAAGAGTTTGACGTGTCTTCCATCCGGGAGGGGAGGTCGTACTGGGTTTCGGACCGTTTGTCGGGGTTTCACTCATCATAGTGTGTCAAGCGCCACTGCTCAGCTCCAGCTGAGAGCCAGAAAGCATCCGAGTCTCAAGGCAGCTGCAGGGAGTTTAGGCCACATATCACAGCCCATAGGGGATGTTGGTGGTTGGAGACATTGCTACACCTGTCTCCTACGGTCCGTTTCTCAAGAAACAAGCCTGTTCTTGTATACTGCAAACCAAAGCCTTCCCACACTTAACCTCTTCGCTTATCATGCATCATTTCTCTCAAAGTTCGGACACTTGTCTTTGTGCACCCTGCGTGAATGTGGCTGATCATACAGTAGTCAGCATAACCGACTGGAGACCCGATGACGGTGCAATGAGCGCAATGGGAAATACATGGTAGTACTTGAAATCCTTGTATATCCTGCCTTCGGCGAGTCGGCCAATCACTCTACTGGTGTTGGGGAAGACATTCTCTTTTCCTAAGGAGTTGTTCAACGTCACGGACACCCCAAACGCTCAAATCGATCAATCTCGTTATACAGAGAGAAGGCAGAACGTTCACTGAATCTAATACATTGTAAACGTGTCGGCCGAGGTTGCAAAGCCGTCTCACATTGAGGTCCTGGCGGTTCTGGCCACGCTTACTCTATCCTGCAAATTGGGCCAATCACATGGCTTCCATTAGAGGACCGACGGCCCGCATTGATCCTGCTAAGGCACAAAGGGTGAATTCAGCACACTTCGTCTTTTAATACACTCATCCCACCCCTCTCCGTGCGCTCTGCTCTTTTTTCTCCCCTCATCACCCCACCATTGCACTCCCTCCGGCGCCGTCGCATTACCATCGCATTCGAATTGGACCATCATGGAGGCTCTCCTACACCAATCGCGGTCTATGTGCCCGTTCCTCCACAAGACCTCTCCCGCCACTTTGCGCTCCCTCTCCACCACCACCGCCGCCGCCAGCAACCATGCCGTCTCGCCCGGCGCTGGCAGCATGTCCAATCTGCAGGTCCTTGCCCGTCGCTGCCCCATCATGGGCAAGGCCCTCGCTGTCCAGAGTGCCCGCACTGGACACAGCGCTCTCGCTGGTGTCTTCGGCGGTGCCCGCGCCTATCATAGTCGTGTCGGTCGCGCAAAGTTGCACACCTCTACGGCCAAGGAAGCGCGGGCCGTTGAAATGGAGAGCTTGAGATCCCAGCAAGGTACGTTACTCAGGTTTGCCTTTGCGAAGACTTCTCTGACTCATCCTCAAATAGTTCCCCCCTACCCCATTGCGTCCCAGAAGGTCTCGCCCGTTCAGCACCACCATGCTGGCACTCATTCCACCCCGAAACCTGCGAAATTCGACTATGAGGGATTCTATACCCAGGAGTTGGAGAAGAAACACAAGGACAAATCCTACCGTTACTTCAACAACATCAACCGCCTGGCCAAGGAATTCCCCCGCGCTCACATGGCTTCCAAGGAGGATAAGGTCACAGTCTGGTGCTCCAACGATTACTTGGGAATGGGCCGCAATCCCCAGGTCTTGAAGACGATGCACGAAACTTTGGACATGTATGGCGCTGGTGCAGGAGGGACCAGAAACATTTCCGGCCACAACCAGCATGCTGTGCAGTTGGAGAGCACCATCGCGAAACTCCATGCCAAGGAGGCCGCTCTGGTCTTCTCCTCGTGTTATGTTGCCAATGATGCCACTCTGGCCACTCTTGGTAGCAAACTCCCCAACTGCGTTATTCTGTCGGACAGCTTGAACCACGCTTCCATGATTCAGGGTATTCGCCATTCGGGTGCGAAGAAGATGGTCTTCAAGCACAACGATGTGGCCGACCTTGAGGCCAAGCTGGCTTCCATTCCTCGCGAGTATCCCAAGATCATCGCTTTCGAGAGTGTCTACAGCATGTGCGGCTCGATTGGCCCAATTGAGGAGATTTGTGACCTGGCAGAGAAGTACGGCGCAATCACCTTCCTCGATGAAGTCCATGCCGTTGGTATGTATGGACCACACGGCGCTGGAGTGGCCGAGCACCTTGACTACGAGGCCCACTTGGCTGGTAGACCCAAGGGCACTATCATGGATCGCATTGACATCATCACCGGAACTCTCGGAAAGGCATATGGCTGCGTCGGTGGCTATATTGCCGGTTCAGCCAAGCTGGTCGACACCATTCGATCCCTTGCTCCGGGGTTCATTTTTACGACCTCCCTTCCTCCGGCCACCATGGCTGGTGCAAAGGCTGCGATTGAGTATCAGGCAAACTATCAGGGTGATAGGCGCCTGCAGCAGCTTCATACCCGTGCTGTGAAGGCTGCCCTGGATGCGAGGGATATCCCTGTGATCCCGAATCCGAGCCACATCGTCCCCGTCCTTGTGGGCAACGCCGAGGTCGCTAAGAAGGCTAGCGACTTGTTGCTGGACAAGTGGGACATCTATGTCCAGGCCATCAACTACCCTACCGTACCGGTCGGCCAGGAGCGTCTCCGCGTCACGCCCACCCCTGGCCACACGCGCGAGTACCGCGATCACCTAGTGGAGGCTTTCGACAGCGTATGGGAGGAACTGGGCATCAAGCGCACCAGTGAATGGGCTGCTGAGGGAGGCTTCATCGGCGTTGGCGAGACGGCGGCGGCGGAGGTCACGCCCCTCTGGACGGATGAGCAGCTGGGTGTTGATGCCGTGGTCAAGGGCATGAAGAGCGGTTTGGATGCTAGCGGCCTGCTCGAGTTTGTGCTCGAGAAGGAACATGAGGCTACTGCCAAGGCGGTCAGCGCTGCTGCTTGAGCTAGCTAGTCTGCCGTTTTGTTTTTGTCTGGCCTGTCCACTCCCTACTGCTTGAGGCCTAAGTGAGGTGTTCGTAGTTTTAGCATAGTGAGCTGCCAAGCGTTGCGTTACTAGCAGTCAAATAGAACTTCTATGCTTCAAACGAATTCCGAAAAATCCATGCCTTTAGGCGCTTTTCCGGGACTAGTGAACATTGCTCCGGAAATCTTGATTGACACTCCAACGCTAAACTTGCGTCTATAAGCCTTTAAGATTTAGACTTGATCTATGTAGGTCCTGCACCACCAATCATCCCACCTGCAGAAGATGGAGTGGTTTGATAAGTAGGATGAGTTTCACACTCTAGAGCCATCACTGGCACCAAGTCCACTCGAAGAGGTCGCGAGCATGACTGGTGCTTGGCCCATAACAGGCAGTAGCCTACTCCGTATACGAGCCCCATTTGAATGTATTTGTGGCAAAACTTCAGGCTAGTAACACATTGCCAGAGCATTTACAATTGATAGTTTCCACTCTTATCCTTCACTCATCCTTTCACCCAACAACCACAATGAAGTCTTGGCGTCCCTTACCCTAGCTTGCTTACATAAGTCCCGCCGCGAACTAAGCTTTCAACAATCAAAGTACAGCTTCCAAACGGCTACGCAACACGCAATCCCTCAAAGGCGCCCATAACCGGCGTCTTCTGCGAACGCGATCCCATATCGGGAGACCACTACTGCTTTGGTAGGGTCCATTTGGACGACTGAATTCCCCCGCGTCGTCCCTTTTGTCGGCCACCTCCCACCGCCAACCCGCGTTCTCCGCGCATGGTCGCCGCCCGCCGTGTCCAACATCACGTCACTGTGGGCTCTTCTTTGTAGAAGTGCGCCATCATGGCTCCGCCGGGCAAGCGCAAGAGGCCAGAACGCTCCGATACAATTGACAGTAACAGCAGGCCATCGCCTCACAGGCCCCAGAATCTCGGCCTTGCCAATGCGCAACAGCAATCGCAGCAGCAGCAGGCCAACAACTCTCCTGCTTCCAGAAGGCCAAGCAGGAATCAAGGTCGAGGTGTACCGAGCACCCCTGGTAGTCCTAGCGTTGCGCCGTCTTCGGGAACCATGGCTCCTCCCGCAGCACCGCCGCCGCAGAACAGGGCTCCGCCGGCCGCTCAAGCTGCTCCTGCTCAAGCCAACCCGCCGTCGACCCCTCAATCGAATGTGCCAGCTCCAACGGGTCAATCGCCGCATTCGAACCAATACGTCACCCAGGAGCGCGTTGATACATGGAGCAGGCAAGGACGAAAAGCTGTCATCGAGGTTGGCGCTCAGGCGCAAGCGGAAGGCGACATGCTCACGCTCTCGCTTGTGTTCGAAGAAATCATACAATCCGCGATAGACCGTGTGCTGGATCCGGTCGAACTTGGGTCCACAGTGCAGGAGATTCTGGCCAGACCCAAGTCGGACGCCCTTGATCCCATACCTCTGTTTCTCGAAACCGTCAGTACAATTGTGGAGATGATTCAGCCTCCTGGTCCTGTCAAACCTGTATCTACTTCACTTCCCGAGCCCATCAAGCCTATGCTGCAAGCTACTGGTATTGACACGGCTCATATGCGGAGCATATTCCCGGAAAACGTGCTTGTTCCGTTGGAGCTGGTCAACCCTACGTTTCCGAAAATGGCGATACGAAAGGCCACGAATGCACTGTACCTTGCGTCGAACTACAATCTTCTCCGTGAGGAATCGGAAGGATACTCGAAGCTCATCACGGAATACTTCACGACGGTTCAGAATCAGCCGCCTTCCGAAGATGTTGTCATAAGCACTTTTCAGCGAGTAAAGGCGCTGATTGGGGCTTTCAACCTGGACGTCGGCAGAGTCCTAGACATTACATTGGATGTATTCGGCACCTTACTTGTTAAGCATGTAAGATTCTTCGTCAAATATCTCCGGGCGAGTTCCTGGTGGCCTGAGCAGAGCGTACCGCATGGCATTTCGTGGGAAGAGCCCCTTATTTCAACCTTACCGCTCTGGGCATCTCCAGGATTCAAGAAATGGACCTATAGCGCGGAAGACAAGGAAGGACAGCTGCGACTTCGACGCGAACGTGATCGGTTATTCTGGGATCGTGTGGATGCTGTCGGATTCAAAGCCTTTTTCGAACTTGGTTCGCGCAAGATTACAAGCGGCGCGCCATCCGAAGAAGTCATCGCTTCCATGGCCGCTAGTATTGCAAATATGGAGAATGTCAACGCAACGGAAGTGCAGAAGGACACGAAGAAGAAGGAGTCTACTTCTGATTTCAAGCAGATCCGGGAATGGGCGGAAGAGTGGATGGCACAAACCGGCACGCTACCTCCGTCAGGAAACCGAATCGCGGCTCAGCTGTTGGGGTTCAAACTTCGGTTCTACGCCTCGGACACCCGCGATGCTCACGACGTTCTTCCGGACAATCTAATACATCTGGCGGCACTTCTCATCAAGATCGGTTTCATCTCGTTGGCCGATCTCTATCCTCATCTGTATCCGTTGGATCAAGACATGCTAGCCCACAAAGATAAGCTTTTCCAGGAGAAGGCAAAAGCAGAGGGAAAGGCGAACGCAACGCCTCTGAATGCTCTGGCCATGGCCGCTGCTCTTCCGGACGAAACCCTGCCGGCACCCGTGTCCCGCCTACGAGACGCTGAAAGCAAGGCGAATTCCAAGTCCGCATCTGAAAGAGCAACACCAGCGGCAGAGGAGGAGCAGCAGCCGAAAGAAAAACTTCCTGAACCTGTTGATCAGAAGATCGCATTGCTACGCAGCTTACTTTGTATTGGGGCCCTACCGGAAGCCTTCTTTATATTAGGCAAATTCCCATGGCTCCTTGATGTCTACCCGGATCTCCACAGATATCTTTTCCGCCTCGCGCATCACTCGCTGAGCGGGGTATACCAGCCTTCGGACGAACCCCCACTGGAATCCAAACGCGCACAACCGAACGGAAGTCCAGCAAACGGATCATGTCCCAGCGACTACGTTCCTCGGCGAACCCTGCGGTGGGCAAAGCTTGAAGAGAAGGATGCGGGTGACGGGATTGATTATCGGTTCTATTGGGACGACTGGTCAGATAACGTCCCGGTGTGCCAGAACGTAGACGATGTCTTCAGACTGTGTAAATCACTGCTTCAGTTCGTGGGTCTCGAATGCGGCAAGGATGCCGTGCTCCTGACGAAGCTGTACCGCATCGGGCGGAAGAGCCTTGCCGAGGATCCCTCCGAAGACAACTATAACCGCTGGATACTCCTTTCCAAGAAGTTTCTGGCGCCTGCCTTGACATTTTCAGGTCGAAGTCCGGGTGTTGTCAACGAGGCATGGGAGCTTTTCAAAATTTTCGACACAGCGACACGGTATTCCATCTATACCACTTGGTTCACTAGGCGTGACAGGTCCGATCCAAGAGCTAGACCGTGGGCAGCCCGTCTGGATGTGGTAGCCGCAAATTTCCAGGAACTCGACATCGAAACGAAGCGTATCTTCCGGAGAATCAGCAAAGAGAACTGGAAGGAGATGGGGAGACTGCTAGCGAAACCCGCCTACGCTACGCCCGGCCTTGTCTTCGAGCTGGCTCTAAAACAGGCGGAGAGCTACTCCAACATGACGGATTCGCTTGTGGAGTGTTGTCGATTCGCCACATTCCTAGGTTTTGACTCTTTAAACTGGGCTTTCATCAACTCCTTGTGCAAGCAACGGAACACTATGCGGAGTGATGGCATGTTGGCGGAGAATTGGCTGAAAAACACTGCCCACTTTATCGGCAGAGCTTACAGGCGTTATAGTCTCATCGACCCCACGCCGATACTGCAGTTTGTTGCCGATAGGCTATTGCAGGGGAAGTTGTTCGTCATGGAGATTCTTGAGCAGCTCCTCACGTCCATGGCGGGCATAGGCCCTGTTCTGTCCCTTACCGAAACTCAGGTCCACGGTCTTTCGGCGGGCCCATTGTTAAGGGCTTTCACTCTGGAGCACTACCTGGGAGACATGCGCCATCTGAACAAACTCAGCTCTAGGAGGCTGTTGAAGTGTCTTAAAGATGCAGACTTGGCTGCTCAGATTCTTGTTTCCCTCGCCATTGAACTTGAGCAGTACGTCTTTCGACCCGAGTTCGAAGAGGCGGGCACGCCGCTGAAAGTTATCGGTACCAACCTTGATCGGTTACGCTCCAACTTCGACCAATACCTCGATTTCCTCCAGTCGTCCCTCACGATCGACGAATTTGATGCCATGGTTCCTAGAGTGGTAGAGTTGATCTCAGAGTATGGTGTCAGCCCTAGCATCGCGTTTTCTATTTGCCGTGCAAGCATTTCCGCCAGGATTAATGCGGCTAGAAACAAACGTCCTACATCTGCTCCCGAGCCGGCGGCCACCGAGACCGAGCAAGTCAATGGTGACACGACCATGAGCGGCACCGAGGAAGCGCCTGCTGCTGACGAAGCTGGAGAAAAGTCTCAAGCTAGATCGGAAGACACAGAAATGAAGGATGCCAATGTCAATGGTGACGTGGAAAGGAAGGACCGGCCGACAACTGAAAACCCAACGAGTCCCGACGGTCCTCACAATCCCGCCCTATTTGACCAGCGGCAACAAAATCCGGAAATCGATTCGATAGTCAAGTCACTCCAAGCGAATGTGCCGGACGTCTATGGCAGCCATTTGTGCCCCACCTTCTTCGTGACGTTTTGGCAACTCTCCCTGGTTGATGTTTTCACCGTAACCCCGATGAAGGAGATGAAGTTGTACAACGCAGCTTCGAAGCATTTCCAAGACAAAGCAAGCCAACTCCCGCCGTTAAGTCGCAATGTCAGCGGTGAAGCTCGTGCACGGCGCGATGCAGAAGTTCAAAGCTACCATGACCAAGGCGCCGCTTTCCGGGAAGAAAATAAAGCCATGTTGACGCACGCGCTTCAGATGCGGAAATACTTGGCAGAGGAGATGCACACCTGGTTCACCGGGATACCGATGGTTGACGCAAAGTCGGTGGAGCTCTACGACACACTCCTCCAGGACTGCTTCCTTCCTCGAATTCAGCTGTCGCCCCAGGACGCTCACTTCGCCGCTGCTATGTTCAAGTACATGCATGACATTGGTGTTCCTGGCTTCAGGTCGATGAAGTTCCTGGATCAACTCTTTAGACGGAAGCTCCTTACCAATATCATATTCATGTGTTCAGAACGCGAAGCGAGCAACCTCGGACGATTCCTGAACGATGTGCTGAAGGAACTCAACACCTGGCACTCTAGCCAAGCAAACTACATCAAATTCTCACAAGGTTCCAAGAAGAACTCGCCTGGTTTCGGTAAAACTTTCAATGCTGACCGGTCCCCAGCCACCTTCCTTGATTTTGCGGAGTTCCAAAGCTTGCTGAACAAGTGGCACGACCAGATCTACGGTGCCCTGAAGGCTTGTCTCAAGAGCGACGAGTATATGCATATTCGGAACGCTATCAACGTCCTGAAGGCTGTTGCCCCCAGCTTCCCTAAGATCGATTCTATGGGCAAGGCTATTTACCAGATGGTTCATGACGTGTCGGAGAACGACGAAAGGGAAGATATCAAGCTTGTGGCGACGTCGGTATTGGGTGATATCAAGAAGGGTGACAAGCAAAGGATGCCATTGCAAACATTCAATCCACAGGCAAAGGTGGCCGTGCCAGTCAGCGCAACGGGGGCTGCGAAGGTCGCTGATGCTGGACGCTCGGAAACTCCTCAAGAGGCCACTGCACGACTTAATGCCTCAGCTCCCGCGTTCACCCCGCGGACAGCACAGACGAATGGAACACCACAAAGTCCGCCCGCGACAGTCAGCACTCAGAAGGACAACAAGCCTATTGAAGAAGCAAAACGTGCCCTCCCCGCTAGAGCGGCGCCTGAGACCCGTGTGAATGCGCCAGAGCCTGCTCGACCCACCCCACAAGCAGAGACGCGTCCACCTGTCCAACCTCCGCGGGCAGATAGGGAGAGCAGCACTCGAGGTCCTCCACGGGATACGCAGCCAGGACCGCCTACACCTCAGGCTGGCCCAGGAGTACCTCGCCCTGAGAGCCGCGGCAGCACAGGTCATCAGACCCCTGGAAATAAGGTCATTCCCGGCCTCCCCCCTCGACCAGAAACCCAGCCTTCGCGACCACGTCTAAGCGAGCGGGCCGGTAGTGATCGAGGACCTGACTATAACGGTGCTCCTCCTCGCCCTGATGCTCGACACAATGGGGCTCCAGATTTTGGGCGGCCCGACCGCGATACCCAGCGCGAACATTCCATTCGGGATATGCATCAGCGGGAGCCGTTCAGAGAACGACATGAAATGTCACCCGGACGTGGCCGCGGCCGGACTCCACCTCCTGAGCGTAGAGAGCCTGGCTGGGGTTCAAGAGATCTCCGGGACGAGCGAGAACCGCGCGACTCGCGAGAGTTTCATGACGAACGATCCATGCGGCCACCACCGCGAGACATGCGTCCCGTCCCACCCCCTTACCATCAGCGAGACGCACGAGATATTCGGGATACCATACATGCCAGGGAGATGAGAGACGTACGTGAACGAGATCCCCGTGGTCCACCGCTCCCACCTGCAGATGGACCTCGACGTCCCCATGGTCGCGAATTACCTCCGCAAGAAGATGTTGTACCTTATCGACGAGATTTCCCGAACCAGTCCCTGAGGGTCGGGGATCGCGGGCCAAGCCATGTTATGCGTGACATGCCGGATAGACCGCCTCTGAATGGAACCCCTTCGGCGGGCGGTAGGCTGCCTCCTCGCGGAGAGCGGGATATGATGGATCCAGGGCGAGCTAAAGTCCTGGAAGAAGAACAAGCAGCCAACGATTTCCGTTCCGATAGGGAAAGTCGCCATGGCCGTAGCTCTCGCGGGCAGTCTCCCGTGCCTCGTCGCGAGCGCATGCCTGGCGGTTACCAAGGGCGTAATGAACCTGCTCGAGATCTTCGCGATGATAGACTGTATGATCGCGCACCGCTTGAACATGCACCTTTGAACGATTATCCTGTTGGGCGAGAACGGCGGGATGATGGCCCTGGTGCCGCTCCGACTGGACCTCGCGGAGGGCGAAACGAACCTGCAGCGTCTGGGCGTGTCTCCCGTGATATGTTCATGTCCTCATCTGGACCATCTCGTCCGTCTGGATATCAAGCTCAAGATCCTAACTATGGCCGGCTCAACCCTCCCAGCGACAATGTCCCGTCCGGTCCGAGAAGTGAGTCAACTACCAATATCGATTCCGTCTAAACCGCCTTTCTAACAGCACAACAGACCCGCACACAGATCGACGGGATCAGCGTTGGGAAGTGGCTGATCAAGCCCAGCCTACCGCTCGAGCACCGCCTTCTGGACCCTCCCAACAGAATGAACCGGGCGTCTATCCCGACAGGATGAAAGAGATGATGAGCGCGCCAGCGCTTCAAACCGATGTTCATCCCCCCAGCGGGCCTCGAGGGGTTGGACGGACACCTTCCGGGCCCGCGGCATCGTCGCCTTCCACTCGCGGACCGCCCACAGGCCCATCCTATGGTGATCGCGGCCCTCGAACTTCAGGACATGCCTTGCGAGCCATCAACAATGTCCTAGGGCAGAATCAATCTTCCGGCGGTGGATACAATGACGTCAACCCGTCCACTCCATCACTCCAGGTCCGGGGACGCGGTGCAGCTCGCGCGGGCGGTTTTCCCGAAGGTGGTCCCAATATGCCAAGTCCTGTGGGATCAGGATCTCACCCTGGTACGCCGAATCCATCCATGAGACCGGACTTGCCACCCTCAAGGCATGATAGGGGTCCTCCGCCGGATGACGGCAGATACGACGCTCGCGGTCCTAGAGATAGGGAGGGTCGGCGGAGCGAGAGGTCTGGGAGGCAGAGGAGTAGGTCGCCTGAGAGGGGGGAGAGGAAGGGGGAGGAGAGGGGTAGTCGGAATGGGCCCCCTCCGGAGAGGTTCGCTCGGAAGGAAGAGCAGCAGGATAGAGGTGGCGAGCGGGAGAGGGAGAGGGAGCCGCGCGGTTCGAGCGGTCGCGATAAGAGGAGTTCTTCTGATCGAGATGGAGGAGGTCGGAGGGAGAGGGTGGAGAGAGAAGGTGGTGAGCAGCCGTCACGTGATGGCGGGAGAGAGCGACGAGAGAGATCTGGGAGGGGAGATGAGGGAAGGAGTTTTGGGCAAGAGATGGCTCCTGCGTCTTCTTCCCGGAGAGGTCCACCGCCACCGGGTCCAGGTGAAGCTCCGGCGTGGTCGGGAAATGGTGGGCGCGGGGCGGATTTCAGACAACAACAACAGCAACAGGGAGGAGATATGAGGAGGGGCGAGAGAAGAGCACCGAGAGATGAGGCGAGGGATATGAGGAAGCGCGGTCCGCCGGGCGGAGAGGAACCGCCGAGTCATAGGGATCAGAAGAGGCCGAGGAGATCCCAAGGCTAGGTGCCGGGGAAATGGAAGGGAAGGAGGTAGCGGAAGTGGGAGTGAGTGGGATTGATGACTTGGATTGGGCCCAGGGGTTGCGATTGTATCGAGTACTCATCTTCTTCTTCATCATCCACTCTGTTCTCTTTTGTATGCGGATTGGTATTGGTCTCGGCGGTGCATTTGCCAGGCGTTGGGGAGTTTTTTTTAAGGGGCATCGAGGATGGGGGACTTTCTTGTATGGGAGATAGAGATGTATTATTTAGTTTGGGATTTATATTTGTGAGTGATGGGTATGGATTGATTGCATTTGCCCTCGGTCTCTTTGGTTTTATTGGGTGTTTCGTTTTGCGTTTGAAGGACGGGGAGAGTAGAAGGTGCATGACGGGTCACGGATACTGTCTGTGTAGACTCGGACAGTGTAGATGGACCTAGGATTGTGACACATCCAGTCCCTCCCACACGACCTATCGAGACGTCCACACCATATCCCCGTCCGTCCGTTATACGACGCATTCTGCAGAACTCTCCCCGTCGTCGTGCTGGATCTTGAAACCAACGGCCCAAGGGGAAACGCCGCCTGAAAGTTACTCTGAAGGCTTTTTCCCGGCTCCCGGCCAACCCATTTCTGCTTTTCTGTGGATGCCAATGGCCAGCCAGACGTTGGGAAACGAGATGCAGACAGTATGGATGCTGGCGGTGGAGGTTTGGGTGGACTTACTGCCCTACTCGCAAGCAGGTTTGTTTGGACATGGGGACTGATATTGCAGTGTTGAATAGACATTGTGCTCGAAAGACTTCTTGTCTGACCACAGGCGCGCTCGATGGGTTTAGTACCGGACAACTCGTCGGCTGGATGGAGACAGACGAGTAATATTGGCGGTGCTCGAACTCCCATCTACCCATCCCAGCTGTTCGGAGGATAAACAGCTTCAACATACTCTCCGAGTGCTGCTATATCCACGCGACGATGGAAGCCGGGAGACAGCGGAGAACATGTCGTTCCGTACAAAGCATTAGCGAACGAGATTTCCCTTTTTGATTTGAGCAACAGCAAGCAAGCGTTTATCAGCGGTATATACGCATTCAGGGTTTTGGGGTTGAAAGTGTAGGGTTATCTTCCACTGCGAGCTTCGCGTGCCAACATTTGAAACTAGATAAGCTGATCGGCAGGATGCTTTAGGTATAGGAGACTAGTTACACCTACAGAGCATATGGTTTACGCCTAGACAGACTAATAGGCAGCTCTTCGCTGCTTACGGAGTAACCTTGGATGTAATCGGTAGCAGATGAAAGTCCTACCGAGTGCTGGCAATGCGGACTACTTACTAGTCCTGCAGGATACATGCCGATTTCAGCACCGGAGTCCAGTTCACGATGGTAAGATATCACAAAACTGATCGACCCGAAAAAGAATGGGAAAGGCATCCTCGCCAATGAATTATGAAAAGTTCTACTGTACGTAAGGAGCATTGGTGTCCATATCTCAATGTACATCATGTCGATAGCCGTCCCAGAACCGCCTCTGCCACTACGACAACATCCAGCGATTCGGACTCCCGTTCTCATGACTAAGTGGTCTATGACGAGTTGAAGGCGCGCAAGAAGCAGGTCTACATAGGTACATCGCAAGATGGCCATCCTTGGGGTGCTCTTATCACGTTGAAAGACACGAGCAGGTGTCCATCCGAGCCCCTCCATCCTACAAGGAGAGAATCGTCGATCGGTCCCAGAAAGAAGGAGAGGCATGAAAACCTAATGATTCCACTTCGGAAGCTACATTGAGAACAATACCTCACTCCTGCTTCGCAAGAGGTTCCATTTAGATCCTTCATCAACGAGTAGTCGGCCGGAACTGCCTTTGCTCCCCCATGTTTTCCTTCCTCGTACTGCAAATATCCATGATGCCAACTGTTTTACCACTGTTAGGGACTTCAACCCTTGAGCGGTCAGCCCCCGTCGAGCTACGGAGCAATACGGCTCTTTACTCTTCACTCCTGTGATATTGTCGGGGCCGTTTGGGTGATTAGGTGCGGCAACATTGCTCCCTGCTCACTTCAGGCTTGGGCGTTTGGAGTTCTCCGATTTCTCCGAGTCTTCGAGGGTGTGTTCGATAAGAGGGGAAAAAAGAAAGGCGGGTGGGAGGGGAAAGGGAAGGTGTAGACAAGAATAGAATAGACGAAACCACTCCCGGGAGAGACCATATCCGGTCTTGAGTTGTCTCTGCTTTTCATGGATGACAGTGTGTCCTGTGCATGAGGAGGTTTCACCATATATTGATGGGTGTGTATGCGTCCACGGAAGGAGGCAAAACTGCAGTAGACCACATCAGAAGAAACCAAATGACGAAAGAATGATGAAAGGCGAACATGAAAGGCGGTTCGAGCCAGAGAGAAGGGCAGGTACCGTGATGAAAAGTCGATCACTTCTTGCTGACTTCCCATTTGCGAGGGGAGCAATTCCAGAGCCGCGGATTTCTCTTTGCCACCCTCACCTGTCTGAGAGTCGTGTGAGAGCATGCTCTCCCAGTATCAGAGCAGATTGCTTTTGATAGCTGAGTGACTTCAATCTACCGGATCGCTTCATCTTCGTGTCCGTCAAGGGAATTCAACAAAAGGTGGATCATTGAAACTTGCTTCACCGGTTAGCAGCGCACTGAAGAGAGTGATTTCAACCCCAGCGAGGTGGCGCGCCCATGTTGGTGGCTCTTCTGCTCGCCGAGTGGCGAGAACAGCGAATTCGTTTCAGCAGAGCGAGGGTGTCTTTCTCGCTCCCACGTGCCCGGGTTGCAGTGATTTGATACGGTCTTTAAGCTGCATGTAACAATATTGCAAGGTATGCATCTAGGGCAGTGGAGTCCACCACGGTGCCCAAGTGATGCTGGGCCCCCAGCGACGATGTTCGGTGTGTGGGATGCCCTCGTAATAGTTTGAGTGGCAAGAGCATCTGAAAGTCGCGGAGGCGGTTATCAGGACTGCAAGGCGGAGGCGTAAACTGTGCCTCTTCGTGTTGGTATGGGGAAAGCGCTTGATCGGTGTGAATGCGCATAAAGGAGCCGCGGCGCGCTTGTCTAGCGTTCCCATTGGTTTACACCGGGCTTTAACAGTGACGGAAATCGCTGGGTTGCAGACTCCATCATCCTTGGATTGTGAGCTCTCCATGCCCTCGGGACTACAGAGCTCCTGGCAGGCAAGGGCAAATGGTAGCACGGAACATTCCGACGGCCGATAATTGCTGTCGAGTGTAAAGGAGATAGATGATCGATAAGACGACGCGGCATGCATCTCAGTTGGAAGCAGCACGCATCACGTCTGCAGGGGCAACTCTTTTCTCGATAGTTCCCAAGCACTATCGCATTATTCGTATAAGCAGACAACGTGGGAAAGGCTTGAGTCTCTCTGAACGTGCCAAAAGCCAAAAGCGATAGTGGATGCTGGATCCAAGGTTGTGGCACATGGAGAACACTTATCGTAAGATCGTGGATATTTGACCAAGGAGCTCTCCATTACCACGCTTCTGCAGTTTTTTATCTGCAGGTTTTGTGCACAGTACGAGCAACGGCGTGAGAGCTAGACAGTCTTGGTATGCTGTTAAAATTGTTAGCTAAAGAGTGGGCGCGTGGGGGATTCGCGGCGTGGGGGTGAAAGGGGTTCGCTTGGCTGGCCTGCTGGAGACAGCAGCAATTCCAGCATTGGCAATCTCGCGTCAAAACGCCCAGCAATCACCGCGGTTCCCTCGGAGGATGCCCTTTCAGCGCCCAGAATTAGGTGGACTTACGAACCAGCTAGACACAGCTGCGAAACAAAGAAAGGGGTCCTGGGAAGTGAATATGGCACAGCATACTGTAAGGAACACGCCCAGTTGCGGCGAGGTCATCGTCCCACTGCCGCGGGAGATCTCAAGCATCGGCTTATTTTCCCATTGGTCGTTATATCGCGGGGCCGCTGGGATTGGCTCTCCAGTGTCTTTTTGATCACAGGGAAGATGCGGGGACGAAGTTGGTGGTGCCGGGTGGCAGGGCGGCTGATGAACCTTGAAGGAGATTATTCCTGGATTGTGCCGGCTTGCATGAGGCTTGACTGGTCGACGGGCTCGATATGCACACTGTCCGAAAACGGGCATGCTGTCCCACAAACCCGAAGCATCGGGTGTGATGAGGACTGCGCAACAGATCCTTGCAGGAGCCAGGCCCGAACAGTTGGTCTGATGGTTGCCACGGTTGAGAGGTCGGACAATGCAGGGCAGCCTCCCCTTGGCGTGCTGTGCCTTGTTCTCAAGGAGTGATAGGAGCAAGCCACGCTTCAAATCGTGACCAGGTCTTCCGCGTTGCAATTTGCCTGTGCATCTTGCAACAGCATGGTTTGGATGATGTCAAGGCATCTCTCCTCATCTGTGCGGATACCACCGCTGGAAAAGCACAGCAAAACAGGAGTGCTGCCATGTTTATGTACCAGTAAGGTGCTGGCGAATAGCCATCGCAGCATGCATATGGACCACAACGAGATTCGGAAGAGCCTCGAGAGTTCCGGGACGAGCCAGACACTGCGTTTGAGGCGATCAAAGTGGCGGGAGCGTCATGGAGTCGTGATCAGCTGTGAGGCGCCAGGGTGGACTTGAGGACGGTTGGGCAAACGGAATGCATTGCCTGTGGCACCTTCGGCCAGGTTGCACTGGAGCATCCGATTGCAGTTTCTCCGGCACTCTGGAGGGCAGGTCTTCGAACTGTCACCACGCATCGATATGGTTCATTCGCATTTCCGCTAAGACGCTCGCCACTGGTCAGCCGTGATAACGGGACGTTGGAGAAGCGTGACCAGCAAGGAACGAAAAGGAAGCAGGCGGATTCCCACGACAGGAAGTCATGGACATGCAGTGCGTGGCGGCCGGGGATGGAGGAGAGATGCAGGGGAAGTTCACAAGGGAGGTTGCAGTACGGAGTAAAGGGTCATCTGTTTACGGGATGCCAATAATGGAATGCTTAGTCATTAGCCTTCTTGGCACACTTCTCGGACCCGTCTCGGATTGATCATTATTTTACTTGTTACTATTGGGACATTCAACAACAAACACACAACATCCTATGGCCAACATGCAACCAAAGACCGTCACAGCGGTGAGGAGCACAAATGAGGAGGGCTACGCCGCTTCACTGCATCGCCCGAGCCACCCAATCTCGCGATCCCGCACACGATCCTCTGTCATTCCTCTGGGTCGTCCTGCAGGTACCCCATGGCCGACAGCGGCTCCGATGCTGCAAGAGCAGATGAGATGAGAGGGAGTCGACCATGTCTGAGTCGTGAATGCCTCGACCCTCCCCTTCCTCCCTCTCTACCCGCTCCGGGGACCTGGAGCCGCCGCGCGGAACGCAGCAGCATGGGCACGATGGTCCCAGCCGTATGGGTTGTCTCTCAAGGGTCCTGGTCAGCCCGCTCCTCGCCCCGTACTGACACTTGTCTCGACTCTCGGGGAGTTGGCGGAACGAAAGGCCTCTTACCTAAGGCGACATGCCCAAAGCGGTGAGAGAGGCTGTCGTTGCCGCTCCCTCGTCTTGAGATGCCCAATTGGTTTTGGCGCGGGTCCGGGCGGGGGTCCTTGGGCTCCCATTCTCCAGCCGACCATTCACAGAGTCCCAGTGCGTCACTACATCGCCGTCTTCCATCTTGAGAGCCTGGGACTTTGACGGTGCCAGTGGTGGTAGAAGCTGCTTCAGTTCTGCATATTATTCAACCTAGAAGAAAAGACACTCGAGACCCAAATCCGTGTCATTGTGCAAGGCTTACCTTCATCCCCGAGGAGGTCGACAGCACTCGATAGATAGGCCATTATCGACCTCAGCTGGCATTTCCGGACCCACGAAATAATGGCCCTGATAGCCATCTGCATCTTTCCTGCGCATCTCCTCGCTGCCAATGGAGTGGCGGCTTTGAAACTGTGTCTCGGAACGAACCCCCACACTCTCCACCCACCTTGACACTCCCCCATGTGCAGCCACCGCGCCTCTCCTGGCCGTGCCCTCCCGCATGCCCTCCTCTTGACAAGCTCATCCCGCTCACCAAAACACATGTCCCAGGTTCAGGCCTCGATGGCGGTCAGTCACCCTTGGCGACATGCCCTCATCCTTGTGGCGTTGCCTTCCTCTTGCGTTACCCGGTCTGGAATTCGAGCATGCCCTTGCACGTTGCCTGTATACTGCTTTCCAAAATGGCTGTTCTACGGACTATGTAAACCCCCTTAGTCTCCTCTCCGCCCAGATGGAACTTGGAACGAGCCTCTACATTCACCCTCTGTGAACCTCCTCCTCCATTTTGACCAGCACTGGCTATTTGAAGTCATTCCAAACAGCCACGCTTCGCCGTTTGGTCCAGTCCGCTGCCTCTGCACCGTCCCTCGCTTCCTTCCACCACTCCGGGACAAGGCATCTACCCACCCCCACCGACTCCCGCAAACCTCTGAGCTCTCAATACTTTAAACTATGGCCGCCGTCATGAACCCTATGCATGTCGGCCATTGGCAAACCCAACCCGAGCAACCTTTCCACGACCACGTCACGTCTCTCTTCTCGTCGGGGTCGTTCAGAACTTCAGTCGACTCAGAAGCCACAGGACCCTTTCAAGCGGCAACGGCACACATGCACCACCAGATGGCACAGTACTCGGATCCATACCAACCTGGCCTCTTCGTGCCAGTGGTGGGTTCTATGCCTATGAATCCCTACAGCCTGCAACAGCCTTTTCAGACGAACTTCAGTTCTGCAATGCCGTCGACCCCTCTGTTTCACTCCGTCAACCACGGTCAACCTGCTCCCAGACTGGGCGACCCAAGGGCCCGCTTTCCCATGGAAAGGGCCATGCCCTCGGCAGTGAAAATGGAGGTGCCCTCTCCCACTCGACCCGCTTACTCTTATCTGGACTCTCCCCAACACGAAGACTCTAAGCCGACGCTCCCCCAGCCTACCCAAGGTAACACAATCGAGTTCAATACCCACGTCGATACCTTGATGAGAGCGATACAGGCAAAGCAAAAGCATGAGCCTCAGCAGACACAGCAACCTTCGGAGGTACGCCCCGAATTGGCCCAGGAACTTCGGCGAGCACCACACTCACCTCCGCGACAGGACGCCAAACAGCAGACCAAGTCACAGAAGAAGCCAACTAGGAAATACGAGTGCCCGTTGCAGGATTGCAACAAACGATTCTGTCAGAAGACACATCTTGTCATCCATATGCGCAGTCACAACGGCGAAAAGCCTCACGTACGCTGCCCATTCAGCTCATTCATCGACAAGACTAACCCGTGTGCAGGTTTGTAGGCATCCTGGTTGCGGGCAAAGTTTTTCACAGTTGGGAAACCTAAGGGTATGCATCCCTATATGCTCTTCAAGACGTGGTCACTTACTGACTTTGAGCAGACTCATGAGCGGCGACACACTGGAGAGAGGCCATACAACTGCGACATATGCGGCAAAAGCTTCGCTCAACGTGGCAATGTGCGAGCACACAGAATCGTTCATCAGCAGATCAAGCCCTTCACCTGCGAACTCAACAAATGTGGGAAGCGCTTCACTCAACTTGGAAACCTCAAGGTAAACGTCCAAGGCATGTCCCGGATGGACCATTGCTAACACATCACAGCATCATCAGAACAGGTTCCATGCAGACACCATAGCCGAGCTCACAAAGAAGTTCGCCTCGGTAGAAGAAGTCGATAACGTCACAGACGAGGAGCGGAAACTCTGGGAGTACTTCGCCTCGCTCTACAAGAACTCCAACAAGGGCATCAAGGGGCGCGGCAAGGACCGGCGGATCTCAGTGGCTTCTTCAACCGTTTCAACTTCGTCGTACACGGCTACTATGGCTCCATCAGCCAGACGAGACTCAATCGAGTACAGCGAGATGTATGCACAATCGGCCAGTAGCCGAAGCAGCCGATGCTCGTCACTATCCTCGGTGGGCTTCATCAAGGCGGATGACGGTTTCGACTTCAACAGCACCATGGTTGGGGGCTACGCAGGCTCGTCGGGTTATGACGATTGTGTGTTCCCCGAACGGACGCTCTAGGAATTCCAAGTTTTGCACGACAATGATGAAATGGGAATCAAGGGTATGTATGGAACGGTGGATTTAATGGGAGTTATTGGGAAGGGTTGATACCCAGGGAGGGACATTTGATACTGGCTGGGCGAAGGGAGGCGCATGGACACTGGGTCCACTTGCTTTCTGCGATTTCAGCGTTCTATTTTGACTGCCTTTTGCAGAGCGTCGTTGTATCATATGCATAGTTTTACATTCTGGTTACATAGTAGTATCCAAGCGCCTGGCTCGCTTGCTTCCACACTACTTGGTTTTTCCCTTCCATCGTTCCCTGCTTTCGTGCGTTGTTGCAAATGCAATATGACACTACGCGCTTCCTCGTCTCGGGCAGCTGTGCTCGCATCTTCCCATGCGGGCAGCACTGCAGCGACGATCTGGGACATCATCGCACCGCCAGATGGGGACCATGGACAATGACATGCCATTACTGTGGCGCCCGCAGCAGCAGATTCGAGTTGTGAAAACAGCCGCAAAGGACGTCACAGACTGTGTGTACTCCCTAAGATGTACCAGGACCTACATAGTATTCCTAGGTCTAGGTAGCCGTCTCCTTCTCAGACGAGGTCGCTCTCTATTCCAACGCATCAGCGTTGTTCCCCATCGCACGTGTGCCTCCCCCCAGCTTACTGCTTCAGAATACATGACATGATCAGATGCGCACAGATTCATTGGGCGGAAAGCCACAAGCGAAGGGACCCAATCGCCCCGCTCAGCGGGTGCTCCCTTCTCCTCGTCCGGGAACTCCCTTCATCCTCCCCTAGCTAATAGTCCAATAATGCCCACTAGTCTACTTGTACTACTCCTTGAGCTCCAGCTTGACAACCATCCCCCTGCTGAGCACTTGGGTGATCTGTCTCCGCGGGTATTCGCGGGCTTTTAGCATCCATTAACCATGTCTGCGAATACGGAGTTTCTCCACTCCGCGCACATCTAATCTCGACAACAACACCCCAAAAATTCATCACCCCCACGCTTTGCTATGCACAAAAAAATATTACTTTCCAGGATTTCTAGGAGCTGCAATCCTACAAGGGCGAATGACCAACCACAAGGCGCGCGCAACATGTCCCAAACATCGTTTTATTTGTGCAGCTTGCCGGGTTTCGGAAGCTACCGATGCGCGCGCGCGCTCCTGGTTGTGTTGTCTCATGTCTGTGTGTGGGTGTGGGTGCTGTGCGATGACGGTGGGGTGCTTAGGAGGGGGAAGCGTGCGAGCAAGGCAGTGTCACGATGGACAGACACAGCTGGAGGGAATCGAGTGCGACATGGTGCCACGATATGATCTCAGCGAGAATAAATTTGTCGATCTTGGGATTTTCAAGGCTGAGGGCACGAGACTACGGTGTCGGATGTGCGGTTTTCTCATCGCGTCGCTCGTACTGTGTATGCATATGTCCCAGGCCTGTCCAATGTATCCCAGGTATCCTTCTTCGAACATGCATGAGCACCCAGATATCGACCTCATTTTAAACACCGGGTCGAATCTTTGCGCTTCCGGGAAGGTGGAAAGTTCGGCGAACAGAAGTGTGTTTATCCAGAGATGCATTTTTTTAGTGGTTTCTACTTGTAGGTAGAGATTTGGGACTGGGGTGTCTCGTGCCCAGATGCCTGAGGTTCCAAGGTTGGGGTCGGCTTATGGCGGGGTTATCTACAGTCGTGTGCAGCGGACAAAGAGGAGTGGAGTGGTGTATTTCCGGCCACTGCTACTCCTGGTCCTTCTGATACTTGCACCTTGACGTTTGAAGGATTATCGCAAACATCCTGATGGTCTCCGAATTCTCCTCCTCACTTGGACAATTCTCCTCCCCCCTCGTCGTCGACTGGAGCTGGGTCAAGGGTACATCATCCGCCCACGCGGGATCCCGTTTGTCACTCCCACGCCTCCGTGACCATGTACTAGTTCTCCACCTTCTGTACTCATTTTATCCCCTCTGCTTTAGGCCTGAGCAGATTATCTCCACTCTTCAGCCTCACCCAGATGGCGCACTCCCAACCACATCTCTCGCCATCCGCACGTTTCATCAACCCCTTCCCAAACATCGCCTGAGACCTGCTCAGTGCTCTCAAATGGCTCCGAAAATACGACGGAAGCGCCCATCTCCCGCTCCCCTTTAGTGCCCGCCCATTAGTCCATCTCGTCCCGATGTTATCCACCCTTGAAACCCTGAAAATTCGTGGCCCGTGACCTCCTACCCTTTTACGCCAATGATATCGCGCGAGTCCCGGTATCGATATTTTTCACTGCTCATAACGGGGTTCCTCAACGCTCATTGCTCAACGCAATGCTGTACCCCGCCCGCGCCACACCACAGCATGCAACCAGAGCCTCTCCAATCCCCCGAATACGACGCCTAACAGCACAACCCCGTGCAGGATACAGCGTTGGCCTGCCAATGGGGTCGTTGTGCGCCGGGGTGGAAGGGGAGCGTTGCACAACGCAGCGGTACCGGTAACTGCACAAGCATTCGCGAATCGCGGGACTCTTTGCTGCATGAAAAGCCCGAATCCCCCGAGCGCACTGAGGGAGGGGGGAGGGGGAGGGGTGCCGTGGTGTTGGGTCAAGGGGTCCAGGGGATGAATAGGAGGTGTGTGAGATGTAACGGTGCTGGACTCACATGTACACGCACGTGCGTATATCTGCGCACATATTTCGATGAAATGCACTCCCTAACCCCATACAAGAGTCCCACAATTCGCTGCCCTAACCACCCTCACTTCGCCGACCAAAATGCCCGCCTACCCTATCCCCTGTATTCCGTCATTCACGCTAGCGTCTTCATCATGACGGATATCAAAACAGATCATCTCGCAAGATCTCAAATCCTCAACCCGCACTAAAAAAAAGTCCCAACCCTCGGGAAATGTCCCACCCCCCGGTCCCCTTCCCACCCGCACTATGCACGCAGCTCCGAGAAGGGCAGCGTGTGGCGCCCTGCAAAATTGCTAGGCAAGCCCCTCCTCACTCCTGGTGACCTGTTTTCTCTTCGACACTCGCTCTCGATACCAAGACGTCTCAACGGCGACCTCACGTTTCTCTCTGCCCCAATGAACCTCTTCCTACGCGTCCCCCCGTGTCCCCCACTACTGCACCCTCACCCGAATGTGATACCCTGTGCATATACTCCCGTACGCGCTCCATCGAATGATATCCCCTCCTCCTTTCACGTTTCCCCATCACCCTCCCCTCGACACTCATGCACCCGCGACCCCTTGGAGCCTAGCAGTAGCATCTACCTAGGTCAGCGGCACCAGCAGGTCCAGATTTCCAAGTCTCGACCCAACAATGATGAACAACCCAAGCACCCGGCACTTTGCACACCCCCCTTTCCACCCCCATGCATACTGGAAATCGTTCCAGCTCGCTGGATGATGCGCGACGCAACATTTGCTCCGAGGCACATTCAACGCAGCCAGGGCCCAGTCCGGTTTGAGAACGCCCTGCAGGAATGATGAGACTTTGATGCCCTTGGATGGGACGCGGGACCAGAAGCCGGTGTGCCGGTAGTGATGTGCTATAGTCCACTAGTACGTACTATACACAGTATTATCTAGATACCCAGTGAGGATGCTGTGATATCTGCGATGCTGGCTGCCCGTGGGGGTGCGATTGGGATGTCTGAAGCTTCTTCTTTCCGGTAAAGGATCGCCTGTTGTTTTCACTTCAAGAGCACACTCACTATCTACACAGCAGGTGCTGGAGCGTGGGAGATGTCGGTGACGAGAGCATGACGTTGGTGCCACTATACTGGCTTCAGCGCAGGTATCTAGAGTAACAGTACTGTGTAGTGAACGGCGTATGCGTGTGCGTTCGGGCGATACATTGCATGTGCATGTGCAGCCGCAGATTCTGCATCCTGTAAGGGGTTTTGTGAAACCGTGATTAAGCACCCTCAATACATCTATGTCGATGCTCGCCGGCTTCGGAACGAAATCTTCATGGTTCGGCGGTGGGTTTATTGGCACTGCAGTGTGAAGTCTGCCTCCCATGCGTGAGATGAGTGTCGGCGGGAAGATACCTGCACTGTGCCATTGGCTTCACGAATTCCTTGTCCTGTTGCTTTCTCCTCCTGAAAATCCATGAGGCAGAGCGTCCCAGATGTATGGCCGTGTACGACGTATTTCGTACTGTGTAACTGTGACGCTCATTACTTGTAATTCAGCAGTCCATGGTATCGAGGGGTCTGTAGAAGGGACACAACCGTATACTAACCCCCGACTGCAGAGTCCCTTACTTTGGCCGCTGCATCACGCACTTGGTCGAAAATCACGGGGAAATTCACATCTCTGTGTTTCATTCCCAAAATGCAACTATGTACCCGTGAATTTGCTCTCGCGTGTTCAGCAAGAAACTTCTTGTTTAGCAACCACTCGTTGGCAACCAACTTCTTCTCATTCACAGGACTCCCATACCCAGCATCTGCTACCTCACTGATGTTCGAGTTTCTGTACAGACCCGGACACAAATGCGGATATATATATCATGGAGCCAACGCCATAGCCATGGCTATCTACACAGGTAGACGAATCGAAGTCAAGGAAGGTGGCAAGATGTACCTCTACATTTTGGTCGACCTCGACACCGAAAATTGTTACGGGGTGGATAGATTCAGGGATGCTGATCTCTGGCGCAATCCCGGTTCTAGTGTAGAAGTCTGTCCAGGATACTACTCGAAAGATGTCCGTCTTCGACAAACCGGCCTGGAACCCAGAAGGATAGAGACATATTTACGAGTCCAAGTGCAAGCCTGCCTATACGCAACAAATCCACGGCCTCGCATGCATGCGTATCTGAACATCTCCGTTAGGATTGAACGAAGTTGTACAAATAGAACAAGTGGATTAGAAGTAATAACCAGACTAGCGCCGTGTTCCCTAGGTACGGTTTTCTATGGAACAATGGGATAAGAAAATTGTGTGGGTGAGATTTTAGAAACGACAAATAGTGAAATACAATGTAGTAAGAACCTTCTCTCTCTCCTATTCGAGGCCTAGGTCATGGCCCTTCCCGACACGTAGTCATAGCCGTCCAATCCAGTGACAGTTACCTTGGCCAAGTCAAAGCCGTTCTCGTACAGCTGTTGAGCAGCATAGTCTGTAACGCACGCCGACAGCGTCTGGCGCGCATCCTCGAGCGTAACTCGCAACCTCGTAATCATCGAGAACCAGTCATCAGGCGCCGTGATCTTCGGCAGCTCGCTCACAGCTGTAGTGCTGGAGTTGATGACTGGATGAATGTTCTCCTGGATCTTGAAGGCTGGGTAACCCACGAACATCTCTGCACCGAGCTCCGCGTACGCCAGCAGGGAGCTCCATAGTTCCCTGAATTGGGATTCGTACGGGCGGAGGGAATCGGCAGTTCCGTTCTGGAACTCGGGTGCGGGTCCATGCGGCGCGATGTAGAGTCTTTCGAGCGGGAACTCGGGGAAGGATTGCGTGAGGACGCCCACGATGCTGTTCGTGCTGAACGTCACTCCGGCGCTCGGCCGGCCTACTTGACCTGTGATAAGGACCTGCGCGTTCTTCCAATCGATATTGAACTGTTTGAACCAATTTTGCATTCGGTACGCCGAGTCGAGCCCGTTCAGGAAGAAAGTCGCGATCATGATCTTGTTGTACGATATCGTACCGTTCCATCCCGGGAGGGGCGTCTCACATGCGGCACTGTCTGCATCCGGTTTCTTGTCACCCACTTCCAGGAACGTGTCTTGCACGAAACGAGCCGTCAATTTGTCAGGATCGGCGAGGACGGTTTCCAGGAAATGGATCGTCATGTCGCACGCGTAGTTGGTCATGGCAGCTATGCTCGCTTCACGGCCGACGAAGGCTTCGCCTGCGACGAAATCTTTCCAGAAGCTCTCGGAATTCGCGCCCTTGACCGCGCGCGTGGCATCCAAAAGCTCCTGGGCATGCGTCTTCCAGTCTTTGTTGTGGGCCTTCATCTGGGCCAGCGTGGCGATGGCCGGTCCGATGTGGGATATGGCGGTCAGTTCGATGAATCCTTTGGTTAGCACTCTGAAGGGCAGCATGCTGGGTTCTTGTCCGTTCCCTGGATAGATTGCAATGTATGTGGCGGTGCAAACTATCATTGGGTTGGATGCCTGGGTCTCTGTGATGGCGGTCCTGTACTTGTATCCGAGACTGTTTGGCCCACCGGTGTATGCTGAGAATAGGGAGAGAAATGCTGGGTTCTGATCTACCTGCCGTCTGGCCATCCGTGGGTGCTGATTTGAGATAGTCTCATGCTTCTTCTTGGTTGGGCCTTTGCCTGAGATAGTCTCATTCTTCTTCTTAGTTGGGGTTTTACCGGAAACAAAGCGATACACATGAGAATCCTGTCGGAAGCGTATGTCCTGGGTAAGACTGTTCGTTACAATCAGGTGCGTTTCGCCCTTGTTCTTGAGAGTTTTGATATCGGTGCCGCCAAATGTAGGAAACTCGACTGCGCTGTGAACACTGCCATCATCGTCGATACGGTAGATGGTTGAATTGAGGGCGGTTACAGCGTTTTGGCGATCCCCACGGATGAAGTTGACTCGGGCGAGGTACAAGGAGGTTCCGTCGTCGATCGTAGTAAGTTCTCTTCCGCCTGTCCCAGGGAGAGTCTGGAATTCTCGAAAGCGATTTCCGTCCCACTGGTAAACCACGCTATCGGAATCAATGCGTGCAAAGGCCAGATATGTTTGATGGTTGCGTTGATAAAAGCTGAAAGCTCGACCACCCCCGCCATTGAGGGCCTGGAAATTGACGAATCTCTCTCCATCCCATTCCATCACACGGGACGGCTCGACATGGTCGGCATAAGCTAGGAATTCGCGGTCGTCGATGGAAAACCTGAGCCAATTGTATCCGAGCTGGGATGAGAGGACTTGAAATGGCTGGAACCTATCACCATCCCACTCGTAGATGGTCGAGTTCCTCTTTGGTACGTCTACCCCGGGAATATCTTCGAGACCCTGAGCTAGAGCAAGGAAGTGGCGCCCTGCGACTTCAAAACCACGCCATTGCTTCGCCCCGGAAGTGGGCATGCATTGAAACTTCTCCATCTGCTGGCCGTTCCACTCGAAGATGCAAGATTCGACGTCGAAACTGGCGCTCTCACCCTTCCCGGATCCTACACTCGCAGTCGCAAGAAAGACGCGATCTTCCACAGTGAAGAACTCCGCATCCTCGCCGCCGGGCACACTGAGCTGTTGGAACTCTTCGAGCTGGTGCGTCTTTGCGTTGCTGCGGTACAGAAGGAGCGAGACGTCGTGGTCGCCGCCATGCATGCTCGGAGGCTCGCCGGGTATGTCTTTTGAGAGCTGCGGAATGGCCACCCAGTAACATGCTTGGAGAAGGAGGATTGCGGCAGCTCGAGCTCCGTTGGTGAGGAGGCTTTGTGTGAGCTCAAGGGCAACTGATGCTGCCATGTTGTTGGCTGGCCGTCTTTGGGTTCCTCAGTTGTCGATACTTTGATTTGCTGGTTTTGGACGGTGGATTTCTGGATTCTGCTCTGCGGGTTCGATGGTGCAGCTCTTCAGTCTTTATATGGATCCGACCATCTTTTGTCTTTGGTGCTCTTCCTAATCATCGTCCTAGCTTCTAGAATCCGTGCCCGTCAAATTTTGGTGAAGTGTTTTGAAACTCACCCAAAATGGTTGCATTGGGCGCGATGACGCACCTAGCTGACGACAAGATGGCGGGCGGAGCAAAGTTGCATCCTGCGCCCTGTCCAATTAAAGTCAAACTAATCACCATGATAACTCCCGTCTCTATTAGGAAATAAATTTAAGTAGAACTAGATCCTCCCCGTCGGAGCATGGCGAGTTGGTAAAGTATGTCCAGGGCTAGAACTGTACTGCTTAGATGGAGCCTGAGGCAGGGTTCGGGATTCCGATTCGATTAGAAATTCCTTATGGGACATTCATTGCTCTTCGCTTCTTGTGTGGGGCTTGAGGCTTGGTAAGGAACGGGAACGTCCACGCTTCTGAAGTGAAACATGAATTAGGAGATTATAGAGAGCACTATTTATAAATGCAACCACACCGCTAGATATCTTTGACAATCTCAAAGAAAGGCATCATTCTCAGCGAAAGGAAGAGTGTTTCTACTAAAAGAAAACCATATTCCGTTAAAGAAGACATTTCAAAGGAAACCCGTCTTTTCGCCCATACTATTTTCCAATCGACTACCGCGTAATCTCATACAAACCGCACTCCTGCGACGCCTCAAACGAGTGTACGCAGGGATACAACTCACGGTTCGTTTACGTGGTTTATTATATGAGACTACCCTATGCAGTATTCTCTTTGTCTTGATGTCGAACTTGCGTGTCTCCCATAATACAAGGGAGTGACCGTCCGCCAATTGTGATTCTCTTGACCGCCCAATTCCGAACCCAAGCATTTGATGTCGTGGTTGTCGGTGTTGGATGGCTTAGACTCCGACTATCACAGCGTCCTGTTAGGGTAGACATAGACAGGGGTGCTATTGAAAGAGGAAAGATGTTGCGCGCCAGCCAATCGGAGACTTTCATCCCAGGAGGATCTGGCGGTGATCTGAAAGCTAAAACATCATCCTGCAAGGTCCCAGTGGCACGGTCTTTTTACATTGATTCTCACCTAAGCGTTTAAAAGGGGATACTTAAGGTAAAGACGACGATTGACTGTCGCGCAACATCTCACCATTTCGCTCGTCAGGCACGGGGTTAGTGACTAATCCAACCCCTACTCATCTTCGCCGGTTACCAACGAAACCCGCATTCCGGACTCCATATGGCTCCTTGAGGAGCTAGCCCTTCTTTCCGATTTTGCGCCTGCGACAATTCTCCTTTTTTTGAGCTCCCCTGTTACCCATCACAATGGTCGGAACGCCCCGCAGAACCGGTTGCGACACTTGCCGAATCCGGAAGAAAAAGGTGAGTAGTCTAGCTTACGCGCTCTCCTCTATCAAAATAGAAGTTGTTCGAGCTCGTCAGTGTATCAAGAACTGAGCTGAAAAGGGCTAACCCATCTGACCAGTGCGGAGAGGAATATCCCGAATGCAAGGCCTGCGTCTCCGCTAAATTCCCATGTCCCGGGTACGCCAAAAACTGGAAATTCGTGCCGCAGAACGAACGCCTTGCTTCGATGTATAAGCCACATCTCCACGGCTCCAAGAGGAGGAGAACTGGTGCAGTAGCTGTTACCTGGTGGTCTGTGGAAAAGGACCCATATGCCGTTGCCGATTTGTCCAAAGATAATGGATTCCAGCATTACTTTCAACCGGGGATATGCATCTTCGGACCATCAGGCCACGAGAGAACCGCGTATCTCCTTGGGTCCCTTCTGCATGATTGTACGGCTAGAATAGCGGTGCCGCTCGTTGCTCAGGGCTCGTTCTATGAGGAGTTACCTAGACGTTTGGGTAGAAATCCAGCGCTGGATGCCTCGGTGGCGTGCCTCTGCCATATCTGGCTGGACGTTGCGATGAAGCGCAACACCGATTCCAAAGCTGTGGCCTTGTATGTGGGAGGCTTGAAGGCACTTGCAACTTGCTTGGATGATGCCCGGACCCAGTACGAGTCGGAGACGATATGCGCGTCCATCATCTTGCAGATGTGCGAGGTAAGTAGATTGTAGACAACGGAGTTTGGACAGCGGGAAGCAGGTTCTGACGTATCCATTTTAGCTTGCGTTGAACGCAGACAACGGACGCTGGGCCAATCTCACCAGGGGTACAAAGCTGTTGATTCAGAACTGTGGGCCCGACCGATTTACAAGTCCCTTTGAGCATTCCATGCTCGATTCACAACGAGCATATTTTGTGAGTTCAGAGTCCCATTTCCAAGACCCCGACTAATGTAGATAGATATGCCACGACATGAACGACAGCCAACACTGCTTCCTCTCCCAACCCGAATGGCGGCAGGTATTCTCCGACACGCCGACCTTTCCTACAGAACGAGCCAGCTTCTCCCTACGGTCAGCAGCCTGCGACTTATTCGTCGACGTCCCCGAAATCCTTTTCCAGGGAACTAGGCTGCGAGACGAGGAGAGAGAGGGGCCCGAATCTCGTTTACAACTCCTCCATCAAGCAACTACCATGCACGACGCTATAGAAGCGTGGTACCATGAGAACCTTCTGCCGCTCATATCGTCTGATCCCTCGATACCGAACGAAGCGCAGAATGCGTCTCAGCGCCGATACGACGACATTCTGATGGCGGTGTTGGATTCCATCTCCAACACTGTGCTCGTCAGCCTGCGTCTCTTGATGGCGTGCTTGATGTCCGATTTACCTGCTGGCTATCCTGGCAGACCGGATATACCCGTTCCTCGCCTGAGTATGGCGGAGCGCTTGGTTGTTTCTCAGTCCGCGCTGGCGCATGTCCAGAGGCACTCGCAGCTGGCGTCGAAACCGTTGGAGTTTAGTCTGAATTTGATACGGTCTTATACGAATGGGGCGTGGGCGGGTGGTATATGAGGATGGAGGGATGATGGGCTTCATTGCTTTTGGGAGTTATGTGAGGGGAAGGGAAGGGGGAACGGTCGTCTCATCTCTAGAACAAATGGCAGTGGGCTAGTGCTGGACCGGCACATAAATAGAATATCACCCCAAGTCTAGCATTTCAGACGAGTAACGGGAAGGAAAAGCTCGCTGCTGGTAAAAACACGGTGTACGAGGACGAGCACCAAGGCAGGCTACGCTTCTTAATACAGTCTTATTCGAATGGCCTTGTGGTATATGAGAATGGATGGACGGTGAATTCCGTTGCCTCTGGGGGCTATGTATAGTAGACGGGAACGGGAAGGGGGGTGATGTTCATCTCATCTCTGGCACGGATGGCAGTGGATTGGTGCTGGACCTCGCATATGGATAGAATGGGATAAAGCAGGGCCTCTCTAGCATGTCTAGAGTACTTGTAGTGACGGGAAGGGAAATGTTTGCCATCCGAGGACCATCACACCAACCCAGCACCGCAACAAAACCCACCATCAACTCCCCTTAGAAATACCTACCACTAGACCAATTCCCTTGACCAGAATCTAAACAACCTCGCTCCCCCCTTCGCCTCCCCTCCTCCTCCCCGTCCCAATTCTCCTCCCAACACTCACCCCCAACCTCCTCCCCAACCTCATCCCCACCCTCCTCCACCCCTCCCTCTGAACCCTCGCAACCTCCTTCCCACCCCCAAACCACAGCACCCACATCTCCCCGCTAAACTTCCGCCAAAAGCTCACTGACCCATCATCTTGCTTTCCTTCCTCCTCCTTATCCTCCTCCTCCTCTTTCTCCTCTTCCTCCTCTTCTTCTTCTTCTTCTTTTTCTTCTTCTTCTCCAGCATCTTCGCTATTAAATTTTTCTGAGGCGGAGGAAGACGAAGCAAGACGCCCCCGCCGCCGTCGCTGCTGACGCGTCTCCCACGCTCGAGTACGCGAGTAGGCGAAACAGGCGGAGATTGCGGCGGCGAGGAGGAAGGGGAGGGTGGTGAGGAGGAGGTAATCTGAGACGGAGGGGGAGGATGAGGATGAAACAGAGGCGGAGGCGGAGGAGTGATGCATGCACTTGTAGACTTGCGCGTGGTGTGGCTGTGTGAGTGTGTCCAGGGGGTAGAAGGGACGGGGGGACGTCGATCACTGGTGTACTGTGTATGCGATGGGTACTCCGTATGACTAGGGTAGAGGAGGGTAGGGTAGGATAGGTGTGGGTTTTGCAAGGGTTTTGAGGGTCGGGTGCTGAGGGTTGAGGGTGAGGGTTGAGGGTGGACAGGTGCGTGGAATACTGTGGTCTACGTCGTGGCTGTGCTGTGTGGTGCTGGATATGAATGTGAATGTGGCGATCACGGGCACCTCGATTCGAAGTCAAGGTGGAGGGTTCGGTCGATACAGGATAAAGCAAGACAGGATAGACGCGCTCCATTTCCATCATACCTTACTCGGACGAGGTAAAAAACACGATCATGGATATTGAAGAGCCGAGGAATACCAGAGAAAGGGCCATCAGAGGGAATTCCACAGAGGGAATCCGACGAGTCGAGAACAATGAATGCATCAATTATGTACAGTTAAAGTAAACAAAGCCCTCGCCGACAAGCCGAGCATACGTCTGCGACTCTTCCTCCTCCATCCTCATCATCCACCATTACACCTTCCAGCTTCATTACAAAGGACTCTTCCTTTTCCAATTATCCACCCGGTCCCATGCAAAAAGCTCCCAATTCGTTAAATCGCAAAACATAACTCATCACCCAACTCCAATGCAAGACGTCTCTACTGCACCTTCTTCTCCTCCCCCGGCTCATACACCCGATCATCCTCACCCTCAACCTCCTTGAGCACCTTCTCAAACTCAATCGTCTGCTTCTTCCACTCCTGCTTGCTCATCTTCACCTCCTTCCGGAACAGCTCGTCGTTGGGCTTCCGGTAGCTGCCGCCGAGGCGGTCCCACAGCGTCGTGAACTGGCCGTAGTTGAAGTTGAAGTACAGGTGGTGCATGGTGTGGCAGGCGGCGCCGTTGATGATGGGGTTGTCGGCGTAGTACTCGCCGTCGTGGATGAGGACGGTCCAGATGTTGATGAAGATGAAGAGGAAGACGTAGGCGCATTTTTGGAGCGGGAAGAGGAAGGGGAAGATGTGGTAGGGCAGGCCCTGGGCGTAGCCGTCCATGGGGTGGAAGGCGTGCGACGCATATGGCGTGGGCATGATCCACTTGTGGTGCGGCTTGTGCAGGTGCTTGTAGATGAGCGGGTGGTGCAGGTAGCGGTGGATCCAGTAGATGCAGAAGTCGGTGAAGAGGAGGAAGAGCGGGAATTGCAGGACGTTGTACCACATGTTGGGCGCGTCTTCGAGGCGGTCGTACAGCTTCGTGTAGCCGCGGACTTCGAGGAGGAAGATGGGTGCGGTGCCCATGGCCATGACGGGGAGGGCTTTATTGGTCTGGATCATCTCGAGGCGGATCTGGTTCTTGAGGTATTTGGGGTGGTTGAAGGTGGCCTTGTCAAAGACGAGGAAGTAGGAGAGGGAGGCGAAGACGTAGTAGATGACGAGACCGAAGATCCTGTGGGAGCCGTTAGGAAGATTGAAGACGTAAGAACCAAGGAATGCGACGAACCATGTTATCAGGAAGAGGGACAATAGCTGCCGCCGCCAGTCGTCCCGTGGCCAGGCGCTCATGTATGCGTATTTTCTCGGCGTAAAGGATATGTAATCGCTGGCTGGGTGGTACTGCCATGATGAGGGCACAAAGCCCGTAGGGGTTTCTCTTAAACTTGAGACGGTGGCATTGGGCGAGAATGCTGGCGCTTTCGCTGGATGCAGTGTCGCATATATCGGGTCGAACAGGAACGTATCGAAGGCCTCGAGTACGATGTCCATGGTGGATGCGCCCTGGCCCGTCTATCTTTCAGGAGCGGGATTCGGCAAAGGGTCGGAGCAGAATCGTGGTGCAGGAGGACCAGATGAAAAGGGGACAAAAGCTGGCGAGAGACGGGAGGGGAGAGGGGAATGCCATGTTCTTGTACGCCGCCATAAATTGTTGCTAGACTTAGCGGCGCGGCTCCCGGAAGGGGCATAGATGCCAAATTTCTCCGCCCACCCACTCAGGTACCCAGCCAATCAACGGGCCGCGTCTCCGTTCCGCCATACGCGTACATCGTATAACGTATAACGTAAAACGGAATATCCGAAGCGTACGGTACAGCGGAAAGCCCGCGTTCCGGGGCCGTTGAGATCACATCATGCTCACACAATTGCAAATCACCAGAGGGCAGACCCACTGTCTGGCCATGAATTCGAATCCTTATTGAAGAGGAAACTGGTGTGCTCTTCCCAATTCCTTACCTTGCTGCCGCGGGTTGCCTCCGCCTTACTTGTATAATGGGAGGTTTAGTCAGCACCCCTTTTCATGGCGAATACTGTGACCATAATGCCCATGAAAGTTGGAATCTAGTATCCCAAAATGAAGAAGAAAAAGTCTTGAAGTATATAACTCCTCTTAACATTTACCCGCTCCCCCATCGTCTTTCAGCACCCCCCGGACTCCCTTCCCCGTCCTCCAGATCATCCAGCTCAAACTCATTCCCATCAAACCCTCTCTCCTCATCCTTCACCTTCCCATACCCCTTCTCCTCCCCCGGCCCTGGATACGGTTCATCGCAACGCCGACTCCTAAGCGGCGGATAGTACCGCCTATATGTCGCATACGCCACTGTCCAGCCCAGCAAACTCCCCACCGTCACATCATAAACGTCGTGCCTGTAGTCCTCGCAGCGACTTATCGCGATAAGAGCAGCGACTAAGAGCGGCGCGAGCGCTAATAGAACTCTTGCCAAGTCTGTCCGGGGACGGAAGACATGGCACTGTCCTGCAATCCAGAGACTTAGGTATCCGAGCCCCGAGAAAGCGAAGCTAGAGTGTCCCGAGGGGAAACTGCGCCATCCATCGTGCAAGACGTGGTGGTTTTGTTCCGTGCACACTGTAAAGTCTACGAGGGTGTGGTCGGGTGTTCCCTTTGCGGGTTTGCAGCGGGCGAGGAGGTCGGGGCGCGGGCGGCCGACGGTGTTTTTGATCAGGTCGGTGATGAAGAGGGTGAGGAGGAGGGAGATGGTCCAGCCGAGGATGGTGACGTGCGCTTTGTGGGTGCCGGGGCGGAGGAGGACGGCCCAGAGGACGAGGATCGCGAGGGGGACGGCGCCGGCGTAGATGAACAGCCAGACTGGGTGTTGTCAGCGAGAGTTTACTTCGCTCGCTCCGGGAAGGGAGCCACATACCAACAGACACGCGCTCCACCTCCGCATGCGGGAATTGGATGTTCATGTTATCCAGCGCGAACATGCGATGGAACGGCTCGACAACAAGCACCAGCTGTCCCATAGGTAAGTAAACTCTGCTTCGCCAGTGCAGACCAATTCAAGTCTATACATACCGTCAGATACCCGGCAACCAACACGGCCAACCCTACATAGTCGGAAGCATAGCTCCTCTGCCAGAACCTCGCTACCGCGCCCAAGAATCCCGGAGATTGTGCCAGCGACGGGGAATTGCGTCGGCGTTGCTGCGAGCCAGATGCATGATTGGGCATAGTTGGATGGATGCGAGGTTGGAGTCCTTCATAAGGGCATCGTGTATATGTGTATACGTGTAGGTAAGCACACGTAGTAGAAAGCCTGTCTAAGTATTGACGCCGGGGCGTAACTTTTGGACAGACACAGACACAGCGGAGGTTGGGAACTCTGCAGATCTGGCGCCAGCGGGGAGACCAGGGTCGCCGGGTGGCACTAACTAGATTGGGTAATGGAATGCTTTCAGGTACAACTGCGATATATTGAACACCGTGATGGGCACAAATAGAATCACACAGTCCTTATAAAAGGAAGTCAACGTAGTACACGTCCGTTACAGTCAATTTCCACTACTTCATACAACAACGCGATTCTACAACACCGCCTATCCACCCCTCACTTCCACCACGCTACCCAACAAACCAAAGGGAAACTGAACATACTTATGCTCCGGGGTATCGAGTACAAGAAAAGCCAAGGAAATGCTTCGCAGCAGGCATATAACTATGCATCTATAAAGCAAGAGACAAGGAACCGGGAAAAGGGAAGAAAAAAAGTAATGGCTCATCAAGCTTAGAAATTATTCCAGAGAAGCGTATGCATATGCTCATCGCAATGTAGAATGTAGGGAATAGGAAGAGACAATACAAACAACGTTAGTAGAGTCGAAAATTCGACGCAACGGGTATCAAGACCGCGCCTCGGCGCTGACTGGAGAACCGGACGTGATTTGGAAAGTCGGCGTTATGGGCGTCTGTCCCGGCAGCGGCTGTTGCTGCGGTGCACTCCCATCGGCATCCGCTTGTGATGGAGGGGACTCGCCAGGCTGACCAGGAAGCTCCGGGTCGGGAACTTGTATATCGATCTGCATCCAAAAGTCAGCTCCGCAATAGCAAACGAGCACTTCAGGAACATACCGTCATATATCCCGTGCGCCTGAGCGGAATGATCTTCACACCTTCCTTCTCCCCCCGCTCCCTGTTCCAATTCTCTATCCACCTTTCAAGCTCCGCTAGCTTCCGCTTCACTTTTGTCAGACCAACATCGTCCCATAGCCAGAGCGTCGCCGCGCCCATGAAAGCATCCAGAAAGGCGCGGAACGTCAACGGATTGAAGGCATCAATTAACACCGTATTGATATGCTCTATCAGCCTCCGGAACTCATCCTCCTCGATCATAGGATCTAGCACCTCCGGATACAGATTCTGAAATGTCGGCGCCAAGTCTCCCTTCACCATCCAATCCCGCGTCACGCGTATTATGCGAGTGGTCTGGTACAGCGGCGAATCGAGCGGGACATGGGGATTCCGGTGAGGGAAGCAAGGGTGTTTTGGACCCCAAGGTACCTCTGAGGAGGCGTCGTCGTGGTCGTCGTGGTGATCGCCTTCTGCGGTGCCGGTGCGCTGCGAGTACATGGAGTGCGGGCGCGAACCAGGTAGGTGGGAGCGGTCCCGCGTCGTCTTCAAAGATCTCGTGCCAGCTTCCACATCGCCTGTGCGGGACACCGAGACCGGTAGAGCTGCATCGTGCGGGGCATTTGGAGGCGCGGACTCGTGCGCCATGGACATGTTTGGTCTGGACGGGCCAGGGTGAGGGTCAATCGGGGAACGGCGATCGCGCGGAAGTCCAATGCTCGTACGGCCGCTTTCTCCTCCCACGGAACGTTCGACAAAGAGGGAGGACGGGACGGGGCTCTGGCGACTGCGGCGCTGCTCCGGGAGGGTCAGGAGGGGGTATTCGTCGCGGGTCTGCGGCCGTGGGTCGGAAAGCTGAGGGTGTTCGACTGGAACGTAGGGCAGGGCAAGTGTTCGGGGGGACGAGTTGACGGGGTTCCACAGGCGGGATGCAGGGGGCCGGCGGGGAGTGTTGCTGCTGTAGAGGGAGCGGAAGTTAAGATTGAAGAGGCGGTTGGTCAGGCTCCAGCGGACAGGCGGCGGGTCCTGGGGAGGTGTAGAGGGGGAGTAGGCGGTAGGATGATGGGTGGGAGACGGGTAGAAGATGGACGGGTCGGGCGCTGCGGAGTCGTTGAAGGCGGGCGTGCGGGAGGCAGACGAGGCGGCGAACGCAACCGGACGCAGTGTTTCCAACTCCACTGGCGGCTCCGCCGTCGTGAAAGGAGCGATTGTTGCGGTGGTGGTGGAGGTGGAGGAAAGTCAAAGTGTAGTGGATGGGGTGCAGGTCTCGTCGTTGCTAAGGGGCAGGCTGAAGATGCAGTCGCCCTACCAATTCTACTAGCCGACGCAGGTGGTCTGGGCACTGACACCTGCATTGGGAGAAGAACCTACTCCTCCGTAACCCACGACCGAGACAGACAGCCACACGGCAGTCTTTCCTTCACAATAGTGGTGTGGAGTGCAGCGCGGGTTTTGTTCAAGCGACAGAGGGGCGTTGTGAGGGACGCGAACTGCGTGGGTTGTGGATTGGGAGAGGAGACGAAATAACAGTAATCCCTCGTAGTGAGGAGTTGGGCGTTTTTCCAAGGCCGAACAACGACGCCACGCACTCGCGACGCGGCATGTCCCATCCATTTATTATTGATTCCGTTTCTTCTTTGTTCTTTTTTGTCTTCCCTGCGCTTCCGAAGAGTGTGCCGTGCTCGTGCCATGATGTGATGGCGGCGCCCGTGTTCCGTGTGCCTGACTCCCGAGTGGAAGCTTTCGATATTCACCACACCCGGAACATGCCCAGGTGTCATTCGTCGCCCCGTGCACTGTCATCACGGTTGGAGAGCCAAGAGCAGGGTTCATTCGGATCACTGCGATTCACATTCCCCGCGCATAAACTTGTGTGATTCATTCATGTATCGTGGTACCCTCACACTTCCGTGTGTGCACAAGGCAGCTCAATGTCAGACACAAGAGAACTTGATAAACTACGTTTCTATACTGCAGGATTTGCTGCCTTTTCTCTTTAATATACCCGTTTAGGAGATTCTACCCTCATCATCCTCGTGTCCAATTCCCTCCATCTTTTTACTATGGTATGTGAACCACGGTACGGAGTATTCACGACTCATTCACACCCCAACCCACACCCCAACCCAACGCCTCAACCGCGCCCATGGCACCCAAACCCAAAACCTCGGAAAGGGGGGCCCATCCCGTTCCTGCATTAAAATAAAAACATTTCCACACTTCCAAAACATTCCTTGGGGCCTCCGTGCGCACCGCCATTTGCGTCATACCATAATTGCCGCAATTTTATGCGCGTTATGCACTTGGAAATGTGGAGATGAGGGTGCGTGTTTGCATGGACTGGAGCATTCGGGATTTCGGGAATGATGATGTCTGCAAGAAGAGATACTGAGGTATAGTGCTATAATTAGATGGATGGGCGTTTGTATGGATGCTTGCGTCGTTTCTGTTCGTCGAAATACGGAATATGTCAATGGGTATTATGATGATGAAATCCCCATCCTCTTCTCACATCCTCCAAGGATACAACTGCATGCAAAGCAGAGTGAAAGACTCTAATCCTATCCCAAAACCCCGTCTCAAACACGCTTATTAACAGTCGCCTGCAACCTCCTCATGGCCTCCCTATGCGCCTCCAACATCTCCCAACTCCTCATCACATTCTCCATCACCGACTCCCTCTGCTGCTCCCTCAACGCTCGTTCATGCTGCTCCGCCTCCTTCACCCTCTTCTCCTGGATCAGCGATATTCGCTGAGTCATCGCTACATTCGGCCCTCCCACCATACTGTTTGACCCCAGACGGCCGTCCTGACGCAGCGATTCGCGCCACCCCGCGAGCATGACCTCGCGTCTGGTCGACTCAGCGCCCCCCGACATTCGACGCCGTTGGTGCGAGTTGTAGTCTTGGAGTTGAGGAGCCAGGTCCAAGGCGCTTTGGCGGCGCGGGAGGGACGAGGATGGCCCTGATTGCCGCTGTTGTTCGAGTAATTGCTTGCGCTGCGCGAGCGTCATATCCTCGTCGTCGTTCCGGGATAGCGAATTCGTGGACGATGCTGCTGGGGTCAGGGAATGCGACGCCGCTCTGTTCCGGATGAGATTTTCTCGTTTACTGAGAAGGGTGTTGTTGGAGATGGGGGATGGCGTGTACGACAGCCTCGAGGATGATGGGCGAGGGTTTAGGTTTCGAGTAGAGAGGAGGGGATCTGTTGTCGATCGCCGCATGCCTTTTTTGTCTTGGGCTCTGGATGTTGACTGTAACGCTCCCGTCAGGGTGCCAACTTGGGATCTATTCGACGTGTGCGATGTTGATCCTGTGAGGTTTCTGTCTCGATACAGTTTCGTCCCGGTGGAGGTCCTTTTTGGCTTCGATCGCGGAGGTTGGACTACCGGACGTCGACTATCTGCGGGTCCCGATGGCTCTTCAATGACAGGTACTAGCATCGCGACAGGAGAGTCTGGTTCGGCCATGTCATCTACCTCCGGTCGTTCGGCGGAGCCCGAGTGACGCGCCCACTCGTCAGTCCTGTACGACAATGCCGCCGGGGAAAATTCCTCCGGAAGGGCATCGTTCGAAAGCTCGAGGGAAGAAGTCTGTTGTGCAGCTGGACATGATTCAGATTCCGTTGCATTTTCCTTGCCATCCTCCTCATCGCTCTCCTTTTCAACCCGAGAATGCTCAGGGCTAGGAGGGGTATTCAACGCTTCACTTTTCACCCATGTGGCTTCCGGGATAGGTTCCGTGGTAACTAAGAGCGATTGCCGCCCACTGTCGTCCAATGCAATTGATGGCTTCTTCTTCTGTGGTTCAGGGTCTGATCCAGTTCCGTCGTCTTCTTTCTCGCTTTTTGGGCCATTACTGACATCCTCGAGCCTCTCGTTTCCAACGTAAAGCCCTCCACGACTAACAGGTGAGTTGATGACTTCTTCCGCCGTATATTCCATGGGTGTTCGCGCCACCAACGACTCCGTCACGGAAACATTATCCAGCTCGTGCTCATCGTTCAGAGTCGCAGCAAGAGACGAAGCACGGCCATCCTGGATGTGCCACATTATCGGCTCTTCATCCGCAAAATCAGCGGTCTCTTTGCTCAAGGAGAATCTTTTCACGAATGAGGCCCCGGAGCCTCGTTTTGACGGAGATTGAGTCGCATAGTTAGGCTCATACTCTGACGCTGACGTGGCGGAATCTGAAGCATTGTCCGCTTCGCGGTGACTATGTCCATCCGGTGAGACCATGATTGGCAAAGGCACCACGGTCGCGGTTGAAGGAAGCGAAGAGCGAGAAGTCCCTGTGGATGTCCCATCTGACATGGCTCGGGTACTGCTTACGGAGCTAGCAGAGTGATCGTTGAATCCGACATTTGAAGCAGTCTTCGCAATGACCGGTTGGTCGTGAATGTCAATGGCCTGGATCTCATCATCTTCTTCGCTCACGTATGTTACAATGACCGATGGCCCAATCCGCTGAGTTTCGCTTTTCGTGCCTGAACCTTGTTCCCTCAAGCTGCTCCGGTGCCGGTTTGGCAAGTTCTTCAACTCCACGGATTTCGAATGTAAAATTTGCTTCTCCGACGTGCTCGCAGAACTTTTGTCGGAGCCCTTATTCGAAGGCTCAATAACAGAGTCGCGGGGTCTAGCATCCTTGCCGTATATCTTCTCCCACTTCGCCAGCCCATGCTTCAACGTTACCTGAAGCCTTCGCGCGACATCTTCCTCTTCCTCTCGTGCGGTGCGGTCCCTTTCCGCTCGCTCGGCTGCATCATATGCTTCTTGACGTCTGGCGATGTTCCAGAGCTTGACTTGCGAGACGATACCGAAAACAGTTAGCAGGACAATGCCGGCGATTTCGGCCTTGATACCTCTGGTGAGCGGGTACGTGTCTGTGAAAAGAGGGAAGCTGTCTGGAGTGAGGCCTACTTCAATCAGCACGCAATGCTATACCTCATGATGACAGCACGTCCTTACCCCACAAGTACAGCCAGAATTCCTTTAACCCAGCACGGCTGAAGCAATCGATTCCCAGAACCGTGACGGTAGCCCCCGCGAATGACATCAGGCTGATTAGCCCGTACGTTTTCGTATAATGGCTGAATGAGACTGCGAATGCCGCTACACTCATGCAACCAATGAAGATGGCACGGCCAGGAGTCGACTTGATGAGCCCCCCTTCTTTGACGGTAAGGAACCACATGCTGAGACAGAAGCCTCCTAGAAGGCAGCCAAGGCCATCGGTGATATCGGAGAAGACGAGTGATATGGCTCCGAAGACTACGCCGGTCATGAAAGCCGCTACGAAGTAAGCACCCTGCACGGCATCCGAGACTGGTGGGGTCATAAGATAGACAATAAGGACCTTATCATCGGGTCAGCATTATGCAAGGGCGATTAAGGTGTACGTACTGTCACAGCTAGACTGGCTAAATAAGCGGAAGAGAAAGAGATATACAGCCTGTGAGATGTCAGTTGCCAGTATGATGCAGCAAATATGAGGGTCATACAGTTTGTTTCTGATGCCAGTGACAGCATATACAGCGCCAGATATCAACAATATCGCTCCAGCCAAGCCGATGGCTGGGGTGATTTTTGGCTGGATGGGGAGCCGTACCGGCTCTGGTTCTGCAGCAAGTTAGTTGAGTTGACGCAGACCGGGACCAGAGATACTTTCCAGTAGAGCCAGTAGCTTGAGCTCCATCAGAAACCGCAGTCGAAGTGGTATGCGGAGTAGACGTTCCACTAACAGTTTGCGTATTATTCACCGAACTCGAGGTCAAGGCTTCAGTCTGTCGTTCAGTGCTTGTCTCCCTCGCGGATGTCTCTTCTGATTTTACTGTTGCGGGTACTGGTGAAGACTCCAATGCCGTAGTCGTTGCTCCTGGAGCGGCCTCGGTGAGAGCACTCTCATCTTGGCGCGGGTCCAAGGGTATCCGGCTGGCTGTTGCTGCGTCGAAGAAGAGGATGAGCGCAAGGCCAATCACTAGATATAAGTAGGATCTCATGGCACCCCGTAGAAGCTTCAATGTCAGTGCCAAGTTGCCATCGAGAGTAGGTCTAAAGGAAACGTTCGCGATAGAGGGCTGTCAGAATGCACGGATGAGTGTTGATGCGAGAAAAGAAATGAGAGATAAGAAAAAGGAACAGAATTGTGAACCAGTGGTAAAAGAGTGACAAGAAGCAGAAGACGAACACTGGCTGTGCTGCAGGTAGGGTACAGGTCTGCTGCGACCTGTATGTAGAAGTTGGCAGATTGCCAGGGTTATCAGCGATTCAAGGCCATCAGAAGGCTGGCAGTCTATCGAGAAGTCGGGGTCGGCAACCACAGCTCGGGTTGACGTCGACAGCTCAAAGGCTGTTGATTGCCAATTGGGAGCTTCCTGGGGTATAGCGGCGTTAATGGTTTCAACGGCTACGTGCCATATTGGGTACCTCCTCGCTGCCTTGGCTATGGAGGTGTTCTGGAAATTGCAGCCAGCCACAAGCAGACGTTTTTGGACTCAAAAAGCCTTGCAAGAGAAAGTATTGGGCGCCGCTCAATGAATCCGGATCCATCAAAAGCCAAAATGGGAGTACCTCGCGCGATGGAGTTCCATTAGAGACTCTGCTCTGCACACCCGACGAAGACAACTCATTGCGTCGCCCGATGGCGCCACGACCTCTGTCCTTTCAACAATGAAGGGTTCCAAATAGGGATGCACCAGAAACCAGCGCGCAAGAAGTCGTGTCCTGGCGTGGGAGGTTGATGAATCAGAACCTTAAGAGCTTTCCCTCGAGGTCGCGTCGAGCTCAGCAGCAAGTATTCGCGAATTAGGGCATCAATCCATCGAACCAGGAGTCAGGACGCGATTTTCTTGCCTTGATTCCAAGGCTGCGCTCCGAGTGGAGTTTCGTGGCGCCGCGGCCATCCCCTGAATGATCTTCGTCTCAGGGGTTGGCGACAGGGGTCGTTCCAGAGAGTGCGGGAGTGGACACTCCTCCTCCGCAGAGAGTTGTAATCGCAGATGCGCATAAGATGCTCACATCAGGCTATAACAGCGACATCAGATGCGGATTCTGGCGGACTCAGATATATTCGACTTCAAACAGCGCAAAATACGGCATTGCGGATGAATCCGACATGAGGAGATGGCTGTGTGAACGGACGAGGACCCCTGATGACCAAATATGAAATACCGAGCAAGCGGATGGATATCAGCTGCAACGATGGACGGCGTTTTGATGTCGCAAGTTGTCGTCCATATCTATCGGGTGTATTGGGGGATATGCTGCTGTGTAACATGAATCAATAGTGCAGAGTAGGTATCCAGAAGCCACAACAGGCCGACCCTGCGTCAACAATTGTCGGAAGACTCAGTCATATTCGCCGAAATGCAACACAGCGCTAAAATCTCTGCTGAATCGTCGTCCGCAATTATCTCGAACGGCGAATGTCATCCCGTGGTAACCGAAGAAATCTAGGTCTATACCAAGCAGCAACTGTCCACAGCACCGAAACCTGCTGCCACGCCTCCCTCCTCGCTCTGGTCGCCCTTGGTGCGAAGCAGATAACCAGCCTCCCAATTCTGCAGAATCTCACCCTTGTCGTCCTCGCTGGTTCCGTTCCTCCAGAGACAGACGCCGTACACTCCCAGTTCGCAGATCACACCTCCTCTTTGAAGCTCTCCGTTGCGGAGAATAGCGTTTCTTAGCGGTGGCGGCTCGATCATCTCCATGAGGATGTATGCGGGCCAGTGGGTCTCAGGAAGATTCTTCAGGAACGGCGGAATTGCTTTGCGGTATATGTTGTTGCCGCCGCCTTCGCGTTGGGGCTTCAGCACGTATCGAACAGCAGTGGCAGGGTCTTGAGCCAGTTTCTTCGCCTCTCGCCCTGCTTCACTGTCATCTAAGGGGTAGATGGGTGCGAACGTCTCCAAGACGCGAGATGCCACGCTCTCATCTGGTAGGAAACGCTTGAGGTGCGGAGAGTGCGGAGTTGCGAGAACTTGCTGGACCTTCTTGCATCCAGCAAGGTGAGTCAAAATGCTGGGGCACTTGATTGCCCTGCTCTTTTCCAGCTGCAGTCGGGCGGTCCAGTCTTCCTCCCTTGGGTAGTCGTCTGGGGTATACCCAGCCCGGAAATACACAGTAGTGACTTCATATTCTGTCGAAGGCGAGTTGGGTGGTGCATAAAGGAGATTTCGGTCGGAGTCCAGCTTGGTGTCGGTCAGAGTCCGGTGGAAGGGTAACCTGAATGATCTGACACCGCTTTCTTCCAACAATGCATACTCCAGGTGACGTTGGTCGAAGACGTTTCTTTCTGGGTCCTGGACCACGAAGAGTACGCAAAGGGGCTTCCCAGACCTGGATGTACCATAAGCTTTGTGCGCTGCCGCCAGGCCTTGGGCAAGGGAAGAGGTTGATTTGCTCTGACGCAACGCCTCCGCTTTGATGATACCTGCTGTTGACGAGGGGTATGCGTCAATTGTCAAGAGATACCTGTGCAGAGCAGATACCAGTGATGATAGACCGCCGAACGAAGAGGCAATGGTGTTGAATTCGACCTGTCGTAATCCTGGTGAAGAGTCGGACTTTGAGGAGTCAGAGTGAACCATGTAGTCAGAACGAAATAGACCCAGTGATAGATTCTGTCGCAAATCAGCTGGAGATCTTAGAGTTGGACTTGGTGTCAAACCTGAACATAGCCCTCCTTCTTGACAGCCAGATGAGTCTGCCACAACTTCTCAACGAAATCGTCGATGTCAATCAGCCTGCCACTCCCACTGTAAGCATATAGACTCATGCAAAACAAAGACCTTCATATCGACATGGAATCGCTCACTCTTCCACAATGCCCTGCAACCACCTCTCGTCTCTCGCTATCGCCGCATACAACTCATTGTACGCTGTCTGAAGCGCCAGCCCCGCCTCAAAGCAAACACGAGGAAAAAGACTTGGAAACAGAGTTACTGGCGCAGTCGTCGCAAGAACACCAGAGGGGTCCTGGGAAGAAGACACGAAAGAGGGAGCGGGTCGGACCGCCAAGCCATGGGCTATCGACCAGTCTTTCAGATTGGAGAGGAGATATTGTTCTTCCTCGGACGAAAGCTCGGGAGGGTATTCGGATATTGTTAGGGGAGCCATTTCTACAAGGCGGAGGTGAATAACCTTCACCCTCACGGTAGGTAACCGTTTGTAGTGGGGGAGTTGGCCGAACGATTTCCGCGCTAAGGCGATTTGAAATCCACTATATATCCTGCCGAAGCTCGGTGAACCAGAGCCAACGCGTCTTATATGGCCAGGTCACCCATTTTCAGGCTTCAATCACCAAATGTAACACTTATTCCATGCATTTTCCTGTCTTCACTTATACGTATGGGGAGATAGGAGCCCACGTGAAAGCACAACGCGCTATCACGTGTCATATTTTGCCAAGACAATTACCTTTCCGTGTACGGTTAGGCACTCTTTCCGTTTGTATACCTTCACCATGGGCGTCGTCATTCACGTCTTCACCAGCACAGAACAATCGGTGCAACAATTTCTGAACCAGCCGCTGAGAAGCTTAATGAGAAAGTACCAGCGGCTTCCGCGCATCTCATTGTTAGTCGTTCACAGGGTAGGCTACCTTTACTTCATTCCGCAGCCTGTACCTTCGAAGCTACAGGTGTGATGCTCACCGCTGCCTTCACTCTCTGATACATTTCTTGTCCGTTCTATCATTCTCTACTTTGTCTTTTATAGAAATTTCTTGTAATTGTCTTCAAGAGTTCTAAGCTCCCCGCGACTATTCGCTGTTACATTCTGATAGCATAACCTGCTAACAGGCGCTGGGTGTAGTTCTGACTCTCATTCACTCAGGTTATTACCATTACATGTCAGATCCATGGGACTGGACCGTCGGACAGGTAGTAGAATACCTGTGTCGCCATGCCGGAGAGATATTCGGAAGCACAGTTGGACTGCGTCAAAGAGAGTACCTTGAATCAAAACTACGCAACAATGCGGTTAATGGCCGGGCACTATTATGCCGTGTCGACCATCGCATGCTACAAATGAACCTTGGCTTGCTCATGGCTGCTCAAAGGGACGGTCTGCTTGCCATTGTAGAACGATTGCGTGCGGAGTCCGCCAAGTACCAACGATTTGGGAATTCTCAGGTTATTCAAATACAACAGAACGGTGGTCCTACGAGACCTCCTGTTACAGCTTCTCCGCGGGATGTCGGGACGACGAACACTGAAAGACGCAGGGTGTCGAACTTGGTCACAGAACCGCTGAATTCTGCGCAACAGCATGTTACCCTTCCGCCCTCTGATGAGCGAAATGTCGAGTTGTTGGATATCAGCATGAGCAACAACATTGAAGCAGATGGAGACTGGGATTACCTCGCCCAACGATGGAATGACGACAATGACGAGGAGATAATAAGCATTGGTGGCACAGAGGAAGAGGAAGATTTGGATGACTCAGAAATGGTTGAAGACGAGAGCACCACGGAATTGGCCGTGGAAACCCCGAGTAATGAAAGGAATGGACAGATGACAAAGGGGAGTAAGCTTGACCCAGAAGAGGTGCTAGACGTTATACACAGCTACATCGACGAGTATACTGAAAACTGGACGCCTGGAAGACACGCAGACGAAGTCCTAGACCAAGCGTGGGATGCGCATGAACTCTGGCACGAATTGCACGATCAGGATGAGGCAGAACAGCAGCGTGTCATCCAGAAGACGAAGGAACAGATTGAGTATTATGAGCTCCGAGTCAACGTAATCATCGAGGAGATTCTTCAGAGCAGTCTCTCGTGGCCAAACAGAGCAGCTGTGTGGAAGCAGTGTGCCAGTCTGGACCATATGATTGATTTCCTCGAACAAGAGAAATGGGAACTGGATGTGTACCAGATGCAATCGCCACCTCCAAAGAGCAATTATGCCGAGACTTCATTGCCTGTCAGAAGTACGTCGGGGACAGGAAAACCGCAGGGTTCGACAGCTAAGTCAGGGAGAACATCTGGCTTGACAGTGCAAGCGCAACTGAACCAGATATCCAACCGCGCAATACGGCAGGACGATTCCGGCCCAGAGCGGATCGTGGCAATTGAAGAACTGCAGCTGGGCGGCTCCAGGAATCAAATATCCAACCGCCCCATTCGACAGGACGATTTCGCCCCAGAACGGATTGTGGATATTGAAAAACCGCAACTCGGCTCCAGGAATCAGATATCCAACCGCACAATTAGGCAGGACGAATCCGCCCCAGAGCAGATCGTGGAGATTGAAGAACCGCAGCTCGGAGGCTCGAGGAATCAGCAACCACACTCCCAGACCCAACCCTCGCATCCAGCTCAAACCCCTAGAACTGCGCAGGTGGAAATCATCGACTTGGGTTCTGCCTCAGACTCCGACTCCGACTCTGCAAAGATGGACGTCGACGAGTTCTACACACCGCTCTCGAGAATGATACCTACCGAACAACCTGTCGCTTCGCCAACGGGAGAGACACCCAGCAAGCCACCGACACATCGGCCATTAAGAACCATATCTGCGGGACGACCAGTGGTCCCTCCACTGTCGAGGATACAATCCGCAGAAAGACCCGCCGTTCCTCCGGCGCAAGTACCAAGAAGGGCACAACCAACGACTCCTCCACCAAGAGTAACCCTTACACCCATTCCTCGTCCAACTGGGAGCACCCCCTCCGAGCCCATGCTCATCGACTCGGAACCCAACCCCGCGCCACTCTCCTCCCCGTCCGTCGTACTCCCTTCCGTCGAAACCGCGCCAGCATCGAGTCTCCCATCCATCCCCCTCCCGCGTTTCTCCCAACCTTACCCCTTTCGCCCTCATCCCAACCCCAACAACCAGCGCAGGGCCGCCCGCCCAGCTGCCCCGCTATTGCTCATCACCCCTCCGCCGCCCCCGCCCTCCACCCACCCCGTCACCCTCTCCCCCTCCACCGCCTCGTACGCCACCATCTCCCGCTGGACCTGGCCCGACCTCGTCGCGTCCTGCGACCGCAAACGCATCGTCCTCAAAGTACTGCAGGAGATGAGCACGTCGGACCGCGAAGCCATCCGCTCGCGGATCATGCACGTGAAGAAGACGACCCTGATCAGCGAGATAAAAGAGTGCGTGGGCATGATGATGCAGGGGAAAGAAGGGATCCCCGGGTTTCTGGCGAAGGATGTGGTCAAGATTGTCAAGTTTACGAGGTTGTTCCTTTGTTGGTGGTTGGCAGGGGATTATTTTGTTCATGGGGATGGAGAGGAGGACGGATTGGGAAGGAGGGAGAAGAAGGAGGAGAAGGAGGTTCCTATGTGGCGGCTCCGGGAGCTGGAGCAGTGTCTGAGGGACGAGGAGACGCAGGATCCGAGGGTGTTTTGCGAGTGGGTGCGGTGGGTCATGGAGAGGACGTTTAGTGAGGAGGCGTTGGCGGCGGAGAGGCGGTGGGCGCCGAGTCAGGCTGAGGTGATTGTGATTTCGGACGATGAGGGGTGAGCGGGGCCATAAGAGTTGTTGGATCATATTATGGAGGGAGTGTGGTTGTGTGGGGAAGAAGAAGACGAGGGTGAGAAAGAGAGGTGGAGTTTGGTGTAGTAGATCGGGAGAGAGAGTCTGGTGGAGAGTGATGCAGCTGGTTCTTGTGTTCTTAGGCAGGGCCCGATTGCATAATGGGGAATGGGAGGAGGCCTGCAACAGTTTGCAATGCTGCTTTGGCCAGTGTGGACGGGATGCTTAACGGCTGCTCATATGTTGGTATGCCTGCCTCAGAGCGAAGGCGGAGGCGTGGAAAGTGTACGCCATGTACCATATGAACCTTAGAGGAGGAATAATGGAAACGAAGATTCATGATCATGATGTATTTGGTCAAGGGTTCACTGTTGTAGCAGCTGTCACATGTGCAATTGTCATCAGGAACCTAGGGTTCAACAAGTCAAATCAAGCGATCAAGTCCAAACAAGAAGAATCAAACAACCACAATCATGCGGTCATATATCAAGCACTTATAGTCAGATATTATCGTTTCCAATCGAAGATGTAGTAAATTTCAGTCAGATATTCATTCATTACATACACAGATAATGTGTCCATATGGACGTGGTATCATCCATAAGCCTTTCCAGGCAACAGAAATTCCCTTTCCCCCGAAAACAAGAACGCCATAAACATGCAATATCCGTGAAACACCATGCGGGAAGATCCCGCCCGAGGGACCGACGGAGTCAGCGGAAAAGCTACGCTGCCGATGCTCGAAAGACATGCGAGAATGCATTCACGTTGACCTCATTTCCTCGCCTTCTTGACCCTACTCTCCGAGAAGGGCTTCAGGGCACCCTTCCCCTTACTCTTGGGAAAGGCAATCGCATTCTTGGGTTTTTGCCTCCTCGCCTTCTTGACGCGATCCTTCCTCTTCGCCTGGGTCTTGGAGATGGAGGATGCGGCGGTCGTCTCGGCGGTCGCAGCGGCGGCCTCGTCGACTTCCATGACTAGAGAGCAAGAGAGACATGTTAGCCTAGGATCAAAACCATTTCAATCTCTCAGCTGTGTGGGTGCGAAGAGAAGGGATCGTAGCAGAGGAACAAGCAGATTGGAGTAGCGAGCAGCAGCAGCAGGAGTTGGGCAGAGCGAGCAGCACATGTTAGCTTATGATCACATCATGTCTCAGAAGCGATCGAAGCCGAGGGTGACGAGGTTGCGGCTCGGGAAGCCAAGAATGTCGGAAGAGACACCTAGGCTGAGGTAGAAACTTCGCTCGATGCGAGCCTCGCGTGAGCAGCGGGTTGGTGAAGCGTCGGCGTCGGGGGTAGTTAGGTATTTCGGAAGTCTGACAGACATTGGGAACAAACATTTGGGTAGATCTGCCTCATCCTCGGTGATGTCTGTGTCTGTGTCTGTGTCTGTGTCGGTGCCTGGTGCTGGTGCTGCTGCTGCTGCTAGTACTGGTGATGAGGAGGTTGATGATGTTGTTGAGCAGCTGGTGAATGGGAGAGTCCTCTGGGAATCGGGACTGCTCTCACCTTCTGCAGAGTCGCTTGAGTCGATTTCCATGTCTGATTTCTTGGGGGGCTCGGGCTTGGGTTGCTGGACGGCTTCGAGCAGTTTGGCGTGAAGTCGTTCGTTGCGGGCGGCTTCGGCAGGGCCGAAAACGCGGGCACGCAGCTTGGAGCGATTCGCCTTCTTGACGCTGGAGCGGAGACCTTTGGCCATTGTTGCTATTGTCGGTTCAAAAAGGCGTGCGATGAGGTGGAAGTGGAGTGTTCTACCTGGTGGTGAGGTTTGGGTGGGAAAAGAATTCGGCAGAGGTGGCGACTTCCTCCGTAGTGTGGTCCGTGCGTCTGTCTCTCGAGGGACGACGCCATGACTTTGCGACCACCACCAGGCCTCGAGAGTGAGTGAGAAGCCCTGCAGAGGGGTGAAAGGCTTCCCACCTTCCCACCTTCCCACGGGCGTCGCCTGAGCTAATCTAGCCTCCTCCGCGATTACCAGCGCGACAAGTTGCACCGGACTTGCAGGCCCGTTTGCTCGCTCCAAAGCCTGAGCTGTCTCCGTTCATCCCGATATACCAGAAGTTGCCGTCCAACGACCACCGCCCGAGTTGCGAAACGTCTCCTTCGCCTTCACCTCCCGTCCGCTTCCTCACTCTTCCTCCTCCACCGCCCAGCGTCGCCAATGTCTCCGGCACCTCACTCCGCCTGGTAGCTCCCCCGCCTCGCGCACAACTACCACCCACCACTCTCACCAACCTGCTCCTGCCGACTACCAGACGTTCGCCCTGTCACGACTTCCAATATGGACCCAGCTCCTCTAATCGCCCGCTCCAAGACGCTCATCAACAACGACCTCAGGAGGATTTGCAAGGAGGAGGGTCTGGTTCAGTCTGGCAACAAGCCCCAGCTTCAAGCCCGCGTTATAGATCGTATGTCACACTGCCCTATCCACTCGACCTTCACTCACTTACATCTTCCCTCTTTAGTCATCACATCGGCAATATCTCGCGGAGACACGGATGCCATCCAGCGACTCAGATACCGCCTGAACAATCACGGCGAGGCGCCGCCCTCGTCCGGCACCTCAGCCACGCCTGCAGCTCCGAGCCTCTCCAACTCGTCCGTCTCCCACACCGTCTACGCAGACATGGGTGGTGGCTATAGGAGTGGCTATGGTGCGCCTATACAGCAGCCAGTAGGCCTAGGTCGGTGTGAGTATCAAAGCGTATGAACGTATATTGGAACCGACGCTGACTAGAGATAGCGGCATTCAGCATCTTCAAGAGCTCCCCTTTCTACGAGATACAGGATCCGGTCCTGCGAGACGTATGCTTAGACCGTGAGTGCGCCGCTTTTTCATTCTCCAGAGTGCTCTTACACATGTCATTCAGCATCCCCGAGCTTACAAATCGCATCAGCTTCACCTACCCATAGACAGTCGCTGTCTCGCCCGCTCATATTGTCACCCGAGATCTGTGATCGCATGAGACGAGATCCCACGCTGAAGCTCTACCTTTTTGCATACGTGGATCAGGCTCTCTCGAATTATGCGCTTCATGACATCGCATTCCCCCCTCAGCTGGAAGTGAAGGTGAACAACGACGAGGTCAGGTCCAACTTTAAAGGTCTCAAGAACAAGCCCGGAACGACGCGGCCAGCTGATATCACGGACCTTGTGCGCAAATCTCCGCCAGGTTATAAGAACACCTTGACGGTCACTTGGGCACTCACACAGAAGAAGTACTTCTTCTTCGTGTATCTCGTCAGAAAGTTTTCCGTGGGAGAGCTGGCCAAAAAGATCACACAACGGAACGTCATCACGAAGCAATCTGTACTCGCAGAAATGCGGAGGAAAGCAGATGACCCCGATCTACAAGTCGGCTCCGTCAACATGAAGCTCAAGGACCCGGTGTCCACCCTGCGCATCACCATCCCCTGCCGGTCGACCGTCTGCAATCATTCTCAGTGCTTCGATGCGGAGTCCTTCCTGCAGCTGCAAGAGCAAGCCCCGACATGGGTGTGCCCCATTTGCAACAAGACAGTATCCTTCGAAGCTCTTGCAGTAGACCAGTAAGTCCGACGGTTGAGAGTTGTGCTGTACCGCTAACGCCTAGAAAGATATTTCCAGGAGATCCTGCAGCAGGTGCCTCGTAGTACAGAACAAGTAACCATTGAACCCGACGGTCGGTGGTCCTACGGCGATGCCGCTTCTAAGAATACGCCGAGCAGAGCAGGCACCGCAGCTACAAATGGCACATCGCAGCACTATGATAGTGACGACGACCTCATCGACATCACCGACCACCGCATCTCGGCAATCAAAAGAGAAGACGCAGTGCCCACCCCGCAGTCACTCAACAACATTTCCCCGATGCCCTCGCGCGAAGCGTCGTCCGCCCCACGACCGGGCAGCAAACGCAAATCCGAGGTCATTGACCTGACGCTGAGTGATGATGAGGAGCCTCCGAGGCCGGCAAAGAAGGTATCGTACAATAATAGCTACACCCCCGCAAACACCACCACCCCTAATAACACCCGGCCCATTGTCGACCGCACTCTTGCCGCCTCTTCTGCGGGCTTGAGAGGAGGATATCATACCACGCCGAGTTATCTGGGCACTTCCACTACTACTACCCCTTCCGCTTCTTCCGCCCCTGTTGCACATATGCGTCCCCCTTCTTTCTCTTCATCTTCTTCTTTGCGGCCAAGCGGCCCTTCGAGCAATGGATTGCGGTTGGACCGGCCGCCGCCCCGGCAGCCTCAGCCGCTCCCATCGTCACTGCACCATTATACCCCATCCTCATCTTCTTCTTCTTTGTCGTATAGGGGAGGGCAGCCTCCCCCGTCGCATCCACCGCCTCCGCAGCAGTCATCGTATAGGAATGGCTACGCGGCCGGGCAGGCGGGGTCGGCGGCGTATCCGGCATATTTGGGGAGTTCGCCTTGATGAGATGATGATTACGTTTCTCTTGCCCATTCCTCTTCGATGTTCCCCGGCTGTTCTAACTTGTACGTTTTTGTTGCTTTGGAAAAGACGGATGAAACCGCTTTTTGTTGTACGATGAGAGATGGAACTGGGAGAATGCTGGAAATGAGGTGGCACGTCTCCCGTCTCCCACCTCCACCTCCTCCCCTGCATGCACACACACACACACACACACACACACACACACACGAACGAACGGCCTCTTGTCTTCTTTGTTATGACCTTACTAATGCGGATTCGGACTAGTAGACTCGAAGAGGCAGCAGCAGCAGTGGGAGCAGCACGCTTGGCAATGACGAGTCGTCGAGTGGGAGTAGTGCTTTGAGGGTGACGAGGGGCAGGGGGAGGGTCGGGGGAAGAAGGAGCGCGAGGAGTGGGAGCAGTGGTGTGTCTTGACGGTGGTGGTGGGAGCGAGTGGTTTCGCTCATGTGGTGGAGGAGGGGTCGAGGAGGTGGAGGGAGTACCGGGATGAGCGAGTGAGTGGGGGGGTTGAGATTTCAGAGGGTAGTAAGGAAAAAGAAGGGATTGACCATCTGACTGGAGTTTTTCAAAGGAAGGATGGGAAAGGGAAGGAAAGGATTTACAAGGCAAGGGACATGGGCGTGTTCCTTGTGAAAACGTCGGATGTCTCCTTTTCGGGCTGCGTGCGTGCGTGCTATGTGCACGTGAGATGAGCGTGGAAGTTATACCTACGCCCCTCTAGTTATGGTGGGACGAGCTGGATTGGATTGGATTGGTCCTGCGGTGGAATGGATGGATGGATGGGAGGGCGGATAAAATGCATCTTTGCATCTATGCATCATGGCATGGCATGGCGTGGTATACTGGATGGGTCCATTGCTTGCTGGGATCGGCATCATCGCTTCTTCCAGCTCTCTCTCTCTGGTGGCGTACGTGATGTATGTCCTCACTCGCTCTGCGCCATCAGGCAGGGGAAAGAAAGAAAAGAAGGAATGGGGAGGCATTCACGGGAATAGATATCCAACCTGAAAACCCCGAGTCGAGAGTTTACTCAATCCCTCAAACCACCACTGAATCAACTCCCCAGAAACCTGCTATTTTAATAAGAATAAAGACAACATTCGCATTGCATGGGGGATATAACCAAAAACCCAAGATATCCTTTGTTTCCCACCTCTTGATATCGCACACACAGACACAGACACACACATACAGATCCCCCCATTTTCTCCCCCCAACCCAAATCCCCAATCCCCGCTTTACCCTAATAATAAAAAAGCAAATCTCCATTCCGACCGTCGTCTGCATTCAAGAGAAGATCCCCCTTCACTCCGCCCTTAACATCGTGAGCATCCAATGGCCTCCACGTCTAAGGGACCCCTCCTAAGGTCCCGTATACCTCGAGAATCTGGCGGAAAAGGGAGAGTCAGTCATGGACGAGGACCTCGTGTAGAAAAAAGGTCCACCACATACCTCCAGATTCGGGCGCGCATGTCTCCGCTGCCCGTCGCGAAAAGGCCTCCATTCGGGCTGGGTGCGACCGAGATGACTATAACAGAAATACATTAGCCTCTGGCATTGATTTACGCCCCCCCAAACAAAGCAACAACGGGCTTACCGGAATTCTTATGTCCTTGGAGCATGAGCTGCGCGACTCCAGTATGCGGATCCCAGAACTGGACTCCGCGATCCTTGGAACCGCTCATGACCCAGTCACCGCCCGGAGTGAGTGCGACACTCAGAACGTAGTCCTGGATAGAAAGGTCAGCGGGGGCGGGTAATGTCTCCAGGAAGAAAGCTTTACCTTGTGGCCTCGGAAGGTGCGGATGCACTTGCCGGTCGGCTGAGCGCCTGGCATCATGCGAGGAGTTGACAGCTCCCACATCTTGATCGTCATATCCAAACTGCCGCTGACCAACTTAGTCCCATCCGGCGAGAAGGCCACCGAGTAGACGCTGTCCTTGTGGCCGTCCTCGCCCTCGAGACGGACGACGAGCTGGCCGGTGTTGATGTCCCAGACGCGCACGCTCTTATCCAGAGACCCGGCGGCGACAAGACGGTTGTCCGGCGAGATTGCGACAGTGGTCACGCCATCTTCTATGTGGAACGTGACCACGTTCTGGTTAGTGTCCAAATCCCAGAGACGCACACTCCTATCTCCACTCCCAGACGCAATCAGCCTCCCGTTGCGAGCGAAATCCAGGCTGTAAATATCCTGCTCGTGACCAGTGAAGGTATGCTTGATGCTCCGTGTTGCGATATCCCACACCTGCGCTGACAGTCAGTGACACACTCGGACAAGCGGAGCGGAACAGGTGACATACACGAATGACCTTGTCTTCGGCTCCCGTGGCAAGGTAACCACCGTTGGGACTGAAACAGACGCTCCTGATGTACAGGTCGCCATCCTCCTGGGCGTTCCCATCCTGCAAGTGAGCCACGGCCATGCCCGTCTCCACATCGTAAATCTCGGCTGAGCGATTGCAGCCGGTGGCTACAAACCTGCCATCCATGCTGAAGCGGACGCAGCACACGACGCTCTGGTGGGGGAGGTTGTGGACCAGATCAACGTCCAGGACGCGACGAGTAGAGGGGTTGAATACGGCAAACCAGTCATTACTCTCCTTCTTGAGGTTGTCCGGCAGCTGGTCCAGGTCCAGATCGGCCAGTGTGTTGGTCTGATTCAACGGGGCCTGAGCCGGAGCCATTAGCGAATTTGGGGGCTGATGAGAAGGAGTTGGGCGTGCAACCTGGGGAGAGGGTGGATAGGGGGCAGCAGTGTTTTGCTGAGGAGTAGCAGGCCCAGGCGGGCCGCCTCGAGGGCCGGCACGCCTGCCTCCTGGAGAGGCAGTCTGTTGCGGCGGGTATCCTCCTGATGGAATGGTCAGAGTCTATGCTTGCCAGCGGAGAAAAGGGCCGACGAATTTGCTCACCATTGACGGCGGGGGCGGCTGGGTAGCCGCTGAAATTCTGAGGAGGACCAGGGGCCGCGTTCAAGCTGGGTGGTGGTTGATTCATATGCGGCGGTAGCCCCTGAGGAGGCTCTTGTTGAGGAAGAGGAGCGAGGCCCGGACCTCCTTGGGATGCGCCGCCCTGCATGATGCCCCCGAAGAGATTTTGTCCGTGACCAATGGTGGGCGGCGGGGGCTGAGGGGGCCCGTGGTGCGAAGGCTGGCTCGGGGGACCGCCGCGGGCCTCCAGTTCCCTCCGTAAACGATCGATCTCATCTTCGTAGCTGTGGGACGGTCAGATGATATTCGAGAACACGGTCTTGTGGAACCGAGGAGACGAACGTTTTCTTTGCCTGGTTATGCTGAGTCTCAATACCGTAGATTTTCTGCCTGATGAGCTCCAAGTCCTGAATATGGCGAGCGACTGTCCACACAGGTCTGGTCAGCTAGTGTCTCGACTGAAAATGGCTGGGATGGAGGATCGACCTACGCTGTGTCTCGAGCTCGGCGCTGCGTGCTTGCTCACTCTCGTACTCGGCGCGTAGGTCGTTGAGCAGCTGCTCTAGGCGCTGATTGGGGGCAGGGCCTTGGCCGGGTTGGAGAGGCACACGTGGAGGGGCGTAGCCGTGATTCATTATTGCTGATGGGGGGTGCGGACGCGTCGTGGTGATGTGGTGCGGGGGAAGAGATGGATCTGAAAAGGCGCCGGGAGACTACGGGGTTGTGCGAAAACGTCTCTGGCGACAACGGCAGACAAGGAGCGGTCGAAGGTCGGGAGGAATGGGATTAAAGGCGCGAAGTGGAGGGAGGTTGGAGGTCAGGCACGAGGCTGAGGCCCAGCGAAAGTACCCACTATGGCGCTTGGACGGGATGCGCCTCAGCCGGGACAGTATCAGTTGGTGCGGGATGAGGTCGGAAGAATGTAGTGAATAGCTGGAATGACGGCGGACGGGTCGACTGGCGGAGGAGAGTGAAGATAGCAGGCAGGTGGCAGGAGGTGGTGGTGAGGAAGAAGGTTGTGAGAGGAAGCTTTTGGGGCGTCGGTCGCGCTTGGGCCGCTTTGGGTCGCTTCTGACAGGGCAAGGGACGGAAGGCGCCTTTGGAGATGGCGCTAGGCTGGAGAGGGCTAGACTGGGGCACTTTTGTGCGATGGGATGGGAAGGAGCGAAACAGTGGGGTTGCCAAGCAAGACCGCCAAGCCAAGTTTTCCTGGGCCGAGACCTGCCACAGCATACCTGAGCACGGATTGCATAGATTACAGCATGGAGACCCTTCCGACAACCTTGCTATACCACCGCTATCACGACAGGATACCCACAGCCAGACCATCAAGTACTGTGTTAAAAAGTCACGATTGTTTATCCGTCCACCGACAATTCCTGGGTCAGACAACTACACATATTTACGGTCCCAGTCATCGCACGTGGTCATCGTTCCGGACTTGTAGCCTTACCACCAGACTGTGGCCAATCAATCAATCACTTCGTAACTTCGGTAACTTCAGCTACCTGCTGGCCGTTGTGGGTGTGGGCGCATATCCTGTGTTTGTACTCTGTACCACAGCACACTGTGGTAGTGGCTGCAAGGTAGATTGACATGGATGCAGGTCACGGGTGACAGTACTCCAGTTCAATGTTTGTCATTTGCTGGGAACTCTCAGGTATTGTGTAGACGTAGCAGTACGAACTTTTCGCCATGTTAGAAACGCATGCCATGTACAGAGATAAAACAGCTCCGCACACATGTCTGCCCTTATACACCTGCACGTCCTGGTTCCTACTGTGTAGGGTTAGTCATCTGTATTGGTGTTTACACAGTAAAAGTGGTTATGTCAAGTTCTCTCCTCGCTACAAGTATGCTCAGCTACCGGGATCCGTTAGGCGGTTTATTTACTGGTCCATATGCTATCAAGTATGTACTCCGTATTATATGATTTTACATAGTGTATGGCCATGATGACATCTAGCGCAGTACTGGTAGGGATAGCTTCAACCCACCCTCCGACCGCAACCTGATTCCCCAATCTCTCCCCGAATCCTCACCTCATCATTCCCGTTTGACGCAACCCCCCGTATTCGCTGCACGACGGATCCGCATCGCAGTTCATCAGTTTCCATCTTGAGATGTCTGGCCACGAGCATACCCGCCTCCCCGCCGTCTCCTCCACCGACCACCGACCCTGGGTGACGAACCCGCAGCTGGTGACGTCTATGTGTTCCCACGATGCTCGACCGCCCACCACTCTCTCGCCACCGCGAAGCAGCCCTCGCCCAACGACCAATTATTCGCCTTTCCCTCAAAGGGCATTCACAGTCCGCTGCACTGCGTGCCTTCACCGCACCCATTGCATGATGTCATGCGACCCGAATTTTCCTTTCCCCTTGAATGTCCCTACGCGTGACAAGATCCCTCCGCCATCTCTATATTTACCGCCCCTCCAAGGGCTCCACCAACACCACAGAGCTCTCTTTCAAGGCCTTAGCATTTCCTATTCAGGCGACCCCCCATCATTCCAGCCCATTGTGAAGCTCCAGCTCGCTTCCACCCGCTGACCCGCTCTTTACACTTCTTCGATAGAAACGAACGTCCTCAGCTCCAGCTCCCACCGCCTGCCTACTACCCACATACCGCAGTAGAGCGCCGATAGAAAGCCGCACAGCTCCCTACCCCTCCGCAACCCCCTCGACCAACATACCATGGCAGCTGCCGCCGCTGTACACCCGCACACATCGCAGACACTACAGGTCCCCAAGCCCCGCCCGGCCTTGGTCCGGAGGAGGACCCGCGAGTCCTTTCAGGCGCAGACGTCGATCCACCGCGTGAGGACCACAGAGCAGGAGGGTCTTCCCGTTGGCGTCAGTGTACGTTGCCTTTGTTTTCTTTCTTGCCTTGCCTTCCCTTATCCCTCGCCGCTCCCGCTGACCCCGTCCGCAGAGCCTCTTTCTTGGCATCGCAATCACCGAAAACGACAACAACGGCGAGAAGCTGTTTGACGTGGGCTTCGCGACCCACGATGGTACCTACTCCAACGACTTTGCCATCTGGGAGATCGGCGGCAAAATCTCCCCCCTCAACGACGACCCTGAGATTCGCGGTCTGGAGATCGCCAACCACCTCGTCGCCGAGATTGACAAGTATCGAAGGAAGCATCTCTGCAAGTTTCTGGGCGCCGGCCTGACAACGAAGCTGGTCCGTTACTCTCCAAAGCTTCCCTCCATGCTATGGAGGGAGTTGGACATTGTGCCCTTTGTCATCCACAAAGAGAGGCCTTCCCACGTGGCCACCAAGAACCGCTCTGCCGCCCATATGACGGTCGACGAGGAAGCCGACTCCATGGCCAGGACCTGCTTGACGTAAGATGGAGTCTCCCAGTACACCTGGCCTCGCAATCGCTGACCCGTCCTGTTAGCATGTACGGCCCCAACAGCCAACCGCGGCTGTCCATCGGGTACCGCAACGAAGTCGAAGTCGACAACGGAGGGATAGCACAAATCACCCACCACGACGACTACGTGGAAACGGTGAGTGCCGAGACATGGCTGGCGACCAACCATTTTGCCCATTCCCTCGCGAAGAAGGAGGTGAGGATCGCTTTCTTCAACAGCACTCCGCAGGGTGGAGGTGTGGCTCTCATGAGGCACGCCCTGCTCCGTTTCCTGGCCAAGATCGATGTGGATGCGCGATGGTAAGTTCAAGCATGCATATGGAGCCGTCACCTCCTCGCAGAAGCTCACAACGTCAGGTACGTGCCCCGGCCCAAGCCCGAGGTCTTCCGCATCACCAAGAACAACCACAACATCCTCCAGGGCGTCGCCGACCCCAACCTTCGCCTGGACGCCCAACAGATTGCTCACCTGGATGAGTGGTGCCAGGCCAATGCCGACCAATTCTGGACCTCCGAAGGCGGCCCTCTCGCGCCCATCTCCCAGGGCGGCGCCCATGTCGTCATCATCGATGACCCCCAAATGCCCAAATTGGTCCAGATCGCGAAGAAGATGGACCCCAACCGACCCGTCATCTTCCGCAGCCACATCCAGGTCCGCGGCGACCTCGCAGACACCGAAGGCTCCCCGACCTGGGAAGTCTGGAACTGGGTCTGGGAGCGCATCAAGGACGCCGATGTCTTCATCAGCCACCCCGTGCGCGAATTCGTCCCCTCCAACGTCAACGTTCCGCGCGTGGGCTACATGCCAGCCACGACCGACTGGCTGGACGGCCTGAACAAGAAACTGGCAAATTGGGATATGCAGTATTACCTGCGGGAATTCGAAGCCGAGCGCTTCAAGGTCCGCATGAAGCAGCTGGCCTACCCTCAGCGCCAATACATTGTGCAAATCGCGCGCTTCGACCCCGCGAAGGGCATCCCCGATGTGTTGGCGGCGTACGCCGAGTTCAGACGACAGTACATGGTAGGCAAGGACGTCGACGACATTCCCCAACTCGTCATCGCAGGACATGGCGCCATCGATGACCCGGACGCGACCATCATCTACGACCAAACGCTCTCGCTGCTCGAGGACCTCTACCCGGATCTCATCGAAGATGTAGTCGTCATGCGCCTAGGCCCGTCTGACCAGATGCTCAACGCACTCATGTCGTGCGCGCACGTGGCGCTCCAGCTCTCTACACGCGAGGGATTCGAAGTAAAGGTCTCGGAAGCCCTGCACAAGGGCATCCCTATTATTGCGACTAAAGCCGGCGGTATCCACTTGCAAGTTGAGCACGGGAAATCGGGCTTCCTCGTTGAGCCGGGCGACTCGAGCGCTGTAGCCAAGTACCTGCATGAATTGTTCACGGATCAACAGCTGTATGACGACATGTCGTCGTATGCGGAGGAGCACGTGAGCGACGAGGTCAGCACGGTAGGGAATGCGCTCTGCTGGCTGTATCTGGCGGATATGCTGCATGCGGGCAAGGAGGTGCTGCCGCATTCGAGGTGGATCAACGACATGGCGAGGGAAGAGGCGGGCCTGCAGTACAGGGCCGAGGAGACGAGGTTGCCGCGGAGTGAGCAGTTGGTGCTTGACCAGAGGGGGAAGGGGAATTCATAGAGGGAAGTGAAGTGATGATGATGCACTGGATGGATTGCATGCCGTTGGTGCTAGCATGTGCCTGCATTGTGCACGACAAGACTTTGCTATTACTCGATTTGCCGATCGAGGTTTTTGATCTTTCTTCTCCTCTCCTTTGGCCTACTGCGTTCAAGATATTTTGGTGTTGGTGAGCGTGTTGATTAAGCGATGCGAACATGTCACTCTCTGGCGATGGACCATGAAGCTACGAAATGGAAATATTGCATATTGACGGGGTTTGATATCATGTACTACTGACTCCTCTTTGCTCCGCCGAAGAGACTTTACTATTAGATGGAGGTGGTGGGGTGTGAGGGTTGCTCGATCTGAGAGAGAGGGAGAGGGACATGGGCTACATTCCCCAGCCTACCACGCAAACCCACTCATCCACCACCGCTCACCCGAATGCCACCACACCATGCCTCTTCCTGCATCCCCATTCCAACGTCCTCTCCCCCAACACCACACCCCATCCCCCTCGACGCCCCAACCCAACAAACCACGAAACAACGACACGGGCACCGGCTCGAACAACCACACGCCACTCGTAGCGAAATCGTCGCACAGCAGAGGTCCCGTGAGGTAGAACCACGCATGCACATACAACCACCTGCATACCCTCTTCCATGCCCTAGGTACATGTACATGTACATGTACATGCCCGCCACGGCGGCTCTCCGTCTTCGTCTTCGTCCCCGTCGCGCAGAGCCTCCTCACAGCCCTTCCCACCACCGCCTCAACACCCAACCCAACAGGCTGCAAGACGAAAAACAGCATCGCCCGACCCACGGGCCTCGTCCTTCCCGCCGCCGTAAAGCTACCCGCCGCATGCAAGACGCCCGAGAGCGCGAAGGCGACGACGACGCGGACGAAGCGGGCCTTGCGTGAACGCTGCTGCCATCCCCACAAGGCGACGAGTTTGCGCCCGGGGGCATCGAAGGCAAAGCGGAAGGTTTGGTGCCACCACTGGCCCCACCAACCGGCTACACCGCGGTCGAGGACGAGGGAGTAGGGGCCGAAGGTGGGTGGGTACATCCAGGGTTGTGAGGCGCGGGTGCCGGTGCTGCTGCTGAGGAGGCCGCAGAAGAGGAGGGGTGAGAGGGAGAAGAGGGTTTGCAGGGTGTATTGGATGGTTAGTTGGGTTAGGGCTAGGCGGTAGGTGCGGAGGAGGATGGGAGGGAGGGTGGGGAGGTAGGAGGGTGCAGGGGAGGAGAGGTGGCCCCAGAAGTAGGGGTCGTGGTTCATGAGGGTTTTGAGGGCGTCGATGATGAGGTAGCCTGTTAGGAAGAGTTTGAGGTTTTGCAGGAGGAGGGTGCGGCGGGTGAGGACTGGTGTGGGTGGGTGACGGGGATTGTGGGATCGATGGTGGTGGTGGTGGTGCGAGATGTGGGAGGGGGATGGATGGGGTTTGTAGTCGATGAATGGCGCGGTGAGTTGGGCCTGGATGAAGGACGGCGGGGGAGGTATGCTGGCAGGTCTCCAATTCCAGCCTACGCCGCGGAAGTTGCTGAAGATGTCGAGGACCCAGTTGAGTCGTTGGCGGAAGTCGTGGGTAGGATACGACTGCCAGAAATACTCTTTTTGCTGACCAGAAATAGTACCTTTCAGTTCCCGAGAGTGTCCATTTCCGATGTTCTCGGCAGTTTCGTCTGCTGTGGAATCGAGTACATGGTCGTGAGAACCATTCGCCTGTGCACTTCCCGTCTCATCTCCCTCCCTTTCATTCTCCAGCACCCTGCTCCTCCTCTCGATCCTCTTAAACTCTGTCTGGGCATCGTGAACCACCAAGATCGTCCCCACCCAAATGACACCCCACGACGAAACCACCCCTACGCCAAACGCCGGCGCCATACCTCTTGCTTTCGTACCCGCGATCGTATACGTGGAGAATGCCGCCATCCACGCCCATACAAGGAACCTGGCACGGCGCAACCACGGCCGGTCGCGGTGCGGAATCAGAAGATACAATATGGCCACCAAAGTGCCCAGCGAGGCGAATGGATATGTAAATGGGGTACATGTGCCCGCTCGTACGCACTCATCGTATTGGCGATGGTAGTAAGCGGTTACGTCGTGGTGGGAGTGGAGTTGGTGCCAGGGCGGTTCTGGAGCCCATGGCGACATGTTGTTGCAATTGCTGTGTGGGAATGTTGGAGGACATCACGAAGACAAAGTCTCAAGGCGAGATAGGGGCCACGGTGGCGCTGTAAGCAAATCGAAGTTGGGGTTTTTTTTTCCTTTTTGGAGTACAGGAGTGGATGACGAGGTGTAAGCGGCGTCGGGATCGGAGTGGCTGAAGAGCGCTAAGCTGGATACAGTGATAGCGCGGGAGAGCTCAACACCATGCCACTTCCATCGACCTGTTAGTTATAGTGGGGATTTCAATTCGACGACGGACGCTGCATGCTGTGAATTCCTCGCTCGCTGAACTCAGGACGATTCTGTAAGAGATTTGTTTGTGGGAGAAAACAGCCAAGATGGTGAACATTACAGATAAGATCAAGGAGTAAGGAAGGAAACATTCAAAAGTCTGCACTGTGCCAAGCACTCACACACCCCGCAGGATTGAGGAGGAGATGCGAAGGACGCAGAGTAGGTCTTCTTCTTTTAGACTTGTAGAGGCTTCTGCTGACTTGTATGGACAGAGAACAAGGCCACAGGTACGGCCGTCCTATCCTATTTCCTCGGATCCATTCCTCCCACTTCACCCATTCGATATCACGTGCGCTGACCCTTCACCACCCGACACAGAATACCACCTTGGTCTCCTAAAAGGGTAATTTTTGATTGCACTCATCCCGTCTTATTAAGAGTGCCGACTTACTCTGGACAGCAAACTCGCCCGCCTCCGCGCCCAGCTCCTCGAGCCCGCCCCGGGCGCCGGCTCCGGCGGCGGCGCGGGCTTCGACGTCTCCAAAAGCGGCGACGCGCGCATCGCCCTCGTCGGCTTCCCCTCGGTCGGCAAATCCACCTTCCTGTCCAAAATCACAAAGACCAAGTCCGAGGTCGCCGCCTATGCGTTCACGACGCTGACGGCGATCCCCGGTGTGCTTGAGTATGGGGGCGCCGAGATTCAGATCCTGGATCTGCCGGGGATTATCGAGGGTGCGGCCGAGGGGAAGGGGAGGGGGAGGCAGGTGATTAGTGCGGCGAAAACGAGCGATTTGATTCTGATGGTGTTGGATGCGACCAAGAAGGCGGAGCAGAGGAGGTTGTTGGAGCAGGAGTTGGAGGCCGTGGGGATTCGGTTGAATAAGGAGCCTCCGTGAGTATTTTTTTTTTTTTTTATCACTCCTTCAACTGGCTTTGAATTCGTTTGGCCTCTTGGTTCACCTCCTCTGCTTTTCATACCGAGTTTATTGTCAGGTGGCTGTTTCTATTCCTCCTCTACTCCATCCCGAGGTCGGGTTCAAAGCTCTTCCACATTTCCAATATCCCCCTTCCTCTGCTAACCCCACCCAGCAACATCTACCTCAAGCCCAAAAAAGCCGGCGGCATGAAAATCACCTTCCAATGCCCGCCCAAACACCTCGACGAGAAGATGCTCTACAACATCCTGCGCGACTACAAGCTGCTCAACTGCGAGGTCCTGGTGCGCGATGAAAACGCCACCGTCGACGACTTCATCGACGTCATCATGAAGGACCACCGCAAGTACATCAAGTGCCTGTACGTCTACAACAAGATCGACGCCGTCTCGCTGCCTTTCCTCGACAGCCTGGCGCGCGAGCCGCATACCGCCGTCATGAGCTGCGAGTTGGATCTTGGGGTGGAGGATGTGGTCGAGCGGTGTTGGCAGGAGTTGAGGTTGATGAGGGTGTATACGAAGAGGAAGGGCGTCGATCCGGATTTCAGCGAGGCCCTGATTGTGAGGCAAGGGAGTACGATTGAGGATGTGTGCGATCAGATTCATAGGACGTTGAAGGAAACGTTCAAGTATGCGCTTGTGTGGGGCGCCAGCGCGAGGCATGTGCCGCAGAGGGTCGGGTTGGGCCATGTAGTTGCCGATGAGGATGTGGTGAGTATTGTGGCCAAGTAGGGTGTGGAGAGGATGTGAGGCAGGGAAAGAATTTTTCTATATCTACTGGGACTCGTTCATGAGATGCCTCCCGCCAAATGCATTCCACTCCCTGGGCTCTGTGGATTATACAACGCCCCCAGTCGTGTCAAGCCCGGAATATTATAACGTTCATCCCTTTCGTACGGGGAAGACACCGCCATCGCAAACCTACGATATGAATCTGCATATGAACCCTCCTCTCAATATCTCAAGTTCTCATACAAGTCAGATCCAGCAATCTATATGCTTTGACTTCGATCGGGATTTTTCTCTTCGTAGAGAACATAGTAACCACCCGTCTCCTCTACAGATTTCCATCATGTTACCTACTGTGTTCCTCACCCGACGACCTGGGAGCGAACCCTGTATATTGTCGTCATCCACGTAGCACATAGACTAAATTGCACAATGGGCCAATACTAGGTAGGTGCAGTGTGATGAAAGTACGGGCGCTGACTCCTTGTATGTACTATGATATGATAATTGAGATTTCGAACTGTTCGAAGATTTAAAACCTCGTGAAATCCTTCGCAGGATTTGAATAATGATTTATCATTCTGATGCGCAGCTCATCTCGTCGTCAAATATGCTCAAGAAATCTATCCCAATGCCCATGTCCAAACTCCCTGCTCCATCGTCCGACTACAAACCCCAGATAGCATCAATAACGCCCTTCAAAATAACGCCCTCCAATCCTCATCATCCATCCTAACCCCCCGGCTTCCTCCCCACCACCCACCTAAACCCCGCACACCATCCCTTAAGCTTAACATCCATCCCACCCTCCCCCTCTCCACCCTTCCACTCCAAAATCTCCCCCTTCGCCACCTCAATCTGCTCCCTGACCTCCTCTTCTCCCCACACCCTCTCTCGATCACCCCACTTCGTCGCCAACCTCAACACATGCGCCTCCAGACTCTCCATCAAAACGACAAGGAACATCTTCCCCAAACGCCTCTGCTCTTCATCCTCCGGCCACTGTCCCACAGGCACATTGACATAAGCCGTGGTGCGCACGTCCTTGAACCCCGCGTCCTCCAGGAACGTCCTGTGCATGTAGAAGAGCCCCAGCGGCCGTCCGGCTTTGAACGACGCTTCCATCATCGTGAGGAACAGTCTACGGACTGTGGGGAGGTGGTACGTCGTAGTGCTATCTTCTTGAGCGACACCTCGGTTTAGTAGGTCCGGGGGTAGCACTTCGTAATCGGCAACCTCGACGTACCCACCGGGACGCAGATTCTTGTAGATCTCGGCGTAGACTTCGTCCCAGTAGCCAAAGGCGCCTTTCATGTTGCGGAGATGGATGAGATCAAAGGGGGAGCTGAAGTTCCAGCCCGGTCGGAGTTCGGATTCGAGGACGGAGGGTTCATGGGAGGTAGAAGGGGAGGAGGCTTCAGGACTGTCGCGGTGGGACTGTGTTTGCGGTTGAAGTGGAGGTTGGGAGTTTTGGCGCCTCGCTCGAGAGGGCGCTTCTATCTCCGTGGGATTGCGGTGCGTGACATCGTGCAGGAGATCGTATTGCTCCAGCCTCAAAGTCAGATCGTCGACGTCGGTATCGACGCCCCATACATCGAGGTCGTCAAGCTCCCAGATTACCCTGTTGGCTTCGGTGTCCGCTTCGCCGAGATCCCAGACCGCCATGTCGATGCCAACCACTTCGAGGTGGGGGTACTGTTTAGCCATGGCGACTGCCCAGTCCCCTGGGCCGGTTCCTAGGTCAAGAACCCGCCTGGTATGGTGTGTAATGGGTGTTGTAGTAAGCTTTCCCTTCAGAGCGTGAAGAAAGACTTGGTGTTGAATGGCCAGGCGGTCTTGCTCTGCCTGGTCGCATGGCAGAAAATAAATTTCGTTGGCATATGTGCGGCCATTTTCCGTCACGAATTCCAGATCTTCTGATCGCAGAGTGCGAGTCGAAATACTGTCGGCATGCCGTGTCAGCACAGTGGAGGATGGAGGTGACTTAGGGCCACTCGGATACCATGCGATACAAAACAGCAACAGACCAAAAAGCAACCTTTCTGTGAAACAAGAAGGAACAAAAGGTAGAACACGTCGAACAAACAAGGACTTCTTACATTGATCCTTCAGGTGTTGTGGAGGTGTCTGATGCCGTGCGTGAGCGCTGTGAGGGCTTGTGAACTGCGGCTGTGTCACCTGAGTCGTCGGGTTTTGGTGGCTGGTCCACGTCCATGGCTCTGGGTCAAGGGAATTATCAAACGGGTAGAAGCGAGGTGACGAACGAATTCGGGACCTTTCGCCACCTTAGATATGGACAATCTTGCTGGGGCAATTGCCATGCCCGGGTGCGGTCTTCCGGCTGAGCTGGCACCCCCTCTCGTCTCCCGTGAAATGAGCTGTTGCTTTTGGCTGTTGAACGTTGCGGGATTTGAGCACTGAGTCCGTCATTGGTGGTGTGCCAGCATGGTTCACACAGAGTGAGCCGGGCGTCTGTATGAATGAGGCGCGGAACAGCACCTAAGAATTGGCACCGTACACAGCGTCTCACCGAAGCACCAGTGTATCCGGAGAGCTGGTGCCCACCAATTGTCTGTGTCTTCCGTACGCTCCAACGCGGCTGTCTCAACAATTGCAAGTGTGGAGGAGGATGGAACAGTGACGTGAGGCCATTGCTCCCTTCCACTCATTCACCCAACCTATGGGAAGAAAATTCAGAGCTCGAACTAGGCAGCCATCTTTAAAGTCAACTTCGGAATTGGTTGAGAAAGCCTCCGGTCGCTTATCTGTGTGCAGATGGCCAAATGCAAGGAGGCCAAAGCCCTTCGGCGTTACCTACACCGCAATGCGAAAATCCAGGCGGTTCCTCTCTTATTAGATAACATCAGCCTTGACCAAGCTAACGCTAGAGTGCAGAGACTGCGTGCAGGGGCGAGGTGGAGTATACCCGACCAAACCAGCAGAAAGCTCAATTGGCAACCCGTGCGCCAGGTCACCCAGGTCGAGGAACCAGAAATCAATGCCGAATGCAGGCCACCACAGTCTCCGCTAGGCGCAAGATGAAATAAAGAAATGAACCAGCTCTGGCGGTGTGAGCGCTCCGATTGCTACTCTGCAGAGTAACGCCAGGGTAAAAGCAATATCCAGCACTTCAATCAGAGCCCGGCAGAACAGAACAAAGTTTCTGCGTGTCCACTGTGTACGGAACGGGAGGCTGACGGGATCCAAAGCGGTCCTGAGAAAGGCCTTGCATATATTGCAAGGGACCCAATTGGCCGGAACCGCGGTTCAAGGTTGTCCTTAGAGGGCGGAATAGAAGAAAAGGAATTTCGAGCAAGTTGAGGACTTGTCTACCGACTTGAAAGAAGGCAACCGTTCCGCAAGCCCATAGTTGAAGAAGCCAACAGTTTCCAATTGACCTCGTCTGTCTGGTCGCGATGGCACCACCGCAGATGACTAGGGAAAAATCCCGGTGGCAGCAAGACACGGAGCGAATCATTTGCTCGCCAAACAAGCGTGCATGTCGTGGAGGAAAAGGAATCACCTGTGTACTCCGTAGCAAGCGCTGCAAACTCGGGCCACGCGGTTCGCCAGCTGTTCAACCTGAGTGATGCATAAACAAAGTGGAGTGCAGCGGCAAAGCGCTCGACAGGTCGGAGGGTGTGCTGGGTATCATGCGACATGCCGCTGTCAAACCCCTGCACCGGATCTCGTCCGTTACGGCGGGCCACGTCGTCCTTGTCTTGGATGTTGAAGCACATCCTTTCCTTAGGATCGACCCAATGGGATTGGGATGAACGACTGCTGCAGACCTCTGCTGAAGGAATCAGGAGGAGTCTGTATGCAGTCAGCCGCCTTGCCGTTGTGCTTGAGGCCAATGAACGCCAGATGCACACTTTAGAGAGTGAGTACCTTTTCTAGTCAGTCCTTCGCATCTGTTCCCGCTCGTCGGTCTCCCCGCAGATGATGAGACATATGCGGGAGTGGGATGGGGTCCGACGGGCTCGTTTGACATCTACCTCTCTGAGCTCGTGCTGCCCTATCGCCCAAACCCTAGCATAAGACTCTGATACAGAGGATTACTGACCCTTATGGCGAGACCGAACGATTGACGAAGCAGTGTTCGTCTAAACTTGGCGGCACCCTGATGGTCTACCGCTTCTTTTTGTTCAACAACTGCCTGTGACAAAAGTTGGGTAACGGACCACAGACTGGCACGGTTTCACACGCGATCCATGTGCTGTCGTTGGCGGGGTTCTGTGCAACGAAGTTACGCGTTTCCTCGTAATGCTCGATCCGATGGTTGACGCGTGTGTAGGCGGTATCGACAACCATGGCAGGTGGTTGAAATAAGGTTTCTCGGTAATCACTCGTTGGGAGGCGCGATACGTTGGCCTACCTCTCGTTTGGAACCTTTCGGCGAACGTCCCTCCAAGGTCGGGCTCCTCAGATTGATCGATGTAAGTTAGTACGTTAATGCAAGTACAACCAACACTGTGATGGAAGGGGTGCCAGTCATGCGTGAGACTTCCGTCAATACGCCTTGCTTCCCAAACGACAAATTGGAGATAAAATCAAAATCGGAAAGAGATGCGAGCCGAGTAGTGCCAATGTCTTAGCATTGCAATGTCGGCGCTTTGCAAGACTTCATCGCGGGTTCTCCAGACTGGAAGTCGAGAGCCTGCGACAGAATAGGCTATCCTTTAGCTACGCCAGCACCGTTGGCCCTGACTGGGTTGGATTGTGCCCCAGAGTGGGCATGTGAACGTGACAGTGAACGCTCCAGGCAATTGATGCAGTACGGCGTTGCAAGATAGAAGTTCAGAATGCTATCGAGAAGAGTGACAACTAGAGACCCTAGCCAAGTCCGCTCAGTCAAAAGTGTGGCACAGAAACATCTCTTTCAGAGAGTTGCGTAAACCATAGAAACCGACTGGCATGGTAGCTCTAGTGGAGATGGTAGAGGTTTCGGAGGCTTTAGCGATTCGGGACAACCTTGGAGAGAATGCACGAGGGGATCAGCGTCTGTATTGCGGCCACAATATGGTGAGCTTCCGGCCCTGTAGTACAGCCCAGGATCAGCGTGCAAAAAGCGTTTGTTCTCATGTCGCACTCCGTTCAAGATGAGATGAACCCTCGATGGGGGACGGGAGATCGGCAGCGCCAAGACTCCCCTCGGAGGGTAGAATTGCCGTTCCGCCAAAATTTCCTGAAGACGGCAACCGCCTAAGACGTCAAGACATGCTCCGCAGATATTCATTTTGCACTGTTCAATCTATCGCTAGAGGAGACAACGTACCATACGCATACAGGCACAGTCGCGCTACTCTAAGGAAGGAATCTCACCTATATACGATTGCCCATGGCGAAGCCCTCCAGCATGCCAGCGGGCATCAAGCCCAAGAATAAGCTCCGCCGACAGGCCGCCTATCTCGCTATTCGGAAAGCGAGAGAGTCCGCGAAACGCGACGAGCGCTTCAAGCGCAAGCGGGAGGAAGCGAAAGCTCCGGAGTTGCGCGAAGAACGTCTTGCAAGGAATATACCCGCGACCATTGATAGCAAAAGGACATGGGACGAACAAATTGGCGACGAGGAGGATGCGTTAGGTCTTGCCGTGGACGTTGAGAGGCTTGCGAAGAAGAGAAAGCTGGAGCAGGAAGCGGCAGAAAGGGCAGAAAATGGAGAAGAACAGGATGGAGAGGAAGGGACATTGGCAAAGTTGAAGAGGCGGGACCAGGAAGACGCTGAGGCTTCCGAAGATGAGGAGGAGGAAGAGCACGACAGCATGCTGGACTCGGACTCAGAAGACGAAGGAGGATTTGGCTCTGAATCAGATTCTGAAGCAGAGCGGTCAAAGTCAAAACGAAAACCAGAGCCGCCGAAGCGCGCAGCGAGTCCGGCGGCATCCACAGCGACTAACCTAGAGCTCTCTCCCGAATTTCTTGTACGTTCAAGGTCGTCTGATCATGCTCTTTGAAGTGCTAATGTGCGCTTAGAAACAAAAATTCCCAGCCTTGTTCGATCCGCCCGCGGAACCTAAAATCCTCGTAACCACGTCAATAAACTCAACGCTTCACCACGAAGCACAAATAGTCGCGTCTTTCCTCCCCAACAGCACATATATCCGGAGAAGCGCTCACGCCCATGCGCACAAATACTCCGTCCGAGAAATAGCGCAGTTTGCCACGAACCGCGGATATTCGTCTTTGGTAATCCTGATGGAAGACCAGAAGAAGCCTGCGGGTCTGGACGTCGTAACGTACGTGTTACTTCTGGCTTATATCTGGTGTTTCCTTGAGCTAACCTTATTAGTCTGCCATCAGGTCCGCATTTTCACTTCACAATCACGAACTGGGTAGAGGGCAAGAAGTGAGTCCTATTTTGTTCTCGATATAAGCCCAAATACTGACACATCGGTAGACTGCCTGGTCATGGAAACCCCACAGGCCATATTCCAGGTTAGTAGATTCGTCCGCTCTTACATTTGGCTCTAGCTAACTGTTTTTCTCCCAGAACTCATCTTGAATAACTTCAAAACTCCGTTGGGTATGCTGACAGCATACCTCTTCAAATCCCTCTGGCCTGCAACACCCCAGATCGAGGGTCGGACGGTCATCACACTCCACAATCAGCGAGATTACATCTTCTTCCGACAGCACAGATACATTTTCCGCGAGAAGAGGGCTACGGAGAAATCCATCGTCGGCACAGATGGCAAAATCGTCAAAGGCGTCGAGGATATCAAGGCCGGTCTGCAGGAGCTAGGCCCGAGATTGTGAGTTTACAGATATATTCGCTGAATTATTCTACAGGACTAATAAGACGCAGTACTCTGAAGCTCAGGAGAATAGACCGAGGCATCCAGTTCAAGAGCGGGCAGGAATGGCAATGGAAGTCCAAGATGGAGAAGCAGAGGACAAGGTTCAATATGTAGGGGGTAGAACTTGGAGATGCAAGCACCAAATGCAGCAAAATACCCAATGTCCGTCATGCCGCTGCTATTTCCTATCATCTCGCCAACAATGTGAGTCTGTTAGGACATAGTGTGACTCGATAGGTTTCTCCTGATGCCTCAACTCCAGCGCCAACTCTCGCAATCAACATCACAACCAGCTTCTCTCTCTGCATTTCTGGAACCCCAAACCCTTGCTGCATATTTCCTATAACTACAAGGAACTCAGTCAAACTCTGTCCTCCCGCACGCTCCCAGAATCACACATGGGAAGCCTCGGTATGTTCGTCAAATGCAATCGCTCGTGAACATTGCAGCACTGGGACTCTCAATCTCTGTGGTACAACGCTTAACGCCCTACTTCCAGAAAAGAAAAAGCGCTAGCAGGCCAACCAAGCACGTAAAAGCAGAAGGAAAATTGCAGTATCCACGTACAATACAATACATCATCTAGCAACGCTCAGCAAAAAACTCCATCCCATGGCCCTCTCCACCAGCACCCCCATCCTTCCCCTTACCTATCCCCCCGACCTAACCTACCTGTTCCCTTTCCGCTAACCTATCCATAACCTACAAAAACAGAAACGCCTGGAAAATGCAACGGGAATGGCTGGTGTAGATGGTAGGTCGGACCCGGGATGGATTAACAGGTAAAACGATTCCGTTCCATTTTGTGAAAGAATATCAAACAGGGTATTCGTGACGGCGGAAAGACCAGACCGCCCAACGCCGAAGATATGGGGTATATGCCGGACAAGGACCTGAGACGGAGTCGTGATGCAGACTGAGATAGGGGCGGTATAACGACCCTCCAGCGTACTACGTACAAGGGAGAAGGGTTTACTTGCCGCCGTACCTAAACTCACCAAACGCACCGGTTGCTCCCGGTGTCATCATGCCGCTGTGCTGTCCGGGCCCAGGTGTGGATGCTAGACCTGCAGGATGGCTTGTCGGCGTGCTTGGTCCATCGCCCCTATGCCCGTGATACATCATTCCTCCATTCATGCCCGGATACCCGCCAAGGCTCTGCTGGTTATGAGCCAGGACTGCAGCTTGGGCCGTAGCGCTGGCAGGTGGGCCTACTCCCGTAAGGCCCCACATCTGTCCGTTCATTTCCTCGGGAATCTCGCCGTTGAAGACTTTCTTCTTCAGTTCCCAGAAGACGCTTCCGGTCAGCCACGCATCAGAGCCAGCCGTGTGCGAAGTACCAATACGAGGGCAACCAAGTTCATCGGCCAGATCCTGGAGGCCCGACTTCGTTCCGAGGTTGTTCAATATGTTTGTCGCCTGTGCCCCGATAACGCCCCGGCGGACGAGATTGGTGGCATGCCGCCACAGGTACTTCACATCCAGCAACCTAGGAAAGTATATCTGCACCAGTTTGCGGTAGGCTTCCTCATCCGTAGGCAATGGTCGGCAACTCAAGAGCTTGATTAAGTAGGCGAAATCATAACCCGAATGGAACGAAACCCAGTTGACGTTATCCATGAGAACGAGCCCAGATGTCGTCAGGAGCGAGCCAAACTCTTCCGGATCGATACCCTGCGTAGGGAATTTCTCGAAGTCCGCACCCGATTTCTTCAGAAGTTGAATAGACTCCTCGTTGTACATGTCCTCCTGGAGATTGAATTTGAAGTTGAAAGTCCAGGTACAAGGGCAAACGACGATCTTGTTTGCATAGTGCTGCAAAGCTTTTGGTTGGTAGCTCAGCTCGGACGCATCAAGGTGAGGAGGGGGTACCTCGCCCTCAATGTTAAATAATGTAATCCCGAGTTGTATGATTTTGAGAATGTCAACGTTACACCGTACGGTCTGGTAATGATAAGAAGCTTTTGTCTGAAAATCTCCGATGGGTCTTGCGATCACGCCGGGGAATTCGGTATCCTAGATGAACTCTTAGCACGCTGGTCCTCAGGTTAAGCGTACCGTGATATTAGACGGAGGTTCTATAACTACCAAGATTTCCAAGAATAGTCTCGAGCCGCCATTTGCGACTGCCTTGAAGAGATGAGAAAGCCTCCAACGAAAAATGCAATGAAATCCACAGGTTGACGAGGGAGAATACTGACCATACTAATGTAAGGATACTGCTCGACTAAAGAGCGTAAGAGGTCCATCTCTTGATGCAGGTTTGTCCGCCATACTTCGCGTATACGCTGCCCCAGTCCTTTCCCACCATCCTGTCCTCGGGCGATATTCGCTTCGTGCAATTGTCCGCCCTGTTGGAACCTTAGGCGCGCCTCGTGGCCATCTAGTCCCGTGCCGGCGCCCAGGCCTGCTGCAGCTCCCAAAGCAGCACCGGCCATACTGCCTCCTATGCCCGCATTAGACTGGAAACCCGCTGGATTGTGTCCGAATACGTTCATATTATTCGCAGGGTTGTTGGGGGCGAATGCGGGGTGTTGAAGGTTATGCTGGTGTTGTTGCTGCGGTATATGGGGCCCACCCTGCTGTAGGGGTCCGGATAGGTGCGCAAATGGATTCGACAGGTTATGGCCGGGAAACCGGCCTCCTTGCGGTGGCATATTGCGATGCTATCGGCGATGGTACAGGGAGCAGTCGGAGCGCATTCGAGGAAAGGGTCAATGCCCGGAGAAGTTGAACGGTCGGTTATCCACTTGCGGAAACGGTTTATGGAATGGGGTTTGAGTGTATTGATACGGGTCGAGTCGGTTTCTAGGCGGGGGAGGTCGTGGATACTATGAAGAGGGGAGCGAGGTGTTGAGGGAGGGTGAAGATCTATTGACGCCGTTGGGTTGGGCCAAGCTCCGTGCCAAGGCTCTCGCGAAACCGAGCTCATAGATATGCGGGAGACGTTCACAGTTGACGCAGCGGTCCGACTCTCTTCCACACAGCTCATTATGCGGCCAACAAGGTGAGTTCACGCCGATCGTGAATTACATTGCTTTCAATGGTACTCTCACGACTGACACCGGCTAGAATTCGTCTGGCAGGGCGCCCCTCCATCACGGGCTTTGACCCCAAGAAGCTGGCTGCAGCATCGAAGAATGCGAAAGGAGACCCCTGGGCACGATAGTACGAGTGACCTGTTTTTATCCAAGGTTCGAGCATCACATTGACGGGATATCAGCGAAGCGTGGCGATATACAGGCCCTTTCACGAGGTGGAACCGCTTCAAGGGCTCCTTCCCCGGCCTAGGCATTGCGACTGTGGCTTTCGGCGTGTACCTAGTCGCGGAACAACTTTTCTTCAAAGATGATCACCATGGACACGACGTACAGGGCGGGCATACGCATATATCGTAAAAGGGAGAGGGTCGATATCTGAAAGACACTGTGCTGAAATGCTGTATACATATAGTTCATCCATTCGATGGTGAGGGAAATAAGCATGCATAACTTTACTACACGTCAGTGCCAGTAGTACGGTCTTCTCGACGCATCAGAACATGGGCTTGGAAACAACAATGCACAAGAAGCTTCATCTCTATTGGAGCATTACCAGCGAGCTTCTGGTTTCATTCCTACGTACTAGAACTGACGACCTGCTACTAGCCTACCGGATATAACTCATGGACAGAATGTAGTCCGAAAGCTACATTCCATGCACGCATTTGTTTCAAGCCAATGAATAGATGTGCTTCGATTACAATCAAAAATGAGACTCAACACGCCGCGACCGTGGAAAAAAGGAAGCCGCCATTTTTAGAGTGGAAAACCTAGCGTCACCCTTCCAGGAGCATCCGAGGAACTCCAGTCATAGGTAACGGTTTCTACTTCACCAGAAGAGCATACTCGGAACCAATGTAGAGCAGCCGCAATCGAGGCAAGTCCGAATAGACTATCCCTCGTGATAGGGTATGGGTCCTTAATCCACTCCGTGCCGGGTCTCCCAATTTAGCTTGGGTTCCACGACATACGTACCTACGTAGTACAAAGCCAACCAGAATTCCTTGGTTGAGGAAACCCGATCTGTATCTTCCCTCTAGAGAGAACTATTTTAGAACTTGATTACGAAGCGGTACCTTAGGGTACGACTATGCGGTCAAATGAAGATTCGAAATCTTTACCCGGGATGTATTGAGGAGAACAAGCGAGCTAGCACGAGAAATTGTGCGCAGCATCTTGCCATTTCTTGTCCTAGTAGGTTTCCTACAGTGCTGCTTCTTTTCACTCCCATTTGAATAGCACTGATTGTTACCTTGTCAGCACGACTGCGTTAGCTACGGTCGAATCAGGCCACCAAAAGACTCAATATTCCCGCCTTTATACCTGGATAGAGCGCTGTGAAACAAATCACCTTGCCCAGCGGGTTCAGCTCAACTGGAATCGGATAACCGCAGTGGGTTGCACGATACATACCTTTGTCTCGAAATTCGCATTGTGATTCGTCCACTTAAGACGCGCTAATTAGTAATGAGAGCTTATTCTAACCACACAGGTCCTCATGCACGACCATACAAGTGTTGGCGGAAAGTGGTGCCTTCCACCAGAGGCACGCCTACGCCTGCCAACCGCCCTATTATTGTTTACCTCTAATAGAGCCAGTAGCTAGCTAGCTAATTGTTTATATAATCTGCTAATCCTCTATAGATTAAATCTTTACTTATTTCCTTACTTTGCTCCTACTTATAGGTTATAAGCCTAGAGTTACTTTTGCTATATATATAAACTTTGTATTAAGCATTAACGTGTTTCCTAAGCGAGCGGCCACTCCTAACCGAACGGCCACCCTCCTAAAGTTGCATCGCTTTCTAGCCTAATGCTACAATACTACCATCTAACAGAGAGTTATATAGGATATTAAATTATAGCTAAGATGTATCACTATCATTTGTATCCTCGATCTCTATCTTACATGTACACACATTGTAGCCAGTTTCACCGTAATGTCTATAGTGCCTCTCTCTACACATCCTCTTTGCAGGCTTCTTACCCCCTCCTTCCTCACCAACCACCTCAGGAGCAATCAAATCAAGTACCTCACTGTCAGATGGTAAGCCAGTTTATGGATATCCTATCTGGGACTGGAGAGAAGGACTGGGAGAAACTGTCTGTACCGGTACTGTCTGAGGACATGTGGCTAGTGATTCTGTAGTGGCTAGTGCCCTGCACAGCCTTGGTGCCCAGAGAAGGAACATCAAAACCGGTATCAGGCCCCAGCCTCACACACACAAGCACACACCTGAATACAATCAGTCAACCCATCTTCAATCAATCTTTCTGTCACCGTGACATCTTCAGATACCATCAAATCTGACACTCACCAACAGTAAATGTATCCTCTGTTCGGATATACTTTCTTTTGTGATCTTTCCACTCTGTTGTAGCCTCAGCTATCTCTCGGAGCCCTGCCATTTCCTTGTGCATCAATACCATTTCATGTGCTATCTTTTCAGCACCTTTTCTAAACTGATTGAAAGCTTCAAGGATAGAAGCAGGTGAAGAGCTTTTGTGCCTTTGAATCCGATCATGAATAAGCATAGATTGAGCCTCTATCTTGTGGGCATTGCATGGTGTTTTAGATTCTCATATGGCGTCCTGTGATGCTAGAGGTATAGGCATGTGAAGGACCATATCAAGCTTTGATAATATGCCCTCAGGGTTGTATGGGACTAGTCCAGCAGCTCAGAAACTTGCACAGATATGATCTCTAGAAAAGGCCTTATTAAAGGCCTTTATAAAGGCTGGCAGGAAGCTCTCTTTCTTGATATGCTTGGTGCTATACTGTGCCAAGACTGAAATCTCATCTCCATATGCCCACTTCAACAGTGAGAAATACACCAAATCAAGTGGTTGTAGGATGTATGATGAGTGAGATGGCATACAGAGAACAATAATCATCTCCTCCTTACAGAACTTATGAAACTCCAAGGACTGATGGCTCTCATGGCCATCGACAATCAGCAACCTGTATGAACCTATACTGTGTGCCTTTGTATGTGTGTTAAAGTGCTTTAGCCATGCAATCGCAAGCTCGTTTGATGTCCAGCCATTAGGACTAACCTCAAGGACCCAGTCCCGAGGTACGTCCTTGTACCAGGAAGAGATAAGCACCTTGCCAGCGAAGATAACAAAAGATAGGATTGCCTAGCCAGCTGTGCTGATGCCCTGGATTACAGTAATCCACTCACGGTTACCTGGCTGTATCCTCTTTGGAGTATTCTGCTTTTCAGAGCCTGTAAAAACAATCTGAGCCTTGATCTGACCCATCATAAAGCCGGTCTCATCGGAGTTGTAGGTGTCTTCAGTGTGGATGCTGTACTTCTCCTTGACAGACTGGACAAGTGAGAACCAAGGGCTTATAATGTGTGGATCTTCATTTAGAGCTCGCTGGTGATCGTACGGATGGCTCCGTCGAAGCTTGATCTCAGGTGTACATTTGTTTAAGTTGTCAACCCAGAGGTAGCCTACAGGCAGTTGGCCACACTCTGCAAGCAGGTCATTGGCCATATCTTGAACCATAGTCCTCGTAGCTCCAATTCCTCTTGAATCCAGATCAAGTATATATGCGATAATCGAGTCCTCTTCTAGCTTGGTTAACCTCTTCGAATTAGGCTCGCAATCACGTCGGGAAAGCTGGCCAGCATATCTAGCTCGGAGGGTCGTTCACGGAACATTATAGACTACAGCAGCGTGTTTTACATTCTCAATTTCATTTTGTTTAAGAGCAAGGATAGCGAGCTGCTGCGAACTTTCATTAGAAGTCATTTGCGCATTGTGTGGCAGAGATATCATGGTATGAGTTTGATGTTGGATGCGACTTCAGGAGGGTGGCCGTTCGGTTAGGAGTAGCCGCTCGCTTAGGAAACATATTATACTTAAATATTCTAAAGAACTACTAACTAATGAACTAACTATTAAATTGTTATTAATACTAATTAACTAATCCTCTTAATTAAACAATTAACTACTCTAATCTATTGCATCTTATTATAGACTAAATTAATAACTGAGTCTAAGACTATGACACAGCTATACTAACTAACATACATCCTCTCTCGAGGCTCTCATATGTGTTAGGCTTAAGTGAGAGCAGTGAAACTGCTTGTTAAGGCAGAAAAAAAAGGAAGGAAAAGGGGTAGGTAAAGGAGTGTAGAGGAGGAGAAGGTGATGAAAGGAAGTGAGTATGATAGAATAAACAAAGGAAAACCTAAACATTTTTCTTCTAAGATCTTATCCTGTTATACCTGTTGTCTTTTTATAGTTTTGTCTGTTTTCTGTATGTTTTTCTATTGTCTGTCTTTGATTCCATGTCCTCTAGAGGCTCCTGTTATAGGAGCCACTTTTGGGTAACGATTTGGATCCTTTCAAGGTAGGTAAATAAGATCTTCCTACCCTCTGGCATGTAGAAGAGCTTATACAGAGTAAGAGGAGACTTTAGTGCTTCTAAAGCTTCCTTCCTTTCCTGCTTGTAGTTCTTGTAGTATAGAATAAGATATTCTGGTGTTTGCTTTTCTCTGCAGCCTCTAAAACAAGTAGCTGTGTTACTTTTGCCTATAAGCTTAGAATAAGACTTAAAAAAGCCTTTTCTAAGCTTTAACTGGTAGAAGGCACTGTGTACCCTCTTAGGAAACTGTTCCTTTGGTGTGGTGGATAGAAAAGGAATGGTATAGTTGCAGATATAGGCATAGTGTTTACTATGCCTTTTACTGTTCTTCTGCCACTACTGTTGTCAATCTTCCAAGGTCCTGTCCTTAATTTTACTTTTAAGGGATAGGAAGGTGGTAATAGAAGCTGCATCGACCCTCTCTCTATCCTTAGTGCCCTTGTTTGCTCTTATTTTAGGTGCCCATGGTTTAAAAACTGGATAGTCTTCAATCTCCCAATTAGGAACTAGGTCCTTCTTCCTAGCCACTAGGTATTCTAGTTACGTTATAGGCTCTAGAAGCTGTATAGCCTTGTTAGAACATATAGAGTCTTCTAGTTTATCCAGCATAGGAGCTAGATAGGCTTCTTTTACTGTATGTTGCTTGTTGAATTTTAGAACTCTAACTATATAAGAATTGCACAGTTTCTTAAATCTTACAACAGGAGGAGGTAAAGCTGCTTCTATCTCCATTGCTAGAGTAGAAGAGGACTTAAATGCTCATAGAATTTGTGTAAGAGCTTTGTGTTGTAGAGAATTATACTATTATGCGAAGAGATTACGTTTCCCCTTGTCCTACCAAACAGGAACTCCATAGTCTTGTCAGATTTGATGGTATCTGAAGATGTCACGGTGACAGAAAGATTGATTGAAGATGGGTTGACTGATTGTATTCAGGTGTGTGCCTGTGTGTGTGAGGCTGAGGCCTGACACCGGTTTTGATGTTCCTTCTCTGGGCACCAAGGCTGTGCAGGGCACTAGCCACTGCAGAATCACTAGCCACATGTCCTCAGACAGTACCGGTACAGACAGTTTCTCCCAGTCCTCCTCTTCAGTCCCAGATGGGATGTCCATAAACTGGCTTACCATCTGACAAGTCTACAATAGAATTTATACAGGCAATATATAACTGCCTGGTAGCTTGTACGAAAAAGCCCCTTTGTGTGTTCCCAAGTCTCTTTATAGCAAATAGAGCTCTTGTCGCTGCAGTGATCTTTTTACAGACATGAGATTTGAAGGATAACTTAGAATCTAAAAAGACTCCTAGCCATCTAACCTCTGTCTTAGGCTCTATAGTTGCTCCTCCTATAGTAACACTGTCTGTTACTGCTATTCGCTTGTTGTAGAAGTGGATAAGCTCTGTCTTTTCAATATCGAAGGCAATAGCAGAGTGCTTAGCTGCTGTAACTAGCTTGCCAGCTATCTTTTATAGAATTCGGCAGTTTTTCTGTGCAGAGTTTGAGGCAATAGAGAAGGAAAAGTCATCAATGTAGCTTACTTTAAAAGCTACATTCCCTTCCTTTTTACAAAGTTCACTTATGTAAATAAGGAACAAGATAGGGGATACAGGAGAGCCTTGTAAGATTCTTGTATTTATCTCCTCTTTGTCTTGTATTTGCCCATTAAACTGTAGCTATAGTTCCCTGTCTTCTACAAAAGAAGCAATCTACTTTATTAGGCTAAGGGGTAAACCTAGCCTAATGCAAATAGATAGGAGCTGGTTTTTAGAGACATGGTCGAAGGCTCCCTTTATGTCTAATAGAAGGGTAGAGACTATCTTCTTTTTCTGCTGTTTGCTCTTCTCAATGTAGTTGAGAAGTAATAAGATAGTATCGATTGAAGACCTCTGTTGCTATCCCCCTATTTGGCTATTGTCTAGCAAGTCTGTTGTATTTGCTAGGTAGCCTAAGTGAGTAGCGATTATCTTCTCTAATACCTTGCCAAGGCAATTAATAAGAGAGATAACCCTATAAGACTTAGGGAGAGAGTAATCCTTTTTGTTTGGCTTTGCAAAGATAACCTCTATCACATCTTTCCATACCTTAGAGTAGTGCCCTAGGTTAAATAAAGCCTTATAGAGATGGTAAAGCAAGCTCCCTATAGCAGCAAGAACCTCCCTAAGGACTAGGAAAGATAATTGATCTGGCCCTGGTGCTTTCTTAGGAGAGCTAGTCTCAATAGCTTGTTTAACCTCAGCTTCTTCAAGCGGTGGCCATTCCCAATCCCTAGGCTTGTAGTCTCTCCACCTAGATAGAAAGGTAACAGGAAGCAAAGAAAATAGCATTTCTCTTAGAGTTTTACATTGTTCCTTAAACTCTTCCGCTACACCTTCTTTGTCTTTGTATACTAAAAGAGGAATACATCTTGTAGTTCTCTCCTTAGTATAGCGAAGAGCAGTGAATATTTCCTTATCTTTTGCCTTTTCTAGGAAAGAATTCCAGCAATTTGTCTTAGCCTCTTTAATGCTGGAGAAATAGAAGTTTCTAGCATTTTTATAGGCTATTATCCGGCTCCTTGCTATAGGCTATTGTTGTAGTTATTTTAAGCAACTCGCCATCTTCTTTCTAGCTTGAGAAAGTGCCTCTGTCCACCAAGGTTTCGAATATTCAGATTGCCTAGCTAAAGGAATAGCTATATTCACCACTTCTTGGATACAAGCTGTAAGTGTAACAGCTACCTCCTCTGCCTGTTCTATTGCAGTATTGCTAGAGGAAGATACTTGCTCTTCCAGTGTAGTAATCTTAGCCTCTAAGCCTTCTGTCTCTGTTGCTATAAGCAGGTATTCTTTAAAAAGCTTCCAGTTAGCCTTTTTAAAGTTAAACCTGCTAAGCAATGGGTGGAGGAATTTATCTACCTCCTTGGTAAATAAGGAAAAGCCAATTGTAGCATGGTCAGAACCTGTAGCCTCTAGCACTGCCCAGTTATCAAGCTTGCTCTCCTTAAAAGAAGGGGTATAGAAGGCTAGGTCTATAATAGATTGCTTAGTAAGGTTAGAGCGGAAATAGGTGGACTCTTCTTCCTTATTAAACAATTAGCAATTATAGCCCTGCAGCTATTCTACCAAGTCCTGGCTCTCTCGGATGACATTCTGAGCCGTGGAGTTCCACCAAGGATGGTGGCAATTGAAATCTCCTAAAAGGGCAAAAGGAAGCTCTAGATTAAGTAGCAAAAGAGCCCTCCTAATAGTAGTAGCCCCTAGAGGTTGTATTATGGAATCTTTTTTTAATTTCTTTTCATTGTAGATGTTGAAAAGAAGGAACCTTTCAGTAGAGCTGTAGATCTCTAGGGCCAAAAAGTCCCCATTCTCTAAGTTCCTTAGCTGAATAAACTGAAAATTTGTAGCTTTTCGAAGATAAAAAACTACCCTTGGCCGTAAACTAGTACTAGGAAGTACAAATTCATATGCAGAATGGGAGATAGTAAAGTAACTATCTTTCTCCTTGTCTTTCCACATGCAGAGTTCTTGTACAGCTAGGATATCTGTCTGTCTCTTAACTGCAATTTCGAGGAGTGTTTGTTGTGCTTCTTGTCTTTTCCCTGTATTGTGTTGAATAATAGACAATTCACCTTTAAGTTTCTTAGGCTTATTGTCCAAAATTGTATAGGAATCTCCTCGAAGCTGTTCTGTCATTAATGTGGAAAGGTTTTGGCAGTCTTCCACACTGGATAGTCTTTGCTGTTAGCAAAGTGGCCTCCCTTGCAATTAACACACTTTGGGATGGTGTGTTTACAGGGCCTGCCTTTAGAAGAACATTCTAGACAATTATGTTCCTATGTTTTGTGGGCTTCTCCTCACAGCCTACAAGCTAGCTTGTAGCAGCTATCTGTAGGGTGGCCAAATCTCTGGCATTTACCACATTGGTGGGAAGGAGAGGTAGTAAGATATTTAACTATCTTAACTGTCTTGCCAGCAATTATAATCCTATTGTGATGTAGAATAACACTGCGGGTTTCTTCATCTTTTACAGCAAAAACAATGGATCCTGTTTGCTGTCCCTCCCTTGTTTCCCTAGTAAGCTATCTAGGGTAGCCCACTATAGAGATAGAGGAATTGAAAGTCTCTATCTCTTCCTTTAGGGCAGTGCCAGCCCTTTTCCCTAAAAATTCAGGGGCTAGAGGAACCCCATGGGCAACAATTTGTGCTTAAGTCTCAATCCTTTGCTCACGGTTAAATCGAAATAGATTCTGCCATTTTTCTTTATGTTTAATAAGAAAATCTGCATTGTAGTCCTCTGTGGTGGTAAGGACAATATTTTGCTTGCCTCTAGACTTAGAGACAGCAGCAACAACATGCTTTTTAGCTATAGAAACAGCCAAGAGACAGTGGTTTATCTTGTTTCTTAGAGATAGAGAATCTATCTCCTGTCCCTCATCTTCCTTGCTAGTAATAAGTACTAGTTTTCTCTTAAGGAAGAGTTCTTTTTCTTCCTTTTTCTTTGCTGCCTTACTTTGGACAAGGGTAAATGGTTGTTCCTTAGCCGTTAGTTTAGCAGTTTGGGCAGCAGCATTTGCCTTAGAGGGCAAGGAAGAGGTATTAGTAGCTTTAGCAGCTACTTGTGCAAAGGTAAGGCCTTGTGTTTGCCCCTTATTTATCTTTGGAGCAGCAGGGTGTTGTGGCTTAATAGCAGCAGCTAAAGCCTTTATGTTATTGCTAATCACAGTGATAAGCTCTTGCATTTGTTTTTCTTGCTTATTAACAAGATAGGAGCAGGAGATTGCTCTTTGTTTAGTATCTGTTGTAGTGCTGTGGTGATTTCTTGTACATTGTCCTTCCTTTGCCCTTCTAGCTGTGGAATAGCTAGTTGAATTTGAGAAAGGGCCTACTTTAGGCATACCTCAGCAGGGGAAGTCGAATTGGCTTGAAAAAGCAGAGGAGGAGCTCGAAATTTGCCTATAGCAATATGCTTAGGCCTGGGTTTCTCTAGGGATAGGTCTGGATGATCTCTCTTCTGAGTAGAGGGGGTAGAAGGGGCAAAACTAGCAAGATTGCTAGTAGAAGCAAAGCTGCTAGCCACTAGGCTGCTAGTAGGCTTAGCAGCAGTTCGAATAACAACTTTAGAAGAGTTGTTTTCCCCTATTTCAATATCTGAGTCCTCACTTTCAGAAGAAGAAGATGAATAGATAGAGGAGATAGCTATCTCCTCTTGTTGTTTCTCCTCCTCTTTCTTTTTCCTCCTCTTATCTCGGTCCATGGGAAAGAAACAAAGGAAAGATAGGAAAACCTAGTACAGGTGGTAGGAGGCAGCTAATTTTTAGCAGCAAAAGATAACAGATTCCCATCCAAGGAGTCTTTAATAACCTCCTCTGGGACTTTATACCCTCTGGCTAGGGGTAAGGGGACCACTGTTCTCTAGCGATTACAGTAGATAGTAAGGGTCTCTGTCTAAATCTCAAGCGGTCTGTGAATGTAGTGCTCTTAGTTCAAGGAGACTCCTCTTACATAGAGCTTTCAACTCCAAGTTAACCCTATTGCTCCTAGTTGCCTAGGTAGAGTGAGCAGAGACTAACAGAATAGCGCCTTGGTCTATACTGTCACTTGGCCTCTTCCTAGAAGCTGTGACTATAGCTCTTTCCCTAGAAAAGGTGGGTGCCTTGCTAAAAAAGATCCAACTCTTTTCTAGTATAGAAAATCCAGGGAAAATTGTATGGTCTCGTCCTTGCAGAGACAAGGGCAGCGGGATGTGATGAAAAATGTGACGGTGGCTGATTTCTTTTGTGATTTTTTGTTGAATTGTTGTGGTTGTTTTTTGTGGGTAGGTGATCGGTGTTGGTCTGGTTTGGGTGGATATGGCTGATGCCTATGGCTAGTGTGGTTAAGCCACAGGCTGTAGGCATGGCTGGTGCGGCCTGCAGACCTGTTGAAGAAGCTGAGGTTAAACAAGCTATTGAGACTAGCTCTTCTAAGAAAGCACCAGGGCCAGATCAATTATAAGCAGGTGTTCTTTAAAAAGCTTCCAGTTAGCCTTTTTAAAATTAAACCTGCTAAGCAATAGGTGGAGGAATTTATCTACCTCCTTGGTAAATAAGAAAAAGCCTATTGTAGCATGGTCAGAGCCTGTAGCCTCTAGCACTACCCAGTTATCAAGCTCACTCTCCTTAAAAGAAGGGGTGTAGAAGGCTAGGTCTATAATAGATTGCTTAGTAAGGTTAGAGCGAAAATAGATGGACTCTTCTTCCTTATTAAGCAATTGGCAATTATAGCTCTGCAGCTATTCTACCAAGTCCTGGCTCTCTTGGGTGACATTCTGAGCCATGGAGTTCCACCAAGGATGATGGCAATTGAAATCTCCTAAAAGGATAAAAGGAAGCTCTAGATTAAGCGGCAAAAGAGCTCTCCTAATAGTAGTAGCCCCTAGAGGTTGTGTTGTGGAATCTTTTTTTAATTTCTTCTCATTGTAGGTGTTGAAAAGAAGGAACCTTTTAGTAGGGCTGTAGATCTCTAGGACCAAAAAGTCCCTATTCTCTAAGTTCCTTAGCTGAATAAACTGAAAATTTGTAGCTTTTCGAAGATAAAAAGCTACCCTTGGCCGTAAACTAGTACTAGGAAGTACTAATTCATATGCAGAGTGGGAGATAGTAAAGTAACTATCTTTCTCCTTGTCTTTCTACATGCAGAGTTCTTGTACAGCTAAGATATCTATCTGTCTCTTAACTGCAATTTCGAGGAGTGTTTGTTGTGTTTCTTGTCTTTTCCCTGTATTATGTTGAATAATAGACAATTCACCTTTAAGTTTCCTAGGCTTATTGTCCAAAATTGTATAGAGATCTCCTCGAAGCTGTTCTGTCATTAATGAGTATATAGAGATAAAGATAACCTAATACGTGTTTTATTTAGAGGATGCCTTAGCTTTTATAACTGCTTGCTTTATAAGACAATTATAGATACAGTATAACCTTGCTAGATCTACTATGTCTATAGTTAGTCTCTAACTTAAACTTATAGCTAAAACTAAAGATAAATAAATGCGTTCTAAGATTGCTAACTAAATTGTTTAGGCACTTAAATAAGCTAAATACCTTAGTTATTAATAGCATTATAAGCTAAAAGGTCCTGCCCTTAATAAAACTAATAAAATCCTATACTATTTAGGCTATAACCCTGTAGCTATTATAGAAAACAAGTATAAAGTCCCCTTGTTTAACTATCTTAAGGATATTAAAGGATTAGTTAGAACGCTATGCCCTTACCTTACTAATCTAATGTCTGCTGTTAGTATCTTTAGTTAAAAACTAGCTAATTATCCCTAGATTAGATCTTGCTACAATTAGGATATATACAAGCGCCTAACTTACTCCTACCTACTAGATTAGATTAATCCTAGTGCCTACTTACTAAATAGACAACTTGTAGATAAGAACTCTAACTATTACTACAGTTAGGCCCTTTCCTCTTCTAAAGATAGTAAACTAGTTAATAGGAATTACATACCTAATAGTAATAATTATACAAACACTCTAGCACCTAGTTAGTTATTTAAGGAGTATCTTAATTAGTATAGGAATAATCTACAATCTTAATTAAACAAGCTAGTGTAACCTAAGTTAAATAAGCTAATGTAATCTAAATTAAATGAGCTATAGACTAATTAGACTTAACAGGACGCTTACTAGCAGTTTATAGCCTTAATCCTACAACTGCAAGTCTTTATTCCTGCGCTAACGACCGCCTAAGCTCTAGCTTAAAGCTGCTAGACTACTAAGCTAACTAAACAACCTACTACGCCTCGGCTAAATCTGCTAAAGAGACAAACGCGAAGTTAAGTCGCACGCTAGTCAGCCCCTTTAGATTAGCAAGGCTCCCTAACGTTTAACGACCTTAAGAAACAAATTAAGGCAGCTAAGAAGAACAAGAAGTCTAGCAAATGAACGATTACGTCCTGTGTACTGGTTATACAATCTGCCGATCCTCCATAGATTGAATCTTCACTCATTTCCTCACTTTGCTCCCGCTTATAACAAGTTGAGATGGGGGGTCTCATATCACTAAGCTACGGAATCTGCCACAAGAAAACTGCCGAATGTGTGCAACAGCTCTCACGCTGGTAAGTCCAGATCGAACAGCTTGGTCACGCCGGATGAAACCTCATGCGCTGCGACCGAACATGGGGCTACCTGTGGAAACACCAGCTCACTAGCACGGTCACTTCAGAATTCAGCAAGCGGTCGTTCAAAAGTTCAAAAGGAACGGCAATTCATGACCTGCGACACGTCACCGGCGGGGAACCCTTTCGCGTCCTGTTCTTTGACCCGAAGTTTTCTCGTGATTTCCCATACCTAGGGTAGTTGGAGGCTCTGATGAGAACACTGGAGACCCCAAAGCAAGGAACAACCTGGCTTTTCTGTTTGGTTACGCAGCTGTACTGTGACAGTATCTATTGGCGGTGAGCAACTGAGTCGACGTTTACAGCATGCGGGATCGCCGAGGATGCCGCTCGCTGATGGTGGACCCGAATTCTTCCTGAAATAGTACGTTTTCCAAAGATGGGATCCAAGGAGACTCCCGTACGACATCCGACATCAGTTCATGGTAGGGTCTGATGCTGTAGGAAAGCTCCTCAAGAGTCGCTAGACCCCAAGGCGTTCCCAATTTGCAAATCTGCAGCCATCTGCAAGGCACCCGCCGGTCGGCCGATGTGCAAGCGGTTTTGATTTGAGAAACTGGCAGCTCGCTGCGCAATACAGAGTACTGGTTTCTGCTAGAGCAGCCGTCGAGATATCTTTCTTGGGTGGATGAATCTTCAACCGAAACCATGGATGACACCGACGATCAGGACCATCACGACACGGACTCGAATGCGGATCCAACAGTCCCTGGTGCTGGATAACGTGCAACACAGGTGGTTTCTAATGCGTCCCACCGCTCGGTTCCTACTAGTAGATCTCAATACGCATGTACTTGGCCTTTGCAGCACCCTCGATTCCACAGCAGCGGGCGCCACGTACAACATCAAAGAAACGTCCTGATTGAGTGTCGGCATGCAATTTGAACATTTGTGAACGCGAAAAGCAAAGTTACAACAGCGTAACTCATCCGAACGTTGTGATTGTTCCACCCCCACGTTGGCGCTCGCTGTCACCAGTGTCGTTGCCAGCAACGGCACGAAGCTCCACCTCATTCGGATCTCCACTGCGTGGTTTTTTCTCGTCGCGTATACGGAGTATCGTCTTACCGCCCGCGCGCTGAGAAAGATCAACAGCATGTATTGCAGCGCATGGGAACAACGATGAAGTCACAACGGTGTTGTAACTTGTGCAAGCCCCCGGCGAGCACCGTTAAGCGCCGTCTGTTTTGTACTTGGAGGCGAGGACGCTAAATTCACCGTTTCAGGAACGCTCAACGTGATCACGGCGCAATGCAGTGGGCATGTTTTCTGTTCCACATAGGGCAGGCCACGATAACCCCCCGCAAGGCCGCGTTTCGATCCCGCTGTTTCACGATGTGGCCCGGGACCATCTCGAGGAGAAAGGGTGATCGCCGCGCAGCGGTCGCTTCAGCCCGGGATCTGGTGTGTCTTCAGATGGCTCCAGCTCGGCACTTTCATCTGTTTTATCCGAGCGCTGAGGTCACTGACCGACCCGCTACCAAGGCGCGGCCAGCATACTTTTGCTTACAAGAGCCCCTTGTCCCGCGCGACTTCGGCACTCGGCGCCCGAGCACAATGATCAATCCTCCTCCGTCCCCTTGTAACTCTGGCGTCCCACTGGGCGCAACGAGGCACGCCTGACGGTACACAGGTGGCAGTAGATCGTCACCAGCTTGTGCCAGCCCAGCGATGAGACACTGGACTCGACAGATCCACCGTCCGGCTCGCAGACAAAAACGCCAAAGCAGCAGATTAAAATCAATTGATCCGACCATACGCTGCACCATATTTAGCCGACTTTTCGGCCTCTTGACCACTCATCGTCGACGTCGAATTGTTCCAAACGTCCGGATCCTCTTCCGTTTCTCCCCACCTCCCTCTAACAGCTAGGTAGAAGCTCCTTTTGCCAGCCTGCCCATGTTTCACTGCTGATCCCTGGCCCCGTCCATTACCCCGTCCCTCGCCCAGTCCCTGTTGCACTATTCTCAGAGAGGCAGAGCACAGAGCGCTCTCTGTACAAGTACACACCAACTCCACATGCTCGCCCAACCCTCATCCCTACGCGTGTCGGACGTGGTGGAAACGCTCGACCTCTTTTACAACACGCCCCGGTCCCACAACATGCGGCGTTGCACTTCCCATCCCATATCGTCCCTCCTTCCTCGCCAGAATCTGGGCCGGATCAAGGCTTCCCTTCGAAAGTAGACATATCTACACGCGACTTCCCATTCACCGAGGGGTTTCTTCCCGTTCCAGTCATCATTGTTTCTCCCTGCCTCCCACGTCAGCCATAACGGACGTTGGAGCCTTTCTCTCTCTCTCTCTCCCCCATCGCCAGAAGAGCTCTTCGGTCTCTCGCGGGAATGACATATAGCATCCCCCGGTTTTAGTTCTGCACCCTTCCTGCGCCTGTCAGCAAAATCTCTCATTAGGTTATCCTGGAGAGCCGCTCCCTGCATCCGTTTTGTTACGCAAAGCTACCGTTGCTCATTACCTACTTCGCGGATAAGCCAATCGTTTTAAGAGGTACGCATATTGCTCACAACATGATTGCAGCTCAGCTTCGCTATATCTCTGCTCTGTCAGGACGGTTTGAGATCCTTGCCCCCTGTGTCCTGCCCTGGTCTTCCATCCCCGCTTGCAACTGTCGCCAAAAGTACGGACGCATGGTCCAACTGACACATCCAGCAGGAACTCATTAGCCTGGACTCTGGTCTCTATAATAAACACCCGAGAACGCGTGCGCGACAGGTTTTCCCAGGGTATACGGCGCGACATAACCCTCAGACCTCCATGGTTGTTGTCGTGAAAGTCCTCGAGCAGTTGCGGGGCTTCGTCTGTGCCTCCCCAAAGTTTCTCTACCCACATCCGAGGACTTTCAACGCGCTCGCTGAGCCGTCTTTAATATCCAACCGATGTTCCTGTTCAATAACAAGGGCAATGCGGTGCCGCGCTCTAGACGATCCTCGATAGAGTCCCCGGTCACCAACTCCTTGGCCCCAACATCGCCCGCAACATCTGACACCTGGGCCCCTCAATCCGATGCCTCATCTTCTGCAGAGATGCCCTCTTCCGAACCTCAAGACCGCCAGCAATTGGGAAAGAGAAGTTCGGTGTTCAAGCTTCGGTCCAGGAGTAATACAGCGGCGTCAACTGCATCATCATTCGTATCAATATCTTCCGCCATGGTGAGAGCGGAAAGCGCACGCGGCGCAGATAGCCGCCAGTTCCCAGGGCAAAATCTTCTGGACTTCTCTGGATCAAAGCGACCGTTGTTTGCGCGTGGTAAAAGGGGAAACCGAAGAAGCGGACAATTCTCTCCTAGCTCTCAATTCGAGGATGACGGCGAGGTGGAGGAGAGCGGCAGAAGAAGTTCGGTACTGCGGAAAGGCAAAAAGGTTGCTGACCAGACTGAGGACTCACGTAAGTGTTTACCATTCCGAGACTAACAAGTCACTCATTCCTCTGTAGCGAGCAGTCTCAAACTCCGGATTTCAAGCCCTTTCGATTTCCAACATGTCTCGCATGCGGACCGCCGTCACATCACTTCTCTAGATGCGACACCAGAGCAAAATGGAACAACAGAACACAGAGGCGCCCTCAAAGGCATCAGGGCAGACGGCCTGCACTTTGACAATCTCTCCTCCGATAGTCTTGCTGCGCCTGAGTCAAGAGCAGCGTCTGTCATGGGATTTAGGTCCCAAGCTATGAGCCCATCATTTGCCCCCGAGCACGACGTCAGCTCAGCGACACTCAGAACAGCACGATCCGTCGAAAGCTTCTCGCAGCCCGGTATCCTACCTCGTGCACACCGTCACACCCGGTCCGCCACGCCATCGAGCCGACCGTTCTCTCCCATAGATGATGCGCTCGAGACTGACCTCTCTGGTCGAAGAGTGGCAGCATCACCTCATTCTAATAGAAATTCTGGGGTTTGGGACAAGTTTGTGCCTTTGGTGTCTCCTTTCCTCGATAACAAACTTCCGACGATAGCTGATGAGTCGGATAATTTCGGTCATGCGATCACAACCCCAGATGATTCCGCTATCCATGCCATCACGCCAATCTACAGTCCCGGGCTTGAGGATGTGGCAGAGGAGCCCGAACGATTTTCCAGTCCGAGGCCTGCGCCATCACCTCCAATGCGATCCCCACGGCCCCCGCGCTCACCGTTCTTCGATTCAATCTCATCGCGTAGCGCCCAACGGACCCCGATTTCGAGAACCAATAGCCGCTCTGGGTCCGCGACTTCCTCGAAACCAACAACACAGAGGGCGCCGATAACGCGGCCGATTTCGCAAATGTCTGACACTCTAGGCTCTTCCACTCCTGCTAAACGAAACTCTCTTCGCAGGCCATCAACGACGAGACGAAAATCTAATACTTGGCGTGTTATTGAAGAATCGTGGGAAGACGATGTAGATTTCATCTATGAGAATGCCCTAGAAGCCGACTGCGAATTTGACTGGGAAAACGGTTCGGATGGTGCAAGGACTCCCGAGGACAGAGAGCGTACCCCACAACAGCAAGATGGCCAGCAGAATGGCCAGGAGCCTACTTCTGCCTCGAACCACTCCCGTACGATATCGATGCAATCCGAAGAGGAATTTGTGGACAATTCGACCTTCTATCCAGGCAATTTCCGCCCCTCGCTCCTCGTCCCCAGTACCATCAGTGTCCCAGAACTAGAGTACCGCTCCGCGCTTTCTGCTTCCACCGCGGATACCGGAATGCACACGCCCTCAGATCTCTTCAGCTCCATGGATCGCCGACAAGCCCCTTATTCGGAAAGCGAGGGTTTCGTCCTTACGCCTTCCATGTTGATTCCCCCGGAATATAAGGAACAGCCTCGCGACGAGATGTACAATGATCTCCTTGCGAATTATGAAGGGTCGGATCGACACTTCCCCATTCTCGATGCCCGAAAGAGCATCGCCAGCTCTTCTCGTAGCAGCCACATTCGCTCCAGCAAGCGGAGTTCCTACGACAGCAGCCTTATGTCCTCTGGCATTTGGAGCACGCCCGTTCGTCGGTCCGCAAGCTCATCTGGCAGCCTTCCGGAACTTGTCCACTCACGGCGGTCTCGCAAGGACATCAATGCTGCAGTCGAGCAGCTAAGCCAGCAGGTTGCGGCGGTCACCACTGGCGGCAACAGCATGACCGAGACTGAGGACGATGATGTCACTCCCCCCGGACGTCAGTGTCAAGACCGCACGTTCTTCGCGTCAGAAGATGAGGAGGAGGCTCAATCATCCCAATTCGCAATTGAGAGCGAAGTCCGCGCATCCCTCGACCTCGCCCAGCAGGGCTCATCACGTTCATCCCGACAGCAACCTCACGGTCACAAATACGCTTCGTCCGATGGCGCGGCCAAGCTGCTCGCGTCCCCGATGATGCGTACTCCAGAGCTACAGCAAGCACCGAAAGGACGCGCCCGAGCTGCTAGTTCTGCGGCACGAAACTCTAGGCCATATCTCAGTCTATTTCCCACACCGCCGAAAACAACACCTCTCGCAACTCCGACTTCGCCAAACCCCGCGAAGTAATTCCACACTTGAAAAGAACGATTCGGAGGATTATTCACTGCATTCACGTTCGATGTATATATTCATCGCGATCACACAATGAACTTTTTCGTTCACGTCGTTTCCATTTCTTTTGTCTCATTAAAGGAGCAGGTCTGATTGTTATTTTGATGTTTGTGGGGTTTTTGGCGGGGGTGGGAATAGAAAAAGCTGGCAAGGGAGGGATCATTGGCGTTCGTGCGCGTTATCTCGCAGCTGAGCGCTGTACCATAGTCGTACTCGTTTTTCGAATCTTTGTTGTGGGATTATTTGGAATCTCTATCTCAGCGCATCGCAAGTCTATTTTCCTTTGTAAACTTTTGGAGGTGGGGAATGGTGGGTGGACTTGGTGATGAGGAAGCGGACGGAAGGGACGGTGGGCGATCTATCGGTTCTGCTTCCATGTCTCCTTCCGCGGGCCTCTCTCTCTCTCCTGGAAATGGATTCCAGGTTCTACACGTCGCGCCGCGGACGGACGTGTGGAAACATGTGCGATAATATATAGCATGGCGTAGCTCTAGCAAGACGTACGTATTCTCTCGACAAGTTCCAACAGACACCCAACGGGGTCAATTCCACGCAAGGCACGATCTTCTCCGCAACAGTACGGAGCACTCTTCTTCGACCTTCTAGCGTCTTCGCGTACAGTAGTTGCATCGTTCAACAGCGATAAAGTTTGAACCGGCGTCAGTACCTGCGGGCGGGCCACGGGCGAGCGTATTTTTCCCCAGGTGGTCGCTTCCGCCGTGCCGTGCGAGTCAGACGCGTGCATAGCCGTGAGGGCAAAAGTCGGGGATGGTCAGCGATCGTCAGGCACGCTGCAGCTCTGACTGTCAGGCATTCATCAGGCTGATGATGAGGTGAGGTGAGGTGCGAACTGTCAACAAAAGTTGAGGCGGAAGAGATGATGGGAGCACGAGCAGGGTAATCGAGCATCATCATGATGCCGTGTTGTCTTTTTGGCGTGCTGCTGCGGCGCTGCCAGTCCGACTCTGTTGGCGATCATAGTTAACCAACGAGGTCAAATATTCGGCTACTTGCTCCGTACATCAAATGGTTCCATGTCGGCCCGTCGGTGCCATGCGAAGGGTGTGTTGTTGTTGAGAAAAGCCAACGCGTAGCTATAACTAACGTTTTTTTCCGTATTTCTTGAAGCCTTCTACCAGTAGACTCGTCCCAAGGCTTCTGTACATGATACAAGTATGTACCCAGGTGGAAAGGTCGGAACATGTCATAGTATTCTTAAGGAAAGCCAATCGCAAAGTTGCAAATCCACTCTCTCCACCCAGACAGACATCAGATGCATTTCCGGAACCTCTCGGCCGTTGGCCACGGCACTCTCTCCGACTGAGTGAGGTTCCCTGTCGCGAGCGCGTCGAGACTCGAGAAAAAACGAACGGGTCGTGAGAGGTATGTCTAGACGGCAGGCGGATGCGGCGCGCCTCACCGATCGCGGAGGGCGGCCCGGATAATCTGCCCACCATGCGAGGGAAGGGAATCTGGTGAATGATAATCCGAACGGTGCGGATGGGGCCGTTGAGGCGTTGAGGCGTTGAGGCGTTGAGGCGTTGGGGCTTGCTGTTTGCATGATATAGGCTATCGTATCCGTAGACCTGACGTCGAATTTTCTGTCCACTTGGTCCATCATTCCCATCGAACGTTGAGGTGTCCACCCGCTGGTATGGCTACTTCCCAGAGTCCCCAGAGTCCCCAAAGTCCCCAACAACTCCCAAGGCCCAGCTCAAAGACACGCATGCAGGACATTGGGGAAACACAGTGATGATTGTCGCGCGCCTGCGCCTGCTGATGGGCCGGCGTCTGCGTCCCAGCATTTTCCCATTCCCGTATTCTGTACGTTATATCGGCCTAGGTAGGATAAGGGTACTTTTTTACCAACTTCCCCATCCGAGCAGCACCCCCCCGCCCCCCCCAAATCAAATATCTACCGGGGCACCCTGGAGCTGACTGGCGCCTTTCACTTTCACAATCCCAACCCCCGAGGATTCGGCATGCAAGACACGCCGGGTTGGAGCGATTTCAACCGGTGCTGGTCCTGGGTTATAATGTCCAAATCCTGGCTGTTAGAATAATTTTACTGGTCGCTGTTATATACTATGGAAGGAGGCTGCCTCAGGCATTCGTGCATGCGAGGCTGCAGGTGGGCTCTGGCCATGTGGTTCTGTGCGGGGAGGAGGGATGTGTTTGGGATAGATGAGGGTGTTCGGCGAGGTGGGGATGGATTGGGGAGGGCGGGTTGCTTGTTTGGGAGGGGTGAGATGATGAGGTTGATGGATTCATGATGGTTCTCTGGGGGTTGGGTTCAGGCTCTGGTGTCTGGTAGGATGTGTAAGGGTAGAGTCTCGCCTTCAGCGTTCGGAGAGAGGTAGAGTATATATCGGCGCACTTTACGCAGTGCTTTGTGGCATTTGTGATCTGGGCGCAATTGATTGCACCATCCCAGGTTTCTGGCTCTTTCTACTGGTAAAGAAAGAGCATCATTTCGCCATTATGGAAGTCAGAAAGTTATCCATCTTCAAAGGATGAAGCGAGGTGGGCAGCGCCTACCGTTAACTTGAACACTTCTCTCTTCTCTGCCCCCGGATCCGTAGAGTACGCACGTGCATATCCATCTTTGTGGCTACGAGAGCTCCCTGACGCGACAACGCACGGTAATTTCTCTTCCCAAGGGTTCTTGCGCCTAATAAGTCGCGGTAGAGCACCATGTACTGTACGTTCACGGACTGCATACATGCATACCCAAGCCGGGACGGGGAGGTTTCGTCCCCCGCAACGTGCAACGCCGGGTGCTCTGGATGCGTACCCCAGGAATGATATGTCACAAGTAGATAACCATGTCGCACTGTATGTGAGTATAGCCCTGCGCCGACTATATGCTCAGGGTACATATTTCCCCGCAAACATGCGGATCGTTGAGAGATGCATGGACTACGTGTAGCATAGAGCCTACATGGAGCATATGTACGGCTGCTGCAACGGCAAAAGTTCCCAGCATACATGGCTATTAATAATTAGAGTCAAATTCGCTAGTTTAGGTAGAAAAGCACTTTGGCATATTCAGTATTGGGAGCATAGCATCATTGCGATACCTGACTTGCAACGCTGAAAGGGAAACGTAGTATGCCTCCATGAGTGGCATTTTTCCACGCCTACAAGATTTTGTTTCGTTACAAGGAAATCATGCTCGGCTGAAGTGTCCTCTGCACAATGTTACGGTTATGACTGTTAAATCCCTTGATCTACTAGTGACCGGTTTCGAATAACCATGAGAATTCTGTTTCTCCATGATCTAGAGTCATTGCAGTATCGGGCTTTTCTCCACTAGTTAGTATGAAATAGCACCGTAGGTGTTCATGTATTATTAAGCTCTATACCGGCTTAAATGTGGGTCTTCACATAGCTCAAAAGGTTAGTGTTCACCTTATTTAGAGGTAACAGCACTCAACTCAGTAGTTCAACTGCAAGAACCGACGTCTAAATGCAGGTAAACCCCTATCCCGCCATCTATCTAGCACACATAGCAAGTGAGCCGATCGAAACAATATTAGAAATAGCACCCGTGATCTCGTTCCGTTGGTGCTATGCATGTACATATGCCGATTGCAGGCTGTATGTATACAAACAATTTGTAGGTGATTTTCGACTCCGCAACTCAAAGCGTCTTCGTTCACGGCGGTTTAGATTTACTATGATTGGGGGTCTAGAAGGTTACAGCTAGACAGCGTCGACGTAGAGAGTGTACATCGAATCTAGGTTGGCACGTTCCTAGTCATAGCTACTAACTACCAGTCCTTAGCAGAATGAATGAAGCAGTCTTCCCTTTGTAGTGGCATGGCTTAGAAACTCTATGGCCCCATGTTTAACAATAGAAAGCGAGGCGATAGGACATATGAGGGAAAAGGCATGAGCGCAGAAACGTAATCAGGACTGGAGAAGGTATTAAAACGATAATAAAAGACGAGAACAAACAGGCACATTTGGAAGGATGGCCAAAACTACGGCGGTATGAAAAACAGCACGCGTACCAGAACGGGTGGTTAGCCCTCACACCATCACTCTCCCTACTAAAGGCTCGACGCTCCATAAGCCAACTCTGTCGCAAAGCCCGTAGACCCTAGCGATACATGCACGCCATCCCTTCAAGAACCTCCCGTCACACATTCCCATCTTCAGACGTACACAGATTTGTTGTAATAAGTAGATTCCTATTATCATATCTATCCATCCGCTCGCAACCACCACCATATCACACACGTAACCCAACGTCAACAATCCACCCGTACACCCTCTGTCCGCCCTGCACTGGGCGTTGCTACTCTCACCGCTCTGTACGAAGAATGAAGGAAAAAAAAAAGTCCGGCAGTAGTCACTGAGGCAGACCTATTACACATATAATCTGCAAAGCAGCCGCTCCTCGAATCAAAGCCATTCAGACAGCAAAACAAGAAGGAAATGACACTGAAGAGTTGGGCAATCAGGCAAGCCGACCATCGCATATGCGTCTAGCCAAACAGCAACGCAGAACCCCGCACCAGACTGCGCCGTTGTATGCAAGGTGGGAGACACGCAAAAAGGAAAGAGACAGCTGAGGAAAAGGGGGCCAACGTGGAAAAAGGGTATGAGTGCTTGGGAGAAAAGGAGGCGAAGAGCTATGGGAGTAGAAAAGGAAAAATGAAGATGTGGATCACCTGTCCTTCCTAATATTGGAGACCCTTCGCAGAATGGCCATTACGGGCGTTGAGATCCGGTCATCAGACGGAGGGCAGATCCTATTCGCCATTGACGTACGCTCCGTTGCGATGGTCGTCGTCGCCACCGCCGCCCATATACCGCTGCATATAAGTAATGTAGTCGTACTTGGGGACATCGCGATCTTCCTGCAAATCTGGACCCTTATGCTCGGGCATCGTGGCGATGAGGTCTTCGATGATTTCGTCGGGGACTAGCGAGTGTCGAAGATCGAGCTCCGTGACATAGGGCTGGGATATTATTAGTCCGCATTCTAACATACAAGTTCCCTGGTGGCCAAAGCAGAGAGGTTGGGGAACGATTTACCTTGCCATCGGCGACCTCCTTGAACGACTCAAACACCTGCTCCGCGGTATTTTGATCCTCCGTCTCGTCGACCATAAACCTAATAAACTGCTCGAAGGTGACATAATCCCTCCCGCCGCTCGTCTCTCGGAACTTGGCATGCATTTCATCTTCATCATACACGAGCCCCAAACTCGCCAGCGCAGCCGAGAACTCCAACTCCGTCAGCGAATTCGACAAGTCGCGATCGAAATGTCTGAAAACGGATTCGAATTCCTCAAGCTGGATGGGCGTCAGATTGGTCATGTTTCGGGCAACCATTTGGTTCTCTAAGAAGGCGAGCTTTTTCGAAACGGAGGAGCGAACGAGGCCGAGCTCGTATTCCAGCTCGTCATATGTGTAGGTTGTGAAGTCGTTTTCTTCGATGTTGGCTTCGACGCATTGTTCGTCTATGGAGGCGATGATGCTGAGGTATTCATCTAGAGGCTGAAGGGACTTGCTAAGCTGTTTCGTATGCTCTAATTGGTCTTCCACGTCGCCTTCCAGGCCGGAGATGGAAGTGGAAAGGGTGTTCAGGGCGAGCGCAAAATCGTTCGCTTTATCGGCGAAGTTCTTGCGCAATGCGTTCTTGATATCCCTTATTGTTTCGTTGATGATCTGGGAGCGGTCTCTCTCCGCCTTCATCAGTCCCGCCCATGCGACATCTAACGCTTCCAGACTGAGCTCAGCAGGAGGCTCGTATGGCCGCAGGCGATACGTCGAGAGCTTCGTCTTGATATTGCCCAAGAGTCCGACTAGATCTGACTTCTCGGCGACCCATGTCCGCTTGTCTTTCCGCTTGTATGCTGTGAACTCCGCTGCCTGGTTCTTCGCATCCGCGTAAGAGCCGTCAAATTCTGCCTCATCCCACTTCTTATGCTGTTCGGCAATCTGGCGGAGGAGTTCGCGCATGCGCTTCTCGAAGTTGTTCTGCATCTCCCAGGCGCCCTGCATGTTCTGCACGAATTTCTCAACTCGGCGTCCTGCGTTCTCCACTCGCTCCATTTGGGAGAAAGCGTGGAACCAGTACGCGATGTAGGTCATTAGGGAGCGTTCGTCGGGTTTGGCGACGTCGCATACGTCTTCCACATCAAGGAGGTCGGGGATGCCAATCTCCTTGCTCGCGATATCGAAGGCCAACTGCATGTTGCCGCGGTGGTCGTTCTTGTCTAGCGCATCGTAGTCTATCAGATCCGGTCGGTGGATGTCGAGGAGAGCGCAGCTATTACAGAGTCAGTCATATCCGCCAGAAATTGTAGCAGCGAACACGCACAATGCCAGTCCGTCGTTCCAGCTTGTGGAGAAGTCGCGGACCTCGACTTCATCATAGCATGCCGTCTTCCGCTGGCACCAGAGGAGCAGACCCTCCTTTGCACTTAGCCCTTCCTCGTTGATATCGCTGATTGTGAAGCGCAAAATCAGAGTCCATATTAGACCCAGAATGATCTTGCTGTTCCCATCGACTACGTCTTCAGCACCAATGTTGGTCATCTGTATGCCTCTGCTCTTAATATAATCAAGCGACTTGTTGACATTCTCGAATTTTTGTACGCGGAGCTTGGGACGGGAGGCATAGCGACCGAGGGATTCGTTGCTCAGGATCTCAAGAAGGTGGATAAGGACAATCTATCAGGTGCCGTCAGCGGTGGTGTTGAAGAGCGCGGGAAGTGGACAGGGAAGGCAGGTGTGCACATACACCATCGGAGAGATCTGTAATGAGGTCCTCTATCTCGACATCGCGAGCCTTCAGCTTGCTGTTCAGCCTGTTCGGTCCGATTAGCTACGTTGTCGTTGACGCGAGAGAGGCATACCATTTGGTGAATGTTTTCTGCTGGACTTTAACCCATTGCTGCTCAAGCGGCGCCATAGCTGCGACTGCACATGGGGAAGCGTGGTTTCTGTGCGCCCAAAGGATGCAAACAGAGTCGGGGGAGTAAGGATATCAGCTGCAATGGTGGTTGGAGGAGAAGTATTCTGTGCCTGGACGTTTACTTTTGGTGGGTGGTGACCTCTCGTGGCTGCTGCGTTGTTGCGGGCCTTGCGGCTGCGGCAGGTCGGTCGGCGCGTGTTTGGCGGGGCTCCCGCTGTTGTCACCACGCCGTTGGCCAGCCCCCAGTCTACCCCTTGCGACTCTCTCCACCACTCATAAATACCGACTTGCTCGCACTCTTTGATAGTTACCATGACTTACCCATCAGTTGACAGCGACCCCTTAGTTGCCACGCTAGCTGACCGCCTGCCTAGCCAAGTTTAGCTTTAGCGTTTTTCTGCCAATTTCGTCGTGAATGTTCATTCTCCTCTACACTACGAACTTATTATAGATAATTACTGTCTAAGAGATTGTCTGCAGCGAAGCGTAAGCCTTGCACGTAGGCTGCTTTTTTCGCGCTTTTATTAGGCAATGGCGGGGATGCAGATTTGTATGGGCGGGTGTTTGGTGTTCCAGTGGCAACTAAGGGGTCGCTGTCAACTGATGGGTAAGTCATGGTATTGGCAAGACAGCCCTATCCTGGCGCTCCTCTGAACCTCCCATAAGCTCGTTCTTTTCGCCTTGTTGCCCTGGCATCTCCACTGTTGCCGGGTCCCATCTTTCATCTTGTTCGATCAAGTCTTCGAGATGTCATCCGAGTCCCTGCGAAGAGGGCATAAAGGTCTCCATAACTGTAATATGGATAGTCGATGTTCAGATGCGAGATATCCCGTGTCTCTACTTGATGATTGTGGGTAGTCAAGTCATCAAGGAGATGAAGCTGTTAGTGGATGGTATTTACTGTCTCCGTGGCGATTTACTTGGTTATCAATCTCCTCAATCTGGGCACCCTGACATGGGCATCAGGATTGTGATCTTTCTAGAAGCGAATGTCTCCCTCCTCTTACACGAGTTGTTTCCTTTTTGAACTCATCTGGGCGTCGCATTCTATATCGCTGACTTGACCACTGTTGCACCATGTGCACTATGTGAAAGGAGTGGAAATGCCGGACACATTATGGTTGCCGTATTCACCAACTGGTCCGCACTCGGAAGAGGGTAATGGAAGACGGAGGAGACAGAGACAGAAGCATTGTTCGTCCACCTCCTCTACAGTCAGATATACTTCACTCCTCCTCACACGCTATGAGCTGCATGCAAAGTTTAAGCCTCACCACTGCAAGATTGGAAGCAAGACCGCCATCGAAACGTGTACCAAACAATCAAAATGTGAGTGGCGTCGCTTCGAGAATAGCGAGAAACGGAAGCGGCGGCTGTAGGTACCGGTAGAGGTGTTGGTGTAACTTCTCCGCGTTTCAGACAAGCGCTTGTGTGCATCAGATGGCCCTGAAACGATCAGGATGTAGACATCACGGATGGCAATTGGCGGAATCAGATTTGTATCAGGATAAACGATAGCCCTTTTCCTCCCTCCAACCCACAAAAACCACTTCTGCGAGGCGCAAAGTGTTTGTTGTGATCTCCTCCGAGGTACCCATCTGCTACAGCCCAACAATACACAGTAGGCTTACAGGCCGCCAGCGCCTCCAAGCCTTTTGCCTCCCTCGCCCAGCCGTCCAATGACGGTTGGTGGCCGTGGTGTTGCGGCTATCAATCGTTGCTTCACGGGGTTGAAACATATCGTCCAGATCTGTATATGCGCCTATGGCCTGATTTTGGAAGGCGGAACATAAGCTGCCCAACAGCCAGAATGAGAGGAGAAAAGTAACAACAGCCCAACCGATTTGCTCCTTTCTTTGAGCCCGTCAGCGGTCACGTGCCCTCCCCTGGGCTCATCGCCACCTCTAAAGTAGTGCAGGGACTCCCGAGACTAGTTCTAGAAAGATACCCCCCCCGGATACCCACCTCCTCCAACATCGACTCCCTCCTTTTGCTTCCTCCACCGACTCGCTACGGGTGGGAACAGCTTTGATGTTCTGCGCATTTGGTAGCGTTGCGTCCTTCATGATCGCCCCTCGCTAGAACCCCTCGCCTTGTTTTGGTCGACCCGGCGACGCTCACCACACCTCTCCTGCACTCCTTCGCAACCAAGTCACGTAACCACGCATCCTCAGCTTTCCTGCGACGCCACCGACACGCACACGCCAGTGCCAAAACCCCAGGCTCAACTCTAGCTGCCAGTCCTTTCGCTGCAAAGCTGCCATCCTGTCGGCCAACGCGAGTACCAAGCTCGCCCCCGCACTTCTCCCTCCTCAAGTTGCATGCGAGAGGGCCCTGCCTGATCACTCTCTTACAAACCATACATCGTCCAATCCACGTACTTCTGATCAAAGTCAGTAATTCAGTATTTCCTCTGGATATTCTATGATCTTGCTTTATCCGGGTTTCCATTCAAGAGTCCCCTTCGTAGGACTTCTGTAGTTCCCGCCAGTCCCCTAATACTGCCGTGCTAACTCTACATCGTAGAATGTATTCCCAGTATTCTCGCGATCAGTTTATGAACCCGGGGCCCGCCCCGCGACCTCCCAATGACCGACCCCGCCTCAATCTCACACCAAATACGAGTCAAAACCTGCCCGGAAACATGGCCGGCCTGAGCCTCAACTCGCCTGCTTATAATAGCGGCAGCTCCTACAGCAGCGCCAACACCTCGACACCTTCCTTGATCCGAACACAGTCTGAAAAGAGTCTGTCAAGCACGTCGGTAGTCAAAGAGGGCAACGTCAAAGTAAAGGATGAGGGCTTATTCAAATCATTTGTGTGGCAGGACCGATGGCTCGTCCTACGCGAATTCGAACTGGCCTTCTTCAAAAGCCCCAACTCCAACAAGCTGGCGAACACCATAATGCTTCGAGATATCCTAGGCGTTGAGCGCTCCGATACGCAGCCCTTATCATTTGAGATCACCCGGGCCCTCAATGCGTCCAAGGGCTCTTCCCCCCCTCGCGATGGTCCAACCAAGGTTATCACCTGCAAGGTGGAAACAGATGACGAAGTTTACTCATGGATTGATAGCATATATCAGCGGTGCCCCAGTATGGGAGGCGTCAGCAACCCAACCAATTTCACTCATAGAGTTCACGTAGGCTTCGACCCTACCAGCGGTGCCTTCGTCGGCCTACCCGTCGAATGGGAGAAACTGCTCACTGCTTCCGCGCTCACCAAGGACGATTATGCAAAGAACCCAAAAGCGGTGCTCGAGGTCCTGGAGTTCTATACGGAAAAGCTTGTGAAACGCGCAGACGATCCGCAGACGTATTCTAGCCTTACTCCCACCCCACCCGTCAACGCGGGCATGGAGAAGCAGCTTGGCTACGGTAACTCGATTGCGCCGCCTCGTCCTGGCCCTCCAAATGGCTATCAGCGCAAAGACAGTTACAGTATGACAAGGCAAAACACTCCTCCGCAGGCCGGGTATTCCACTTCGCAACCATACCAGCAAGATGCTCGAATGGAGCAGGAGCGTCGGCGATTGCAGGAGGAAGAGACCCGGATACAACGTCAGCGGGAGCAGGAGAAGCAGCGGCAAGAAGCGGAGCGGCGGGAAAGAGAGGAGTTAGCCGCATACAATGCTTCCTTGCCGAAGACGAAGGTGCCGCTTGCACAGCAGGAGATTGGTGGTGGTGGTTATGATTCGCGCGAAGCTAGCCCATCGAACCAAGGTCGATATAACCCGAGCCGGCCAGCGCCATCTACCCCTGGCGCATCGCGGGATCGTCAGCAACCACCTGGCTCCCTCAGGCAGATGGCCGCCCAGCGTCCTGCTCCTTCGGCGCCGAAGCAGCCAAATGGAAGCGGATACACGACATCTCCCCAAGCCGCGTCACGACCGCCCGCACAGCCAAGCACGAACGCAAAATATCAGGGCTCGAATAACCAGGTGGCACAAGCGCGCCCGCCTCAACAACCACAGCAGAATAAGTATGCTGGCGCCGCACCGAAACCGTTGAACGTGGCTGCCAAGCAGCCCGCTCAGGTCAGCGACTCTGTGAAGAAGGCGGAGCAGGCGCTTACTAGCAAGAAGGAAGAGGCGCCTCGCAAGGACGTGCGGATGTCAAGTATGTCAGAAAGTGAGGTGATGGCCAAGCTTCGCGAAGTTGTCTCGAAAGACAGGCCTCTCGACTCTTACAACAAGCAAAAGAAGATTGGCCAGGGCGCATCTGGATCCGTCTACGTAGCTCGAATCAGAGAAACCGCAACATCGCCCACAGCACGCAGGTTGTTGCAAGAGAATGGTCCTCGGGCTCAAGTGGCTATCAAGCAGATGGACCTTCGTAATCAGCCCCGCAAGGAGCTCATCGTGAATGAGATCATCGTCATGAAGGACAGCAAGCACCCCAACATAGTCAACTTCCTGGATGCGTTCTTACAGGAGGAGCAATCCGAACTTTGGGTGGTCATGGAGTTCATGGAGGGCGGAGCTCTGACGGATGTCATCGACAACAATCCCTCTATCAGCGAGGACCAGATCGCCACTATCTGCTTAGAGGTCGGTATCTCATTAATATTCCCACCTGCTATGCTAACCATTCCTCCAGACTTGCAAAGGTCTCGAACACCTTCATAATCAGAATATCATCCACAGAGATATCAAGAGTGACAATGTTCTACTTGATGGACGTGGTAACGTCAAAATTAGTGCGTCACCTTTTCCACCACAACTGAGGTCAGCACTAACAAAATATCAGCTGATTTTGGCTTCTGCGCCAAGCTCACTGAACAGCGCAGCAAGCGTGCAACCATGGTTGGCACGCCGTACTGGATGGCGCCCGAAGTTGTCAAACAGAAGGAATATGGCAACAAGGTCGATATCTGGTCGCTAGGGATCATGGCGATCGAGATGATCGAGTCCGAGCCGCCGTATCTGAACGAGGAGCCACTCAAAGCCCTTTACCTGATCGCAACCAACGGCACCCCCCGCCTCAAGAAGCCGGACAAGCTGTCGAAGGAGTTGAAGGCGTTCTTGTCGGTCTGTCTCTGCGTCGATGTTAAGTCAAGAGCGAGCGCCACAGAGCTGCTGAGCCATGACTTCTTGAAGAGCGGTTGCAGCCTCAACAGCCTGTCACAGCTGCTCAACTTTAGGAAGAACGGAAGCCATTAGACGATCGCGATGCTTCGCCCGTCCTTAAGTTCGTCATTTCAACGCTCGCAAAAAAGCCCCACTCTGACATGATCGATACCCTTTCTTGCGTTTGGCTCTTGTCTGCTGCAATACAATAAAGCTTGACTTGTCCTGTCCCCCAGCGAGACTTACAATGGCCAGCTTGCTCTCCCAGATGTTCCTCTATCTGCATTATCTCTTCGCGTATCCGCACATGTCATTTGCTAGTGTCGGAGAATTAGGTCATGGTTAGGATGGACCTACAGTTACTTTGAAAGAGGACAGATGATTGTTTTTCTCTCCATTGATATGACGATAGACAAATTTCATCATCTCTCACGACTTAGACTTGATTCCCTCAATCCGTTTCCTTGCTTAGTGACAGTCTTGTAGTGGAGAGGAGACCCAATCAAGGAGTGCTTTGATGGAGAAGATGGAGACAAGATATCGGGCGTTCCCTTCTCATATACATGTAGCGCATGCATGTCCTTGACTTTTGAGTCCTCTGTTCACGTGTATGTTCTCTGTGCGCCTTCCCCATCCCGCTGTGGTTCCAAAGGGGAGGGGCGCTAGTGGTCGGACTGTAGGCTAGTTCCCGACTCGGATAAGCGTGAATGTTAAATAGACGTCTTGCCAGACTTCCTAATCACTTTTACTACACTTACCACTTTCCTTGAGCATAACGGCGTGCATTTGACACGATAGAACTTTTACCCGCTTTTTCTTACCTGATTTTGTCTGCAGATTTGATACGGCGCCTCTGGGACACGTTGGATCGAGATGGAGAAACTCACTTGAATCGCGACACTGCTACAACACACAGCTCCGAAGAACGGTCATGCACAAAGGAAAGAGGGAAATGCAATTATACACTGCAAGGAATACTGCACTAATCATTGACAAAGCACACACACGCCTTCACCGTTGTAACCAGCCAAATGCCACCTTTACACTAGAGATATCTTCTTCAATCAGGATGTCCATCCTTCGCGTCCATGCGCCTGCGTCATCTCCTTTGGTCCCTTACGCATGCCTCAGCAGTGCGGCTTTCAGCTCCTTCTCTTTGGCCTCGACCTCGGCCTTTTTCTTGTGGAACCAGGTGGGCCTGGCGTCACCGTGTTCGTCAACGTCTTCGTTGCCATCCTCATCAATGGGCGGCTCTTCTGAGGTGGGCCCGACCGCGTTCTGGGTGCTTTGCTTGGAGTCCCTGTGGTCATCGCCCTCGTCATCATTGTCCTCATCTTCCTCGTCCGTCCAGTAAGTGTCCCGAATGCTTTCGTCTCCGGGACCGATCTCACCCTCTTCATCGTCGTCCCCCTGGTCCTTGCTCTGATCTGCTTCCATTTCATTGTATATAGCAGTCATGCGGGCCCTCCTCATGGCATCGTCCTGACTCCCCTCATCGAGGCTTCCATACTCTGTCAACACGGGCACGGTCGGTTTCTTCCAGTGCTCGCCCAGCCACGCGTGCCAGTCCACGAGTTCGGGCACGATGTTCATGGCTGCGAGCCTGGTCACAGGATGACATCCCTTTATCACCTTGGTGTCTCGCCATTCTTCAGGAACCAAATCTCCCACGTGCTGCAGCGCAACTGCGATCATTCGTCGCTCATGGTACATCCTGTTCAGAGGGACCCTCTTAGGAACGCGGTGCGTCTCACCCACCATCTTCTTATATTTTGCCAGTTCTTTGTGAAGCCGGTGGTTCTTGTTGAATGCCTCGTAATAGAGGTTTTCCAGACTGAGGTAGGCGTACTTCTTCGCTGTGGATTGCTTCATCTCCAGATCACGAATTTGGCTCCGGTAGTCCGCGTGGACGTTCTCCAGCTCCTCCTCGAGCGGCGCTACCCTCGCGTAGAGGCTCATTAATTCCTCCTCCCTTAGAGTCAACTTCCCCTCCATATCCCTCAGAAGGTTCACACACGAAGGGACTGAGATATCAGAACTCCTTACCTCCGACAGGACATCCCGACAGCGTGACAGCTGGTCCTTGAGGATCTGGATCGTACTCTCAAGGCTGGATCTCTCTGTGCGAAGGTTTTCGACTTCCTTCCGACGATCCACTTCCTCGAAGATATACTTGTCGAGCTCCGATTCCGCCTTGTGAAACTTGTCAAGATTCTCCTCTGCCTCTGTCTTCAACTTGCCGATTTCCGTCAGCAGTTCCTCGCAGCGATAGTACTTAGAGGACAGTCTAGTGAGGACAGCAACCGTGATCTCAGCGGTAATCTTGTTCTCCACCATGGAACTCATGAGACTCTTGACGGTATCTTCCATGGAATCTGAATCGGGATTCACCTCCTCCTTGATATCGACCTTGAACGCGCTCTGTACGCCACGCATGTGAGCCTTCGCTCGCTCAAGCTCTGCTGTCACCACCAAAAGCTCCTTGCGGGCTCGAGCGCTCTCGGCTTCGGCATCGAGATACTGTTTGTTGCTGCTTGCACCCGAATGCTGCGCCTGCAAGGTGACGACAATCATATCCGTGATGTCTCTCTTCAAGTAGTGGTTCTCCTTCTTGAGAACCTCGTACTTCTCAATCAGGTCGTTTATGCGGTTCATGTAATCGTTGATGAGGCGATCGTCACACCTTGTCGAAATCCAGTCGTGGAGACCGCGAAGCTGCTCCTGGAGCGCTTCCTTCTCGCTCCGGAGAGTGGCGATGATTGCCTCGTCGCGGCTGTGGTTCTGGTGGAGCTCGGCCTGCAAGTACCCGATGGTCTTGTCGTGCTCGGAGAGCTTCTGTGCCAGGCTGGGGAAGTCTTCACGGAGAAGCTTGCGCTTCTCGTCAGCGAGGACTTGGATCTCCTTCTTCAGCTCTGCAGTTTCTCTCTCCGCGGCTTGCGCGGTCATCTTGTGGACATTGTGCTAGCAAGTGAGTTGCCGCTGCTGGGCTCGGAGATCTGCGATCTCTGCTTCTTGCTTGCGGAGCTCCTGGTCTTGGGATTCGGTGGTGCTGGACAGTTCCTCGATGGTGGTGTCCTTCTTCTTCAGCAAACTGTCCTTTGCAGCGATCTCTCTCGCCTGATCGTCCACATTCTTCTGAAATTCGCCGATGGTGCGATCCTTGTTCTTGATCACATCGTCCTTCTCAGCGATCAGCCTGGTCTTGCCATTGACGTCTTTCACCAATTGTCCGATAATGGCATCCTTCTCATTGACCAATTCATTCTTCTCAGCGATCAGCTTGGTGTGACTCTCTGCCTCTTGCTGTAGTCTCTCGGCCTTCGCCTTCGCGCGTAGATCCCTCGTAAGCTCGCATATCTTCCTCTGCTGCTTCTTGATGGTATCTCTCGCGTCCTGCAACTGCTTCTCAACAGCCCTCAAATCGTTCGTCGCCTCCGTCAGCTTATCCTCCTGGTCGCCGGCGTGAAGAGCAGCGGTATCACGCTGGTGCTGGAGCGTCTTCAGCTTCTTCTGCAGCTTGACGATGGTCGCGGCGTCGGTGGTGCGGGCACGCTCGTCCTGGGAGGATTCGTCCGGCGAGGTGGCGCCCGTGTCTGGTGTTCTGATGCCCACTTTCTTTGAGGACGGTTCCGAGTCTGAGCCGGAGTTCTGCGGGGAGCCGGTCGGGAAGGCGGTATTGCTTGCTACCGAGGTGGGTTTGGGTGTTGGAGAGTGATTCTGTTTTTATGCGTCAGTCTGCGGTCTCAGTAGGGAGAGCTTCGGAATATACGTACCTGAGTGACACTTTTCAGGAGAGCATCACTTTGTACGCGGAGTATCGCATCCACAATGCCCGCGTTTTCCTTCAAGGAACCTTTCCTCCTCGCCGATCGCAAATGTACGGATAGTGCTGGCTCGGCTTGATACGCCAGGCAGGCAGGTAGACTCAAGCCTACGGTGGCAAGTGTCGCTGCTTGCTGCTCGCCCCTGGGTAGAGAAAGGGAATGCTGAACTGCTTCATGGACGCCGAGCTTCTCACAGCTTCTGCCCATTTTGCCTGTGATGAGGAGGCCCGTGGCAGCTGGTGGTGCTGCTGCTGTTGGTGTGTGGATACGACGTTGTGAGAGCCCGAAGCCCACGTGGGAGATCATGACTCCGACTCTGTGGCCACACGCGAGCGGCACGCCGCTGGTGTTTGCGAAGGCGTCGAAAAGGTGATGTAGAGATCAGGGGAAACGGAGACAGTGGAGGAGGAATGGGTGGAGAGAATGTTCAAGTTGAAAAGGTGGGAGAGGTAGATACTCGTCCGACACGGACAGCACGAATGGCCGGTCTCGAAGAGGGGAGTCAAAGGAAGGGGAGGTGTATGGTTTACTGGAAAGAGAGGTGGGTGTGTGGTGCGGAGAGGTTATGAGGTTGACGTTAAGGAGAAGAAGGAGTAGGTATGTGGTTGGGCGAAAGAATCGGGGCGAAGTGTATGTTGACGTGGTTGATTTAAGATCAAGTTGAAGTCCAAGTTCAAGTTGAAGTCGAGCGAAGTTCAGGTTGGACTCTGGAGAGCAAATCACAACCACAAAAAGCACAACAAGAACCTGAGCAGACACACCGCTCAGGCGGACAGTGGGCCCGCAGGTCTCGTGGATAAGGACCGTGCGTGTCGTTGCTCCGGTGGTCGTGGTTGTTGTGGTTGACGTTGTGGGCTTTCACTGACGTCGGGTGGCGGAAGCGTTGGAAGTGTGACCGTGACCTTTCACAACGGCCATGGACAATGCTGGGCGTCTAGATCGGAGGGACGGCCAGAAAGAGGAAGGGTTAAGTTTCTACTTTTGGGTTTGTTTATATAGAGGCATTGATCTTGTTAGTAATGGAGATAGGTATACAAATATCGCCATCGTAGTAGGATGCGTAGGATGACTCCCTCCCACCGCGATGTCAATCAAAGACCACAACGAAAGTGGAATAATGACTCCACTGCACAAAGTACACAGAATTATATAAGCAATTGCCAATGCATCGTTTCAATCAGGGAGAGCAATCGGAGTTGCGATTTGTGTTTTCTACATAGTACGTTCGTCATGAGGAAAAGCAAATGCGCCTGGAGCGTTTTCTCAATGTTTACACTATAGTCATTAGATAGGGTCATTGGAAGGGGCACCTACTATACTTGCTCTGATACCGCCTTAGTGACCTGAGAAATTTCTCAAAGGCTCTTTGTCAAGGTTGTTTGAACGAGACGTGGGGTCGACTTGAGGAAATGTCGAATGTGAGCCAACCCATGCTGTTGGAGATCAAGGATTTTGCGAGTTGCCTGCCGTCAATTTTATTCCATCTGGTTCCTAACAACAGGGGGAAGGAGTCGGTTTCTTGGCGGTAGAAAGAAACGCAGGTCAATCGGAGTGCATGTACATACACACCAGTATGCTTGACAGTGTTTGGATGTATCCGTCGACTCAATCAGCGTTGCTAGTCCGTAAATCCTCGATGTAATAGACAAGTAGTAATACGATCAAATGAGTAGAGTATTTTTTGGTTGACATATATATGTATATACATTTACCGCTTCGTTATCCAAGATCTGAACTGAGAAGATTGCAAGAAGAAAAAAGGAAAGCCTGTATAGGAGAAAGGAAACTTTGTAGAAATGGTCGAGGAAATGGTTGTATTTGGCCAATCTCTCGGAATCTGGGGAAGGGGAAATGAACAGGGGAGCAGGGTAGCTTGTAAGCTGTACCAAGTGCAATGGAGACCGTCTATTGAAGATTTAACGGAGTTGATTGGGAAGATTTTGTCCGTGAAGAAGAGTGAAATCAGTGGAGGAAAAGAAAGAGAGGTATTATCTCAAAATCCAGCATTCAAGAAACCAAAGAGATTGTGCTGTCAGCTGGTCCATGTTCTTTAGGTTCTCCTGGCTGGACAAAAAAGAGGACAGAAAAAGAGTGGGAGAGAAAAGGAAAAAAAAAGTTTTAAATATAGCAAATGTGCCTCCTTCCCTGCTGAAACTCAGGTCCCGTGCCTGCTCTTTTCTGGTTCATGTGAGCAATCGCAGTGCGGTGGTGCTCAGCATGGTGAGGAGTTATTTGCGCCTTCCTAGCAGCGAGTTACCCAATTTAGGGGAATGATGAGCCACAGTGGGCATGCGGGACATCTCTCTACCGCCACGCTTATGGTCGTAACGGCCCAGCTCATGTTCGTAAAAGTCATCATCGGAAAAGTACTGCGGCCGGTTGGACTGCGGGTTAGCCCTGGTGTTGCGGTCCCCATCTCGATCGCCACTCTCCCGCTTCCCGTGGTGAAACGACCTCACCAACTGCGACGGGCTGGGTTTCTTCTCTCTACGCTCATCCTGTGTCTGGCTCTTGGTAGGTTTCTTCATTTCTTTCAGCTGTTGGCGTAGGTCTTTTACACGCGCCACATACTCGTCCCGCAGTCTGGCTTCCTCCTCTGGATCCACGCCCTTGGCGTTTGTGTGAAACTCTCGGCCAAGCAATGCGACTTCATTCTGGTAATTTGACGAGTACTCTTCAAGCAATTCTCGTTGAGTGTGAGAGGCGCGGGTGTCCGGCTTTCGGGAAGCGGTGTTCTCCATTGTCCCTTCGATGGTCACCTCCTTCCCGATCACATTTCCAAAGAGGGTAACACGATGAGACGACGCAGTAGAGAGAGGAGAGACAAATAGAGAGCTACCGTCATTCGCGCTTTTGGTCATAGGAGTATGCAGCATATGCCCTAGCTGAATAACGGCCATGTTTCCTGTCCGGACCGGGGTCTGTGGTGCCTCCTGAACAACTTCAGAATCGTCATGTATTTCCTGTGCCTCGGTTTCCTGGATACATGGACCGTCACCGTTCGCTGCACTTGTTGTTAGTGATGAGGTTTCCTCCGAAGCTACCAGTGGTTCTTCCTTGACGGCTGCCTCTTCACTCTGCGCGCCATTCCCATTGCGGCTCTCTTTTCTCCACGCAGCATCAATCTCCGTCAACACAGCCTTCAACTCGACAATCGCCGTGTGTAATGCCCCAAACTCGCTTCCGACATGCTCATAGAGTGAGACCAAGTTCCAAGAGGCCATGATCAAGTTGTCGAAGCTGGGAAAAACGGATCGCGCGATGCTGTTGAAAAGTTCAATTTTGAAGTGGTCTGGGATCTTGGAGAAGAAGGTGGCTTTGACAGAGTCCGGAATGGATGCAAGGCCTACTCGAGCACGCTTATTGGCTGGGTGCTTTGGGACAGGTTCGCCCGAAGAGCGCTTGCGGGAATGGGGACTGTTTGGGGAGGAGGGAGAGCTGTCTATAAGCTTGGTCAGGTTCTGCGGAAGTGTTAGCGGTGATGATTTCTGAGGGACTCTCAGGCCATGGATTGAGATGGGGAAGGCAAGAAGAAGCGGAGGATAGCGTATGTGGCGGGCTGGGAATACTCACTGTGCCATACGAAAGGCGTGGCTCAGGTTGGTTCGGCGCATTGTGAGCATATGCGCGCACATCGTTGATTTGGACCATCCGCTGCTTAATGGCTTTGTACTTTGCGCCCCACAGCGGAATCAAGTCCATGAAGATTGAGTCCAGTATGGGATAGCTCAGTGGGTTGTTTGGGTCCTTCGGGATTGGGTCGTCCATGAACACGTCAACTTCACCTTTTTGCACAAGAAGTGAGACATCTTGCACCTCGTTGGGCAGCTCTACCGTAAACAATACGTTGCCGATGTGGTACTTATTGGCGGACTCTTTCAATGTGACTTTTTGGAGACTGGGCACCACCTTGCCGTTCACTTTGCGATAGTCGGGCGGTTCGGGATCGCTGATGCCATCTAGGAAACTTTGCAAGTGGTCCGTATCAAAGTTTTGGAGGTCCGCTTTCATGGCATGGACACGGCTCTGTGCCGTATTCAGGTGAGAATACTCCATCTTGAGGCTCGGTGAGAATAGGACTGTTGTTGGAAAAGGGCAGCTGATGATCCTGCTGTGAATCGCTGATCAGTTTTGAGCGCAACAGCGATAATGGTAGTTGCACGCGAGTCCCTCGGAATGAGATGGGAGATGACGAGGAGAGGGCTACTCTCTACTGAGAGGAGGATACTATCTCGTGGTGATCGGTGTAGGAGCAAGGAAACCGTAGGCCGAGCGTGGGAGTTGAGGTTAGGGCAGGTGCTTACCCACCTTTACCTATCGCTTGCTGCAGAAGAAAGAAGGAAGAACCAAGATTTCGCAAGGCTTGAATTGAGTTATATGTAGACCAATCCGCTCGAGTGAGGTGGAAGAAGCGGTGATGACTAGGGAGGGACGCGAGAGCAGAAAGGTGTGAGGGGAAGAAGGCTCGCAGTGGGATTCCTTTCTATAAAGCGGTGAGTAGAGATTGAGGGAGATATCGAGTTATGACAGGTACGCCCAGGGCCATTATCTGAGGAGAATGACTGTAGCGATTGCTGTGTTACGGATTAGGTGGGAAAGGGACTATGGCAATGTAAACAGAGAGGACCGATATATACCTCAGAAGTTGGACCTTCGATAGAATGATTATATTCATGCCTTTGACCATGATGAGACTTTAACGAGCTGAAAGCTGTTCTGACGCTACTCATACATATTTCAAGCCGTAAAGGCACAGCAGGCAATTGCAGCGCACAAGATGACAGTCTACAAGTACAGACCCTCCGGTTCGCCCTCAGTCTTTGTCTTAAGCACCCGTTCTCGGGCAGCACGGAAGTCTTCCATTTGCACCCTCATACGGCGCTCTCGGAGCGCCATCAAACCCGCCTCGGAGCAGATAGCTTTGATGTCCGCTCCGGAGAGATCATCCTTTTGACTGATGAACTCGTCTAGATCCACGTCATCGCTGAGCGACATCTTGGACGTATGTAGCGTAAAGATCTTGCGCTTGGTGGTTTCTGTGCGACAGAGTTAGCAGGCTCTTCGCCCAAAAGCAATGTAATACTCACGATCTGGGTTCTCGAAGAGAATCTTCCTATCAATACGGCCGGGCCGGATCAGTGCAGGGTCGAGCGTCTCGATCTTGTTCGTGGCCATGATCACCTTGACATCGCCACGGTCATCGAAACCGTCCAGCTGATTGAGAAGTTCCAGCATGGTACGCTGAATTTCGCGTTCGCCTCCAGAGGTTGATTCATAACGCTTGGTACCAATTGCGTCGATCTCGTCTATGAAGACGATGGAAGGGGCATGCTCGGCCGCAACCTGGAACAGCTGTCGCACCAACCGCGGACCATCGCCCAGGTATTTCTGAATGAGCTCACTGCCGACGATTCTAAGGAAAGTGGCGCTCGTTTGATTGGCCACCGCCTTTGCGAGGAGCGTTTTCCCGGTACCTGGAGCGCCGTACAGAATTACACCCTTCGGCGGCTTGATGCCCATCTCCTCATACAGCTCTGGATGCAGCAATGGTAGTTCCACGGCCTCACGCACCTCCTGGATCTGAGACTCTAGACCACCGATATCTGCGTACGATTCTGTGGGTGCCTTATCCAACTTCATCACCGATACCAGCGGATCCGAATCTTCAGTCAAGACACCGACCACAGATACGGACTTGTGATGCAGCAGAATACTCGCGCCAGGCTCCAGCAAGTCCTTGTCCACAAACGACATGATGGAAACGTAGTATTCGGGACCCGTGGCGCTTGAAACGATGGCATGATCGTCGTCGATGAGCTCTTCAAGGTTGCCGACGCCCATGGGGCTGCCTCGCATGTCGTCGACACGCGACCGCTCATCGGCGTTGCGGTCAATGGCGTCCGAGTCACCTCCAGCACTCGCCGGGGTCTTCTCGTTCGCAGCCTTTGCCTTTCGAATGCGTTCTTGGTTCTCAACATATTCCTCTTCTAACAGCAGGTGGTCGTGGATACGCTGCATGCGGAGGTATCGAAGCTTGCATCGTGCGGTCGGGTATACGGTGGGCAGCTTCGCGGCGGCACTCGGTCCTGCAGCCTTCCTCTTCTTGCGTCCGATGCGCGTCGTGGGTTGTGGCGGAGGCTCGTACTTGGGCTTCTCCTTCTGCAACACGGTTAGGAGGGCGAGCTGGAGTATGGCTCCACCAGGCACAGGATAAAGGCGGTGGCAGGCAGGGAATATGGAGGCCAGTATCATACCTTATCTTTCTTGTCTTTGCCATCTGGAGGGCCGCCTCCGGCGCTTGATTGCTGGTTACCCTAGCTATGGTCAGCAGAGCACCGTAGACGACATAGGAGTGACACACCATCTGGACGGAGACGTCTTTTTACCTCTCCCTGTCAGGATCTTCTGAAGAAATAGCCAGCTGCTCAGTGCGATAATGAAGGGAGGTGGATATGGGAAGCTGGCGGTGTTTGTAACGGTGATGGCGATACTCCGACAAGCTGCTACCACGGCCGGAATTTGCCAAGCCCTTTAGCGCGGGTTCGTGCTGCACCTTCGTCGTCCCCCCATGAATGGCGAGGCCGCAGTCCAGCACCTCCGCCTCACGATCAACCACAGAGCGACAGACACGTTGTAGTCACGCCCGCAATTGACTTCTATAATAGATCCGGGACCTGCTCTTTACTCAGGAACTATCTCCATCTCCAACAACCAAAAGGACGCTGCAGAATCATTCCACGAGCATTAAGCTGCCCCGCCATCTGTGCTGGAGGAATCGCGCAGCATCACACAGGTACGCCGTGCTCGACCTTCACCACAACAGACTCAAGATTCCCATTATGCCTTATTTTATGGAATAGCACCCTGTGAAAGCTGCCTGTCTCTCCAGCTCCTTCTGCTCACTCGTGTCCACTGGGTTCACTGCTGCCTTGGCTGGAGCCTTCCGCAGGCCTCAGGCACTTTGATCCACATTTGCGGAACAACAGCTAACTTGGCCTTTTAGAAGCCCAACCGGCGCATCTCCTGTTGCCTGCTTCTAAAATCTCCCACCTCCTTTCGTGACCCGCCATTCCGTCCTCTCACATCCGTCACCCTGTCACGACTACCCACACCCCAACTTCCTCAAGTAACCTGATACATACTCCACCGTTGCTGTTCACATATATGCACCATGGCCAGTAACCGCGCCAGGCGCATCCAAAAGGAGATCGCCGACATCAAGAATGACCACGCCTGTGGCGTCTCGGTTGAGCTGTTCAATGAAGAGGATCTAACACATCTCAAGGGCGTATTCAAGGGCCCACCAGACACTCCGTACGAAGGCGGCACGTACAAGGTCGACATCATGATCCCGCCCGACTATCCTTTCCGGCCCCCGGTGATGAAGTTCCTGACCAAGATCTGGCACCCCAACGTATCGAGCCAGACGGGTGCCATCTGCCTCGATACCCTCTCGACCATGTGGTCCCCGGTATTCACCCTGAAGAACGCCCTCATCTCCCTTCAGTCCCTCTTGAGCACGCCGGAACCGAAAGACCCGCAAGACGCCGAGGTGGCAGGCATGCTGCTGAAGAACCCTAGGGAGTTTGAGCATGTTGCCCACGACTGGGCTGTGAAGTATGCCGGAGCACCGAAGCGACAGATCGCCGAGAGCAGTGGAGGTGCCACAGCGGAGTCGATCAAGCGTAAAGCGCAACAAGCGAAGGAGCAGGATAAGAAGGCCAGGCTCGCAGCGTACGCGCCCCACGAGACCACGCTGCGGCTATTACTGACGTGATGTAGTTATCATGGTTACAACAAAGCTCTCGTCGACCGTTTCGTCGAAATGGGCTTCGATGTTGAGGCAGTGGTCTCGGCCTTCGAATATGTCGGTATCGATAAAATGGACGGTCAGGATTATGAGCTGGAAGAGGCGTATATGGGGGACATCACAGCTCGCCTATTTGGCGAAGCATAAGCGCTCGAGCTGGGCCTCGAAAGGTGGCTGCCAGAGCCAGTTGGAGAAGGAATACCCACATCACTTTACATTACTAAGCTGGCGAACGGACGGCCATGGAAGCCTGAAATGGGCGGGATTGCGAACAGACATACACAGTACAGAGTATACATGGGTCGGATAGGCGTTGACTGGCATGTCGGCATTTTCCAAGGGTGGGCAGGTGTTTCATCGGTTCTGGGACTTGATATTGCTCGATTCCTCCTTGGCGTCTACAGGGGAATTTTGATACCTTGGAGGGACCTCAGGTACTGTTATTAGTAATGGAGCCATCCACCCCCACAGTGATCCTTCGAAATGTCATTGAAGGTGACGTTATCTCCATCATACTCACGTCTAAGCATCGAAGCTTTCCGTCTCATAATTGTTGCCGATTGAGCTGGGAGAATGGATATACTCCGTACAGGTCGGACATTAACAATTACTGTGTACATTGGTTGGGCTAACCCCGAAGTACTGGGTCCGTAGGCTTTTCTGCCCGGATAGGGTGTGGTGATAAAGGACTTAAGCCCCGCAATATGATTGGTTCGACTGGTGTTAAACGGATTTGTAATGCTGGTCCCCGTACTTTCGCGCGATGCCCCAGAGAGATGAGATGCAACAGGGTTTTCCATCGTTTTCCACCACCTGGCTTCTCCTGGCTTGCTCATTGATCGCTTCTCTCCCATAAGTAATAATGTATTTGTGAGACGGGCTATGATGCAATGTCTGTGCGCGTCCCTGAGCGAAGCGATGCAGCGCTTCCTTGCCAATCACCGCAAGGCCTGCTGTAAGAGATAACGTTAACCCTAACTCCGATTACTCACCCCAGAGCCCTCTGACTGCAAACGCTCCGCCCTTTTGATTCGAAATCAACGAGACTATAACGGCTTGGCATACTGACTAGGTCGCGACTATGGTGAAGATACGCTTACAGCCGTCCGAAACGGACAATGTACATGGAGAAATGGAGAAGATAAATAAGGCTTGCGCTTTCTCTTCGTCAACTTCATCCAAGCCATCCTCTCCTCTCACACTCTCAAGTTCTTCAATTTGTCAATCTTCAATTTGTCAATCCATCATTTACCACTACGATCCACATCCGCACCCACTGCCTACACAGAGATATGACTGACCTAATACGGGATGCCCCTATTGGGCAGCTCATCCGCTTCGTAACGAGGAAGCGAGTACTCCAGTACCCAGAGGAGAGGCCCGACTTTGTGCTGCCGGACTGCTATACCCAGAATAGCGAAAAAGCCAGCCGAATCTCCACCGAACGCACCCAGTCCCAGCAAAGAAGCGAGAAACCTGCCAACGAGGAGCCCGCTCCCTCTGATCCAGATGTGCTGGATGAGAGCTCAGATGACACATCGGACAGTTCAGAGATTGAACGAATAAAGACGGCCAACACAACACGCACTACGAGGAGCCAGTTGTCCAAAGTCCCGACTACGACAGCCTTGCACCATTCCAACACAAGAGCAGATCTCGAGCAACAGTTCACACTCGCATCAATAGAGAGGGGTCCGACTCGCCCAATCGAACCGGAGAAGCTCGAAGATGGCACCATACTGGTGGACTGGTATACAACCGATGATCCTGCCAATCCCCAGAATTGGAGCTTTGGCAAGAAGGCCTTTGTACTACTGCAGATCCTCCTGTACACGACTGCTGTCTATATGGGCTCAGCCATCTACTCGCCTAGTATAGGGGGTGTGGTAGCACGATTTGGCGTCTCGGTCAGCGCTGCTTCCCTGGGCCTGTCCATGTATGTTGTTGCCTACGGCCTTGGACCCCTTCTTTTCTCGCCCTTGAGTGAGATTCCGGTAGTTGGCCGGAGTCCTCCGTACATCATCACCTATGCTATCTTTGTTATCCTCCTGGTCCCCACGGCACTGGTCGATAACTTCGCCGGCCTCATTGTGCTCCGGTTTCTCCAGGGCTTCTTCGGAAGCCCTTGTTTGGCCACTGGCGGTGCCTCTCTCCAGGACATGTACAGCATCATGAAGCTCCCTTATGTGCTGAGCTTATGGGCCTTCTCAGCGACGTGTGGACCTGCGCTGGGCCCCATCATCTCTGGGTTCAGCGTCGAAGCCAAGAACTGGCGGTGGTCCATGTGGGAAATGCTTTGGATGAACGGCCCGGTTTTTCTCCTCATGTTCTCCTTCCTTCCCGAGACGTCCTCCGCAAACATCCTCCTCCGCCGCGCCCAACGACTCCGCGCTCTGACGGGCAACGACAAGCTGAAATCTCAAAGTGAAATCGACCAAGCCAGTCTCACGGCCCGCGACATCACCATCGAGGCCCTTGTTCGGCCTTTCCAACTCGTCTTCCTCGACCCCGCCATCGCCTTCACAGCCATCTACACAGCTTTGATGTACGGAATCTTCTACTCCTTCTTCGAGGCCTTCCCCATGGTCTACATCGCCATGTACGGCTTCAACCTCGGCGAAATGGGTCTGACTTTCCTCTCCGTCACCGTTGGTGTCATCCTCAGTCTTGCTTGGTACTGGTACTATATCCATCACTACGTCGAGCCCAGCATTCTGGCCAACGGTCTCGGTGCCCCCGAGGGTCGTCTCCGGCCCGCCCTGTTCGTCACCTTCTTCATCCCCATCGGGCTATTCCTCTTTGGCTGGACCGCGAATCCCAAGATCCATTGGATTGTGTCGTGTATCGGGATTGTCATCACCACGATCGGCATCTTCCTCATCTTCCAGTGCATCTTCCTGTACCTGCCTCTCGTGTACCCGCAGTATGCGGCCAGCCTCTTCGCGGGGAACGACTTCTTTAGGAGTTCGCTTGCGGCGGCTGCGATTCACTTTTCTTACCCCATGTTCCACAACTTGGGGGTTGGCAGGGCAATCTCACTCCTGGCGGGGTTGACGGTAGCCTGTAGTGCGGGGACGTTTGGGTTGTACCTTGGAGGCGCGAAGCTGAGGGCTAGGAGTCGGTTTGCTGCGCGGTAAGGGGAGGAAGGTCTCTGATTGAGATGATTGGAAAACTTTTGATTCTCGACGGGCATCTGTACATTGCACGGGTATTAATGACTTGGTATCATAGCACTTTGATTTTCTTTTCTAAAATAATGATGCATCATGGGAGCTGCCATTGGGGTTTCTAGACAGGATAGAAGGGAATGTCTAATGTTGATGTCGGCTTAGAACAACAATAGAACTGCCATCTCGAGTGGTTTGAAACTCGTGCGTAGAAATATCATCAGTGAGGAATTCTTTAGGAATGTGACTGTATTCACTCAAAATTGAGGAGATAAGCCATCAGCCAAAAGCGTATCTCCGATGCCAAGACTCGTCCATCAGCATATGCGGTACCTAGGTAGTCTACCTTCAAAGAGTTCTCGGGGCGTTTCATTCGGGCAACGCTCCCTGGAAAGCACGATGAAGCTCACCGAAGACGACATATACCGCACCTCCACGCAATATCAACATTGGACATTTACCGCCGCCCAACTCGCCGCACAGCGCCTACAAACCAACATCCAAGCCAGCGAACGCGTTCGAGCGGCCGTCGCGAGGCAGCGCGCTCCACGATCGCTGAAAGCCGAGAATGCCAGCGCCAGCGAAACAGAAAGAGGCGAAAGTGGAGCGAATACCCCGGTGTTGGCGGTGGATAGGGAGGTCAATTGTTTGACGGTGGGGGAGGAGAAGAAGCTCGTTGATACATTCTGCAAGAGAGCGTTGGACTTGGGAGATTTCTTGAAGTTGCCTATCGAAGTCACTGTGAGTGGGCCTGCTCCATCGAACGCATTCCCTCTGACCTTTCATATGCTAATTGAGTGTTATACAGGCAACAGGAGTCCAATACATGCGGCGCTTCTACCTCCTCAACTCCCCCATGACCTACGACCCCCAGACCATATCCCGCAGCGTTATCTTCATCGCCAGCAAAGCCGAAGGCCACCACCTCTCCGTCGAGCGCTACGCATCCTCCCTCCCCAAGACCACGCCCGCCGACATCCTCGCGCCAGAATACCTCATCACGCAAGCCCTCCGCTTCAACTACGAAGTGCGGCACCCCTTCCGCGGCCTCAAAGGCGGCCACCTCGAACTGATGGCCCTCGCACAAGGCAAACCCGCCCTCCTCCCCACAGCAACGCAATCCGCGCAAGAGCTCCAAACCGCCATGCTCGCCCTACCCCGGAAACCCGACGGCCCCGCGACGAGCATGACGGTCGCCGAGCTCGAGAAGCGCATCACTGACGCCTACGGCCTCGCGTCGCACATCCTCAAGACGGCCGCCCTCCTAACAGACGCATATTTCCTCTACACCCCCTCGCACATCTGGCTCTCGGCGCACCTCCTCGCCGACGAACCCTTGACCCTCTTCTACCTCTCCACAAAACTCCCTCTTTCCTCCCCCATGCATGACAAACTCCTCTCCACCCTACGCGCCTGCTCCACCCTCCTATCCTCGCACCCCATCTCCTCCCACCCCTTGCAAACCACCGCATCAGCGGAGCAGCAGAAGAAGGAGAAGGAGGAAATCGGCGCGCTGCTCAAGAAACTCCGCCAGTGCCGTGATCCGGATAAGATTGACCTTGTGAAGCTGAACCAGGCGCAGAAGAGGGACGTCACGGTGAGGGTGGAGGAGAATGGCGGCGAGGGGTTGGAGGAGAGCAAGGCGAAGAGGAGGAAGGTGGCGAGGGAGAGGGCGGAGAGGGAGGCGGATGAGTTTTGGGGGCCGAGTTTGAAGAGGAAGGATGAGGAGGGGAGTGGGGGTAATCTGGAAAAGAATGGCGGGTGAGTGTGCTGGAAGGCGGAGAGGGGATGAAAAGAGCGGGATTGTTTTTTTTATTGCATTGCGTGGCGTCTGGATCGGGGTTGGGAATCTGGGTCATTATATCAAGGGTTGGTTTTGGATGTATAAAAGGGGCGTTGATGATTTCAGGTGCGAGGTCTACTGATTTCAGATTTCACATTCCAGACGTACCAGCCAGCATCTTAGGAGAATCAGACAAGGACAATGAACTATGCAATTTTACTATGCTATTACCAATGCAATGCTATGCTAATCTAGGGTATCCGCACATATCATCTATGATACAACGCTCAGCCACTCCACCTTCTATATAGATACCATCAATCATATCGTACATCCAACCAATCTATAAACTTCACTTCACACCCTCCCCCAACGTCCACCCCCACCCCCACCAGCACCACCATCGGCACCCCTCTCCCCATCCCCATCCTGATCCCCAAACGGATAATTAAACTTCAACAACGCATTGAGACCACCGACCCAATGATCCTCCTCCCTCTCCTCCATGCCCACCACTCCCCGGACGATACTCGGCACGCCGCCACATCCCCACTCGCCCCTGACCACATCCTTGACCGGCTCGGCCAGCACATGGACTTCCATGCCCACGCCTATGCCCGCCGAGATGCGCTTCCCATCAATGGAGACCTCGACTTCGCGGCCGCGGTTCTTGCCGCTGAGGCGCAGGGTGATGGGCGTCTCGGCGGGGAGGACTAAAGGTCTGAAGGATAAGGAGCGCGGGCATATGGGAGTGAGGAGGAGACTCGGTACGAGCGGATGCACGATGCTGCCTCCACTGCTCAACGAGTACGCCGTGCTTCCCGTGGGACTCGAGATGATCATCCCATCTGCGACGCCCTCGGTGAGGAACCTGCCGCCGACGAAGACGTCAATGTGTTTGAGGTGCGGCGAACTGCCGCGGTGCACAATGACTTCGTTGAGGGCGTACGTGTCGCCCTCGGCCTCGGTGCCGTTGATGCGCTCGCCCGAGGGGGAGAAGACGCCGACGCGCAGGCGGTTGCGCAGGAGGATGCGCGCGGTGCGGGCGCGGCCCATGGATTTGCCGCGAATGTCGGCGTAGGTGGGGTGCGATATGTCCTTTTGAGAAGGGTCGTCGTTGTTGGTGGTGGGGAGCTCCATGGAGGCGTAGGCGTCGTTGGCGCCCGACATGTAGACTTCGCGGAAGGCGCGCTTGTAGTCTTTGAATTTCCACTCCCCCAGGAAGCCGATGGTGCCCATGGCGAAGCTGAGGACGGGCGGGACCGAGGGCGAGTGCGAGAAGAGGTTCGCCGCGCGCAAGATGGTGCCGTCGCCGCCGAGGGTGCATACTACGTCGGTCTTTTCAGAGAGGTGGGCCGGGGTCGAGGTCTCGTTTGTGGGTTCTGAGTAGGTGTAGACGGGGTAGTGTAGCAGTTCATGGATCTCGGAGGCGGAGTCCGGTTCTAATATTATGTTTATGTGGGGGTAGGTTGCTGAGAGGTGGTTGCTGAATTCGATCAAGGAGGAGGTTATGCCGGGGGTGCGTTTCTTCTTCGTGATGAGGATGTTGCGAGGTGGTGAGGGCCATTGGAGGGAAAGCAATGATTTAGATGGTTGTTGGATGTATAATGGTTTTATTCGCTCGGGGAGCTCTGTTATCGGTTTTATGATACGTCGTGGTGGGCTTGTGGAAAATGCTCGCGTGAATGGTCTCGTGGAGAGAGGTATGCGGCGCCATCGCAGGGCCATAGGTGCTCCGACGTGCTGTGACGTCGACTAGGTGCTACCTAACAGGTAAAGTGTTTATATTCCGTGTTCGAACATGGGGTCGAAGTGCGGAGAAGTCTGGGTGGTCCCCAGGAGCAGTGAATATCTTTAGGATGCTTATTTTTGGGAGAGCACGTTGTGATCGACCGGACGAACAACCGCGCCTTGTCTTATCGCGTTTCTTGGCGCCGCGAGCTTGATTACCCCGCAATTGCCGAGGAGGTGCGGGCGGGATTCGGGGGCAAATAAGGCTAATATTAGACAGCATACTAGAGCTCTATTAAAAGTTATTATAAGATACAACTATTAGCATATAACTGCTAGTTAACGTTATAGATTTTATTATACTTACTTAGCAATATTATTTTGTTTTCTAGAGTAAATACTCTTAATCTTGTTAAAATAGCCTAGAAGCAAATAAATCTATTTTAGACGCATTAGATCTTCCTAGCTAGTATATTAGATATATTAGGTATATATTTTTTTTAATAAATACTATTAGCTTCCTAGACCTTTAAAACTATATTGTAGTCTATTCTTCCTAAGCAGCTTGGTTACGCGATATCTACGGTACTAAGTCGGTCCGCGGGAATCCCCACATGCTTGCAGGGGTGTGGTCCGGTGACATGTGCCTGGCGTGCGTCAACTGGACATGTCGCAGGCCATCCCTCCAGGCAGTGAAGCATGGCAACGCTTGCACGATGATGGCTGCTCCCCTTTCGTCTGATCCTCATCCACCTTGTTCGTTCACACTCCGCACTTCACACCCTCTTCCTATATGAACCGCAATCTTGGACCACGACTCTCGCTCGCCAACGCCGCAACAACCTCCCCACTCTCTCGTCCGTTGCCCAGTTGTTAACACCGAGCCCGCTCCTCGTTCCTGGCCAGTCAAACCGTTCACGTCAGACGCCCTAGACTCGAGTCGTTGCCTCAGACTTTCCTCCCAAAGCCCCGTTATGCCAGTCACCATGACCACCGAGAGCTTGAGACAGCGACATCCGCTCGCTCCAACTGCAGAGAAGATCGTCGATGATATCAAGTCAACGGTGCGGCCGGAACATCCAGCCGGAGCCATAAAGCATGGAATGTTCAATCAGGCCCTGCGCCTGGGTCTGTGTATTCTCTACTTCAACACATGCTGCTTAGCGTAGGTTATATGGTGGTGTTGGACGAAATCCCAGTGTCTAATACCCCCAACTAGTATTGTCTTCACACAGCTCATTGGAGCGCCGTTGTATTGGTACGACAAGAATTTGTTCTACGCTTGGATGGCCATGACGAAGCAGCATTTCGGCATTGCGCTCACAACCTTGACGTACTGGTGGGCCCCGGCGAAGATGGTCGTGTGTGGGGATGAAAGTGTACGGGGACAGTTGAGGAAAACGGAGGATGGCAGGTTGGAATGCGATTTCCCAGAACGTTTGATCTTGATCGCCAATCACCAAGTATGACAACATGGGAATTAGTGCTGAGGAAACGCTGACATGGTGCAGATCTACACAGACTGGATATACCTCTGGTGGATCTCCTACACGTCGAACATGCACGGCCACATCTACATCATCCTCAAGGAATCCATCAAGTACATCCCGCTCATAGGCACGGGCATGATGTTCTACGGCTTCATCTTCCTGTCTCGCAAGTGGGCAAAAGACAAGGAGCGCTTCCAGTATCGGCTGCGAAAGTTGAACAGCAGTCATAGCGGACCGATGTCCGGGACACACACTCTGGATCCAATGTGGCTTCTCATCTTCCCGGAAGGGACCAATTTGTCTGCTAATGGGAGAAAGAGCAGTAAGGCGTGGGCCGACAAGAACAATATCGAGGATGCGCGGCATGTCATGCTGCCGCGCAGCACGGGTCTGCACTACTGCCTCGCCGAATTGAGGCCCACAACTGAATGGATGTACGACTGCACCGTCGCCTACGAAGGCATCCCGTAAGTACTCCAACCCCTCAAGGGAACGGAACAATCACCTCACACATGCTATATCTAGCGTGGGCGAATACGGCCAAGACATCTTCACCATCAAATCATCCTACCTCGAAGGCCGGCCCCCGAAGTCCATCCACATACACTGGCGTCGCTTCGCTACCAAGGACATCCCAACGGACGAGAAAGCGTTTAGCGACTGGCTCCTCAAGCGCTGGAGGGAGAAAGACGACTTAATGGAGTACTTCCACCAACATAACCGCTTCCCGGCCGATGACTATATCGAGACCCAAGTGACGCCGAAGAATCCGCTGGAGTTTCTGAATATTTTTGTTCCGTTGGGGGCGCTGGCTCTGGTGCTTAATGTTATTGGGAAGATGTGGGATATTGTCCTGCACACCTTGCGAATCAGATAGATGAGCGAGCTTTGGCCTGGCCGAGAATATGCCACAGCGGAGTGGGGATCCCAATGGGATAGGGACATTGCACGTTGGCGCTGAAGAGACGGTTGGATGTTATCTTTTACTTTTGTCCTATCCCTTGCGACGAGGTGTTGGGTGCTTGCTGTGGGCTTTCACTTTTTGAATGGCGTCTGCGGCATCTCACCACTTGGAAAGACCTGTATACCCAGTTTCTGGAACTTTTGCTTGTCTATTCTTATTCTTTCGCATGCGGTTTGTCCCCTCTTGTTGATAATTTTGGCCCATCATAGCACATGCCTTTATTCATTAGTTTTTGGCGAGCAGCGACTGCGACATACTTCGGCTTGCACTTGTGAGGGCTCGTCCAGCATACATTGTCGACAACGATCTACATGGGACAGACTCAGGACTCCGGAATCTCTGAATTTCCATTCGATGTCATTTCCATCTTCAGAAACCCGCCCGCATAGTCATCCTTCGACCGCGCGAGAACAACCCGTCCGCCTAGGCCGAGGCTTCCTATACAGGAGTCGAAGACGAAGAGGAGGGGAAATCTACCTTAATAACACAGGACGCAACCCCACACGCCGCCAGCATGCACTTGCTGCGGAAAAAGAAGCGAAGAAGGCAAGATGCCGCCATGAAAACCTCCATAAATCATCATCCATGTGTGGAAGAAAGTTCCAGTGGCATGAAGAGTGACCGCAGCCCATGTAGAAGTCGCCTGAAAACGCCCGCCCTGCCGCCAACGCCGTCCATCTTCCAAAACAATCCAGCTTATAGGAATCTGATACTGGAGACGAGCTCGCGCTGAACGAAGCTTTTGATGAAAAGGTAATGTACAAAAGGGTCGGTGCTGAGCCAGAATGGTCGAGTCCGTGCAACGTTCGTTGGACATATCAAGAAGCCTGACATCCAGAAGAATCGGATGAAATCATAGATGGATGCGCATAGTGTCGTTGTTGCCGAACGCCTTGCCGCAATGTGGACACTTTCGTGCCCGGTTGATGAGACGATCCTGGACGCATTTATCGCAGAAAACATGACCGCATGTCTTGATAACCGTGTCCTTGAAGTTCGTCTTGCAGACCTGGCATTGGAGCATGGACTGCAGATCTTTTAGCATCCAAATCAGTCAACCAAATCGTCGCCAGACATACCTGCATCATTGCCGCATCTTCAGATTGATTGCCGGCGCTCTTCTTCTTCCAGTGCTGGCATTGCTTCTCCAACCCATGCACTTGCGCAGCCAACTTGTCCCGTTCCGTCTCAGACTCCCTTTGGGAATGTTTGCTTGCCAGATACGCTGCATCCTTAGCCTCAACCACCTTCTTCAGCTCGGAAACCTGATTGGCATGGCCCTCGGAAGCGATCTCCATCTCTTTAAGCTTTTGCTGGAGAGTCCTATGCTGAATTGACAGCTCCTCCATCTGCGCCCTCATTTCGGCACATTGCTTTTCCAATTTGTCCACAAGACTCCGGCTATGCGCCTCCGCCTCTTTTAACTGTGTCACAATTTCCGTGCTCTTGTTCGCTTGGACTCGCAGCACCCGATTCTGCTCAGCTAAGGTTTCCTTGGCCTTCATGGCCGCAAAATACTTCTGGTCTGCTTTTGCCTTGTCCGCATTGGCGCGTCCGACATTCTCCTCCCAGGTCGATATTTCGGCTATCTTCCTGCCAGCGACAGCTTGGGCCTTTTTCCAAGCAGCTTCCATCGCAGGTAGTTCATTATTGAGGAGCCTGTGTTGATTTTCAAGGGTCGCAATTCTATTCTTCAGCTGATCCGGCGTCATATTTTCCAAATCTGCAGCTTGGTCGCCAGCACCCGGTGCATTCTCGGCCAATTGCAACCTCAAGCGCTCGCACTCGGATTCTAGTGCTGATATCCGGCTTTCACATGCGCTTACCAACTCCTTTGTTTCCGTCCTGGATACCGTGTTGTCTTGCAGAATCGCTTTCAAGGTTGAGACCTCTGTGAGCAGCTCGTCCCGATGGCTGCGGATGCGAGCAAGATCTGCTTCGGCCCGAGCTACGTTGCCTTCGCTTTCGCTAATGGTAGCCCGGGCCTCGTCGTCTACTTTGATGCGGTATTCGGTCCGCTCGGCCTGTAATTTCTTGGCCTCCTCGCGAAGTTGGATATTAGTAGCCTCCAGGTGGTTGATACGTTTGATCACATCCTCGTGTTGCGATTTCAAAACCTTAAAAAGCTCGGTTTTCGCATAGTCATCATCGGACAACCCAGCCAGTTTGACATTCAAGGAGGAAAGCTCCGCTGTAAGCTTCTTGTTTTCCTGCTCGAGCTGCTCCAGCTGTTCTTTGCGCTTGGCGGCTTCGGCCATCGCTGCATCTCGTGCTGTCTCAAGTTCCTCGTTTATGACGCCATTGGCAGAGCCAACTGCTTCGGCACCATTGGAAACGGACGAAGACTCCTCCTTAACGGCAACATTCCCGCCCTGCGCTTGCCTTTCCAATTTCTGAACTTGTATACTTTTGAGACGGTCAAGTTTCTTCTCCGCAAGCATATACCGCAGCGTAGCCGTGTCTAGCCTATCAGAGGTGTGTTCTTTTTCTGAATTAACCTTCTGCAAGTCGGCGATCAGTTGCTTCTCTCTAGCCAGTACTTTTCCCAATCGTTGATTCAGATCCGATACTTCAGGAGTGGAGGGAGGGAATTTCCCAAAAAGATCCGACAGTGCGGCCAATATCTTCTCTCTGCGGCTGGCGAGATGCTTCGAAAAGGCCTCACTATCCTCAAAAAACAGGGTAGTGGGAATAGAACTTGATCCTATGTTGATATCGTTAGAGGTGGCGGACACCGTGACGGGAGGTTGCAGCCGCTGCTTACTGCTATCGGAATCGGGAAGCTTCTCTCCGACTAGAACTCTGATCTCATCGAGCAACTATTCGGCGGTTAATAAGCTTCCATTTGTAGATTTACGGAGCCATACTACGCACCTGTTCGAACCATGTATCAATTACTCGCAGGTGGTCGTCATGATCTTTTGCACGTTCCTCCATTTTTCGCAGTTCCGCTTCGATGGTGTTCTTCTCACGCTTATACTCGCGCATTTGACGCAGAATCGCATCTTTCTGGTATGCCTAATTTATGGTCAGCCATTGTGGACGTGGATCGCAGTTGCGGAGAGGAAGAATACGCAGAGACTGGAGGTTAAAGGGGGGCGAACCTCGATGTCATCCTTCCAAGGAACGTCATCCTGATGCGACTTCGCGCCGTTCACGCTCAAAGCCTGCCTCTTCGGCGGCGGCGCCGTATCATCCTGCCCAGCGGGCCGCTTGCGATCGTCCATCTTGACGGCGTCAAGGGACGGAGTCAACACGGTCCTGGCTGCGAGCCTCATCAGGGCCAGTGTAGGATGTCCCTGATGTGCGACGGCGACGGCGCAGCCTTTCAGATCATTGATAAGGGCAGCTCAAAAATGGGCAAAGGCTGAACCGGAAATGAGAGTCGCGAATGGGAGGGTGTGAGTAGAGTGTTCACTTTGAGAGAGTGGAAAAGCGGGTGAGTCGCCTTCAAGGTTCTCTTGTTCATTGGAAGGCCAAGACTGTCACGTGTGCGCTAGCCAGCCTTCCGACGCACGGACTCACGCGAGGAAGCACTTGCATTCCCTCCGAGGCGACTTCAATTCCACACTCTTGCATTTATCCTCACCCGTCTTCGAGTTCTGGCTCACGGAATGGTACTCGGCCAGTATGGCGATGGATGATGCGGAAAAGGCACCTCCACAGCCAGCGGCGCCCGCACCTGAAAATAAGACAGAAGTGCCCAAAGTCACTGCCCCATCATTTGTGAGCACCTTCATCAACAGTGCGAACTCCCACCCTGGATCATACAAGAACGCATACTGATTAATTCAGAGGATACGTCCGGCAAAAAGGTCGCACCCAAAGCTGTACGTCGCCGCGGTGGAGCTGCTGCTGCTCGTCCTGCCGACACTCCCGCTACTCAAGCGAGTGCGATCACCTCCACTCCCTCGGCGGCGGCTCCTGCAGCGGTCGAACCTTCCAATGCGCTCCCCACGCCCGCAGCAACGCAAGAGGTTCATGTACAGGATGTGTCGCACATAGTACAAAGAGCAGATATAACTACACCGCCGTCGGTGCCTACTCCTGCTCAGATAACTGCCACACCTCCGCCAACTGCTCCTGTCGCATCTGCGTCCCAGCGTGAAGCATCCCCGAAGCGGAGGCGCGGTGAAGAAGAAGTGGCCGAAGCCGAACATCGACCGGAAGCCGCCTCCTTTGAACTACCGCCCACGACATCCGTGCCGTCTGCTCCTGCCAACGACAGTGTGGAATCCGCAAGGTCGCCAAAGCGCCGGCGTATCGAACGAGTGCCAGATTTACAAGCTGGAATCATTTCCCGGCCAACTCCTGACCGATCCCAGCCGCGCGGTCTTCCGAATCAGGATGCTGATTCTACTCAGTCTTTAGCGTTGGGAAGGGTACAGGTGCCTGTGGAAGATAATTCATCACCCATCGCGGAGAGCGACACGCTCCTGCAGGCTTCTGCTGACAGACCACAATCTCCCGAAGCTCCTCGTACCAGAGTTCAAGAAATGAACGAGGGGCAAGGTACCTCAGGGACCGTTGAAGCGGGCACGGAGACCATTGTGGTAAATTCAAGTACGGCAGGTACGAGCGCGAGTATAGACGAACAAGAAACGCGCGATGAAGCACCTGCAGTCCAACCGCCGGCTTCAGATGGACCTGTTGCACTGAGCAGAGGGCGCAGGGCTAGTAAAGCCGTTGGCCCGGAGAAAGATGCTGAAGGTACCGTTGCAGGACCGAGGAGGGTGACACGACCGAAAGGAAGGGGGGCAGTGGAGGAGGAGACTGAATCACCGGATCAAGCAAATATGGGGACTAACCCTACGGTTGCCCCTCAAGGCGGCCCTGAGCAGGTAGCTGTGGATGAGGGGGCAATGGAATGGGCACCTGCACAACCGCCAAAGAAAGCTCGGAAACCTCGCAAAGACAAGGGAACGAAAAGGAAGGGCACAGGTGCGCTGAGTGAAGGTGACACGGACATACCTGGGCCGGCGGCGTCAGCAGAAAATGTCACATACCAAGTGCAACCAACACAAAGAAGGAGGGCTACAAGGAAGAGGAATACCATCGTCGCCACTGCTGATGCAGAACAGTCAGCTGTCGATGAAGGGACGGAACCAACGGAGGAAAACAGGCCAGCCAGGCGCAAAACGACTACAAAGAGGAGGCAGGCTGCGTTGGCTGACGCTAATGCGGACAGACCGAATGCTGAAAATGGTGTACAAGCTCAGCCAGCACGCCGTAGAGGCCGTCAACGAGAGTCAACGCCATCTGACGCTGAAAAAATCAGAATCGACGAAGAGTCCACCTTCATGGCCAGTGTTGCAGCGGTGCACTTTCGAACCGGTAAACTATCCAGACGCGAGAGGGCGATGCGGGAGATTAATTGGGAGGAAGTGAAGGAGCGACGAAGAAAGGAGGAAGCTCTAGGAGTTCCCCGCTTGTCGAAGCGCAGTGAGGTGGACGAGGAGCTCAACCGGGCGGCGGAAGCGTATTCCGAAACACATCATCAAGTAACGGGACCGCGCTACGAAGTAGTAGACGGGGAGATCGTGGTTGTAGAGACTTCTGCCACCGTTCCGGTGGACGTGAACGGAGAAGAGATCGATGCTCGAGAGGTCGTGGAGGAAGGTGACTTGACGGCACGCATTACCACGCGGAGCTTTCTACGAGAGGGGAAGAGATTCCCTGAACAGTTTATGCTTCCGGGCCAGGGCACCCGCTGGAATCGCGAACTGACCGAACGGTTTTACGATGCATTGCAGACTTTCGGCACCGATTTTGGCATGATAAGCACCCTCTTCCCAGGCTCTACACGTCGATCGATCAAGCTCAAATTCAACCGCGAGGAGAAGGAGAATCCAGCAGGTATCAAAGCCGCGCTTAATGGTCAGCGTAACTCGAACTGGGACGACTACCTCAAAAAATCCGGTATGACGGACGACCATTTCCTGGACCCGAAAGCCATTGAGGAGGAGCTGAATGCGGAACGCGAGAGGATGCAAGTCGAGATTGATGCGGCGAGGGCAGCGGCCGAAGAAGAGAGACGCCAGAGAAGGATTGCTGGAGCAGAACTTAGTGAGGAGGAGGACGCGGGGCAAGCAGATGGTGGGAAGAAGAAGCGAAGGAAGAGGGAGAAGAAGGTGGTGTTCCAGGATGCAGGGAATGTGGAGATTCTGGGAGAGATTGGGGATGAGGAAGAAGGGTTCTAAGTGGGCTGCAGGGCGTAGAGAACGTTCGGTCCCTGAGATATCAAGCGATATGATTTTTCTTCTATGGGAGCCATGGATCGGCGAAGCAGGATATCCGTGCTTCTGGAGCGTATGGGGGAATTAGACGACGATGATTTCGAATGATCAATGATACCCTAAGGCTAGGAGAACATGACTGTAGATTTCAACTTGTCTTCTTATGAAAACTATGATTAGAAGAAGTCGTTATATTCATGCGTGTGCCATGTTCACATCAGAAGGTGAGCAAGTTAGGGGGAGGGTATTGAATTGCCAATTGCCGTGCCAACTCCAACCTCAAGTGCTTAGAGCAGAGATTACATATACGAAAAGTTGCCGCAAGGTAATGTAGTGTACACGACACCGAAAGTACAATACTTCGACTCCTACCATCACATGGGCTCTCAAAGCGGGAGCATGTCCGACGTACAGCGAGAATGGGAAAAAGAAACCTATGGACATTGAACTCCGTACCCTCAAGCATTCCCCCCGTACTAAAACATGTTGCACAGTACAAAACCTCGTACATCTTCGGGTAGCAGCGAAAGGCGGAATCTCATGGGCGCTTAGGCCTGATGAGCATCCTGGACGATGCCTTCATCGTTAGTCTCAACCTGGCTCTCGTAACGCGGTCGGGAGATGACGTCGAAGTTGCCTACTGAAGGTTATGCCGGGAAACCCTAAACTGGTGCAAGCAAGACGTACGTGCGATCAAGCTGAGGTTGGAGCGCTTAATGCCCTCGTTGTCGGTGAAGGTCTCCATGCGGGCATCGGCGTCGACGTGGATGAGGGAGCTGAGAAAAGGAGAGGTTAGCCAGTGTCGCGTGGCTATCACGAGCTCCCACTCTTCCACCTCATCCACACCGTTACATTCCATTGTCCCCCAATTCAACCAGATACCGGATCCATACTCTTCAGAGAAACCATACAACACAGAACAGCTTACCCCTTTGGCACACTCAACAAGAAATCCTTCTGCTTCCCCTCCACAAAGCTAGCCACCCGGAACCAGCTCGTCTTCTTGTCCTCGCCCTTCCCGTAAGAGCTCCCAACCACATATCGCACCAACGTCTTATCCCCGGATAGCGTAACCTCCTCTGGCGTAACACCCAAGCGGCCAACGATGCTCATACGCGCGAGAGACGCGCGCGGTGTGGTGCTGAACGCGCGCGCAACGGAGGGCGCGATGCGGGTGGAGGCGCGGAAGGTCGAGGTGAACATTTTCGATGGATTTGGGGTTGCGCTTAGGTGTTATTGGCGGGTGTGAGGTGTGGTTGAAGGTAGAGTTGAAATGGCGGACGCGGTTCGAAAGTTTTCCGTGCAACATCAGACGTGCTGATTGCTCGTTTCGGATTGCCCCTATCGCGATGCACGTGACGTCGCCAAGAGATAGGGCTGAGCAGGTGAGGATGGAGGTGCCATGTCCTTGACATTGAATTTGCCCTCACTTAGGTATAAAGATGATTCGAAGTGGGTATCAATTGATATGTACAGTAAAGGTGGGTATAATTGAATCTAACCATTTTCCGACGCCGACAATGCATGATCATATGAAAAGCTCCACAGCCTCACCAGCTCCGTTATTAACGTTTCGCTCTTTTGGCATCAGGCTCATCTTCATCACTCTCATATTCCTTAAAGATGGGTTTCGGCTGGTTCTGATCATAAACACCCGTAAATAACTTCTTCTCCCCCTCTTTAGGGGCATACTTCAGGAGAGCCTCGCGAGGATCCTCCTCAAGCATGGCGCTAAGGGGGATGCTCTCGCGCACATGTCTCTCATCAGGAGTTGACATTGCAAACGGCGTTGGTGCCGGAACATGAGGTCTGCGCGGATCTCTCGACTTTCCAGAAGCTGTGAGGCCGATTGTGGGATGACGAGATGCATACGAAGCGTGTTGGGCTCGACCGCCTTCAATTGCGTCGCCAGCAAGGCCAAGAGGGTCCAGGTCGGTAGTTAGGGTGCTGTCATCATCAAGATGCCTCTTCTTGGGAGCCTTCCTTAAGATGGTAAGGGCACCATTGCTGGATAGCTTCGGGTTGAACAGAATGGTAGTTTGACCGTTCGCAGAACCTGTGAATATTTGATTCAATCTTGGATGCCAGTATACAGTGATGAGCGCAGAACCAGGCGTAACCGGAGTTACGAGCTCTGGCCGTAGCGTAGCGGGGTTGAGTATATGGAGGTGGCCTGTCTCGGAGCCTGTAATGACGCTCCGCATATCGGGAGCGAAGCGGATGTTGCTGGTGGGGTAACGGGCGGATGTTGAGGGATGTACAACTTGACTAATCGGTGTTTTGAACTTTCTGACGTCCCATAGCTTGATTGTGTCGTCACCACCTCGAGTAACAACCAGCCGTCCGTCAGAGCTAATGTCGATTCCCCCCGTCCAGGTGTCCTTTGCGTGGGCACCCCGAACCTCTGCTGCAGGTCGGTGATAGGGACCTTCGCCAGGCCACATAACAAGGCTCCCGTCCAGAGCTGCCGCAACGATAATACTCTTGCCGCTTTCGCCTGCAGAACCCCAAGCCACAGCTGTCATCTTCGTCATGCCCGCCGACCCAGCGGCCCTGGACTTATGTACAATCACGTCTCTCTGGCTCAAGTGCTTTTCAGCGTCCCATATCCGGACCGTACTGTCAGTCCCAGCGGTAACGAAAAGCCCCCACTCGGTCGGGTGCCATGCAGCGCTCGTCACTTCAGAAGTATGTCCTTTGGTATTGTGCTTATCCCTCAAGTACATATCCCCCTTCTTGTACTCGGCAATCAGGTCTCCATCGCGACTGAAAAGCCTCGCTTGTGGGGTGGCGGTAATGGCAAGGAACTGGCTGCCAGAGTGAGGGCTGAATAGGACTTGATGTATAGCATGAGATTCGGCGTTTTGGGAAGGTTTGGTCTCGAATGGGTCGACGGTCTTGAATGCACGTATTGTATTCGGGACTATCGCAGATAAGTCGTGCAACTTGAGTGTGCAATCATTGGAGCCTGTCACCATGCGCGAACCAGCGGGATCCAGAGCAATGGTGGTAACGGCGCGCTCATGTGTCTTGAAGACGAGCTCATGCGACACCGGGAACTCATCCTCGTCGTCTTCGTCGTCCGAGTCGCTGTCGTCATCCGAGTCGTTTCCGCCACTAGAGTAGTCCGCAACCGAGTCCTGCTCGTTTATGATCTTTCTGCGACATTGCTCGATTTGCGCTTCGATGTTTACTGATGCGTCCTTTTTCCCGAATGACGTGGGCAGAAACTGGCGTAAAGCTTCTTCGTCGTCCGCGGAGAAATCATTCATTCTGGCTAGTCGTTGTGTCCTGAAACATTGGGGAACGCGATGCAATGATGTCGTGGTCGTATTTTGGTAAGGCTTGGCTTAGTAATACGCGATGACTTTCAGTCGCTGAAAGTGGACTTCCAACTCTGCTACTGCATCTCGAGTGTTTGAATCCAACCATCGTAGCCAACCAGCGGCAATACCGACGCGCTCGTAGGATGAGCCATAGCTTTGTCGAATCAGGAGCCACACACAATTACCAGTTGAGAGAATGCAAGGCACAACATCAGCTTCGTCAGCGATCCGCTGCAGTCAGCAAAGACGCAACCATCATAGGCATATGCTGCGGGGTATTGGTATAACTGTAGACTTGGGGTTGTTCAAGCAGGTCCCCTAGACATGGAGACGGTATATAAGAATCCCAATCCCTCTTTTCTTCACATAGTCCATTCTTTCCAGACCAACCTAGAATTCTCCACCATCTCATTTACATAACACCTTCACTCTCATACGTGTCCTCGGCTTCCGACTAATCTCTTCAATTGATATTGTTCAAGATTGCTTGAACACCTAGCTACCATGTCCGCCAACCGCACCATTGTTGTGTTTGGCTCCGGCCCTGGCATTGGCAGTCATGTCGCCGCCCAGTTCGCGTCCCAAGGTTTTACTCACATAATTCTCCTTGCCCGTAATGAGAAACGCTTGCAAGAGGACAAGGGTGCCGTCGTCAAAGCCAATCCGGACGCGAAAGTTGACATTCTCACCGTGGATCTTGAGGATATAAAGTCAATTCCTGCAGTGCTGAAACAGATCGACAATTTGACGACCGCAGTCGATGTCGTCTTCTTCAACGCTGCGATCATCAGATTTGCTGAACCTCTCAAGGCGCCTGTCGAAGAACTCGAACAGGATTTCAAAGTAAGCTCCACCTCGTCCGTGACGACGGCGTCCCAATAACTAATCGTCGAACAGATCACCAATCTTGCACTCTACGTGGTCGCCCAATGGGCCGTCCCAAAGCTGCAACAGCACGCCAAAGACTCCCCCTCGGCAAAGCCCGCCCTTATCGTCACCAACAGTCATTTACCTTGGGACCCAATCCCACAACTCCTCTCACTTTCGTTGACGAAGGCGTCCCAGGCAAACATGGTTAAGAGCTTTCATGTCGCTTTTAGCGGTTCCGGAGTCCATTTTGGCCTTATCCGTGTGGAAGGCATAGTGGATCCGCAAAACAAGGTGCTAAATCCTCGCACTATTGCCGAGAAGACCTGGGAGTTCTATCAGGGCGGCGAGGGACTCGACCTTCACCTAAAAGAGGAGTAGGGTGTTTATTGTTTTTTGTTTGAAAAAAGCGGACCGTCATCTCGATGTTCCTATGGTATTAGGAAGGAGTAAATGTTCAATAGCATTATTGACCATGCATCCTCTCTATGGATATTCCAGTGTTCGAACTTCCCTTGTACTACGGCTGTACGTCCTCAGTGTTATCACGGGTTTTATTGTTTCTTCCACCCATGATTATTGAGCAGGACGTACTCCAGATGGGCCAGTTTACCGGAACACGCATGGCGAAAACGATTCGTCTTTATCATTGTCCAGCTTCCAATGTTACAGTGTATAGTGACAAGTGGAATAACAGAGGATGTGTGTTGTTTGCAAGCATGTTCATTCTTCCTCACCCTCCCTTTTTCCAATTCTTGCATTTTTTCTTTCCCCGAATTCAATATAGTCGGTAGGTCCAATCTTTCGTCCACTTGCCTGTATGCGGTGTTCATCTACAGACTCCAAGCTAGAATGCAGCGCCGAAACGGGTATGCAGTACGTGGAGACAAAAGAAGCTCACTTTGGCCTTTTGTTATCCCATCGGAGTCACATTCTAGAGCACGCCAGTAACCATCGCGAGCAGGTCTTCGTAGTCGCTCGGTAGTATGTTGTAGATATCAATCTCCTACGGTTTCCCAAGGAGGGAGAATGGATTCGATGATCCACCCGACGGAGTTGAAACATAATTTCCCAAACATACTCAATTATATAAAGCTTTTTGGCTTAGGCCTTCCATACTGTACAAGAGGAACGACTTGCTCTCGGTTTTACTTCTTGTGCTAAAAGGGCAGTTCTGGTGATGGTGTTCTGCCGAAGCTATCCCCGGCCTTTCGCCGAGGATGTCAAGAGGGACCGTGCTGCAGCTCTTTCTAGAAACTCTTGGCGCAAAAGTCAATAACTTCTCCAGCTTCATTCGCATCGTGTCTATCTTCCCAGCTTTTCCTCTCCATTGCAACCTGTCTATCCTTCCGCCATCCTCGCCCTTCATTCCCCATCATCGCAGCGATTCAGAGTCGGTGACACGGCTTGAGCCTGGGACTTTCCATACGCTTTTCTAATTCATATATCATCACAATGCAGCGAGCTTTCGCATCCAAGGCGCGGTCATCGATCGTCAACTCGAGCTCTAAGCTCAGGACGACGAGCTTTAACCTCCAGCAGCAGAGGTTTGCGCATAAGGTACGACGACGCCAGGCTGGTGTGCCTCTCAATTCAGCTAACAGTTCTGGGTAGGAGTTGAAGTTTGGTGTTGAAGGCCGCCAGGCGCTGCTTCAGGGCGTTGAGACGTTGGCGAAGGCTGTCACAACCACATTGGGCCCCAAGGGACGAAACGTCCTGATTGAGTCCAGCTACGGCTCGCCCAAGATCACCAAGGGTACGTAGCGCTTCAATTGCCCTCTTGATGAACCCTCCGCTAACCCCTTGATAGATGGTGTCACCGTCGCCAAAGCCATCACATTGAAGGACAAGTTCGAGAATCTCGGTGCGCGCCTCCTCCAGGATGTTGCGTCCAAGACGAATGAGGCGGCCGGTGACGGTACAACTACTGCTACCGTTCTCGCTCGCGCTATCTTCTCCGAGACCGTCAAGAACGTCGCTGCGGGTTGCAACCCTATGGACCTCAGGCGGGGAACCCAGGCCGCCGTTGATGCCGTTGTAGAGTATCTTAAGGGCCAGACAAAGATGGTCACCAGCAGCGAGGAGATATCACAGGTTGCGACCATCTCTGCCAACGGTGATACACGCATTGGCAAACTTCTTTCCAGCGCTATGGAGAAGGTTGGAAAGGAGGGCGTTATCACGGTGAAGGAGGGCAAGACTCTGGAGGATGAACTTGAGGTCACGGAGGGCATGAAGTTCGACCGCGGATACATCTCTCCCTACTTCATCACCGATACCAAGGCGCAGAAGGTTGAGTTCGAGAAGCCGTTGCTTCTCCTTTCTGAGCGCAAGATCTCCGCCGTCCAGGATATCATCCCCGCACTTGAGGCATCCCAGCAGCTGCGCCGCCCCTTGGTCATCATTGCCGAGGACATCGACGGCGAGGCGCTGGCTGTCTGCATCCTTAACAAGCTCCGTGGCCAGCTACAGGTCGCGGCCGTTAAGGCTCCCGGGTTCGGCGACAACAGGAAGTCGATCCTTGGCGATATTGCCGTTCTAACCAACGGTACCGTTTTCAGCGATGAGCTTGACATCAAGCTCGAGAAGGCTACTCCGGATATGCTCGGTTCTACTGGATCCATTACCATCACCAAGGAGGACACCGTCATTCTCAATGGAGAGGGAAGCAAGGATGCTGTCGCCCAGCGCTGCGAGCAGATTCGTGGAGTCATGAATGACCCCGCTACTTCTGAGTACGAGAAGGAGAAGCTCCAAGAGCGTCTTGCCAAGCTCTCTGGCGGTGTTGCCGTCATCAAGGTTGGAGGCGCCTCTGAGGTTGAGGTCGGTGAGAAGAAGGACCGGATTGTCGATGCGCTCAATGCCACCCGTGCAGCTGTTGAAGAGGGTATTCTCCCCGGAGGTGGAACTGCCCTCCTGAAGGCGTCCGCCAACGCCCTCAACAACCTGAAGCCTGCCAACTTCGATCAACAGCTCGGTGTCGCCATCGTTAAGAATGCCATTACCCGCCCGGCCAGGACCATCGTCGAGAACGCTGGCGCTGAGGGCTCCGTCATCGTTGGCAAGCTCACCGATGAGTTCGCCAACGACTTCAACAAGGGTTATGACAGCTCCAAGGGCGAGTACGTTGACATGATCTCCGCCGGTATCCTGGATCCCTTCAAGGTCGTTCGGACCGCTCTTGTCGATGCCAGCGGTGTCGCGTCTCTTCTGGGTACCACCGAGGTCGCGATAGTCGAGGCTCCTGAGGAGAAGGGCCCGCCTGCCATGGGCGGCATGGGCGGTATGGGTGGAATGGGAGGCATGGGCTTCTAAACGGGGAGCACATGACGGCCTAAGACTAACCTTCTGATTTCGTCCCATTCTACTATACCCTCTTTTAGTACTCGAGGCTACTCCCAGCGCTGGTGTACATGGTATTGGCTGGTTGGCACTCCACTCCCCTTCTGTCCTGTCTTCCTAATCACTTGAAAAGCGCGCATTGCTTGGCTGTTTTGGCTAATCTGTACAATATCGATGTATATGTAGCACTGGGAACGGCGGATTGTAGGAGTAGACAGGAAATTTAGAAGACTTTTAACGTTCAACTGTTGTAAATAGGGCGCAAATCGAGCTGGGTGATAAAGGAATACAGATGGTCGAAGTGAGAATCTATGAATCTCTGGGAACGGCTTGGCGCCAGTTGCTGTGGCAGTGCCTGTTGGGATGAACCCCACCATAGAAAATTGGGCCCCGCAACGGAGCATCATTGCTGCATCTCTCACCTTTAACCCTTATCAAATTGCCCCCTCTCACGAATTCGCCTTCTCTGTCTACAGTGCCGGTAAGTTTAGATACGTGGATGCTGCACCCTCCAGGTGCGGGTGCCTTACGCCCCCGCTATTTATGACGGCCCGACTGGAGCTGACAAGGCAACAGAAGCACCTCAGCGGAAGCGTTGTTTGTTCCTTGTCACCTAACACCTCTCAGCACTCACAGAGATCAAGATGGTAAGATCAACCTTGAAGGCTTGATTGCGCGCCATATCTAACCCTCATGGACAGGCTCAATCCGGGTACGTGACCGCAACAACCTCCGCCCCCGCGATCGCGACCCTCGCACCTCCTAGTCTACCCCTTTCCAGGCCTTCACACTAATCCCGCGCACCAGTGTTTCCGTAGCGCCCGAATGCATCAGCACATTCAACGAGCTGAAGCTCGGCAAGAGCCTCAAGTGGATCATCTACAAGATCAGCGACGACTGGAAGGAGATTGTGGTTGAGGAGACATCCACGGATCCCGACTACAACGCATTCCGCGACAAGCTGCTGAACGCCAAGAGCAAGGACAGGCGGGGCAAGGAGGGCATGGGCGGCCGCTATGCCGTTTACGATGTCGAGTATGAGTTGGAGAGCGGCGAGGGGACGCGCAACAAGATCACCTTCATCAGCTGGTGCCCGGATGATGCGCCGCAATACGTACGTGTCACGCTATTGAAGCCTGCATTGTGTGCTAGGTTACGGTTGGGTCTTTGCTGACTTGTGTTCGCAGCCCCGCATGATGTACTCGTCTTCCAAAGAGGCTATCAAGCGATCCCTAAACGGTCTTGCGGCTGATATCCAGGCCAACGACGCCGACGACATCGAATGGGAGAACATCAAGTCCCGCGTCTCCAAGGGTCGCTAAGCAAAACATCATTCATGGCAAGGAGGTGGCAGGGAGAGTCGACGGGGTTCAATTGGCAAACCATGGAGATAGCTTTGGCAAAGCTCCAATACCTTTTCCCAGAGCCCAGGAGAAGGAAAACATGTCATTAAACACCGAGGTTTGATGGAATCGTCAACCCAAGATCTTGGTTGTTGAGGTCATCCTCGGACTGTTAGCAAGATTGTGTATGTTCATGACGGGACCAATGCAAGCAGGCAAACTTTCTTCTCAACTGTGGTATCAAGCTTCGAAACTGACCAAAGCCTATCCATGCATGTATACGGATACGATTCAGCCATCTTGCTCATCACTATTCAACAGGGCCCTTCTAACCAAGCTCCTCATCTATCCTTCTCCCAAGCCGCCTTAAACACACCGGCCAACCTGCTGCCCTCCTCCTCATTCCGTATCCTCTGAATGACGAAACCCCTCAAATCATCCCAGAACTCTTGAGTAGCAACGACCTCCTTCCCATTCGGCCCCTGCACCGCTGGAACCCCCGCTGCCAACCCCTTCTCCGCCTCCCCAGGCGCCACAGCCGGCGGACTTGGTACAGCTGCCGGAGCCGCCGCCGACGCAGTCGCTCCCCCAAGCACCATGACGCTGAACTCCACGTTCCCACCCTCAATATCCTGTCCCACAACCTCGGCCACCGTCTTGGAATCCTGCGCCGGTTTCTTCTTCCACAGGATCTTGATTTTGGCGGCGGGGATGCTGGACGCCGTGCTGTACGCTTGCTTCAGGTCGAAGATGCTTGTTGTCGAGGGTGTGATGTTCGGGACTGGCACGGTCGGGGAGGTGGGTTTCATCGGTGAGAGGGTAATGTTGATTGTTGAGGGTGTGGTGGTGGCATCTTGCTGGGATGTAGCAGTCGTGGATTGAGAGGGGCGGGGGTTGGGACGAGCGGGGTGAGGAGGATGAGGGAGACGGGGAAGTGTGAACTACACTTTTGTTAGACTGTATGTCGAGGACGAGGTAGAGAGGACCGAGAAGGGAAGGGTTGGAAGACGTACAGAAACGCCGGGCTGGTATTGGCGGGGGTCGGCGATGTGGTCTGAAGACAGCTTTATGGGACGCGAGTCCAGGGCCGAGAGGAACTGTTTGCAGAATTGAAGCTCCGACATTGTGTGATGCGACCACCTAGTCCCTTATGGTATGAGTGAATATAGAGTATAAGCTTCGAAGTTCAAGGAGTGTGGACGAGCTAACAAACACCGGCGGACGCGATGACGGCGGTGGGGCGAGCTTCACAACCGGAGGAAAAGTTCCACCGGCTCCCGAAGGCGGTGAGCGGGCTAGTCCGAAAATTTCCAGCGAAATTGCCCAGAGCTCTCTACCGGAGAGGAGGTGCATATTGGGCATAACCCTTTTTATCCTCATATTTCAATTTTTCTGAGGACGGGAAATACACAATGGCACCCCGGAAAGGCCCCAGCAATCGTATGAAAAAGCAGGGCATCCCGCCCCCGCTGGACGAATCGCTCGTGACGCGGAAACGTAAAGATGCGCCAGCTGCGCCTGTGGAGGAGAGGGGGAAGAAGAGGAGGACGGAGAGCAAGGCAGTGAAACCTGTTGCCGCTGCACAGAATAACAGTGTCAAGAAGAATAAGGAGAAGGGAAAGCCCGCGAATGCGAAGAAGAAGCCTGCACCACCTCCGCCTGCTTCGGACGAGGAGATTTCGAGCGATGAGGATGGGGTCGATGATCCCGATGTCATGGATGATAATCTTGGAGATGTGAATGTTACGGGGTTGGATGCGCTGGGCAGCGCATCGGAAAGCGAAGAGTTGGACGATGATGAATTTGGAGATTCCGGGTCGGATGTTGTGGATTCGGACACTGAGAACACGGGACGGAAAGCGGCGATGTGGTCCGACGATGAGGATGAAGAAGATATTGAAGAGAAGCTCACAGCGGCAAATATTGAGGGTTTGTCACGGAAGCTGGATATGCAGAAGGCGATTGAAGAGGCGGAGGCACAGGCGGAATTGGAAGAAGCTGCAATGCAAACTAATATTGCGGGAGATAAGCCGAAGATATTGGATGATGAAGAGGAGGGAGGCAGGCGCATAACGAATCTCGACACGACGCAGGACTTGCAACTCTTGCGCACGAGACTGAACGACACCATACGGGTGCTGGAGGATTTCAAGAACTTAGCTGAGGAGGGTCGGTCAAGAGTAGAGTATAGAGCACAGATGTTGAAGGATGTCTGCTCGTACTATGGCTACTCGGAGTTCCTGGCTGACAAGCTCCTGAATCTGTTCCCTCCCCGCGAAGCATTCGCCTTCTTTGAGGCTAATGAGACACCCCGACCCATTGTCATCCGCACGAATACTCTCCGCACACATCGTAGAGAATTGGCACAAACCCTGATAAACCGTGGCGTACAACTGGAACCCATCGGCAAGTGGTCTAAGGTCGGTCTGCAAATTTTCGAGTCGCAGGTCCCTCTCGGTGCTACACCTGAATACCTCGCTGGTCACTATATCCTCCAAGCCGCATCCTCCTTCCTCCCCGTCATGGCTCTGGCACCGCAGGAAAATGAACGCATTCTCGACATGGCCGCTGCCCCTGGTGGTAAAACTACCCATATTGCCGCGTTGATGAAGAACACTGGCTGCATCTTCGCAAACGATAGCAACAAGGATCGTGCCAAAGGTCTGATTGGCAACATCCACCGTCTGGGCTGCAAAAACACCATTGTATGTAACTACTCCGCCCTCGAGTTCCCCAAGGTTATGGGCGGCTTTGACAGAGTTCTGCTTGATGCTCCGTGCTCAGGCACTGGTGTCATTGCAAAGGATGCCAGCATCAAGACGAATAAGACCGAGGCCGATTTCATAAAACTACCGCATCTCCAGAAGCAGTTGATCCTGTCGGCGATTGACTCTGTCGACCATGCAAGCAAGACGGGAGGCTACATCGTGTACAGTACCTGCTCGGTTACTGTGGAGGAGAACGAGCAGGTGGTCCAGTATGCGCTGAATAAGCGGCCGAATGTGAAGCTTGTTGAGACGGGTTTGACGTTTGGTAAGGAGGGCTTCACAAGGTACATGGGAAAGATATTCCATCCGTCATTGAAACTGACGAGGAGATATTACCCTCATGCCTATAACGGTATGTACAGTCGACATATAATTTGCAGTGAGTGTGCGCTAACATGCTGCAGTGGACGGCTTCTTTATTGCCAAATTTAAGAAGATCGGGCCCACGCCTCCCAACGCTGTGGGTGTAGCCAATGCCACTCGTCATGGAAAGGCGGCTACAAACGGCGCAGTTGAAGAGGAGATCGTCGACAAGACTCCTATCGTTGAAGATGGAGAGAAGGACGACGACGATTTTGGCGGTTGGGACGACGAAGAGGATCAGAAGCTCATTGAGCGTGCTCAGAGAAGCGAGCTCAGGAGAAAGGGGAAGAATCCCAAAGCGGTGCTTGGTGCGAAGGCGGCGAAGGCCGCAAAGCCAGAAAAGAAGGCAGATGAGAAGAGTGAGGAGAAGGACCGCGTTAGCGAGAAGAACGATAAGCAAGATGGCAAGGTCGACTCCGCGGCTAAGACTGAGGCTAAGGCCAACGGTGTCAGTGCGAAGTCGAAAGAGGCCGAATCCAAGTCGAGGAGAAAAAGCGGAGGGAAGAAGGAGAAGTAGAGATAAGGAGGCACACTAGCATTTTGGTATACTGTGTATAAGAAGGGTATACTATTCATTGGTGAGCGATCTTCGCCACCTCAATATTCATATCAAGGATTCCCCATTACCGATCCAAGAATCCATGCCATTTCTCATACGATTCCTGTGTATCGACCGTCGTCGGTGTAGTATCTTGACATACACTTGCTGATAAGAGCCTATTTCTCGCGTATCTTGGTGTGGCAGCATTACAACTTGACCACCGACGATTAGCTTGCTCGATCAACCCTTTCCGAAGATCAACCTTCTCCAAATCTCCGAATCAAGTTGCTTGATCCAGGCCTGAGATCATACCTCTACCCCTACCCGCAACGTCGAGGCAATTTCCGAGATAATGTCCGAGCATCGGAGAATGTGGCAGCCAAAGTAGTCGGACCCAACTGACTTAACCTAAAGCACCCTAGGAACACCCTACAATAGTGCATGCAAGAAATATCTGGTGTCTGAGCTCATGTTAGCGTCTGATCATCACATCATCACCTCAAACTTCTGGTCGTTCCCAGCAACGAAGATGGCGAAGGGTAAGGGTGCGTGCGTCGTAGGAAATACAACGGAGGCAAACATCCGAGGCAGCGGCGGGCTCCTTGTGGGGCCCCAGGGGGTTGGATTCAGCCATATGGCAGACTAAAAAAGAAAGGTGTAGCAGGTCAATCGGCGATAGAATCGGGACGGCTTCATTTAATTCACCGTGGTCCTGATAAGGAAGCATTCCAGAAGCATTCCAGAAGCATTTCAGAAGCTCAATCGTTCCCAACCGTCAACACTTAGTGTGTCGTTTGGGACGTTCCTTGTGGCGGAACAGCCCTTAGTCTCGCTTCCAAGGCTCTTTTCAGAGGTACAGATAGGCTAACTCTGAGAAAGGAAGGGTTCTAAAGGGTGGTGAGCCACCAGAATCTGGGTGGCCAGCGCTCGTACTGTGATACTGACACGGTCGATAGGATAGTGGCGTGAATTTCTCTCCTCTGATATGACCGATAGGCTGGAAGTGTCGTTGAAACCAAGCCAAGGCGAAGTGGGTCCAATTTTACACCAATCCGTACGCGGGCTAGCTAAAGCTTGGTTCCCGCGGATCGGCAAGCCTAAACCTAAAAACAAGCCCAAATTCGCGCAGTGAATGGATGGATCTGAAGCCTGGTAAAACAGCGGCGAAAAACAGGTCATCATCATCATCACCACCATCATCACCATCATCGTCGCGACGGCGTCTTGTGGTGCGCGAATGCTTGATGCGTCGCGCGCCTTTTGAAAGGAACAATGCAACTTATGGGCTGGAAGGTGTCCGCTTTATTCGCCACAGGAGATGGACTCCCATTCCCAACAGTACCGAGGTTCTCCACCAAGTTGCGGGATTTTGCGAGCTTCTACCACAAGTTTTGTGCCAACTTCTTGTTCGTCTCATCTTATTTTACTTGTACACGTTGCAGAAGTTGCAACAAGTGCGGAAGAAAAAAAATTCATCGACCCATCGACCCACCTACTCAGTACTCAACAAGAAGCTAACATAGTCTTGATGCACTAAAAGTGACCGGCTTGTATCGGTCGACTTCTTTCAGGCTTCTAGCGTCGCCGGCCAAACTCCGCTGAAGGATGCACGCCAGACCAACGCTCGAAGGTGATGATGATTTTCCCTCTTGGCTGACGCATTCACAGCGCCCGTGCTACGCTACCTCAACCGTTCCTTGCTCGTCGGCTACCACGGATGGATCGCAATTGGTTCTCTGTGCTGACTCTGTCAAGGGGCGGATCCCGCTACTCAGCACGGCTCCTTTTGCCCCTCACGTAGGTGGATGCCCGTTGGCAGACTACGTGAATCTGGGGAAAGGCCCATGTACGCTATGGGACTTTCCGATTCGCCCATCGGAGGAAAGAAGGGTGTTGGACTACCGCAGTAGCGGCTGAGAAAAGTAAGATGCAGGGCATCTGGCCTGCACACGACACAGCAATCCCCGGTTACAAGTTTACCAACTAGCGGGTAGGTGATGGGGCCCCGCGTCTGGGAAAGGCATCGATGGACAGATAAAGAGAGGTTGCGCGCCCACCCCAAGGAGAGCATCCTCATCCGACGTTTGTCACTTCCTCAACTCTCCTCATCCGCCTGAAGCAGTTGAACGAGTAGCACACCATGGCCTTGCCGAGACTTTTCAAGAAACCAGCAGACGAGCCAGGGAAGGCATGGTAGGTCTCCTGTATCACATTCTTCGAGAGAATGTAAAAGCTCACATTTTCCCTAGGCCGGCCATCTTGATCGGTCTGTTCGTCGCCTTTGGCGGTGTCCTCTTTGGGTTCGTAACCTACCATAGCTTGAGACTAGAGGACGCGAAACTGAGACGAGAACTCATGCAGATATGACACCGGAACCATCTCTGGCATTATTGCCATGCCTTTCTGGAAGCGAGAATTCGCGACAGAAACGAATGCCAATGGCGAACCCATTATTACCGCCGCCCAGGACTCACTCATCGTTTCCATCTTGTCTGCTGGAACCTTCTTCGGTGCTCTAACTGCTGCGCCTGTCGGTGACCTGCTTGGTCGCCGCTTCGGCTTGATGTTTTCCGCTGGCGTGGTCTTCAACCTAGGTGTCATCCTGCAGACGGCTGCTACGGCTCAGGACCTGTTCATCGCTGGCCGTTTCTTTGCGGGTTATGGAGTGGGTCTGGTATCTGCTCTGAGTAAGCTCCCCTCCCACAAATCAAAGTCGGGTGTTCCATGAGCTAACCTTCTCCAGTTCCCATGTATCAATCCGAGACTGCGCCCAGATGGATCCGTGGCACCATTGTCGGAGCATACCAACTCGCCATCACCATTGGCCTTTTCCTGGCTGCCATCGTAAATAATGGTACAAAGGACCGGAATGACTCGGGGTCGTACCGTATCCCCATCGCCATCCAGTTCCTGTGGGCTTTGATTCTCGTCGTTGGGTAAGACAATCCCTTCCCGCCCTAGCTACACACAGCCTAATGAATCCAGTCTGCTCTTCTTGCCGGAAACCCCTCGCTACCTCATCAAGGTGGACAAGTACGACAAGGCCGTCCGATCACTTGCTAAGCTGCGCCGGCTTCCTGCGGACCACCCTGCCATTGTCGAGGAGTTGAATGAAGTGCAGGCGAACCACCTCTACGAACTGAGTCTCGGCAAGGCGTCCTACGCGGACTGCTTCCGCGGCACCGTTGGCAAGCGTCTCCTCACCGGATGCTTGTTGCAGATGCTTCAGCAACTCTCTGGTGTCAACTTTATCTGTACGGCGATCGTGTCTCCTCTTCCTGCGCTCGGCAGCTGACCCTTCCTAGTCTACTACGGAACCCAATACTTTGAGAATGCCGGCTTCCGGAACCCCTTCATTATTCAAGTCATCACCAACTCGGTTAACGTCGCTTCCACCTTCCCGGGCCTCTACATGGTTGAGAAACTGGGTCGCCGCAACCTGCTCCTCCTCGGCGCCGTCGGCATGTGTGTCTGCCAGTACGTCGTCGCCATCACAGGTACCGTAGCTGGAACTACGAACCTGCCGGCGCAGCAGGCCGCCATCGCGTTCGTGTGCATTTACATCTTCTTCTTTGCGAGCTCCTGGGGACCCGTGGCCTGGGTGGTTACGGGCGAGCTGTTCCCGCTCAAGGTCCGCGGCAAGTGCCTGTCCATGACGACGGCAAGCAACTGGCTCCTGAACTGGGCCATTGCGTACAGCACCCCTTACCTGGTCGACGAGGAGCACGCGAATCTGCAATCCAAGGTTTTCTTCGTATGGGGCTCGTGCTGCTTCGTCTGTATTGCATTCACGTAAGTTGTCCTTGCCCATTTCCCGTCTTCCTCTTCACGTCACTGACGCCCTAACCAGCTACTTCCTCATCTACGAAACCAAGGGTCTCACTCTCGAGCAAGTCGACGAGCTCTACGGCGTCGAGAGCAAGGCGTGGAAGAGCAAGAAGTTCCGTCCCACAGTACATTTCGCGGATGTGACCAAGGAAGACGAACAAAGGCGTATGAGTCTTGTAGAGATCGCCGCGAATCAGGAAAGGAAGAGGAGTTTGCAGGGCGATGGACACGCGGTGCCTGTTGCTGCGGAGACGTTGACTACGGAGAAGGTTTAAGTTGGGGGGAAGGAAGCGGGGGAAGGGAAAGCGAAGGATGGGAGATCATCTTTGTTATGAAATGATGCCAATGAGTGTTTGATGTACGATAGAAGTGAAATTGAACATGTAACTGAGAAAAGTACCGTGCAATCTGTTCAATTCACACCAACAACACCCCATCCCCTACTAACCATCCAGCTCCTTGAACTCACACGTGTATCCACTCGTTGATGGAGCACAGAAGCCCTTGTAGGACTCGTATTCTATGGCGATGCATACACGCTTATTCACTCTTAGTAGAAATAGGCAGCTTCATATCGCGATGGCGCTACATCTTCGCACTACAGTGTATATGACAATGGAACTTCTCAGATGATGCTCACCATAGTAGAGCCTAGGTCATCTTTTCGGCACATCGTTGTGTTTCCATGGATGATCAGCGTCGTGACACTGCATGGGGTGGGCGCGTAGTCCCCACCTCCCGGCGGAACGAACAGGCCTCACTCTCCAGGATTGCGGATTGCGTCATCAGCCACAGCGGTCATCGCGCACATCAACACCACCAACCTGCCATCTTCCAAGTCACAGACCTTTATCGTCATCTTGCTGAATCCTAGATTCTTGGTACTTTTGCATTTCTTTTCTACATTCCCATTTTCACCCTCTCCACAGTCCGTTTCTGCAATCGGTCCGATACCCTCGCCGTAGTCGCGGTCCTAGCGCGTGTTCGGTGCCTTTGTCCCTCTGCTAGCCAGGTACCAGTTCATCACGACCAGTGGAAGGGACAGGACCTCGGGAGACGCCGGGCGCGGTCACGTGAACGTCAAATCCCACAGAATGCTGAAGTTCCGACTCTTCAACCGCCTATCATGGCGACGGATAGCGCTGTTTGGGTCCGGGTGTGCGCTGTTTTTGTTCCTGGTGTTTACCCTCACTCCGATTATTGCGCCCTTGCCTAGGTACACGGGACCGCATGAGGTGGGCGTGCTGGACATTGAGACGGAGGTGGAGAGGAGGGTGGTGTTTAGTGAGGCCGTGTTGAAGGAGAGTGGGGTGAAGGCTTTTGAGGTATGTTTATACAGGCGCTCTTTGGACTCTGTGTTTTGTTTTCCCCTTCCAAATCACACAGCTAACCCGACTCCAGCTTAACACCCTAGCCATCACACTCTACTACCCATCCATCCCCCGTCCCCCCGGATCCTCAGGTCCCCAACCTCTCGCCCGTCCCTGGCTTCCTCAACCCCTCGCCCCAATCGGCACTGGCTACGCCCGCATGCTAGGGATCTACTGGCGACCTCTTCAACTCCTCTTAACCGGCACCCTCTGGGCGCTCGGCTCCAAGACAGTCATCCCCGGCATCGTCGACGCACCCTTGATTCCCGCCACCGAGGTCGTTCTCGTAAGCCAAGATGGCGACATGCACGAGCCAAAGGGATCCCTGATAGAGCAAGCTGAGAACGCGAAAAACGACAGCGAAAAGCTGGAACTGAGGAGCAATCATTTCGGAGCGAGGAAATTGCCCCTTGTTGTCTTCTCTCACGGTATGGCCGGCATGTCTCAATCATATTCGCACTATTTGGGCTCGATTGCCAGTCATGGCTATGTTGTTGCGGCCGTGGAGCACAGAGATGGAAGCGGTCCAGGTTCGATTGTGCATTTCGCGAATGGAACATCGAAGCCCGTTTGGCATGTGCAGCTGCACGATTTGGAGTACGTATCCCCGCCTCCCCTCATTGATGAAAGAACCCAAATACTGACAACCTTCAACAGAGCAGACCCCCCCATGACCCTCTCCCAACTCAAAACCGCCCAGCTCGCCTTCCGCGAATCCGAGATGCTCGAAACGATCCGCCTCTTCCGCCGCCTCAACGCAGGCGCCGGCACCAACTTCACCAACCTCAAACCGGACAGCCCGGAGACGTCGCTCCCGGGCTTCGAGAACCGCCTCGACCTCGACGCCGTCACCGTCATCGGGCACTCGTACGGCGCCACGGGGATCCTGCAGGCGCTCAAGGGCGCGCGCGACAAGGAGACGCCGCTGAATGGCGGGATCGCGCTGGACCCGGGCAAAGCGTCGGGACCGCTGAACCATGACATCGATGTCCCGCTGCTGGTGATGCAGTCGGGCGAATGGACAGACACGAAGCCCGATCTCGACTTCTACGGCCAGGGCCCGCATTTCTCCGTCGTGCAGCGGCTCGTCCGGGGCGTCAAGAAGGGATGGTTCAAGACGCTCCGGGGCACGGCGCACCCGAGCTGTACGGATGCGCCGCTCATTGTGCCGTGGATCATGAAGATGGTGATGGGGACGACGCTGGAGGCCAGGACGGCGCTGGAGGAGTATATTGATGTCAGTGTGGGGTTTTTGGAGTTTTTGAGGACGGGCAAGGGACCGACGCAGATGGTGCTGCAGAGTGGAGTTACCAGTGAGTGGGGACCGCTTGGGGAAGAAGGGAAGAGGGGAGTTGTGAGGGGAGAGAAGGGCGGGGAGTGGGAGGTTCATGCTGTGCCGAGGGGATAGAGCCTGTAGGTGAAGGGGTCGGGATGGTAGGAGGTAGTGGTTGCGAGGCACCTAATTGCATTATTATGTTTATTCTTATTACACAGATGAAACAGAAAGAAAAGTTCATCGTCGATATGGTTTTATAACCTGCACAACTCTTCTCAGCGTCTCGCGTGCTTCCAACAATGCATACAGTTCCTAAGTATGTCCTTCCGTCGCCGAATAAATAATACACTGCAACTCGCCTACGTGATTGGCCGACCGCAGTATCCTATCCCGTGGATTTTGTTGTACAACGGCAAGAAATCGATTCCGACTATCCACCAATAAGACGACGTCACTAGTACGTTATGGATTTTGCCACCATTGCCTGATTCGTCAGTACCCATCCTACTTTACATCTCAAGTTACACCTACTAACTACTGTGACTCACTCCCTTCGCTACCTTTCCCCGTATGCAGCTAGCCGCGAAGTAACCTGATACCTATATAACTAATCTCCTAGGTACCCCGCGAGGTATATCATATCACCTGGCGACAACCCGCCTTCTACAACAACCATCACAGCGTCTTGAAGAACTCCAACACCCCATTTCCCAGCCCCCATACACTATATAACTATCGCGGATCATTACAAACCTCTTCCTTTCTCGCCTCATGTCATAACCTGTGATATACCGGGATACCCCATCAGGATGATGCTCGGGGCCTCATCATTTGTCAGTAGCGTTGGCCGACTTTGGCCGATACCACAGTAACAAAGCCCCCGCAACTCTACGATGCTACGCTCGTGTGAGCTGCGCAGCGCACAGTTGTGCTCAGCGGTATCTTATTAGGACCAGTGAACTCGTGGGTAATAATCACCAGTGTCTTGAGTGTCAAAGATATATTGTCGTATTACTATTCTACAGAATCAATCTGTTACCCAACGGCGAAACGCATCATTCCCACCACCGCTTTACACTCTGACCCCTTTCCAAACTATGATGACCGAGAGAGAGGAAATGTAGAAAGAATAGACCCTGAACAATACATCTCTTCTGCCGTTAAACCTCTTATTCAAGAATTAGACATTAAGATCCTGCACGACAACATGAACAATAGCACCGCCGCCCGCCAATGATCATTCCATCATAACCACCTCAACCTCATCACCGCATCATTCTTTACATCAGGCCACGGAATCTGTTCCGCTGTTGTTTCCTCCTCGACGTAATCAAGAAGTGGACTTCGCCACCCGACCTCGTCGCCTCTTGCGCAACATTGCCTTGAAGGAGCCCACGATTCCAGTGCGACTCTTCTCCTCCTTCTCTTTCCGCTTCTCCTGCGCATGCTTCTTCATCACATTCAGCGCGCACCGCGAGCCCTCCAAGGCCATGGCCGTACGCTCGAATTGCATCGGTCCGTCGGCTCCGCCACTAGCGCAGTCCAACATTGCGTACGCACGCTGGAGTTTCTCGCCACGGTCGCCGGTCGAATCCACGCTATAGATCTCGACCAGCGCTCGTCTTATCGAGACGGATTTGCTGGATCCGGAGCGGCCAGAGGAGCTGCTGGCACGCGGGAGACTGGGTTGCGGTGCTGCTGTTGCCTTCCAGTTGCTGGAGGCAATGCTGGGAGCTTCCAGGGTGGGCTCCATCGAATCGCGTCTATCCAGGTCGATGGACTCTGGTGTTGTTTGATGAAAGTCGTTGCCGTTCAGGCTGTGCGACTCCGCTGGAGTTTCGCGTACAGGGAAGAGTTGCATGATGGTGGGATGAGTATGGAGCACCGGTGATGATCCTTCGTCTGGGATGTCGTTGAGAGGCTCTTGGGTTTGGTCTGCCTCTGCGATGGTGATGGGTGTAGGACAGGTTGTCGCTGGAGTTTCTGGGTGGTGAAGAGTGGTGGAAGATGGAGACCTCTGGAGGTCTCGGGGGCTGGCGTTTATACCGTGAGAGGGAGGCGCCGGCGTCATACGTTCGCAAGCCCAGACGCTCTGGGAGCTAACGTTGCTACTGACGCCGTTGTGACAGTAGCCCAGTGACACTGAGTGCGCGGCCGATGTGGTGCCGGAGGGTTCCATGAGGATTCCTCCGTCACATGAGGGCATACTGCTTGTAGATGGGATACCATCGTCTCGATATGGGGTGCCACTCGCCGTACTCGGTTTTCTGGAGGGCCAACAGCTCATCAGCGACATGATCTCTTCGGTCAAGTTGGGACAAATCTCTCCAGCCGACCGGTCGGCGCGTCTCGGTGCTTTCATCATCTGTAACGGGGGGAACGGGTTGCCAGTAGAGCCACACTCCCCTTCATCCTCAGACAACGACAATAAATCTGGACTGTCGCAAGAAAATATGCTGCATTCTTCTGCATTCCAAGGCGAAGATGTAGTAAAATCATCCCACGCGAGCGCTTTCGGGGCCAAAGGACGTGTGGGCAATGGTGATACAATGACCGGGGCGTCGCACGCTGTCCGCGAGTCCGTCCGCGCGTCTAATGACGATGGTTTCTCGTCTAGCGATGAACATGCGCTGGCATATGACGTCTCGGTCGGAGTCGGGCGGTAGTCGGATGCCGCGTTGACCGAAGAACCCGTACTCGAAGCATGACGTGCGATCGAACACCACGCTGTTGTCGTGTCGGGCTGGGGATGGCATATGGGGGGATTGCCGTTAGGGGTGGGTATCCGAACTCGCTCCTGCGTCCTACTCGAAGTGCGGTTTATTGACTTCGACCAGAGGTCCTTTGCTGCGCTAAATCCCCAGCCAGCTACTTCGTCTCCCTCGGCAGGTACGTTATATCTCCTCAGATGAGGTTGCTCGGGGGTATATGCGCGATAAGTCTCAATGTTGCGGAAAGGCAGGCCATGGCACTCGATGTTTCGTTCCAGGTTGCCGGCCTCCCTTACGACGGCATCTTGGTGTCGTTTACGGCGTTTGCGGCCTGTGAGGACAATGGTAGAGCGGCGGAGTGCTGAGCAAGTGCGCAGAGGAGAAGGCGACTGGGATCGACTGGCGACTTCGGCATGGCCTTTCGCGACGCCGGAACTGAAGGTAGATGTCATGAGTCTAGTGGCTTTTACTGTTCAATGAATAGCGAAGGTAAAGCTGCTGAGTATGTGTGCACATCTGCTTTGGGCGCGAAAGAAGACGGCGAAGGACTGTAAGAGAACGTCTTACAAAAGAAAGAGCTAGGAGAGCGAGACGCTAATCTCAATCTGTGGTCCTTCCCTGACTTCATACGGGCGAACTGGGATGGCAGCGACGAGTCGAATGGTGTTGAGGCGAACCTTCCCACAGAGTACTTACACATATCACCCAATGCAAATGCTTTAGGTCACAGTTCTGGATATGGGGCACAGTGGACAGGTAGTAGAAGAACATTTCCGTCGTCTTCTGCCTACTGTTTATGGAACCTGACTGACTGGTTTCCGGGCCATAAGCCTACTCCTTGAGGTGATGAAGCCACCACAGCAAACAACCTGGTATGATTCTGGAAGTGGAATGTCAGTGCCGCTGCAAATTAGTGTGGGCCATGCCCCATAGATTATGCTGGTGTACAGCGCAGTCTTCTACGCTTTGTCAGATTTGCGAAGTATACGGTTGACTCTCGAGCGTCCTGGACTTCTTCATGTTCGTTAACGGTTTTGCTGTTATCAGAAAGGGCATCAGGCGCAAATGTTCTTCGGTCTCTCTTACGACGGTGCACCGGTGTTTCGGGAACAAGAACTGGATCCTCTTCACTTGGGGTTTCAGGTGGAGGCGCAGGCACTGAGAAGTTGTACTCGGAGCACCACTCAGTGGACATGATCTCGTCAACTTGGTGACAGCTACCTGGTGGATCGTTTCTCATTCCATGAGACATGTACCTGGCCGAGATTCTGAGGGGGAGAGAGTACTGCTCCGCAGACTGCTTGGAAAGTTGTTGGTTTGCACAAACACTCTGGATATGGTGATAAGAGTCTGGAACCTGCGGTAGCCTCTGGGCGCATTCCTCCTCGTGTGACTCCGGTAGAGATGGCAGCGGCGAATTTGCTCGCCTTAGTTGAGAAGCGGCGACCTGTCTATTAGACTTGTGAGTGGAAGACCCGCGACGACGTCTGAAGTGGCGAGATAATACATCCTTTGTTAGAAGAGGACGCTTCGATCTTGATTGCGGTAGGTGACCAGTCACCGCGACAGGTTCGACCAACCCGCAGTTCGATCTGCGTGCTTGCCAATCTCGTACAGACTTCTCGTAAAGCGCATCGAATGCGGCAGCATGATAACTGTTGGAGAACCAGGGATGGGTCAGTGCCTGTGTCGCGGTCATACGACGATCTTCTTGTAGCACCAGAAGATTTCTGATAAAATCTTTCGGCCTTGGTCCCACATTTCGCCAGACTGGGTGAGTGTTATCCTGCAGGAAACTAAGGTCGCATCTAGCAGCTACATCCAGGAGAGCTTCGCAATACATTGGATCGGAGCGCGGACAACCTGGAGGAGCGAAAATGACATCGCCAGATAGTAGTGTGCCTGTAATAGCACCGATAGACCACATATCCACGGCCATGGAATAGCCTGCACCGGCTGGGATGCTTTTGTTTTTCTTGTGTATTTCGCTACGGCTTGGTCAGTGGAAGCAGACAAGTTAGCATGGATGTAGCTTACGGAGCGGCGTACTCCATTGTCCCTGCGTAGGAAAGCATTCGACGGTTGTTTGCGGTCGAGCTGATACATAAGTCTGTTGGGTGGCCAGGCAGGTACCTGGCGTTGCCGAAATCGCTGATCACTATGCGACATCCGTCGTCAAGAGAGGTCATTAGTATGTTGTCAGGTTTTAGATCCCGGTGTACAATGGACTGGCCATGCAGATACTCGACGCCCTTGAGGACCTGTCTGATGATGACAGCAGTTTCCATGTCATTGAGCTTGCCGCCTTTATACTCCAGATACGAGAAGAGGTCGCCGCCGGAGACAAGATCTTGGAAAATGTATCTGTGTTCGTCAGTGGCTGAGCGTTTAGACCTCTTGCCGCTTTACATAGTGTCGTTACTCCAGAACACCTTCTCAATTGCAATTACATTTGGCTTGAGAGGTTAGCGTTCGCGATTAAGCTGTATCTGTGACGTTGTGTCTTACGTGACTCAAATCCTTCAGAATTTCAAACTCACGAAAGCACTTCTTCACCCTGTCAGGCAAGTGTGAGGTGTGCGCCCCGTTGTTGCCTTGTGATTGCTCATGGTATTTTGATGGATATCGCAGTCGAGAGGGCGGCTGCTTTGGCCATATGCGTCGGAGGTCAATTATCTTGCAAGCAACTTGGCGCTGTGTCTTTTGATGATAGCCGACCATGACTTTACCGAATCCACCAGCTCCGAGAACACGACCGGTAATGAGGTAACGACGAGCAAACATCTGAAGATATGAGCAATCTTTTCCATGGAGACTGTGATGAGTCTGCCACCAACCTGCCTCTCTCGCTGCTGGACGGGCGTTAGAACCTCCTCCCGGACTGGTGTAACTGACCGATAGACCAGCGTGACCGAGTCCGATAAGCGTAGTTCATCTCCATCGTCCAGGAGAAACGCACTGTTGCGGGTCATACGGATGCCCCCGCTCTGCGAGCTTGCACATTCTGAATTAGCTTTCTTCAAGTACGTCCCGTTAGTTGACAGATCGGTGGCATAGACAAATGGTGGTATTCCCGAAACCGGATCCTGTTCGTACAGGATGCAGTGAATTCGGAGATGTCGGTTAGATATCACGGGGTCCGGCCATGACCGTCGGCTAAGGCAACGTCAGAAAAGGATTCATTGTATACTTGTGCGACACTTACCACGCAGAAAACTGCCTCCCGAGATAGAACTGTTCGCTCCCGTATATTTCAATGCCCGACCGAGTATCTGCTCTGATCAACAACTATCATGATGAAGAAAGAGGGGACAATTGACTCACCCTCAGTGTCTCGACCAGCTAGTTTTACTTGCAGATACGCCACTATATCTCCCGCCATCTTCCTCCCCACAACCCCCGCGTTCCTTCAGTCAAATTCGAGGATGCGTAAGAGAAAATGTTATGGTGTTCCGTCACTGTTTCCTCACAGGTCGCTTGCCAAGCCACCTACACAAAAGGAGGTTAGTGCAACTCGCTTAATCGACAGCTCCGCACAACAAAGAGCTGCTGCGGACCCCTCTCCGTTTCTTCTTCATCCCACTGCACTCATCTCGACAGCCAGGTACGTTGTCATTCACCACTTCTTCTTCCCTTCTTGAGCTCCAATTGAGCGAGTGTGCGCCGTCTTGACAGCGCCGGAGCTGAACTGCGCCACGGTACACTTGATTGCATAACGCTGACCTCATACCTGCAGTTCTACTAGCCGACAAGATGAGAGCCAAATGGAGAAAGAAGAGAGTTCGACGCCTCAAGCGTAAGAGAAGGAAGACGAGAGCCAGATCGTGAGTTCCCTGCTCGCCAGAATGAGAGGCGTGAATCTGACTTCTCTACAGCAAGTAAACTACTCGACCCTCAATCTCAGCACCGGCGTTCTCGGCATCGACCACTTTGAACGACAACTGAAATCAGCACTTTTCCCTGTGACTCGCAGTTCTCGATCATCTACTGCTTACGTCTACCATCACCAATCGGCTTCGGAGTTGCGCATGCAGCAGCCTGTGGATCTCTTACGGGGTTCGCAAGAGTGGGATCATCTTGAACGTCATGGAGAGCTGGTCAAATATTCGTTGAGGAGCTTCGGGAGTTACTTGAACACTCTGTACTCAGATGGTCGTTCTAACACCGACTCGGCCTTTGGCCTTGTCTTTGAGCGAGATATCTGCCACGTGGATATGTGACAGCGACGAATACATGTTTCACGACAATTTTCTTGACTGCCAATCGTGACAATTTCGCTATGTGTGACGAGATGTTAAACTCTGTAAGGCACATTGTGGGTCCCCCTCTTTGCTAGCAAGTATATATACTTGTGGTATCGAATAAGTATGTCTGCAGGACAAATGCCATAAACTTAAGGTAGCGCTCCAATATGCAGGCGGTCATCTAACATCCAGCTAACCGCACTCTGAATTCAAGCATCATGTCCACCTTGATAAAGCAGTGAAGAGGGCTTTGCCATAGACTACGAAACAAAGATCAGCTGCTCGCACACAATCGATCTACGCTCCTTTGCAACCCTCTCCACCAATATGTACCTCATGGGCAACACTCACGTCACCCTTCAACTTCCACCGCACTCTATCTTTTACTTCCCCTTCTACTTACGATACACACCAATATGCCCAGCATAACTTCCTCATCCGCCAGCATCTCCGTTGGATAACCTACTCGCAATCCCACTGGCCTTCATTAGACTCGAAATTGCATGCACAGTTTCAAAGCATAATATAATGCTAGCCTACATTACGGGAATATACTTAAGCAGGAAGACATATAGCCCACTTGTATACATCTTGCACAGTCCAACCCGCCTCCCTCTCTACCCCGTCACATCCTCACTTTCCACAGCAACCCCCCTTCAGCTCCCCTCCCTAAACGCCAACCGAGAGATCTTATCCACCAAAGCCCCTCCCTGCTCAACCCCACTCGGCACACTACAATAACTGGGTGGGACATCCAAGCACGGATTCCTGAGGAAGAAATGTCTGGGCCGGAGAAGGAGACTCATCGGCTCCGCCGGCATGACGGGGAAGTCCTCCGGGGCGGGGAAGTGCGTGAGGCCAAACGTGTGCCAGAGAACGATATCCGTGTTCGCGATGTTGGCAGTCGGGTTGGCGGCGATCCAGGCGGGGAGGCCTTGCGAGGGCTCACCCGACGTTTGCGGGACGTGTCGGCCGGCCGGGTGGATTTGGTCGTCGTCGTCTGTTTTGAAGTCAGTTGAGCATTATAGTAGGAGTAGAAGAATGGGCAGGGCGTACACTTGGTAACGTGCACTGCATGCCTTGCGAATCCCGCTCTCTTCCACACCAGTCCTCCCTCCTTCGGCATCAACTCTGGCACCTCCCTGCTTACCAGCTTGTACGAGACGGGCTTCCCGCTGTAAGGATGCAACTTGTTTTCGTTGCAGATATCCCACGTGCGGCTCGTAGCGGCATTGTAGTCGCTCTGTGCTTGCACGGGATTTTCGAAGCGTGTCTTCTTTGCGTAGAAAGCATTGCCGTATTTGTTTTCATCGCTGCCGACGGGGGCGTCGGAGCGTGTGGCGTCGACTTGGTAGACGGTGTTTTCGGGGCCGTCGATGTTGGGATCGATTCGTAGACAGAAGAGATGCTGATGGTTGTGTGCGTTGACTCCGGGGTAGACCTGCGTGCCCCAGCCATTCGTATCCTCGTCGGGGTTCATGGCGTACGTGTTCAAGATCCCCGTGAGCTTGATTTCGAGCTGGATGGTGCCGTCCTGGTGGAAGATCCAATATACGCAATACTCGTAGTTTGCGGCAGTGAAGATGTGGGAGATGATGAGTTTACGGGCGCGTGTGACGGTGCAGCTATTGTCGCGGAAGTCGGTGTGCTTGAAAAGGATACCGGCGTCCTCTTCGTGAATGCAGATGGCGTTCTTGATAGTAGTAGCTTGCCCGGCGCGGTTCACGAAGGAGGCGTCCATGTAGTGGATGGCGCCTTTGCAGTCGCAGCCCACACTGAGCGAGTTGGTCATATAGCCGCCTCCGTACTCGCCCAGATCGAAGGCGTGTTTGCGTTGATGCGGGTGCTCGGGGTTTCCGTAAGGCACAACCATCTCGGCGAGGGAGAGGCGCCAAAAGGTGGGCCGTTCATTGCCTTTGTCGTTAAAGGTGATGTTGGAGAGGACGAGGCCTTCGCGGTAGTTGAAACCAATGTGTAGCTTCCCTAGACTCTGGTTAGTATCACAAGCTGTAGAACAAAATAGATACAACTTACAGTTCTGCCAGCTGATGATTCGGCCGTCCATTTTGAAGGAGACGCCTTCTGGTTGTGTGATATTGATGGGCTTAAGGTCCGTTCTGTAACCTCCTTCGGCCTCAATCGCTGCGGTATGGTAATTGCTCGGTGGCGCCTTGTTGACGGGTCTCCGTACCGGTGGAATATCGATGTGGATGATTTCTTGTGTGTCTGCATTGAAGATGGGGCAGAAATCGAGGGGATAGCTGTACTGGCTATCATCTATGTGCGGGCGGTAATACATGAGGGCTTGCTGGAGGCGGACGTTGCTTCCGAAGCGTTCATCGTAGCCAATTGTCCAGGCTGCTCAGGTATCAGCAGTTTAAGATTTCGGCAAGGGCCAATCTGCTTACGATCGCAGTAGACCTTGTCCATATCCTCTGGGGGAATGCCAATGATGCCACACTGTTCAATGACCTTGGGATCTTTCCTCACTATGGACTCAACGATCTGGAGATCTTCCATGGTGATCTGGGCTGTTTAGTGAATTTCGAATACAAGATATGGAAATCCTACAAGGGGCTGAACACCCTCAGTCAATTGCCAGCTCACGATCTTTCCTTCGGTCAGGTCCACAATGCCGTCATACACCTTGCTTCCTCTTCCAACAGCGACGACGTCTGCCACTCTGTGAGGCCGTGGTGTGCCCTTGGGATCTTGGAGCCAAGCCATCATCTCCGCCTTTCGGGGTTCCCATAATGTAACAGTATTGAAGAAGAGGCCATTGTGCTCCTTGCGGATGATTGCGACTGCTGTCTCAATCTCGGCTTCGGTAAGAGGGTCGAGCGGATACGGCGGCCCCGTATCGCCTGAGACGATAGCAGCCGTCTGCTTGAGTCTATCAAGAGCCATTCTGTGGGTGTTTAATCACGATGCGGGAGAAGGGAAGGAAGTGATAAGGCAAGTCTGCTGTACAACCTTGGAATGAAGAGGGGAAATGGGAATACTTAAACTTGCAGAATCACTAAGGTCGTTCCCCATCTCGACGAATGTGACATGAATAAAAAGGTAAGGGACCATATAAAGCAGCCTTGACTATACCTAGAAAGGAATTTAAGTATGCCTATAAGAGCACGCTCTCATAAATATCCAGTTGTCAACTCGAGGTTGTTATCAACGATAAGAGCTCCCCGGCCCTCGGCATTCGCAGAACGAATGCGGCAAAGCCGGTGTTGAGCGCCCCGCCTCCGCCAACTCGCATGTCTGGCCAGGGGCGTTTCGCTGGCGGTTTATCCCTTCTCTGGTTGATATGGTTATGGCGGGGCGCTCCGACCTAGGGCCTGGTTGTAGGATGGGACAAGGAGCGTGGGATGTTCTGATGGAAACAAACCAGGAGAGACAGGTGCGACGGCCGCCGGGAATTGATAAGGACCACTGTGACTGTGAATTCCGAATCTCCAGTAATTGCATCGAACATAGGAGTCTCGAGGGTACCCTCACGCTAAATATCAGGAGTCTCAGCATCGTTGATAGCGTGTTGTTCGATTGCATTGGTAGTGCAGCGATGTAACGTCTTCCACCAGTCACCGGCCCATACCAGTCACCGGCCCATACCAGTCACCGGCCCATAACGTATTAGGTCAGCAAGTGCACGTTCCCACCAAATGCACGCTCTCCACCAAAATCACAAAATCTTCAACACACGATATCTCTACCAATATG